GCCAGATAGCACAAACGACCAGTACTATAAAAATGTTGTGGAATTCGCCAAACCCTTGATATTTCCAGACGAAGAACAAGATTTTTACTTGTATTCGCATCGATATCCTCATGTATAAATGGGCAACCTATATATTTTAAGGGTCTGAAAACAAGCGTATCTTTTTCGATTGGAAAAGTAGATAAATCTACGACAAATGATGAACTTGTCAACTTCAATTTCTATTTCGATTACAAACCTACAATCAACACTAAAGAGTCCGTTCTCACAACCAAAAAGCTCAGATCTCCAAATAGCATTTCATTTTACTATTAGATTCAAGAGAACTAGTATCATAGATGTGGATATAAGAAAACCAAACTTTCTTGATTAATAGCTTTATGTTTATTAAACAAAGGTTATGATTATTATTGATTAATTAATTATTCCATTAAAATGCTGAATAACATATTTAATTGTGTTTTTTTCAATTGATTTAAAAATAAAGCATATCAGTTAAATATAATCTAAAATGATAAATAACTTATAATTTCATTTTGAAATATAAATTCCCTTCAGCAATGATTATTGTTTTAGAAAATCTAATTTATTTGACACAAGTTTTGAAAGCCAAAATTAATTCATTTCATTAGTCTAAGTCTAAAGTTAATGATTGACATATTATCATTTGTCTTACCCATCCTCAAAGTATTGCATATTATCACGATGAGTCACTCCATCAATTATAATAATGAAGGTTGTTCTAAATTTTATTGACATATTCTTACAAAACATTTCATTATACTTCTTCATTAATGTTGAAGAATAAAATGAAATTATTAAATTTTTAATACTATAATTGGATTGAGAATAGTATCATTCTTTCCAAATTTATAAGGGTGAGTAAAATACGAATACTGACATCTTTGCAATCTACGATCTATTTAAAAAGTTTAGTTTGAAGTCGTGATGTTATGACACATAATCATTTAGCAATAACGTCTATATTATTTAATTATAGTGCAAAGAGAGTCACATTTAGGATGCAATTATGCCGAAAATACTTCTTGTTTTAAATAATGATAAAAAAAGATAACTTATTCTAAATATCATATAATGTTTGATATTTGCCAGTTTTGTATTTTAAAACCGGATAATTCAGGTGAACATGCTTATAGCGCCTTGCATTTTCATTAAATTCCTCTGTCTTTGAAATCCTCTTAAAAAAATGGTAAATAATTTCGAAAATATTATTCAAATTGTCTTTTGTATTGATGGGTATAAGTGGACAATGCAATATGATTGTTTGTAATAGTATTCTTATAATAATTATGATTGGTTATTTAACTCTGCAAAATAGTTTTAATTTTTAGCATAATATATATTATTAACTAAAACATGAGTTAAATAAATTAATGAAGAGTTAAAGTATTTACAAGAAATCCAACCAAATTAGATCCACTTGCATCAAATCTATCGAGGCTAATCAAGAGTTCTATTTGGCAGTCATAGAATAATAGATGTGTGTGAGTATTTGTGCCTATAATGAATAAACTGGGGAAGTCTTTGTTACTTAGTTTTTAGATTGTACCACTTTTAATATCACTTCATCGACCATCTTGAGATTTGCTCCTAAAATCTTGATATCTATTGAGAACAATGAAAAAAGCATGTTTTTTAAATAATTAGAAGATGAATTGAATGATACTTTAATCTATTTTCTACCTCTAAATGTATTGCAAATTAAATTCGAACTAAATCAATTTAGTAAATTTGTAAAATAATTAAATTAACTTTAATTATGCTATACTGCATTGTCCTACACAGTGAATCAGCATTTGAACATCATGATTAATAATCTGCCAGTTCAATTCTACAACATCAAGGAGGTGCTGGTGTTCAACATTTAAACTACTTTGAGTCTGGATGTCTTAAATCAATTATATAAGCTCTTCAAACCGATTACAAATGGAGGTAAGAGACTACTTAAGGCAAATCTACTTTAACCCTTTAGTACATTGCAAATGATTCACATTCGATAATAAAATGTTAAGGAAATGCTGAGCAAGGACGATTCTACAATTCAAGCATTGAAATCACATCTGATGAAATTCAAACAAGTTGACACTTTGGCTTGTCAATTACAAAGCAAGAGCAATAAATTACAGGATCAGTTATAGTAGATATTCAAAATATACAATTTCCAAAAGGACGTTATCAATTTTACGCATTACTTAAATGATTAAAAATTGAATAACATAATGGATATCGATATCAATGGTATCCTAATGAGTGACGAATTCCAGAATATAAAGTAATAGATAGAGTAATATATTGATGTGACTTTGCAATTGAATAACATTGAGGAGGACACTCTCTTTTTTATTATGTTAAATGAGAAATCTAATAATTTAAAATAGAACCGATTACAATTTATATAATTAAGATAGGAAATAAATAATCTATTTTAAAGATTGTTGTCATGCTTTTGTCTCAATTTGAAGTGCAAAAAGCTTAAGACTAACGATAATTCAATTAAATGTCTCAAAAGTGGATACATCTTTGAATTGTCTGTAAATGAGGCAAGCAGGAACAACATAAATGAATTAGACATTAAGAGAATAGTTGAGAAGGAGAATGATTCCATCTCCTTCATTGACAAAAACAATAAAAAGTACAGTATTCTAACTGAGAAACTCAAAGATCTCAACAACAAATTGAATGATTGCATAGCCAACATATTATCTGAAACATAAATTTAAGTTAACAATTTATATGAATAAATGCAGAAGCTTTGTTCTTGGATATTTTCTCTGAATTGTTTGATCAGTTAATTTGATATCGCCCTTTGTATAAGAGATTATACAATCCAAAATGTGTCAAGTAAGCAATAGATGATCTTTCCCCAATTTGAGTATGATTAGTTTGTGATTAAGGATGCTTCATACTTGTCGTCAGTGAGTTTGCATGATGTATTCAATAAGTTGACAATTTCATTCAATTAGTTTAATGTCATCTATGATTACAAGGAATGTCTGTCAGAATAGTTGAAATTGATTGGATAATTGATTATACTTTCCCAAATAGGATGCACATTACCTTGTTCACAATTCAAATAGCAGTTATTAAGTTGCTTATACACTCATTTTCAGAAATATACTATTTAGAATTTGGCTGAGAGGTAGTCTTCATTTACTGCTGAAATTTAATCGTTGAACAATCTATTGGTTTCTGAATTGAGTGACTCATTAATTTTATGTGATTCCTTAGCAATTTCATCTTCGCATGAATCGAATGTGTCATTCAGCATTTCGTTTCTGGAGGCTATCTTCAAAAAGACTCACTTTGGGTTGTTTGGAACATAGAATTCCGATATAATGCAAATCAATGATCTAATTTAATGCAAATGCATGATTTCAAACAATAATTAGATTGACTATATCTAGTAGAATCAATTGGAAGTAACTATTATTCATTATGTAGCAAATTCTCGATGAGGAATTTAATTTGGATTATAAGTTGAAGCTGCTTAATAAATTACAATAAACATTTGATTTTCCTTAGACATTTTGTTTGATTTTTGAGCGTAACTTTAATAGATAATATGTTTGAGAGTACTAATGATTATTAATTATTTAATATTTTATATTACATGAATTTACTCAATTGTTTAGATTTAAGTCAATAAATAGTGAAATAGATTTTTCGAAGTAAATACAAATCCAAAGTGGATACTAACTTCAATATTGAATGTAATTAAATACGTAAAAAATGGAACAATAATGGATAAAACCATATCGTAATCTAATTTTATTTATGCAAATCAAGAAAATAATATTTAGTGGAAGAATGGAACATCATTTGCATCTAATAATAAATAAGTGATCACATTCAAGAATAATTTAAGAAGTGTGAGTAATTGGCATCATCAACTCCCTTGTGTTAAAAATAAGACAATTAAATTGATCACATCATACATTTGAATGAGAATAAACGAACTGATTGGATAGATCCCAGTTTAATCCTTACAAGCTAATTGCAATTGTCTAACAAAGTGACAATCAATGTGGCTTATTTATCAACTCTAGAAGTTATAGAACGAGAGATTCAAGAATCAACTAAAGACTCATTGCCATTTCGAAGGGATAGATTTCTATCAGATGATATTCAATAAAGTAAGTATGTATTCATATGCAACAAAGGCAATCGATTAAGGAGAAGCACAGACATTGATGGACTCAGACAGTACAAAAAGAACAAGGAAATATTGAATAAAGTGATGAATAGGATGAATGACTCATTTTGTAAGATATCCTTTCTAATGATTAGCTTCCACATCCAGCAAAAATAAGTCAACCTAATTATTGACCATTATCAACAAGAAAGATGACATTGAAATACTATCATCTCCAGAAGATGCTCAAAAGATCATAGACGAAGATGAGAACGGAGATTATGAAATCTAAATGATTATTGATGAAGAACCAATCATCAAAGGGCAAACAGTCATCATCAAACCATAACAACAAAAATTTCACCCAATTATAGATTACATTTTCAAAATAAGAAACAAGAAACATAATTATAATACTTAATTAATTGATACAATGAATTTTATTAAGAATTAATACTGATGTTCATATAATTATTATCCTACTTGCAGTGCTTCATATTAACCTTAATTTTATTCATATGCACTACCTATCATATCTCTTGATACTCAATATTGATAATCTCAAAGTTAAGAAGGATTATTTCTTAAATGTTTATTAATTACTAATGTACTGACTCCAAGAATATGAATATTTATATTCTTAAAGTGTAAATGAGTGTCGATGCACTTACCTTTCCATATTTTTGTAAAATTTGAATAATTCTTAAACAAATCTACTGAAAGTATATTGGAAATTACAAGTAATTCTTAATATCATCTTTTAATCATGTATGATGTGTATATTAAGCATATGATAGTTGAATATAATACTATTGAGAGATTTAATGAAATATTAATAAAATATTATAAAACATTAAATATGGCTGAATAGGAAGAATATTCTTAATGTTAGGGTCTTGGTTATACCTTGATCAAACATTCAAAGTCCGAGATTAGAAAGATTTCTGATCCTATTTATGATTTTATTTATTTTGACCATGCAATTTGGAAAGTGATAGACAATCCAGTTTATTAAAGATTGCGAAACATCAAACAGTTAGGCACAACAAGTTGGGTATTTTAGGGAGCGAATCATACAAGATTTGAACATTGTTTGGGAGTAGGACATTTGGCATAATAATTCATTACTTCGATCTATAAAAACCAACCCTACTTGGATGGTGAAGAGGATAAAAGGAGAAATATAAAATTGGTTACAATAGCTGGAATTGTTCATGATCTGGGTCATGGTCCATTTAGTCATATGTTCGATAATCTATTGATACCCAAACTTACTAATTCTTCGGAATTGTGGTGTCATGAATAGGCCTCAGAAATGCTGTTCAACTACATGTATGATAAATACTCGTTGGGCTTGGAAAAAGATGAGGTCAACTTTATTAATGCTCTTGTTCATGGAGACAACAATAAAGTTTCTAACGGAAAGAAGCAATGGTTTTATGATATTGTTTCTAATAAGAGAAATGGCATCGATGTAGACAGAGTTGATTACATTCGTAGAGATTGCCATCATCTGGGACAACCACCATCTATTAAAGATTTTAAGTATCTCATGCAAGAATCTCGAGTTATTGATGATGAGATCTGCTATCCACAAAGATATGCATTCAATATTTTTGACTTGTTTAATACCAGATACAAGCTATTTAAAATTGTTTATCTCAATAGAATAAGCTAATGCATTGAATAGATGATCTGTGATATTATGCTATCAGTCAATTCCATCTACAAGTTTGATGAAATTATATATGAGCCTGAAAGGTACTGTAAGTTGAATGATTCCATCATTGAGCAAATTGATAGTGCAGAAGGACCAGAATATGCTAAAGCACAAGCTATAATTAAAAGATTAAAAATGAGAGAATTGTATAAGTTTGTGAGTGAAGCACTAGTACCCTAATCAACAATTTTATAGTCAAATGAAAAAATAAGAGATGAAATGTTAGCCTACATGCCTTCAAGTGCCTCAGTCAATATTGATGAGATTTATGTATCTTAAGGTAAGGTTGGTTTTGGATCTAACAATGAAAATCCTATTAATCTAGTTCATTTCTATAAGGGATCAGATCAGGACCTTAAAATTCAAGGGAATGATACAACTACAAGTTTCTGTTTGCCAAAATAGTTCTCTGAGAAATTTATTAGAGTCTTTGTTTCAAACGTTTAAATAATATAACCTGTTGAGAAGGCTTTTGAATTGTATTGTAAAAACAAACTTGGATTTTCTCCAATAAATCAGGATCGATATTAAACACCTTAAAAGGCTCCGGTTGTTACAGACTTTTCTTAAGTCAAATTAACGTGAGCACTGATTTGCATGATTGTTAACTATAGTATTAATTGCATTGAAATTTAATAAATGAATTTTATATTTCCTAATCGTTTGGGTTCTTAAACAAATAGTCGTTAGGAATGAATTTCACCTAAACGCTCAATGTAGGTTTATAATATATTATTATTGTTTTAATTATAAGGATTTTACAATATAATTATTAAATTATATAACTCATAATTACAGAATGATGATTCTTAATTCGCACTAATTAATTAAATGCAAATCATTTTCTCAAGCTTACTAAAATCCAACTTAATATTCATAATTTAAATATATATTTTATTATGCAATAAGCCTCACATGTAATCTATGAGCTTGAAGATGATGAGGACAACAAATAATAAACTTCTAAACAAGTAAATAAGCTATTTTAATTATTATAGTAAATCAAGATCGATAGAAAATTGGGAGCAGTTACTTATAAGAAATGGGGCACGTTATATAATTACTATTTCTCGTTCAATCTAAAAAAAGCAAGACTATTGTGTTACAAAACGAAGACATCCTCGTCCTACAATAATTATTACTCGTTAAACAAGGGAGATTTTGTCAAGGATGAATCAGAAATTGATCGATTCGAAAAAAGTTTGAAGAAAAGAAAAAATTATGAAAGTCCTCCTGATCAGAAGGTAAAAATTGACTAATGAATTAAGTTAATTATCTATGTTCGAACAGCTAAAGGCAGAATTTTTAAATTGGTCATCGACGAAAACGAAAATTATGATAAAATCGTAGGTTATTTATAAATTTGTTTCTCATCTAAAATTTAGACTGTGACCTCCTTTTTTGCTTTACTAGGCGTTGGATTAATCAAAGTTAACGATTACGAATTCAAACTAACCACTGGCATCTTTGTATCTTTGAACGATTGGTCAAAAACAAATAATAATAAATACCTATTGAATAATCATGATTTAGGCTTAAACTTATTAATAAGCAATATCGAATTATTGGGTGGCATAATAGGTTCGTTTTATAGAACCCAAAGGATATTCGGAATTATCTTTAACCCATTTACGCAAACCATTGACATCGTATTGTTCGATAATTAGAAGTAAATCCTTTTCTAATATTATTTTAGTCCTAAAAAATTACTTTAAGGATTGTTCAAATTAGTCAAATTTAGTAGGAAACAAATCTAACCATCAGGTAGAGGACAGCTATTGAAGTTGAGAACAGATTAAAACGAAGTTCAAGAAAGCCATTATGTAGAAATAGCATAAAATGAGAATGTTAAGATCTATATACACAATGAGTATCTTAACATTTCAGATTATGAGTTGGTCTAAGGATCCATGTTCACATCCTAATATGTAGATGATCAAAATGATTTAGATGCTGATAAGTTAATATCGAATACAGCCTTAGAATTCTATAAAAAGGAATATAAATTAATTAACAGCAATGAAGATGAAACTAAAGAATTTATTATTGTTAACAGATAGTAAAAATAATTAAACTTTAATAATATTGCATCACCTCGATGTAATAAAAGACATGTTTCAATAATTACTGAAGAAATTGTCGATGAAAACTAAGGACAAGGCATTTAGGTAGCCAAAAGTATAAAAGTGCATATGCATAAATCAGATCAAAGTATACAATAATAAAAATATACTACATCTCCTAAATTAGAGTTAATTGCAGAATTTCAAACAGGGCATTTCAATTAAATTGAGAACATTGATTAGGTGAAGCAACATCTATTCAAATAAGAATAATAGCAATAATAAAATGGAAAGGATGCATAAAATATACAATAGGAATAAAATAAAGAAAATAAAGAATAAAAAATACTAGAATGTTAAGAAAAAGAGCAAGATAACGATTCAGATGAAATTGATTTGGTTAAGTTTTCTATAGTTTTTGAAGTATCAGAGCATTGCCCTTATAGAGATTATAATTCAATTATGAATTACGCTATAAATTTTAAGAAAATAGATTACAAAGATGAATATAGAGTCAGTATTGCTCATAAAAGTGGGGGAACTGCTTGTTAAGATAAGAAGATTATTGAATTAGCAAGAAGTGTCGGAAAAAACATGATCAAACAAGTGGGTTAGAAATTATTAAGTGGTAATTTCAATCTTACTCAAGTGTCCTTTCCAGTAATTCAATATCTTATAAATGTATTTAGATCAAAGCCATGATTCCCAAATCTGCCTTAGAAAAAACCTTTATGTAAACAATTCTCTTTCCATTATACTTAAATAAGGCAGCATCCCTTTAAGATCCTCTTGAACGAATGAAACTCTCAATTGTCGGATTACTATCCAATTATATTTAAGCTAATTCTTTTCTAAAACCTCTTAATCCTATATTGGGGGAGACTTTTGAAGGCGGCTATGAAGACGGCACATAATTATTTTGCGAATAAGTAAATATCTAATAAAATCCATTAGATATCTCATCATCCTCCACTCTCTTATTTCTTAGTTTATGGACCAAAAAAATCTTATAAATTTTATGGATACTCCCTCTATGAAGCAAAGGCAGGATTCAACTCTCTAACAATATTGAATCATGGCAAAAGAACATTATAATTTAATGATTAAAAAATCCAATGCACATTCTCATCAGAACATTACTCTGGTACATTTTTAGGAACCATGAAAAATGAATCACAAGGCTCTCTTTAATTTATTGATGAGGCTAATAGTAAATAGTTAATTTATCAGTAGATTTAAAATGTATTGTCTAACTTGGAAAGGTAAAAAATAAACCAACTGATTATTTTGAAGGAGAGATCAAAAGAGGTAAAACAACTCTAAGCAAATTATTTGGCTCATACATGGGATTTGCTGATTTCGATGGTGTTCGATATTGGGATGCCAGAGTTGTTAAACCCTTCGCAATGCAAATATTAAAATCTTCTCTTGAATCAGATCATGCAAAAAGAACAGACAGGATCTTTATGGTACAAGGTGATATGGACAAAGCTCAATCTGAAAAAGAGAGACTGGAATAACTATAAAGAAAAGATGCAGCTTTAAGAAAAGCTTAAAGATAAAATGATTGAGATTCTTCTAATATGTATATTATAATAACATTATTACGATAAAATTATAATTATAAAAATAATTAATAAATATTAATTACTTTAATTTAATTTAAAAATATATGAAATTGTTGAAGAAATTATTAAACTATTTTCGTCAATCCTCTGTCTTTAAAAGCTCCAAAATTTTATATTTCAAACATTCCTGCAATAATATGGAGTTTTAGAATGAGATATTAAAAGAAATCAATAGTCAACCTATAATTCTCTTGGCATTATTTATAAATCTTAACTTAAGGTATTATATATTCCTTTAAAGAGAGAAGTCCCTTATGTTGATTTTCATGATAATGGGGTATTAGATAAAGAATAATAAACATGCTAAAAAAATGAAATAAAAATAAAGAAAATTTAATGAGTAAACTAAAATTTAAGATCCAGCATTTTATTTCTTTGGGCATAGTAATTTTTAATTCTTATTTTGAAAAAGCAAGAAATAGATTTTGGTTACTTTTTAATGTAATATGGATTAAATTCCTTAAAATTTGAAGTTGTTATGAAATTTCATTATTTTTTGAAAATAAATTATTGTTTCCCTTAATTAATTGATTATTTCTAATTATATTAATTATTAAATTAACATTATTTTATTTCTAATAGTGCCAATGAAATTTAAGAAAACAAACCTACTACCAGTAAATAGATCAATGATGTAAAAAAGCTTTAATTATAATCAAAGCACCATTCAAATATCAGTATGAAATACGTTTAAATTCTTCATAATAAATTTTATGAAATGAGTTTATTTAATCAAAATTATCATGCATGCTAATATTGATAGTAATTACAGGGTTTATGAATAAATAAATGAGATTGAAAATAGTTTGTTGTTTAGCATTCCATAAATTTTTAAATATTAATTAAATTTAATTATCAGTAATATTATTACAATTGAGTTCCTAATTTTATTATTTTTCAGAAGTCTATATTTTAAGATAAAACAAGAATAAGATAATCTAGGGAAAATGAAGTAACAATAAATCGATTTCTCTCCAGATCATTCTATAGTTTCAAATATAATTTCTGTCTTTCTATGAAAATTACTTTTATTTTTATTTAACCTCTTCGTTTAACCATGTTGATTTAATGGTGAACCATCATATCAGAATTACGGTTTAATGAATATTCACAAAAAATTTTCTTGTCTAATATGAAAACGATTTAAATGAATAATTTTGTTCTATATAAATTTGATTTATAGAATCCAATATCATATATTAAAACAATGCAATTTTTGCTCATAATCATCGTTCTTGCCTATGTTGAAGTTCTATATTGTTAATGGCAAAACAATTTAGCTTTATTAACATCAAACGCATTATTTACCTAATAAACTGGTCCATATGCATCTTAACAATCAGGAACCTTCTTTCAATTATATACACAAACCACAGCCAATTTTATCACTTGTACAAACCCATAAACAAGCTATATAACTCTAAATAATAATTATCCTAGTGTTTAAACAGATTAAAACTACTTTTTATAAAGTGGATATTTTGTAGCTTTTGATTTATTTTTTCAGGGTACTTGGCAAAATCAAGGCGTAAAGTTTAAATTTGGTTCATTTGAATTCTAATATTATTATCAATAACCATCAGTCTATCCTTTGACTAACCAATTTTGTGATTATTAAGATGTCGATGTAAAAACAGTAAATTTTACAATAACATCAACTAATAATGAAAAAATTTAGTTTATTTCCTAAAATTTCAATGATGGGTAAGTTTCAATCAGAAATTTGTATGTATCATCTTTTAATTGTTTTCCCTCTTGCTCCTCTTGTAGTGGCCCTGGATTCAACGAATGTACAGATTGCTATTTCCAAACACCTACAAATGGAATTTGCCCCACTTGCCCATAAAATTAATATTACATGAAGAATATAGGATGCAAGCCAATTTGTGATATTGGATCTTCTTTAATTAAGTAGGGATTCTGTCAAAATTATCCAAGTAATTATAAAAAATATCTTCTTAGCTCAAACTTTTATAACTACTTAATTTACATCTAATCTTTCATCCCCAGAAATTTTGAAATGGTCTTTAATTCTTGATCCACTACATGTTGACAATACTTTGCTTCCAAATATTTATGTAAACTATCAATACATATATGGAATATTTAAGTACAATTCTGGAGTTTACAGATATATAAACGAATTATCTTCAAATTATCCAACTCACTTAATTGGATTCAAGATTACATTATTAATTTTCAATGAAATTCCACTTGGATGCGGAATCCAAATTAATATTAACAATATGTATTATGGATCAATTTCTAGAGAAATATCAGGAATTCAGGCACATCAGTTAGGTGTTTATGAAATTTCAGACTTTGGCTCATATCCAACTTATTCCAGTGTCAAGAAATATGTTTTAGTTACATACTTTGATATTCCCAAGATCCCATTATTATTTTCAGCCGTAGGAAATTTTAGGTAAATTTCTATTATTCTAATTTAGTGATAACTCTGCTGGATGGGGAATTATGTAAATATAGGTTACTACAGGTTATTGTCCTTAATATTGTAAAATATGTGAAGTACCATTCAAATGTAAGACCTGCAATAATGGATACTATTATTATAAGGATGGTACTTGCGTAAGTAGCTGCTCAAGGCCATATTAGAAATTAAACGGTACCTATTGTCAAGATTTTGATTATGAAACACCATGTAAATATTTTAAATATCAAGACTCTTAATTTTTAATTTAAGAATATGTAAGTATAGCAAATAATCCTGATTAATATTCTTAATATACTTTAATTTCTAAAAGCGGAACAAATTTTTTAAAAGGATTAGATATTTATTATTCATATTGGTAATCATATCGAGTCTTTGGAGGCCCATTTGTTTGGGCCTAGGCTAAATTTAAAAGGGTTCATAACATAGTTGATCCACATCATAGTCTCACTATTGCCTTTTATATCCTTTATGGTCCAACATTCCCTTCAAATGGATATTTCATATATACAATTGAAAACTAACCACCAGTTTATAAATCAACTTCTTATTATACTTAATACTATTCTGATGGTTCAAAATAAGNTAATTATTAAATTAACATTATTTTATTTCTAATAGTGCCAATGAAATTTAAGAAAACAAACCTACTACCAGTAAATAGATCAATGATGTAAAAAAGCTTTAATTATAATCAAAGCACCATTCAAATATCAGTATGAAATACGTTTAAATTCTTCATAATAAATTTTATGAAATGAGTTTATTTAATCAAAATTATCATGCATGCTAATATTGATAGTAATTACAGGGTTTATGAATAAATAAATGAGATTGAAAATAGTTTGTTGTTTAGCATTCCATAAATTTTTAAATATTAATTAAATTTAATTATCAGTAATATTATTACAATTGAGTTCCTAATTTTATTATTTTTCAGAAGTCTATATTTTAAGATAAAACAAGAATAAGATAATCTAGGGAAAATGAAGTAACAATAAATCGATTTCTCTCCAGATCATTCTATAGTTTCAAATATAATTTCTGTCTTTCTATGAAAATTACTTTTATTTTTATTTAACCTCTTCGTTTAACCATGTTGATTTAATGGTGAACCATCATATCAGAATTACGGTTTAATGAATATTCACAAAAAATTTTCTTGTCTAATATGAAAACGATTTAAATGAATAATTTTGTTCTATATAAATTTGATTTATAGAATCCAATATCATATATTAAAACAATGCAATTTTTGCTCATAATCATCGTTCTTGCCTATGTTGAAGTTCTATATTGTTAATGGCAAAACAATTTAGCTTTATTAACATCAAACGCATTATTTACCTAATAAACTGGTCCATATGCATCTTAACAATCAGGAACCTTCTTTCAATTATATACACAAACCACAGCCAATTTTATCACTTGTACAAACCCATAAACAAGCTATATAACTCTAAATAATAATTATCCTAGTGTTTAAACAGATTAAAACTACTTTTTATAAAGTGGATATTTTGTAGCTTTTGATTTATTTTTTCAGGGTACTTGGCAAAATCAAGGCGTAAAGTTTAAATTTGGTTCATTTGAATTCTAATATTATTATCAATAACCATCAGTCTATCCTTTGACTAACCAATTTTGTGATTATTAAGATGTCGATGTAAAAACAGTAAATTTTACAATAACATCAACTAATAATGAAAAAATTTAGTTTATTTCCTAAAATTTCAATGATGGGTAAGTTTCAATCAGAAATTTGTATGTATCATCTTTTAATTGTTTTCCCTCTTGCTCCTCTTGTAGTGGCCCTGGATTCAACGAATGTACAGATTGCTATTTCCAAACACCTACAAATGGAATTTGCCCCACTTGCCCATAAAATTAATATTACATGAAGAATATAGGATGCAAGCCAATTTGTGATATTGGATCTTCTTTAATTAAGTAGGGATTCTGTCAAAATTATCCAAGTAATTATAAAAAATATCTTCTTAGCTCAAACTTTTATAACTACTTAATTTACATCTAATCTTTCATCCCCAGAAATTTTGAAATGGTCTTTAATTCTTGATCCACTACATGTTGACAATACTTTGCTTCCAAATATTTATGTAAACTATCAATACATATATGGAATATTTAAGTACAATTCTGGAGTTTACAGATATATAAACGAATTATCTTCAAATTATCCAACTCACTTAATTGGATTCAAGATTACATTATTAATTTTCAATGAAATTCCACTTGGATGCGGAATCCAAATTAATATTAACAATATGTATTATGGATCAATTTCTAGAGAAATATCAGGAATTCAGGCACATCAGTTAGGTGTTTATGAAATTTCAGACTTTGGCTCATATCCAACTTATTCCAGTGTCAAGAAATATGTTTTAGTTACATACTTTGATATTCCCAAGATCCCATTATTATTTTCAGCCGTAGGAAATTTTAGGTAAATTTCTATTATTCTAATTTAGTGATAACTCTGCTGGATGGGGAATTATGTAAATATAGGTTACTACAGGTTATTGTCCTTAATATTGTAAAATATGTGAAGTACCATTCAAATGTAAGACCTGCAATAATGGATACTATTATTATAAGGATGGTACTTGCGTAAGTAGCTGCTCAAGGCCATATTAGAAATTAAACGGTACCTATTGTCAAGATTTTGATTATGAAACACCATGTAAATATTTTAAATATCAAGACTCTTAATTTTTAATTTAAGAATATGTAAGTATAGCAAATAATCCTGATTAATATTCTTAATATACTTTAATTTCTAAAAGCGGAACAAATTTTTTAAAAGGATTAGATATTTATTATTCATATTGGTAATCATATCGAGTCTTTGGAGGCCCATTTGTTTGGGCCTAGGCTAAATTTAAAAGGGTTCATAACATAGTTGATCCACATCATAGTCTCACTATTGCCTTTTATATCCTTTATGGTCCAACATTCCCTTCAAATGGATATTTCATATATACAATTGAAAACTAACCACCAGTTTATAAATCAACTTCTTATTATACTTAATACTATTCTGATGGTTCAAAATAAGATAAGGTATATGAAAGAATATCTCATAATACAAATACATTAACTATATATTGGGAATGTTAAGGACCCGATAATGAACCAATTAATGCCTATTGTGGATTCTATAATTATTATATAGCTGTTCATAAATGCAAACCTTATTGCTTAAAATGTACAGATTAAAATACATGTACATAATGGAATAGTACATATAATTCGACTGTTGTTAAATTTTCAATAGCAGAATGCGGGTCAGGCTAATATTATGATAAAGAGTAAGTTAGATGCATATAATGTTTAATGCCTTGTTTAAGTTGTATATCTAAATTAGATTGTTTAAGTTGTTAATCTACTTATACTTTAAGTAAATTAGGATGTACTTGTAAATATAATTAATATGAAGAATCAAATCAATGCTATGATTGTCCAATTGAATGTAATTAATGTTTAAGTTTAACTTATTGTATAGAATGTTTAATTAGTAATAATAGATAATTATATAATGGATAATGTAATTGTATAGATGGATATTATCCAATCATATCAAATCCTTAATGTCTTTTATGTCATTAATTTTGTAAAACTTGTACTGGACCAACTTTTAATGAGTGTTTAACTTGCAACAATATTATTAATATACAAAATATAGGAACAACATGTAAATGTCCAAATGGATCATATTATTAAGATTCAATATAAAGTTGTTCTAATTGCCATTCATCCTGTTAGTCATGTTTTAGTTCTGCTATTAATGGTTGTTTAACATGTAATTCATCTTTAAATAGAATGTTAAAAGGATTAAAATGTGAATGTATACCTGGTTATTATGAATTAAATAATATTTGCACAAGTATTTCAAATATTTACATTTATTATAGATTGTCCAAATACAGAAGATAGTTCATTAAGTTAATGTTATAAATTATGTAATAATAATTCATAGATATGGCATACAATTACATGTAGTTCTTGTGATTTAGGATTTCAATTACAATAAGGAGAATGCTAACCTATTTGTGGAGATTCATTAATAAAAGGATATGAATAATGTGAAGATAATAACAATGTTTTTGATGATTTATGTTATAATTGTTAATATCAATGTCCAGTTCATTGTGTAACTTGTGACTAAAATACTACTTTACCATGTCCAGATATTTGTGGTGATGGATATATAACTGGAATTGAAGAATGTGAAGATGGCAATAATATTTAATATGATGGATGTTATAATTGTAAATTTTAATGTTAACCTTCATGTACTAAATGTATAAAAGGGTAATGTTAAGAATGTGCTACTGCAGGATGGTTTATTGATCCTACTGTCACACCTTGGTAATGTAAAGAAAGATGTGGAGATTAACTAATTGTTGGAACTGAATAATGTGAAGATGGAAATACTATTGATACAGATGAATGCAAAGATTGTAAGTATCATTGTGGAATTGGTTGCTCATCTTGTAATTACACAACAAATACTTGTTTAAGTTGTGAATTCCCTGGCTTTAAACCATATTTTTTTTTTTGTGTAAATATTTGTGGAGATGGTTTAGTAGCCACAGACCCTTACGGATACTATTCAGAATAATGTGATGATGGCAATACAATTAATTATGATGGTTGTAGTAGTTCATGCAAATATTAATGTTAATTACCACCTATTTGCATTAGCTGTGTTAATAATAGATGTGAAACATGTGCTGGACGTTATTTATTATCTGAAAATAAAATTTGTATACCTATTTGTGAAAATGCAAATATAGTTGGAGGATGCTAAAACTGTTTTCCTATAGATTCATCTCCTTGCCTAACATGTGATACTTTTGGGTATGGCTGCATCTAGTGCAAGCCAGGTTATAAAAAAATTGATAATTTCTGTTAAGCAATTTGTGGTGATAGGATAATTACAGATGATGAATAATGTGACGATGGTAATTTGATATTAGGTGATGGTTGTCATTTTTGTTAATTTAGTTGTTAGCATTCATGTCTCAATTGTATTTAAGGACTCTGTTATCATTGTATACATGGTTATCAGTTAATATAATTTAAATGTTATCCTATTTGTGGAGATGCTTTATAGACAAGTGATGAACAATGTGATTAACCTAATTCAGAATGGTGTGTTAATTGTCAATTCAAGTGTGATATAAATTGTAAAATTTGCTAATTTGGAACATGTTAACTCTGCTAAGTTGGTTTTCATATGCCTCCTGATGGGTAAATTTGTTAAACAGATTATTAATAATAAGAAATTTAGATTGAATACTGTAAATTATAAATAGGGAATGCTTGTAAATAGTGCTAAGATTTTGCATATTTGGATCAGGTATAAAAAACTTGCACAGTAAACATGTAATATAAAAAGTGTATAAAGAATTGTAAATTATGTTTAGATTAAATTTGTTTAGAATGTTATACTGGATATTATGGATTTTAATGTATCCCATAATTAGGAGATGGCATAGTGGTTGAAGAAGAAATTTGTTATGATTAAAACAATTAAACGATAAATGATCGTGTAGAATGTTACTCCAAATGTGATATCAATTGCATAAGTTGTATAATTGGGGTGTGCGAATTATGTTCAAAAGGGTTTTATTTATTTAATAATAAGTGCATACCAGATATTATAACTTCTATTTTATATGTGAATGCCGATTTAAATCTATGTGGAGATAATAAATTAGGAATCAATGAAGAATGTGAAGATGGCAACACTTATCCATTTGATGGTTGTTATTAATGCAAATTTTAATGCGATGTTAACTGTATTAATTGTCAATTTGGAAAGTGTGAAGGTTGTAATAGTGGTTTTATTCTAAATTCTATTTACATGTGTGAACCAGAATGCGGAGATGGCATAGTGATTCCATTTACAAGTGAATAATGCGACGAAGAAGCTGAAGGATGCTTAAATTGTTAATTTTATTGTTAACCTTTTTGTCTCCAATGTAATGTACAATAGTGTTTCTAATGCTTTAATGGATTTTCAATAAATTAAAATGAATGCACACCTGTTTGTGGAGATGGAATATTATTAAGTGACTTTGAAGAATGTGATGATTAAAATGATGAACAATTTGATGGATGTTTTGAATGTAGATTTTAATGTCAGCAAAATTGTGAAATATGTGAAGAAGGTAAATGCGTAATGGAATTTTGTTCCGATGGTACATATTGGCTAAAAGACTAATGCTAAGCTATTTGCGGAGATAAAATAATTGCAGGTGATGAATAATGTGATGATGGAAACTAAATTCAATATGATGGCTGCAATAATTGTTAGTATTAGTGCAATTAACAATGCAACATCTGTGAAGAAGGAATATGTCTTGAATGTATTATAGATTATGTTTTGATTGATGCGCTTTGTGTTTTAAACTAAAAGAAATTTATTAATAATACTAATACTGGGTCTTTTAATAACAACTCAAATATTAATGGTAATGCCAATAGTAATACTAATAGTAATAATACTATTAATAATAATAATAATGGTATTAAATAATAAGAGTCAATTTTAGAATCAAATGAGATATGTCGAGATTCAGAATGCGCATACTCAAAAAAACCAAACATGAAACTTACTTATAATTATTAACAATTTTCTTACTAATATGTTGACGTTAGTTTCGACTAAGAAATAAAATTTAGTGCTTCGGTAATAAAACAACAAGAGCTATTCAATATAAGTATTCTTGATTTAGAACCTAAAGATTATAACATTACTATTAATACAATATAAGAAGTTTCTTTTGATCTCTAAAATGCTTCCTATTAACTTGCTGTTGAAATATTTCCACAACTTGTAAATAGGCCAATCCTTTTCATTTCATTAAATTAAGAAGTTGCTAACTCTAATAATTAGACACTTTAAGAAAATAATTAATCAATCACACTTTATATACCAAAAGTAATTTCTGAATCAGTCAAATCCACATCTATAAAAGCATAATAATCTAACAAAGCATTTATGATTGGAGCAATTTGTTTATGTGTCATTTCTTTAATTTCAGGTGAAAGTTCTGTAGTTGTTGAAACTTTAAATGTTCTATAATATCAATCTTTCCTAAGATTTATAAATATTGAGTACCCTGAGAACCTATTTATCTATTTTTAGGCGTAGGACTTGTTATCAATAACTTCTTATTTAGAATTCTTCGAACTAGATGATTATTTAAACTTTATAACAAGAAAAGAATAATAATAATATGTTGATTTGAATGGAAAATTTAAAGAATATAATATAGAGGCTGATCTTTTTACCAATATATTTCCACAGATGATTCAATTTCTTGGATTGATAACACTGCTTCGTTTTACCAAAAAAATTCATAATTTCTTAATCAAATTACTTAAATATAAAAAGGTTATTTACTATTTCTAAACTACTAAATCTAAAATTTTAATTGCAATAATTAATTTTACACTTTATTTAGGTAAGAGTGTCAAATCATTAATTAGAATACGATATCTCTTTAATTGTAATTAAATTCGGTAACTAATTTACTTAAATTCATGGGATTTAATATTTAAAGTAATTTTACAACTTCATTATAATCGAATAGATAATATTCGAAGTATTTTAACCACTGTATTTGCAGCTTTAATATTTCTCTTTTACATTTAATTTTTACTCTAATCTTTGAAATAATGTAGTGATATCTATAACAAAAATACTAAAGCAAAGTTAGAAATAAAGTTTATTACATTAGATATGTGCAGAACTATATTTTTCCACATTGTTCTAATATTATTCTAAGATCAATAATTTTTATAATGCGTGCTACTATCTGTCAGCAGTGTATGTTAATGTTGCTTATTATATAAATATAAGCAGTGCTCCAAATGGGATAAAGTTACATCCATATTAATTGAAGCTATTTTAACAGTTTTTAGTTTAAGTTTATTTTTTTATATTGAAATTGAATAAGTTTATATTTCTTACGAAAATAAAGTTACTTTAGGTTTTATCCACATGAACTTATTGATTTTAAGTCTGGCAATAGTTCTTGCAAAACAATTAATACCTAAAATACTAAGCATATGCAAATTATTGTTCAAAAAGAAGAAACCTAAGGTTGCTACAGAAATACTATTTTTTTGATTTAAAATTAACTATTTATTTTATATATATTATTTAAATATTTAGTATTATTAATTAGAAATATTTTTGGAATCGTCCTTTATAATCAATATTAGCAACACTTAATTCTTTATGTTTATGTTTATGAATCTATGATTCTTTTTATTTCAATTCTTTAAAAAGGATAATTTAAGTTTATGAGTTTTTTTTGTATATTAATTTTATATAAATATATCAAAATTTTACATCTATATATATAATATTTATTTAACAACAAATGCTATCTTGATATGTAGGAATTTTTTCTTCAAATCAAATTTTTGTTTAGTTGGAATATCAACTAAATTCCTAATGATATTGATTGTTGATCTGATCTTTCTTACCCTTTTTAAATGAATTCAGTGAATCTTTGAAAATCTAATCCTTAAATTTACGAAATGGAGCAGGTATATATAAATATATCGAATGACTTAAATAATTTGAATCTCATTCAAATCTCAATTTTTAATCTGTTAATTTATCCACTTATTTGGTAAAATTTATTTAGAAGTTTATTCATCCCTATATACTGTATTGCATAGGTTTATAGGATTACAATCTAATTATATTTATGATTCAAGAGTGTATAGACTCTCTCAATATCCATAGCTAAACCAAAATAATAAAAAAACTTAAATTCATAACATTAAAATAAATGGGATGCGTAAAATCAAATGGAAATAAAAAAGTAAAGAATTATACAATAAATAGTTAGAGGACATGAAGTAAGGCTTTGTTATTCGAATTCTGCATCCTGACAACAGAACTGAGAAGCAGTTTAAATACTTTGATGAGAAATAGAAGAGTGATCTTATAATGAATGTGATGAATGGAATATGTTTTAGTGAGAAAGTTTCTGATAAGTGCGATGGTAATTTTATTTCAGTTTATGATCCTGCTGATGATCGGTTTCACTATTACATATAAAAATTAGATGGTACTGCTTCGAATACTCAAAGCGCTAGGAATTGAAATAGACAACCCTAATGAACCGCTGAAAGGAAGAATATGGGTGCCATATATAAATGAAAAAAGGTCGGATTGGGATATATTGGTAGAAAATAACACTAGATTATCAATAACTGATCATTTATTATGGAAATTGGAAGCTATGAAAAAGTGAATGATAATTAATTTTTTATGTTATGATTAGAATAATTGTCACATTTCAATCTCTTTGTTATAACTAATTGGATGTTTTCTTGCTTTTCTTTCTCTCTTTTTTCTACGAGCAGCATCAACTCTACTTTCTGGTTTTTTAATTACTTTTGTCTAAACTTAAAATATTATATACTTCTTTCTTTGTTTTCTTGTTCTTTTTGTCTTTTTTAATTTTCTTCTTTAATCCAAAGACATGTTCTTCAGAATCAATTTCAAGATCATCCAAATCATCAATCCATTTATTTTCTTCTTTCTCTATTTTTTTCTGTTATTTCAATTCCCTCTTTCTTTATTCTTCTTATTCCTTTTATAACATAAACTCATGTTAAGCCTTCTTTTTTTATTTATTATTTTTTCTTGCCATTAAATATAATTTATGAGATTCTAATTATTACTAAAAAGTTTGAAATAGATGGATCATAATTTCAAATAAAAACAATCAGAAATCATAAAAAATACTATGGGATTCTTTTATCCTTGAGAAGCTATAGAAATTTGATATATTGAGTAATGATGCAATTTTAATAATAAATTAGTAGAAAAAGGATGTTGAATTTGTAAAACAAAATATCATTTTTAGCTCAACTTAATTTATAGAAAATATCAAAAAAGAATTAATTAATTTCTGAGCTTGAGCAACGTAGCAAAAATATAGAATAAAAATATATAAGTTCTGCTGGGGCTTAATTTGAAAATCCTTATCAATCAGATCTCATAAGTTAGACATACTATATAGTAATATATCAATTAACATATATCTTATTAGTAAGAATTCAATAACATTATTAGATTCCTTTAGATAAAATTTTGTTCTTGTTCCAAAAAAAGTTATAAAAAAATTTTTATTAAATAGTTATCTGTCCTAATTAACAAGAGGAAACAGTCATACTTAAGTAGACAAAATGATATCATAGAATGCAGAAAAAATGAAGTCAATCTAATATAATTCAAATTCTTTACATTTTTTAGGTTTATTCGTTTTTAGATTGCAGAATTAATAAATCTTAATGAATTAAAGATGAAAATTCAAAATGCTATGTGTAATTAAAAAAAATAAATAAAATTATTAAACTATCAAATTTAACTGATAAATTTCTTGAGGTTCAAAATAGCAGCAATAGGAAAATAATTACAAATGATTGAATTTTAGAAAACATTTAAGATGAAATATGATTATTTAGAAATGTTCAGTTGTTTGTAAAATATCTTTCGGTTAAAAATAGTTTTTATTTTGATTTCTATTTATTAATAGATATTAATAAAAATTTTAATGTTTATTTGCTGCAATAATAAGCCAAAGAAAGAAAAGTAAGCTATGTCTCTAAACAATCTTAGTAAATCTGTGAAAAATGGATCTACCGCTGCTCCCTCTGATGCTGAATCAATTAAACAGAGCAAATGCGAGGAANATAAATATATCAAAATTTTACATCTATATATATAATATTTATTTAACAACAAATGCTATCTTGATATGTAGGAATTTTTTCTTCAAATCAAATTTTTGTTTAGTTGGAATATCAACTAAATTCCTAATGATATTGATTGTTGATCTGATCTTTCTTACCCTTTTTAAATGAATTCAGTGAATCTTTGAAAATCTAATCCTTAAATTTACGAAATGGAGCAGGTATATATAAATATATCGAATGACTTAAATAATTTGAATCTCATTCAAATCTCAATTTTTAATCTGTTAATTTATCCACTTATTTGGTAAAATTTATTTAGAAGTTTATTCATCCCTATATACTGTATTGCATAGGTTTATAGGATTACAATCTAATTATATTTATGATTCAAGAGTGTATAGACTCTCTCAATATCCATAGCTAAACCAAAATAATAAAAAAACTTAAATTCATAACATTAAAATAAATGGGATGCGTAAAATCAAATGGAAATAAAAAAGTAAAGAATTATACAATAAATAGTTAGAGGACATGAAGTAAGGCTTTGTTATTCGAATTCTGCATCCTGACAACAGAACTGAGAAGCAGTTTAAATACTTTGATGAGAAATAGAAGAGTGATCTTATAATGAATGTGATGAATGGAATATGTTTTAGTGAGAAAGTTTCTGATAAGTGCGATGGTAATTTTATTTCAGTTTATGATCCTGCTGATGATCGGTTTCACTATTACATATAAAAATTAGATGGTACTGCTTCGAATACTCAAAGCGCTAGGAATTGAAATAGACAACCCTAATGAACCGCTGAAAGGAAGAATATGGGTGCCATATATAAATGAAAAAAGGTCGGATTGGGATATATTGGTAGAAAATAACACTAGATTATCAATAACTGATCATTTATTATGGAAATTGGAAGCTATGAAAAAGTGAATGATAATTAATTTTTTATGTTATGATTAGAATAATTGTCACATTTCAATCTCTTTGTTATAACTAATTGGATGTTTTCTTGCTTTTCTTTCTCTCTTTTTTCTACGAGCAGCATCAACTCTACTTTCTGGTTTTTTAATTACTTTTGTCTAAACTTAAAATATTATATACTTCTTTCTTTGTTTTCTTGTTCTTTTTGTCTTTTTTAATTTTCTTCTTTAATCCAAAGACATGTTCTTCAGAATCAATTTCAAGATCATCCAAATCATCAATCCATTTATTTTCTTCTTTCTCTATTTTTTTCTGTTATTTCAATTCCCTCTTTCTTTATTCTTCTTATTCCTTTTATAACATAAACTCATGTTAAGCCTTCTTTTTTTATTTATTATTTTTTCTTGCCATTAAATATAATTTATGAGATTCTAATTATTACTAAAAAGTTTGAAATAGATGGATCATAATTTCAAATAAAAACAATCAGAAATCATAAAAAATACTATGGGATTCTTTTATCCTTGAGAAGCTATAGAAATTTGATATATTGAGTAATGATGCAATTTTAATAATAAATTAGTAGAAAAAGGATGTTGAATTTGTAAAACAAAATATCATTTTTAGCTCAACTTAATTTATAGAAAATATCAAAAAAGAATTAATTAATTTCTGAGCTTGAGCAACGTAGCAAAAATATAGAATAAAAATATATAAGTTCTGCTGGGGCTTAATTTGAAAATCCTTATCAATCAGATCTCATAAGTTAGACATACTATATAGTAATATATCAATTAACATATATCTTATTAGTAAGAATTCAATAACATTATTAGATTCCTTTAGATAAAATTTTGTTCTTGTTCCAAAAAAAGTTATAAAAAAATTTTTATTAAATAGTTATCTGTCCTAATTAACAAGAGGAAACAGTCATACTTAAGTAGACAAAATGATATCATAGAATGCAGAAAAAATGAAGTCAATCTAATATAATTCAAATTCTTTACATTTTTTAGGTTTATTCGTTTTTAGATTGCAGAATTAATAAATCTTAATGAATTAAAGATGAAAATTCAAAATGCTATGTGTAATTAAAAAAAATAAATAAAATTATTAAACTATCAAATTTAACTGATAAATTTCTTGAGGTTCAAAATAGCAGCAATAGGAAAATAATTACAAATGATTGAATTTTAGAAAACATTTAAGATGAAATATGATTATTTAGAAATGTTCAGTTGTTTGTAAAATATCTTTCGGTTAAAAATAGTTTTTATTTTGATTTCTATTTATTAATAGATATTAATAAAAATTTTAATGTTTATTTGCTGCAATAATAAGCCAAAGAAAGAAAAGTAAGCTATGTCTCTAAACAATCTTAGTAAATCTGTGAAAAATGGATCTACCGCTGCTCCCTCTGATGCTGAATCAATTAAACAGAGCAAATGCGAGGAATACACGAACAAGGAGGCAATTCAGGAGATTAAAAACATATAGCCAATAAATGAAAAAGACAAAAAGCTTTAAGAGATTTAAAACATAGTTAACAGAATATAAGTATATAGAAATCAAGGGAAATTCGATATGAGGTATATATAATTTTAAGTTCTTTAGCGTCGATATTGAAAAGGCATTCGTAACTTCTTTGATTGAATAAGATTTACCAACTACACATTTTGTAGAGTGTAGATGGGCTGTAAATTATACAAAATTCCTTGAAAGAATAATAGACGATATACCTCCAAGAATTAATAATCAAAAATTATTGACTGAAGACAACCCTAACAAAGAGATAGTCGTTATCAGATCAGAGAAGGATAGTTAACTACTTCCAGGTTTAAAACCAGATAGACACTATGTACTTCTAAATGAGAGATCATGGACTTTTATATCTCTATTGTATGGTGGAGGACCAACAATAATGATCGATTTGGACATTACGGTGATGTCACCAGATATTTTCAACGACGATCTAACTAATGTTACAACCCATACAGCTAACCCTTCCAAAATCTCATTTGATCCAACCATAGAGATAGCAAAATGTGAAGTTTAAAATCTAGAGGAATCAGAAATCACCAAGATTAAAAACAAAAATGGAAGTTAAATTCCACAAAAAACTAATTCCATAAAAATCAATCCAAAACCCTATGAACTACCTTATGTCGGTCTCAATAACCCAAAATATTATTGTTATATGAACTCAACTTTATAATTCCTACTCAGCATAAAAGAATTAAATAATTCATTAATAAAATACCCTAAATAGTAAAATAAGAAATTTACTATGGCATATCAAGAGTTTTTAAAAGTCGTGTAGAACTCCATCCCAGGATCCTCTATATCTGTTGATAAACTCTAAAATATGTGCTTGAATAAGTTTAAATACACGTAGTAACAAGATGCTCACGAATTCTTATTGTATCTCCTTTCAGAAATCTAAGAAGAATTAGTGGGAAAAAAGCAATATAAAAGAGAAGAGTTCCCCAATGCTTAAGAAGCCTGGGATATTTACAAAAGTAGAAATCCTGACATCATAACTGATTTATTTGCTGGTCAAATAGCAAGTAAATCATATTGCTCAAAATGCAAAGAGATCAGCGAGGGATTTGATCCAATCTTAGATTTAAATCTCCCCTTATAAAAAAATAGTATTCCTAGAGAATTCAAATTATATGATTGTCTCTAGAACTACTTTAAAGAAGAGTAAATAAATGATGTTTGGAAATGTGATAGATGCAATTTTATAAATAAATCTGTCCTAAGGAAAATTAAACTCACGTAGACTCCGAAATATCTTATTCTTCATCTAAAACGCTTTACTCAAACTCCTAAGAGTCAAAAAATTACGGATGAAGTTAAATATCCAGAAATTCTCGATATTAAAGAGTTTTGTGAGGAAAATGTAGAATACACTAAATACACATTGAAGGGAGTTATCTCTCACATGGGTTAGTTAAATGGAGGTCATTATGTGGCTTATACTTAAAGATAAAACTAATGGTATAATTTCGACGACAACGTAGTAACCAAAGATAAAACTAATCAACATCTCTCAGACAATGGCGCTTATATTATTTTATACGAATAAAGATGATCTATGATTTTCCCAATTCATCTTTTTTACTTAACATAATTAATCAAAATTTATATTAACTCATTAATTTATTTTTTTCTCATCTTTTAAGACTTGAAGTCTCCAACTCTCTGAAAACTCATTGAACTTCATCATAAATTCTTAATGAAATCCTAAGGGATCTTATTCAGGTATTTTCAATTTATTTATAGTATTCTATTGCTGCTATTGTTGTTTCTTAACTAATTATTATTATTGTAACTATTATAACTATTGGATTTTTTATTGATGCTGATTACATTTAGATAAATCAATCTTCATCCTCACTTAACTTTTACTTTCTAATGCATAAGCATTATTTGAAATTCTATTTTCAAATCTTCGGATACTCTCTACTATGCTCTCATCCTCCAATCTTCCATTATATTGGAAACTGGATTCATCCGAATCGTTTACGACTGAATTATCTGCGTCATTATAGCTCTTTTCTAATTTCGTAATCATCTATCTAACAGTAAAAATTGATGTTACTTTTTGTCTCTTATCGACTGATTCTGTTATTCTGAAATTGAGTCTTCATTCAGAACTTCCTCATTGTATACTTTCTCAATATCAATCCCCGATCTCTTTATTGCTAATACCAATTTGATTAATTTAGATTCCTTCTCAGACATTTCCTAAATCTTTTCTTGCATCAATTGAGCCATCTCTTTCAATTAATGAGTCTCCAATTAGTCTAAATCTTTTCCTTTCTTCGATTATTATTATTGTTATTAAGGTTTTATCTTCTCTAATGTTTATTTTAATTAAGATACTGTCTCTAACAAGATGTCTCTTTCTTATTCAAGAGATTTATAATTATTTTACCAAATATCCCTTTCTCTTCTCATTTATTCTATCATTTCATTTAATTTTAAATCCTATTCATATGACATGAGAACTGCAGAATTTTACATCAACTCAAATATGTTATTAGTAATATTCATTGTTATATCTTGCCATTGTTATTCAATCTCTCTTACCTGAATCTACAATAAATTTAAGGAGGACTTATATTATAATGATGTTCTGGCGAATTGCTTATTGAACAAATCTTTGAATGGTTCCCATAAACCTCTCGATTTTAAATATAGCAATTTTTTTTATTGTTCTTGCACTGTTCCTTAAATTTATCTGTCCAAATTCAATAATTAATCCATTAAGTCCTTGGATTAAGTGAATTACAATTGATAAGCCTTTTTCTGCATAAGTGTCTTTTCTCTCAACATGTTAATTTATGCTATGTCTAAATCATTCTACTTTTTGTATCCTGATTTATTCTATCTTACTCCTGGACTTGTTGAATCACATGTCAAATTAGATTTTGAGCTAAAAATGTGTTGTTATTAAAATCTACATATATAGATGAGCATTCAAAGTCTACGAATCCCCTATTAATTTTTTTAATTTTAAAGCATTTTATGAACTATACATTGATTCATCCTCTATTTGATTGCTTGTGAATGCTGATATACGACTTTTAGAACTGCTGTTGGTTCTATTGTTGATTTCTGAAAAATTATTTTTATTCGCCTTGTATCTCTTCTCTTCGATAGATTTCGAAATCGTAGGCTAAGGCTTGAATCTCTGTTGACAATATTTCTATGGTATGTGAAACAATTAACTAGACTCTGGTATGCTAACAGTCTGAAAATAATTTAATAACATATACTGGTTGCGATTGCTATTTTTTATAATCTTGAGTTGAAGCCTTAGAAGCTGTTTCCTTAACACTATTTGGAGTTGTCCTCATAATCAAAGTTCGATAATTAATTAAAATAAAATGTATTATAAATTTCCAACTATTCAATTATAAACTATAGTTTTGGTATAACTATATTAATGTTCTCCTTTTTATATATAATTTGGTTATCGAAGTAAGCTTTGGGAATAACTCATTTTAGAAGTGTCTGAGTGAAATAATTTTTTTTTATAAAATTGCTTTTCTATAATGATTTTTATGATAAAGATTTATATGATTAAAGAATAACATTTTTATGATTCTTTCTATTGAATTTGTTTTGAAATTGTTATTTCGATAATAAATCTGTTGACGTACCTACTTTACACATATGTCTTCTCACTTTGGATTCAGCTTAATTCAATTGTTCCTTCCTTAGAATTTAAAAGAACATGGAAATTCATCGTTCTCTTTTGTCTTTTTCATTTTTCAATACTAATATGTGAAACTTCAAAGTCAATATAAGCAAAAAAATTGTTGAAAATATTTATTATATTCAGCTAATAATCATGAATTTTTTCAAAATTCTCAATAGGACTCACATCACTTTGACATTTTTTCTTTGTCCAATGCCCGTCGGATTCGATTAATTAAATTTTGGTGTAGTTGTAGGTGATTCCTTATCCGAAGCAATATATTTCTTATCCCTTTTCAAGATGAACTCCTCATCGTTTGTTATATCAATCGACCTGTAATGTAAAATTGGATTATTGTTGTTCGTTGGGTTTGAGGATTCGACAATCACTTTTTTATTTTGATGAGCATTGGAAAAAGATTAACTGTGGAATCGAAATTTATTTTGCTTTTAAATTGGACATTATTTTTAAGTAACACAACCCATATCCAATAAAATTATGATTATTAATTATATATATATTTTAATTGAGTCAAATTAGAATTATATTCCGAATTATTCATCAATTTAAAAATTAATTTTTATTAAACTAAAGAACTTTTACGTATTAACTATTTATTAAATAAAATGAGTAATACTTTAATTCTAAGAATTATTTCTATATCTTCATAAACTCTATTCAATCTTGAAATCAAAGCTAAATGTCACTTTGCCCTAATCTGTATTTTATGAGCTTCTAATTTTATTCCCAAATTTAATCCTTCATTATTTCTAAAAATAATTTGTATTTAATTAGAATTTTAGGTAAGATATTTGAGTTAGTTTACTGACCCCTCTTATTTCTGAGAATGAAGCACTTAAGTATATTATTTTTAGTGCCTTAATAAGAAATTGTAATTAAATATGAAACATAAATGTAATAGGGATATAATGAATTATTTGTTCATAAATCAGCAGATAAGTGAATCATTCAAGAGTTTCTAGTTAGGAAGGACCCAGGATTGGTTAAAGGACTTTTCTAACTCGCTCTTCTTTGGAGAATAGGATTTTTATTGATTTTAAAAATTTTAACTTCATTCTTGGGATCTTCGTTTTTCTAGTTAGTATATTAAAACTATATCTCGGAAGGGCTAAAAATAGTCTTTGTTTATTATTTAGTATTGGCACAGCCCATTAAATGGAAAATCTTAATAAATTAATATAAATATATTTGAATTGTAATTACAAAGCATTATTAACAATGAAAAATTAAAGATTTTCAATTCAATTAATATTGATGGTTCTTTAAATGAATTTTTTTATATTTTATTAATTAATTTAATATTGATTTTTAAATGGGTTGTAATTCAACAAAATCAAGTGGAGAGTAGATCGTCTAGTGCGGGAATATTAAAAGGGTTTCAAAATAATCAAGTGAATTAATAGAAATCTAGTAAAACATTTTGAAGCACTTAAATAAATAGTAATGCCAAATAAGAACTAGTACTACGACTATATAAAGTACTCTATCATCATACAGTATTGAATGAATTTAAGAATAGAAAATATCAGGATGAGCAATTAAAAACCAGAAATGACCTTGTCCACTCTTGTTCTTTAGACAGAAACAGGGCAATAGTAGTTAGACAGGAAATTGGCATTTTGAGTTAAATAGCTTAGGGAATATTTGATTTATGTAATCTTTTTCTATATCATAAATATCTAATTTGTTTGATTAGTGAAGAATCAATAATAAAAGAAATAAGAAAAAACTCAATTCATAGTTTGGGACTATTCATCAACGACAGTTTTCTTCTTTATTCTGGGGAGTTTTTGATGTACCCAAAATGGGTTTAGGGATTGGTGTGTTTTTTATTGATGAATTTATTGAGCTCGTCACCACTGGCCATGTGTTTAAGTCTTTTGCCAATTTGCACTTATTGTTATTGGGATGTAAAATTTTCTGTTTCTCTAATATCACTCTTTTACCCATGGGTCTGGCCATCATTTTCCTGAACGATTCTTGCACTTTCTGGGATTTCTTGGGGAGCTTGGCATAGTTTATTTGATTAATTCTTAGATTTCTGAACACGACAGCCCATATTACGATTTCAAAGTAAGCAAATAAAAATTGCTGATAATTTATTAATCATATTTAATTGGTTTTAACATTTAATGACTAATTTGCGTTGGATCACAGACAAATATATGCAATTATTTAGATATTAGATTCAAAAATTACTTTTTGGATTTATCCAAATCTTTAAATTCTATAATTAAAATGATGTAATGTAGAGTATTCATTTAAATTTAATTATTATTCATAATTAAAATAATTATATAATCACTCTAATTTTTGTTAACTTTTAACTGTTTTCAATCTTTTTTATTTTAATAACTAAATCATTTTTGATAATTGATAGTCGGATAAGTACTTAGAAATATGTATTTTTTTAATGTTTCTAAATTTGTTCGCCCTTATTGATGTATTAATAAAATACTTGTAAATGGTGATCTCGTAATTATTGTGAGGCAAATAGTCATCAAAAGAACACATAGCATCGAAATTATTAAGTCCAAAAGAGTTGTTAGCATACATAGGTAACTTAATAATTAAAAATATGTACATCCACATTACTAAATGGTTAGAAACTAGAAGGGATGATAGATACTTTGGTTCCAGTTTTAGTAGATATTTTCCTGATTGAAGGTCTTTATTGCTAACTTCTACTATCATCAAAATTGGTTATTTCAACTTAACGAGTTTATTAAATTAATTTTTGTGGGAATGAAAATGTAGACTTTCTATGCTGCTTAGAGGATGGCTTTCCTGATTTATATTAACTATTAGAAGGGATTGGACTATAAGTAAGCGATCTGGAAGAATTTTCACGTTGACTGATTACATCTGGGTATTTATATGTACTATTTCTTGAACTTTGTTGTCTAATAGAGCCAGATCCCAGACGTGATAGTCGAGGAGGACTTTAATTTTACTTTTGAAGTTCATTCATTTGAGTTTCAAAATTGTAATTGAATGTTAGTTTTGGATCATTATTCTTCCTCTCAAATTTATCCTGAGGGGAATCAACAACGTTCTCTTCCTCTATTGACTTAGAGTTGGATTCAGAGATACTGTCTGAGTTTTCATGTTCCAGTATGATGTTTAAGGATTTTTAAGTAAGATCCTTATTTGATGCAGCTAAGCTTTGAGATCCAAATCCAGCAGTGGCAAAAGTTCTCTTCTATTGGTCTGTTCTGGCTAATGATGCAAATTCATCATAGTTTTTATCTTATTTACCATTGAGGATTTGAAATTCTTTATCTTAATCTAAATTAGAGCTTTTAATGATGTTTATGAATACAATATATTGTCTGTGTTATTTGGAAACGATTATTATTCATAAGCTGATTGCTATTTCATAAAAGAAGTGGACTTGACAACTGATCTGTCTCTACTTAATTTTGTTAGACTTCTAGCACTAATATAAGAATCTCGAATAGCCAAATCATCATAGGGAAATTAGGATTGGCTAAGTTATGACATATGTAATTAATCTGAAAACAGTTTTAAAAATGCCACTTCATATTATGAGGCACATTAATAAAAATTTAATGCCTTCATATCCTTCGAGGCTCTTCTTTTATCTATGTATTATTTAACCAATAGCTACATTCTTTTCTTAATTGGCTATGCGGAAAAGTAAACCTTTTTACAATGCAACTTGTATCTGGCCTATATGTCAACATAGGACATTTGGTGATAATGTGATCATCTTTTAAACAACAGGCACATTCAATTGGTAAACCTAAATTGAAGATGATTTTATCCCTCTGTTGATAAAACAATTGCTAGGTATTGATATCAGTTTAATTATACTTTGTCAGTAAAGTTCAAGAGTTCTAAGAAAGTTGAGCGTTCAATTTTTAATAGTCTAGTTACTCCTTCACTTTGAACACTGAAGTTCCTTGGTTTTTGAGTATAAAATTCAATTTCACCAAATGATTAATTTTGCTTAAAAACCTATAATTTGATATTATTCCTTGATTTCAAATAGACCGAACCTTTTAAGATGAAATATAAAGAGCAGTCATCCAATGTACCTTCTTGAATTATGGTCTAATCCGGTTAACATACAATTTCGTAGCTATTATCAATAACTTATTAAATTGTCCTTTTATTAAAGTGTTTAAAATATGAGTACAATAATTTGGCTCTTTGACTGACTTTATATTCTTAATTTAAGTTACTGGATAGTTTTGAAATGAATCTATCATGACAGTATTATGGTTGATAGAGCAAATGACTCAATATTTTTTGTTTCAGAGTTGAATCCAATTTTGTTTAAGTCATAAATTCACTTAACTGTTGTTCTAGTTCCTCCTCCTTGATTATTGCAATCATTTTAGCTAAGAAGTACGCCAAGAAAAGGAGAGAAATGAATGAAATGACAGAATAGACAATAACACTCTGATGGTCATTTATATCGATTAAGGCAGAGTTGAACGTCAATATACTTAATACGTAGTACAAGGAATGCAAATACTATTCTAAGAAGGATTCCTCCTCTTCATGTAACAAGTTGAATAACCAAAAGCAAGTGAGGACGTGGACCAGTAATATCGCTTTTATTATTAAAATTGCTAAAAGTGACAATTAATTGAAGATATTGTATTCACTACGGGGTTATGCATGTATATTTACAATTAGATTTGCTTTTACAGTTATACTAATCTAGGAATAGTACTCAGCAAGTTGATAATGATGCTCCAGTAATTCTGTTAAAGTAGAATTGTAATGAGAAAAGTCTAGGAGTTCATAGAAATGTATGTTTACTATATCAAATATCAATTAGGATTTGCAGTAATGATGTATGATGGTTATGAGGTGAGTTTCAATTTATCCATTAATTGCAAATGTTGAGATAGAGTTCAAGAGGGCATCCACAAGTTTGAGAGTGAGAAATATAACATAAATGTGTGCGAGCTTTAACGGAATGATTATAACCTGAACTATCATTATCAATAAATAAATGAGACTCCAATATTTATGCAATTTTGAATTGGGCTACAGGACAACTAAAACTCAACACATTTAATACATGATGGAATGCTGTCTAATTGGCCCAGATCAAAAATATAGGAATACTTCCTTACTTTCTCATTAATGTTGATTTTGCTTTTGAGAAGTTCTGCAAATTTGGGTTTGAGTTTCCTCTGATTTTAGAAACCTTTAGTAGTCTCTTGGCTTTTTTAGGTGAATGCCAATAATTGAAAGTTGCTTGGTTCTTAGATGAAGGAAATCCTTTCATTAGAAATCTTAAAAATCAAAATAAGAAGGAAACCTCATGATTGACATTGAAGGGCGATAAACACAATCTGGATCGATCTACGGTCTTTACAGTTGGGTCTTTGACTGAGAAATCATCTTCTGGCTATCCTGGATGATCAATAGTAAATGGTGCATATTAAAATGGACCTAATTATGATATGCACATTACCTTTCATTTAATCATAATTAATTTATACTGGTTCTGTTTTTGTAGAGTTTACTTATTAATTTATCATAAAGATAGAAGATAATTAATTAAATAATTAATTAATAATGTTAGTGGATTATAGTGATGATGAGCAGGAGATCATAGACAACAAGCCAAAGTCAATATTGGTGAATCCTGAGGTTGATTGTTCGCATCTGGTCAGGAAGAAGGAGGAGGAGAAAGCTCTTGAATTATCGAAAACATATAATTTCCTGGGATAGAAAAAGAATCATTTAACCGGCAATGTAGAATCAATATATTACAATGATGCAGTGTTCGAAGAATAATTTCATAAATTCAATGTATATGGTTTTGCAGTTGATCCCAATGGTATATTGATGAATTTAAATTAGAAAGGAATAGAAGAGTGATAGCATGTAATTAAAAATAAGAGCAATTATCTAGTTTAATGAAAGAAGGTTATGATGTAGATGCAGCAGATCCCCTTTTTAGCAAAAATGTACTTGCAGGCATGCACAAGGAAGACAAATTGAAATAATAAGAATTAAAATCTAATAGAGTGAAGGCCAATGATCCATCCAAAGGAGAGTTTATGGGACCTTGGGCAGGATAACAGGATGAATAATTTGAAAACATACAAATGAATGAAGAATAATAATAATTGTTAGATCAATTGGAAGAATAAAGAAAATAAAAAATAGATGAATCAAAAAAATAAGAAGAAAACTTTGTGCCTTACATGGAATAACATGTAAGTTAAACAGAGTAATTTGGAGGTAGATAATTCATTGCACCTCCCCCTGAATTAAAATATGTTGATCACACATGTTATATCCCAAAAAGATGCATCCAAACATTTCATGGTCACACTAAGGGTGTATAAGTATGTAAATTCTTTCCCAAATTTGGCCATCTAATGTTGAGTGGTAGTCTAGATAACAAAATTAAGATGTGGGATATTATTGGTAACAAATAATGTGTCAGAACCTATTATGGTCATTAAGGAGCATTAAGAGATCTCAATTTCTCCAATGATGGTAGAACATTTTTGTCTGCTGCTTATGATAAAAAGATCCTCGTTTGGGATACAGAATATGGCAAAGTCACTCAAACTATCAATCTATAACATTTCCCATATTGTGTAAGACTAAATCCAGATCCAGCTAAACAACATTCATTTTTGTTAGGATCATCAGATAAAAGAATAAAATAGTTTGACATCAGAAGTGGACAATAAACATTAGTTTATGATGAACATTTACAAGCCATCAACACTATCACATATTTTAATTAAAATAGAAAATTTGTTTCCAGTTCTGATGATAAAAAACTATTCATCTGGGAATTTGGTATTCCAGTTGTTATAAAACATATCAGTGATCCTGAAATGCATGCAGTGACTGCCACTGCTGTTAATCCATCGGGACTTAATTGGGTTGGATAATAAAGTAACAATTTGGTAATTTATTTATCATTAAAATAAAGATCATAGTGTATGATACCAAGGCTGGAAATTTCAGAATGAATAGAAAGAAGAACTTTAAAGGACATGTATCTGCGGGATATGCATGTGGAGTTACCTTCTCGGCTGATGGATAATTCTTAGCCTCTGGTGATTCAGAAGGTCGAGTATTCTTTTGGGATTGGAAAACAGCCAAAAGTTACAGAACTATCTAAGTAATGATATCATTTATATTAATTAGGCTCATGATAATGTTTGTATTGGTGTTGAATGGCATCCAATTGAACCAAGCAAAGTTGTTACTTGTGGATGGGATGGAGTACTTAAATTATGGGATTGATTATCAGTTTTTAAATTGATGTAGATATATATTCACCAATCACTAATTTCTGGGTTTTATAGAAATTTTATCATTCATTATATTTAATCGAACAGAGTCACATTCTTCTAAATTTTATGAGTAAAATATTTATAATTGATCCTTCAAAAAATTGTCTTCTATAAAATAGTCGAACTTTGTTTCACAAATTGGACAATTCATTTGGTTTAGATCGATTTCCCCATCTTAATGCAAATCTATTATGCCTTACTCAAAGGGTTAAGGGTGAATACAATTGTTTCCTCTTATTGGCCTTAAGATCTTCAACTTTGATATTGGACACTACATTCACTTAAATTATTATACTTTCAATTTTATTGTGGTTATAGCCTATTTACCTTTCAAGATTGATTCTTAATCATTTTTGACGATGACTTTTGAAATCAATTTATTGTTCAAAAAATTGATGAAGTCCTTCTTATTGATATTTAGAAATCCAGTTGTTATAGTAATGAAATTCATCATCTTTACATCTACATAGACTTGCTCATTTAAAGCGATATCTTTAGGTTTTACCTTCTTTGTGAAAGGATTTTTGCAAAGAGGACAAGAATCTATGACGTTACCAACCATTTTGGTTTCAGCAGGGTTTTAAAATTGATTCAAAATACAACTCATATACCTTAAATCGCAAGTTTAAATCTATTCACATCTAATGCATCTACAAGGTAGCTCTATTCTCTAACCAGTAAATTAACAAAACTTAAACTCCAATTTTTCGCTCGCAATCTGGTCTACGGTATGTTTCGTATAAAACTCCTCTGTCCTATCTTGATTAAGAGGACTTGTGTAAATCTAATCCACTAACTTATAAATTTTTGATTAGTAATTTAAGTATTCTGATGCTTTGTTAAATTATCGATATTTCACAAGATTAATATCTTATTTTTCTTCCAAAATGTCTTCCAATTAGCGTTTATCTTTGTTGTATATGAAGGAAAATCTAAAACTATATGACTTTAAACAACTGTTGAATAAATCTTTATCTAAACATAAATCATCTTCATTAATTATTGATTTGCATTCAGGTCTTTTACATTTAAATTATTTTTCTTTTTTATCAAAATGGTACAATAATGCTGTCAAATCATAAACTTCAAAATGATTGCATTTCTAACTCCTAACTGGAATCATCACCTTGATAGAGCTCAAAGAACAATTGTTATAAAACAAAAAGCTAAAATGCTCATTCAAGCTTTAAGCAATTTAATAGAATTAACTTTATGGTCTAATTTCCTTTTTCATCAATTTTGCAATCTATTCAAAATAGGCATTTTACAAATTTCCCATTTTTCCCTTGTGCAATGGATAAAATGTTTTATCAGCAAAATTATACATCATATGTTAAGGCAATTCCCCACACTATTTCTAAATTCATGATAAATACTTTTGATCTTAACTAATTTATTATCAAATGAGGAAAGAAGGCTTGTTCTATATTCTCAAACTTAGTTTAAGTTTTACATATAGGACAGGAAAATACTTTGGTTGCCTGTTAAGCTGTAGAGGAATAGTTTAATTTTAAAAATTGCTCTAAATCTATTATCGAATCGTAGTGCTTGAAAGACTTGAAACATTCTGCTAAAAAAACCTTTCTTTTTGATATTTATTAATACCGCATATTTTATTGGTTCTCTTGTTAAACTACATTCAAAATTTACAGTCATTGTTTGAGTTAAATTACTAAATTTTTTAGTCCTTTCTTCGAAATCCTTTTCATAATTCTTTAATTATTCATGCGCCTTTTTAACCTCTAGAATTATAGCTGGTATCTCTTTCAAAATTAAAGCAGGTTTAGGTGGATTTGGATCGTTGATCATGTTTATTTATTATTTTTTGATATATTATTTATAAAACTATTATGAGAGAAATAAATTAAAAAGCACAAATTTTCCATCTCTTGATCAATTTTAATTTTAAAGAAGGAAAAAAGAAGAATGTTATTATCTCGACTTTTTAAATTCATATTTGGATTAGTAAAGATTAAATAAAAATATTATTAATAAATGGGTACATCATGTTCTTGTAAATCTATGTTCTCTGTATGCACAGCTGAAATCACAAGACATCATACACTCTCCCCAAAATCCGAAAAACAAACAGAAAAAGATAATTCCTTCATTCAAATATCGGATAACACAGATAAGCATTTCATACTATAATAATATCCAGAGAGATTTATCATTGTTTATCCCTCTGATGATGAAAATTATGAAGTTCTAAAGCAGGAGCTAATAGAGATAAATGAAAATTGCTCACTAATCATATAAGAATATAAGGATTATACTTAGAATTCAATTAATTACTAGGAGTTATCAAGCCTACAGCCATGCTCATTCAATGACTTTAAGCTATGAATCTAAAGGAAATGATATTACTCTATGTTATCAATATATTAAAATAACCAGTCAAGTAATGTCTCGCTTTTAAATTTCATATATTTATTATTAGTACTTACTATAAATTCAAGGTTACATAAGAAATGAGAACGATAATCCCTAATTTAGATTATTTCTTAATACAACAAAAATCAGATGTTAAATTTTTTTAATGGTCAATTAATATAAACCAATTAAAAATTGAATTGTGTTCAATAGAATGTAAATCAGTTGAAATTAATTATCATCAAAAATTTATACACTAATTTTTTTACTAAAGCAGATTTTACCAATCCATTCTATTTGACAGAACCAAAGAAATGGTTTGATTTTAATAATCAATAAAAAAATTACTTGTTTTAAATTCAATAATAATAGTGTTATAATTAAATTTATTGTTATTTGCCAATGAAACAACTTAAAAGTTAAGCAAAAAATGGTTATTTCGACAATTAAAAATAAAAGTCTCATTGCAGATCTTATACGTTATAATCTGATTAGGATTCAATTTTAGATAAGTTAAATATTTCAACTGTTAAAATATTAAATGATATGTAGTATGCAAAATCAAAGTTTGTTGAGGTGGAATCTGATTTTTAAATAAGGTAAAAATCTTATGAAATAGAAAAACAAAAAAAAATTTTGTAAATGAAAGAAGAATAATTGAGGATTGAATAAATGCAAAGTAAAGGCAAACCAAAAATCAATAAAACTCAACAAATTTAGGAAATGATTAGCAATTATATGGAAGCATCAAAAAATAGCAAATTTGGAGATTTATTACTTAATAAAGAAAAGAATATGCAATAAGAATTAACTTCTAACATTCGATATGAAAATTAGAGTAATCATGAAAACAATGACCCTGAAAGAATAGCTACATAAACATTGGAAAGCACCAAGATGTACAATGAGTAAAGTGTAACTAGAAGGTCCAATTCTTACATTCCTATTCATGAAAGAGTTAAATATATTATATAAACAAAAAATGACAAAATTTAAGAATAAAAATAATAATAATAATAAGAAATAGAAGAATATTATTAAAGCCTATCATTTCAACCTTTAAGCACAAAATCATAAAACATTAAATTTACTCAATAAGATGCTGAAACCTTTGTTAGTAATTAGCTGAAATGGAATCAATAACGGGATAAATGGATATTTGAATAATAATTGAAAAAGGAAAATAACACACCCAAATATTCTTATAGACCAACAATAAGTCCTTGGCCAGTAAGATAGTCAAGTGTACAAAGGAAACATTCAAAATCAATTAATTTATCATTCTTCTAGTCAACTGCACATAAGACGGAAGCTTCTCCGAAGAAAATTTAAAAGTCGTAATTTGTTTTCTAGACCGACTTAAGGATAGCAAAAAGAAGAGAAAAGGAATAAAAGAAATTTCAAAAGTGATCAAAATTTCTAAAACTTTTTATTATGTGATTTATTTTTAATTTTATAAATACTTTTAATTTGTGATAATAAACATTAATCATAAAAATTAATATATAGCTTCAATTTATTATTTTAAATAATATATACTTCATTTATTAATTCATCTCAAGATGGGTTTTTGATAATTATTATGTTGATTTTTAACAGTATAACAAATAAATTAAAGTATATGCTTAAATCGATGAATTAATTTTATTTATTATTTAGTCATAGCAATTATAAATTTAATATCGAGCTCACTATGAAATTTAATGTGTAATTTAAAAATGATTAATTTTATTACTTACCTTTATGTTATCTGTATGATTATTGATACATTCTAAATGCTTTGTCAAATATCTTATCTATTAAGTTAGATATTTTTCTGAGTATTTTCTTGCTTGATAAATGTTCTGAAATGACAATGCATTTCAGGTTCCTGTCCAATCTTTATTTTAGATTAGATATTTAGTATTTAGTGACTCTAAACTTTATACATAGTATTTAAGGTTTTATAAAAGAATGAAGAAAATAATATTAAGAGCAGGTAACTAGGTCACTAATTAAAAATCTAATTATATTTAAATATTTAATAGTGGAATCATTACGAATTCATGATTATTAGTTGTTTGGAGTGAAAGTAAGTGGTATTCAAATTAATTTTTTCCAAGAATCTTCTTTACATAATAGAGCTGTGGCCTAATGTATTATTATAAATATCATTACCTATTCCGTTCATTAATTTTACACTTCCTTTTTGATTAAATTTTCCAGGTCCATGATGCAATATACTTGCAATGTAGTTACTCTTGTTAATGTAGTGTCTATATGGTAGGTCTAAACTTTATTTCAAACCTTATCTATTTTATTAGTCTGCATTATCTTGTACAAAAGAGACTTTCTTATTTTTAGAATGAATGTTGTGACAAATGATGAGTCCCATCGATTTATTGGCTAAAATTATCTTATTTAATTGAATCATTTTATAGAAGCATTTTATATGGTTATTAATATAAGTTTAATAAGTATGTGAAAATAAATCTTATTTAAAATATAATGGATTTATAATTGAACCACTCTATCCAAATTAAATTGTATTAGAATCACACTCCCACATTTTTTGGGACCTCTATCACCTCTATAGGTTGTGATCAGTGATTACATGGATAAGTAACACAACAATTTGATGAGGACCCGTAACGAATTCCAATTAACGCGAGGCTTCTTATTATTTGAAGTATTCATATTTTCTCAAATAAATAGACAAATATTAATCTAAAATCATTTCCAAAAGTTCTCCCTTGCCATTTTTAAAAATTCAAAACTTCTTGGAAAACTAAAAAATCTTATGTCAAATGCATTTATCTAGGTTCATTATTATTACTGAATAAATGAAAATATAGTTCATTATATATTTCATCAAAATAAACCATTACTATATTCTTGGATTAATATTAAGTATCATCAATAATATGTATTATCATTAAAAACACGGACTATCCATCATTGCTTTTGACTATTGGTTTTTGGAGATTTCCAATTAGAAAAGAACTCAAACTCCTTAAATATTTTTGTTTGGAGTGGATAGAGAATTAATTTATATATATTTTTATTTCTCCTCATGGCCTTTAGGAATGAGCTCGAGAATTATATTAATTACTGTTTGTAATCAACCTCCATTTTATATTGTTGAATAGTTTTGCTCAACAAAAACAAATACAATAAAAGAAGATATTCCTATACAATTCTAATTATAATAATTATTATTGAGAAATGGTATAAAAAGGTTATTAAAAGAGAAAATTTTCTTTATATCTTATAGGTTTAGGTTAGAAGAGAATTTACAAAGCACTAAGTTCGAGTATGATAATGAGAATTAGATTTAATATTTCGTTAAATCAGTTATTCATAAATAAAAAATTAAATGTTAAATCCAACTAATGCTAATAAGCTTTCAACCTCTTCTTAGGCTCTTTCTAAGTCGGTTCATTTTTCTCTTGGTAACTCACAAGCACCTGTGAATTTTAGTGATGTGAAGGCGGTTTCTGGTATTTCGAAATCAGCAATCGATCATCCATAGATCGGATAAGTTACAGGAATTGATTGTGGAATTCACATGAAATAATTAAAAGGATTTTGTATAGAATAGAAATGCATTCATGAAAGAAGAAAATTATGTGTTGGGTATTCGATAAACTCATGTATGTTAGATGTTTGTGGGCACATACTTGTGTTCATAAAGTATAAGTGCCTGAATTTGTTAAATTGTTGACAGACAAATTAGCAATTGCAGAGTTTGACTTTTTTGATAAAGTTCTGAAAGTTGTTAAGAAAGATCATTTATAAAATGAAATAGATGAAATGTTCTTGAAAATAAAAATGGATTTTGATAATCATCTTAATGATTTGTATTCCTAGTTTATGTACTGGACAAAGCATGGAATGGGAGATGTAATCAAGAAAGGCTTTTTGGCTGACTTTTTATTGGATGATAATGTGATTGAACAAATCATGGACTTGGTATTAAAGGGAAGAGGTACATTATTTGGTAAAATACATTAGCAATGGAGGCTGAAGATGAAACAATTTAAACATGTGTAGAATTGATTAATGCAGATCCCTAAGAAATTAAATTGTTACCATAATAATTGTAAACTACTCTTGTGGAATGTGAAGAAGTTATTCGTTAAACTTTGCATTAACTAGAACAAAGCTTAATAACATTTAAATAAACTCCATTTGATTTTAAGCATGTGAAGGTAAAAATTATTATCAATAATTCTAAGGAAGGTGTGGAGATTCCAAGATTGAGGATACCAGGAACTTAGGGCAATATTTAAGGTGGAGGAGGTTTCGGATTTGGTGGTGGATTTAGTTAAATCCCACAAACTAATTTCATTGGAACTGCAAGTCAATTACCAAGAACCAGTGTACCACCAACAACAACTCATTTTCAGAATAGATTTGCTTCTGGCTTGGCATCATAATTAAATGCCAAGTTATTTATTGATGCAAGAGACTTACATTAGAGTTAGGTGTGGGCTGTTTGTAAGATTAGTCCATAGGTGATTGCTACAGGAGACTGGCAAGGTAACATAAAGATTATTGGATTGACGATGGAAGGATAATATTAATTCATGTAGTCTTTGAATCACGGAAAGAATGTTTATTCTTTATTATTATCAGATACAACAACTCTAATTTCTGCTGGTTAAAATCAAAAAGATGAATGGACAATTAAGATTTGGGACTTAGAGAGATCACAATTGATTAAGGAATTGAAAGGGCATATAAATTACATATTTTCATTAACTCAACCTGTCCCAGGGACATTAGTATCATGTTCATATGATGAAACTGTGAGAGTTTGGAATTTATAGAATGGATAATGCATAAAGGTGTTCAAGGAATTCAAGACATCTTTTAATGATCTGTTATCTTGGAATCAAGAAGAAGTTATCTGTTGTTCTGACGATAAAGCTATAAGATTATTGAATATTTAGACTGGAGAAATGAAAATGCAATTGTTTGATTCATGTTTTGTTAATGGAATAGCCAGAGTATCTTAAAATGAAATAGCTGTTGGTAATTTTAAAGGAGAAATTTTGATCATAAATGTGACTGAGTAGAAGATAGTGAGAAGAATGGGTTCACATAAGAGTTTTGTATGGAGAATTAAAGTATTTAATTGTATTATTGTAGATGATAGATAAAGATTTGATTGCTTCTGCTTCATTTGATAAAACAATTAAAATTTGGGAATGGTAGAGTGGATAATTGGTTGCCAGTTTAGAAGGACATTAAGATATTGTTAGATCTATTGAACTTATTGAAGAGATTGGATTTTTAGTAAGCACTAGTGATGATAAATCTATAAAAGTTTGGAGATTAATTTGAATATATTAAAATAAACAATAATATATTTTATATTTAAATATATATATATATAACTTATCAACTAAAGATATTTTCTAAAAATGTCTTCTTTTTCTCTTATGGTTATTTCTAAATTTACACTGGCTTAGATGGTGGAGACTTAGCTATAAATTATAATTTAAGTACAAATCTTCTTGGTTGACTGACAGGTCTGCCTTAATATGGTGCGTGATTGTAAACTGGGGCAACTCTTGATGGAACATAGCTTGGTTGAACATATGATTAAGCAACATATGGTTATGCAACTGGAGCAACATATTATGGAACAGGAGCAACGTATTAAGGAACTTATTGCACAACAGATTAAACGATTGGTTGAACGACGGGTTAAGCAACAACTTATTATTAGTGAACCACTTATCTCTCAACTGGATAATATTCTACTCTATCTTGAAATCTATCCACAGGAACATATTCTATTGTTGTTATTTCATATTTATACCTGTAACCTTATCATAAAATACTTAAGGGATATATTCTGTCTAATATTCAACAGCTTAATATTCAGTGACGTATTTCTCTCTTGGCACTTAAATTCTTTGTCTCACCTCCTCATATTCAATAACAGATTTCTCATATGGGATATATCTATAAATATTTGAAATTTGATTCTTACTCAATTCTGCTTTCACCCTTTATCACTTATTAAGCTGGTTGGACAGCAACTGGTTGCACTGCCACTGGTTATACAAGGGGTTGAACTGCCACTGGTTAAGGAACATATTAGACAGGAGCAGCAACAACAGATTATTAAATAGGATAGTATGATGGACTAGCAAATTGCACTGGTGGAGCATATGTTCTTGGTGGTGAATATGCTACTGGCACTTGAGGTGCATTTTAAACTGGTTGAGGAGGTCTTTAAGAGGGATGATTGCTCATATTTTGAATATTAATATTAATTATTTCAAATGTCATCGTTAATCAATTATAACTATACTCTGTTAATTCATATTATTATATATATTTATATTCAATTTTATTAGTACAATAGATTACAATTTACTATTTACAATTAAATCACTCCTAAATATCTTATTGATAATCGGTTATTAATTATTTTATTTTTTTATTAATGTTTAATAGAATTACAAAATCAAAATTATTAAGCTCTCTTAGATTACCATTATATTTTATTTTATATGTCTGCTTTAAGAGTGGTCTTGTTAGGAATTTTAGGACATGGGAAAACATACCTATTTAATAAAATAACCAATGCAACTGAACCTGTAACTTATGGAGGAAATTCAGTCACAAAATAAATTGTGATTGGCTAAGCTGCACATGGTGAATTTGAAGTCGTTGACACACCTGGATTTGATGCATAGGAGGATAAATTATTACATGCGGCTGGTGTTATTGCAGCCTTAGCATAAGGAGAAGTCAACAGAATATTGATTGTAATCAAATGCGAAAGAACAGATATAATGATAAAAAATATCAAAAAAATCATTGAACCCATTTCAAGATACAAAGATTTAATCACGTTTATTGTAACCTATTGGGATGAATAATAAAGAAGCATACAACAACATTATAAAAGTTAAGAATCTTAATCAAAACAAGAATTAGAAGCAAAATAACAAATAGAAGCAGCAATTAAAAAAAATTATAATATCAGTTCAGTAATATTTTCCTCATCTTAAGATGATCCGATTATTATCACAAAATAAATAACTAATATTATTCTATCATCTAAATTTGCGAAAATTCATTTTTCCGAATCTGAAATTTTTTGTAAATTTGACATATTAAGCATAAGTTAGGAATCTGAACTTTAATTAACTAATTCCATTTTAGAAATTAAGAAAAATTTTAGAAATGACTCAAAATTATTTTTAAATTTTATAGAAACTTTGAAACTAGATGACAAGGATTTAATTGAAAAATTACATTTCATATCACTATATATTAAAAGCTACGCAAATGAATATATTGAAGACTTTGAGAAAAAATATGCAAATTATATGAATGAAACCTATAATACAGATGGCGTTAATATAAGATATTTATATCATATTTATCTAAAAAAGGAACTTCAAATGGATCTTGAATAAGTTATTAAAAAGGCATAAGCTAAAATGAAATAATCTTAAAATCACTGTTTTAATTGGATTAAATAGTGTCCTTACTGTGGATTAGTCTGGATAAAAGTTATTGGTTGCGATTCTGAAACTACGTGTGGAAATAGGGTAAATAATTATCTCGACGATCTACTGATTGGTCCTTAAAAATAACAGAGTTTCAAAGTAATAAAAAATGATGATTCTATTCATATTGAGACAATACATAAGGAAAAAGATGAGAACAAATTAATAAGTCAACAAAATCTAGACATCTGTTAAATATTAGGTGATTCTTTAAAGAATGATCCAGAATTTAAGTATATTTCGGCTTTGAACAATGTAAATAAAGGTTTGATTTCTCATGTTTTTGGTGAAAGTCGTTTCAAATACTATGTTGAAAATATCGATGAAGTAGTTCAAGAAACGATGATTATTGAATTCAAGCATCTTCTTAGAAAAGCTATCTTGCTCTCAAATGAACATGGAAAGGTGGAAGTTAAAGACTAGAAATCATTAGGTTGTGGGAGAAAAATTGTATGGAAGGATTTACCTCCTCTAACCGGACCACTTTTATAAGAATTACTATCATCTGAGTTGCTTGATTACTTCAATGATAAGGAATAATTATTAAAAGATGAAGCTGACGATATTACAAAGGAGCTGGAAAGGACATATAAGAATCTTGTGAATCAAGCAATTAATGAATAATAAAAGAGTATTAGGACAATCCAAAAACTAGAAACTATGACACCAACAATGAATGATGAAGAAACACAGAAATAGAAGCAATAAAGCGAAAATCTTTAAAAAAATTATTAAAATCATATTGAAAATACAAAGAGGGAGCAAAACAATATTAAAGAAAAATACAACAATAATTCGTCTATTATTCAGATACTGAAACAGTGGATTTTTAGCTCGAATGATAGCCAATGAAATTTTTCCATTTTTTCTAAGAATGAATTATCATTATCAATTATAATTAGTTTATTTTATTTTCAATAATATATATATAAATTTTTTTCTTAATAGAATAACCTTATTCTATTACAAAGCAACTACCTTTATTTATAAACACATAGAATTGTAAATAGAATTACAAATAATGAAAACATTTAGAATTGCTCTCTTAGGGTCTATAGGATCAGGGAAAACTGCGTTTTTTAATCGCATTACATCCTCTAATGAACCTGAAATTTCAGGAGGACCATCAGTTACAAAGAAAGTTGTGGTTGGATAAGCAACAGAAGGTGAATTTGAAGTAATAGACACCCCAGGTTTTGAAAGTGAAAGTGACAAATTACTACATGCTGCTGGTGTTATTGCAGCATTAACTTTAGGTGAAGTTAATAGAATTCTTATATTTGCGAAATTCGAACGAGATGATAGAATGGTTAGTTCAATTCGACAAATATTGTCTCCAATTAGGAGATATAAAGACATCGTAACAATTTTAGTTTCTCATTTCGATCATTCAAGGAATATTGCTGATGATTAAGATCGATTTTCATAGAGAATAAAATCAGATTTTAATATAGACTCAATTTTATTTTATTCCATCTTATCTTTTGACAACGTCGATATCTCAATGAAAATTTTTAACATCATTTAACAATCAGAATATAGATCAATTTAATTACAAGATTCAGAAATATTTAGTTAATTTGATTTACTCCAATTAGATGATTACAATTAAACTAAATTAGAGAAAAATTAAACAGCTATTTTACGTCAATTTAGAAAAACTGCAAGAATATATAAATATTTTATTGAGTCGATTGATTTGAATGATCCTTTGCTTATTGATATTTTACATGAGTTAACAAAAGATATTAAAGCTGTAGCAAATTAGCATGTTGAAGAATTTGAGATATTGCATGGGGATGAATTAAATTAATTCTATGATGTATAAGGTGTTAACATTCGATATCTGCATCATATTTATTTAAAAAAATAAATTTGGTTAGATTTAAATAATGTGATTAAATTAGCCCAAACAACTATGACAAAAAGTCAAATTCATATTTAACATTTCATAAAATTATGTCCATACTGTAAATAGCCTTGGATGAAGGTTTTTGGTTGTGATGGAGAAACTAAATGTGGAAATAGAATTCTTCCTTTCGAATAAGATGAAATTATTGGTCAAGCATCAGCACCAAAGAAATTTTAAATCAAAATAGTAGATAATCAATTATAAGTTGATATTGTCTGTCCTACGAGCTAATAATATTCAACTGTGAATGAAGAAATAAGCTCAAAATTTAATTATATTTATCAATACTTTAAAACTGATATACATTTTTAGAAACATTTAGGATAGAATTTTACGATCCTAGATCTATGGAATTTAATGAACTAAGAATTTAAAAATCGTTTAAATGATATTTGTAAAAGGATTAATAATGAGAATAAAGGAAAGGCATTAGAATAACTCAGAATTTATTTTTATAGTTTTTTTAAAGTTGAAAATAAAGATGATAATTCAGATAAATCGATTGGATGTGGAAGGAAATTTAATTGGTCAGAACAACCTCCTTTGAGTGGACCTGAATTAAATGAATTACTTTCATAAGATTTGATTGACTTTTTCAATAGGGATTAAGAAAAATTATTAAAAGATGAAGCATATTTTTTGGAACTATCTTATCAAAAATTAGTGAAATAGGCCATTGAAGAACAGAAAAAGAATACAAAAATATTATCATCTCAATTTTCCTCACACTATTGAATGACCTTTATATCTTATATAATTAATATGTTATTTGTTTGAAAAAAATATTATTTTAGTACTATTGCTAGGATTATGATTTTCTAATAGATTCTTCATACTTTTTTAAGGAATCATATAAATATTGATATATGTAAAATTTATTATATGATTAATAATAATTTAATAGAATTAATAAAAGCTAAATAAAGAAGTTATGGACGGATTAAGAGTTGTTCTTGTAGGAGTTATTGGATCTGGCAAAACAGCTTTTTTTAATAATTTAACTAAAAATTAAGAGCCTGTTAAACATGGAGGAGCATCTGTTACTAAATAAGTAGTAGTTGGATAATGCATTTTTGGAGAGCAGTTTGAAGTAATTGATACCCCTGGTTTCGAAGCTGATGAAGATAAATTATTACATGCTGCAGGAGTAATTGCAGCACTTTCAATAGGCGATGTTAATAGAATATTGGTTATAACTAAATTTGAAAGAGATGGAGTAATGATGAGTGCATTGCAATAAGTCATAGCTCCAATCAATAGATATAGGAATATGATAACGATTGTAGTATCACATTGGGATCTTTCAGAAAATATAGAGCAAGATTAATAGCGTTTAGCGAAGAAAATAAAGGATAAATTTAATATTGGATCTATTCTTTATTATTCTAAATTTAATGATCCTAAAATTATCGCTCTATAAGTTCAAAAAATAGCTATTGAATCAAAATTAACAACCATAAAATTATAGGATACAGAAATATTTAGTCAGTTTAATTTATTATCTTTGAATTATGAATGTCAAAATAAATTAGAAATAGATAAAGAATAAATTATTAAGTAATTTAGAAAGACTGCATAATTGTTTATTAAATATATAACTGAAGAAGTTAATTTGGATGATCCAAAAGCTGTTGATATTTTGCATTTTATATCATTAGAAGTTAAGAATATTGCAAATAAATAAGTGGAGCAGTTTGAAATACAACATGGAGACTGGCTTAATGAATTTTATGACACGAATGGAATTAATGTTAGTTATTTACATCATATATATCTAAAAAAAGAAATAAAAAGGGATCTTGAACAGGTAATTAAATTAGCTTAGGATAAAATGACAAAATCAAAAAATCATTGTTTTTATTGTTTAAAGCAATGCCCATATTGTAAATTAATATGGATTAAAGTTGCTGGATGTGACGGAGAAACTACTTGTGGAAATAGAGTTTATACTTCCTCAGATTCATTATTGAAAAACTCTTCAACTAAGAGTCGATATAAATTTGAATTAGAACCAAATAAATTAGTCTTGAAAGAAATATAGCCCATGAATACACAAAATCAATTTCAGACATAAGAGTCTAGTTCTACTTAAGAATAGATTTATCAACTTATAAGGGATGATAAGTATTTAAAAAAACTCCTTGGACAAGACTTTACAATGGATTAATTTGAAATGTTATTATTAAAAAACAAAAGGGAATATGGAAGTTTATATTTAATTTATTCACTTATATCATCTAATGATGAGAATGATACGATTTAAATGATTTACTACATCTTGGATATAAAAAGTGATAGTGAAGTATAAAAATGTAAAAGATTTGGCTGCGGATAAAAATTAATTTGGTCAGAATTGCCACCTTTGAGTGGACCTGAATTAAATGAATTACTATCAATTGAATTAATAGATTACTTTAATGATTAAGCATAATTAATTAGCGATGAAAGTAAATTCTTAGAGGCAGCTTATAAAGACCTTGTTAACCAAGCTATATAAGAACAATATAAGAATAAGAAAGTGATCTAATTATAAAAGTAGAGTGAAACATAATGATGATATTTATTAATCTATTAATGTATAACATACTATATAATTTGTCATTGATCTACAGTTCCAAAATATCTATCTCCAAAGTCTCCAACTCCTGGGAAGCGATGATCTTGAATAGTATTAAGTGCGTAATCAACCCCAGCAGTAATGACTTTGACTTTAGGGAATTAATGTAGGACCTTTGAAAGTCCTTTTTCGCAAGAAACAATGTTCACAGCAGCAATGTTTTCCTAATTGACTCCATTAGATTGAAGTGCTTTTATAGCTGTGCTGATTCTTCCGCCTGTTGTAATCATGGCATCAGTAAGGATGACCTAATTTAGTTCATTCATACTTATTTTTGGTCGATATCCTCTGGAAATTTGCAATACATTAACTAGGGATCTTTAGTTTATGGATGTTCTTAAACTAAAATAAATCCAACTGAAGCTCCTGGAAGCACCTTAAGAGCTTCGCCTAAGAAGGCGTTTCCTGATCTTACCATCACTACAACACAAAATTATTTGTTCTCAAATTAGATCTCTTAGGCTGGTGTTTAAGTTTGTGAGCCTTCTGGAGGAGCCAACTTTTTACTATGTTCAGAGATGGCCTTTTCCATAAGCAATCTAATCAATCTGTCGGAATACAACCTGAAGTCCTAATTAGGTTTGAGATCATATATACTTTGGTTTGAGTAGTTTGATTACGAATCACACTCAACAAATGTTCGACTTAGAATTTATCCAACACATAAAGACTAGGAAATCTAAGACGAAATTATTATAATTCTGAATGTGAAATAAAAGAGAAATACGGTGCAGCGCATTGAAATCTTTTCTATTATTGAGCAATTAGAGTGAATCCCAAGAGTCCTAGGAATCCAGTTTCGAATATCTTAAGAAGTCTTGAATTCATATTTTAATAATTTAATTTAATAATTCCAATTGTGAATCATTAAAATTAATGAGAAAAATACTTTAATATTTTTTATATAGGAATACTAAATAATCCAATTCAAATTTGAATCTTGTCATAACTAATTAAGAATAATAATAATAATTTAAAATTGAATGTTTGTATTTATTTAACATACAATATTTAGATCAGAGTTTGTCCAAATATTCATTAAGGTCTGGTAATTGAACTTTGATACCCTTTCTCTTTCTGATGGATAAGACTAAATCATTAACCTAAATGATTAATATAAAATAATACTTTGCTTCCAGCTTCAAGTGGGTTACCATTAACAATGGCCCAGTGATCAAAAACGCATTGAGGGAAGGCTTGTCCTTAGGTCATACCTCTTAAATGGGCAGTGAAACCGAAAGATTCAGCGACTGGTAAATGAGCTCTAACCTATGAAAATAGAATAAATATGATACCACTGAGAGTGGAGTTCCTGCAACTTATTCCTCTTCAATGACTGTTCCTCTTCTGGTGTTGAGACAGTTATATACACCACCAGTAGCATCATTTGGTGCAGTGATTTCAGCCAAGAAGACTGGTTCTTATAATCTTGGTTGGGCTGTCAATTCGCATGCATAATACAATCTTCTGGCAGTTGGGATGATTTAACCACCTCCTCTGTGGATGGCATCAGCATGTAAGACACAATCCAAAATGTTGACTCTGATACCTCTTTGATTTTCTTCGCAAAGTGGTCCTTCCTTGGTTGACCATTACCAAGCGGATTCCATAGATTCTCTCAATTCATTCATGTATTAAACTCCTGATGTCTTGTCCATCAAGATGTTGGCACCTGAGTTATCTGGTCCAAAGGTCCAAATTCTGAGTGCATCTTCCTTATCCCATTCATATTCTTCATTAAGGGCTTTAGCTCTGAGTTTTGGTTCGTCTTTTGGTGTGACTTATCCTTTTTCAATAGCATCTGGTAAATTTTCATGTAATGGTGTGGCTTAAGCATAAATTCTGTTGTGCTTATTTGGTGATTTAGACATGCAAACAATGTTTGAGGTAGCAGATACGGTTTCCTTGTATGAGACGATTGGGTCAGATTTGATGAGTTCAATACCTGCAAAGTCTTTTTCTAAATCATTCAAACAGATTTCAACGTGTAATTCACCACATCCGGCAATAACGTTTTATCCTGATTCTTCAGTTGTGCACAAGACTAATGGATCTGATTTTGACAATTTCTTTAATCCATCGACTAATTTTGGTAAATCTCCTGGGTTCTTTGGTTAGACAGCAACTCTGACGACTGGAGATACTGAATATTTCATTGATCTGATTAAATGGCAATCTGGGTGGTCTGAGATGGTACCAGTCTTCATTAAATATTGATCAACACCGACCAATCCGACTGTGTTACCACATGGGACATCTGGGATGTATTCGACTCTGCTGGCCATCATGAGAACTGTTCTTTAGATAGCTTTTTCAAATAAGTCTTCCTTCTTTCCAACCTTGTAGTTAGCTCCCATAATTCTGACCTTTTATCCAGTAGCAATGGTACCAGAGAAAACTCTACCGAAAGCAAAGAATCTTCCTCTATCAGTTGTTGGAACCATCTTGGAGACGTACATAATTAATGGTCCCTTTGGGTTGCATTCTCTCATTGATTAAGCAATAGCATCATCTTATGGTCCTTCATATAAATATGAGGTTCTGTATTTTTAAGCCTTTCTTGGTGATGGTAAATGGCACACAATCATTTCAAGTAATGTATCAGCAGCATTGATCCATTTGGACATAACAGCCTTGAGTAAATGCTTTCCTTCTAATTTGGCTTCTTCTTATGTGAGTTTCAATCCCAAAGTTTCAAACATTTTATTAGCCATATCCATATTTCCTTCCATAACAGCATTAGCCAATTTGCAGATTGGGTCCATGATGAAAGCAACGAAGGCTCTCTTCATTGGTTTTCCTGATCCACTGACACTGTCTTTTCTCCAGCATTTTCCTTCAGCATCAAAGTAATTGTCTCCCCACAATCTTTCTTATAATTTGAGTGGTTCAACCTTGAATTTGTTGGCATAGATTCTGGCAAATCTGGTGCATGAGAATGCCCAGCATTCCTTTCCTGAACCAAATGAGACTGATCCGAGTTCTGGATGAACAAGGAGATCACCCATGTCTTCTTATTAATAGGTGTTGATGATAACATTGACCATATCAACGACTCTGACGAAGTTTTGATACATTGTTTCACCATCATGCTTCAATTCCAAGATAGCTCTATCAATTTTGTTAACCATGACAACTGGCTTGATTTTCTCTTGCATAGCTTGTCTCAACACAGTTTCGGTTTAGACACAAACTCCTTCAACACAATCAACGACGACTAAAGCACCGTCTGTAACTCTTAAGGCAGCTGTGACTTCAGAACTGAAATCAACGTGTCCTGGGGAATCAATCAAGTTGATCAAAAACTTTTCTAAGGTCTTATTGTCATAAATGTCATATTCATAATAAAGAGAAACACCAGTGGACTTGATTGTAATACCTCTTTCCTTTTCGTCATCTCTGGTATCTGTGGCTCTTGCATCACCAGCAACTTTGGAGGCTATGATACCAGCTTTGCATAACAATGAGTCTGTGAGTGTGGATTTACCATGATCGACGTGAGCAATGACTGACATGTTTCTGATGTTGTCCTATTTGTCCATGATTTCTCTGATTTGATCAACTGAAAAATTTACCATGTGTTATTAACTTTTAAAAAAAAGATTTAAAATTTTCCATAATTAAAACAAGCATTTATATTATTTGCGCATAAATAATTGTTAATTAAACCTACCAATGACATCTCATTGTTATTATAATATGATGAATATTCAATAAACAATAATCTCATTTATTATCGATTCATTATTACGCTCCTTTATATCCCAAATATCTCACATTATTAACGTACATCGTGAGTAAACCTTGTCCTTATTCTTCAATTTAATGCACATAATTGAAGTGTGCTTCAAAACTGTTTTACCTGCATTTAGTTCACCAATGCAATATTGGGTTTCTGATGGATTTTATCATTGAAATTAAGATCTAGAGGATTCAATCAACTGAAATTGATAAAGCAGTTTCGTATTTATTATACACAGATGTTGTTATCTTAAATTAATAATCTCAAGTTTATATTGAAGAACTTTATTCATTTTTATAAATGAACAAATAATTAAAGTGATAAAATGAATACAATTGATGAATTGAGAAAGACCAAGTTTACGGATAAATTGGAGCAATTTATATTAAAAAAGAGAAGGGCTTAGACGAATCTGGATGAGTATCAAACAAGAAAACAAAGTATAATTTATGAATATAAAGAATAATAAACTTATGTTCCTTAAGACCATAAAGATTAGATTTGTAGTTTGTGCAAATGTTTTTATGTGGATTATGTAACAACAACTTGCCAACATAATTGCTGTTAAAAATGCTTATTTGACCATCTACTCAAATGCCGAGTACTTTAATTTATATTTATGAAAGAAAAAATGCCCAATTTGTAGTAGAGAATTGAAGGGGGATTTTTCTTTTCCTTGTCTTTCCATCGATTACTGGATAGGGATTGCTCAGAAGAATAATAAAGATTATGAAGTTAAATTATAAGAGATAGAATTGTGGAAGGAGAGAGGAACGGTCAAAGAGTTCACAGTAGGAATGAAATTAGATATTCTGGACACAGTTTTTGTTTGGTGTGTAGGTGAAGTAAAAGAAATAAGATATGGAAAAAATGAGTAGCCTAAATAGGTGTTCATCCATTATCTTGGTTGGGATAAGGTTTATGATGAGATTATAGATGTTAATAGTTTCAGACTGGCTCCACTGGGAACTAACACTTAACAAAAGAGTACTTCATTTTATTAAATTAGATGTGATCTAATACAAATAATCGAATGTGGAGACAATATAGAGAAGTTTAAATGTTAATTAGAATGCTAATTCAAATGCGAGAGAGACCAATCATCGATCACTGATAATGGCACTAGCTAGTTAATTTTTATCATTGAGAAATGATCTTTTTAATAATTAAAATTGATATAATTATATAACATGCAAAGCTATAAACTTCACGTAGTTTCTGAAAACCTCAAGGATCGACATCCCTATGTTGAACCGGATTTCAAGGATAGATACGATCCCTCTGAAGTAATACTCATACTCAAGAATAGGTTTACCATGCAGTGTTTGACCGTTCCATTCCTAAATTGATCGAAATATTGCTCATGGAAAATATTGAGGCTTTTAAATATAGAGATGCCTTGATCACATTAAATGAGATGGTTGACCATTAAGAAATGAAGGATCAAATGATATCCCAAGGTAATCCATCTCTTTAGAAGTAGGTCTCGTGGGTATAGCTAGTGCATATTTACATCATAAAGATATTTAGATCAGAAAACAAGCAGTCATTCTATTGGGATGTTTAGTAAGCATAATGAGAGGAAGAGAACAATTAGGTGATTTGAGTTTTGATGGATTGTCTAAATTATTATTTGATGATGCAAGAGAATAATGTGGATGGGCATTATGTAGAATAATTACTGGAAGAGATGGAGTAGATATCTTGTGCAAATCAAATCTCACTAAAAAGATGATCTAATCCTTTATGTAATCTAAGGAATATCCTAAATTTACTGTTTATTTATTGGAAGCATTTGCCAAAATTGTTGAATTTGATAATGGCATTTTCTTCTTTTTGAATTGTGGAACCATTAAGAGATTCATTGAAATTCTATCCTCAGAGAACTACTATGATTAACGCTATACTTAAAGAATAACTTATTTGTCTTTGGAAGTGCTATCTAAAATATGTGCTAATCATGAAGGCAAGGAAGAAGCAATTAGAGAAAATGCTATCAACGTTGCCAATAGATATTTAGACAGTCCCTTATTAGAAGAAGCTTATTTTGCAACTATTTTGATCATGAATTGTACTATTAACCTTGATGGCAAGAAGTAATGTGTCCATGTTGAGAACGATGAAATCATTTAAGTATATCAATTTAAATTAATATTAGAAATTGATTTCATTACTAAATAAAGATTTCAGTAAAGATGTTAAATAAGCATTAAATAATATTGCAGATTACCCTGATGGATTTATTATCATTACTAAATTATTATCTAATAGCTATGAAACTTTGGACGATTTACTTGGTCATAGGGTCGTTATTGCTTTGGCTAAATTGATCCCAAGAGGATTAGATAATTATGATGAATATAAATAATATGGTAGAACTCTTTGCAAATTCTTGAGAGACTACAATGAAGCCATCTATGTGGCCTTAGAAGTATGATTAATAAGAGATTAAATAGGAAACAGTTAAAATAGTAGAAATCTTGATGGAATTCTTTTATTATCCTGACTTAGTGAGAGATGTGACAGACTCCCTATTGAAATTGATGGAAGCAGATGTAGAATCAAGAGAGTATGCACTCAATTATTTGGAGACTCACAATGTAAACAACAAAGAGATTTAAAGTATATCAAATAAAATACTTGAATTATTTCCACATTGAATAAGTCATATGATTTTAATAGGAAATATATTATTCTTAATTCTTCTTAATTTAATATATCATATGATTGACTATATAATTATTGACACTGTTTCTTATTGTATTCTCACACCTAAACAGATTGAAAAACAAATTGCTAGATTAAATAATAAATTAATTAACCTGATTATCTATTAATTAAAATTATTAAGAAGAAAGCTTAAGAGATATCATTCTATTATCTTATCATGAGATACTTTTGGGATGAATTTCAATCAATAATTTTTAGTCTATCTATATTTTAAACAAAGTCTCCTAATCCTATTTTAGATAATTCTTATTTTCATAATAAATTTAATCCTTTCTACCATAATCTTATTGAAATTAATTAAGTCTAGTTAAAGTCGGATGTAGGTTCATTTCTATATAATACTCCGAATTTACATTTAAATTTCCATTACTATAGTAAACCATATCAAATATAGAACAATGTCCAGAACACTACTAAGTCTTCAATCCATACCTTCCTTCTTCTTTTAAATTTATACAGATAGATTTTGATATCTAATGAACTAATAATTTCATAATATCATTGCAATGCTAACCTGCAACTTTCTTATTCCATAATTTGAGGTTATTCTTTTAGTAGCTTCTCAGTTGTGATATCTAGTGCAAAATAAATGAATTAAGTGTACATTTTGGTAAAATCTAAGGGTGTATATATTAGGAGCATCATTCGCTAATATTTTATTAGTGAAGTGCTATTAAAAATAGAGAGAAAGATGTTGGATTTGAGATGATATTGTTCTATAATATATTTATATTTAATAATGGCTGCTTTCTATTTAATGGTCAGTCAGTAATTAGAAAACGGATTATTGAGTAATATTAGAGCTGCATCTCTAATTGAATTATATAAAAAAATCTAATTCTAATTATGGAGCTACTGAAGGATTCAAGTTATAAGTTCTTAAAATACAATATAATAAAAATGGGAAAAATATTATAAATAGATTTATACAACAATTTTAATTAAAAATATCATCGAATGAGTTTTACATACATTTTATTACAAGGTTGTATTTTATATAATTCAGGTTCTTTTTAATTTAAACAATATAAAAAATGAGTCAAGGAAAGAATAATAATCAACCATTTTGTTTCGGAAGCAATGGCTCTGAATTTGATCAATCATTTCTTTTTTAAAGGTAAGACATTACATCTAAACATATCATTCTATTTACTGATATCCATATATTATATTTTGAAATACCGATGATTATATTAGCAATCAACATCTTTTTCAACTATTTGCACCTGAGATGTAGCAATTGTTTTTGAGATAGCTGATAAACCCAAACATAATGCAGTACATTAATTAAAACTCATAATTGAAGGATTGCTTTCAAGCCTCGAATTTACTAAGTAAGGATTACCATACTCTATATACTGGCATTATATTACTTATATTTATGTTTGTTGGACTAATTTCTTAGATTTTCCAGCTTTGATGAATGGGATTGATATGCTATCATATCTACAAAATCCTGGGTAATCATAGCAATAGCTAAATGTGTTAAACAATCAATCATAGGGGAATTCAGCTCAAAAGATGAAAAACAATGCAGACAACCCTATAACAGTAGATGATGATGAACCAGCATAACCTACTAAGAAATGTTACAACGTTCAATGTAAGAATGTTGGGGACAAGAAAATCAAATCCAAGAGGCATGATATATTATTCTTTTGTGACAAATGTTCTAAATTATATAATAAAGGAAATTTTTGTGATTTTTGCGAACAAGTATCAATATCCTCATTTCATTTATTAAAGGTTTACGGCTCTTACGATGACGAAGCTGGATGGGTTTAATGCGATCAATGCTAAAAATGGGTATGCAACATTAATAATAAAAATAGAATCACATAGCCTGTGAATAAAAATATAGAAATTAAAATATTGAAAATGAACCAGAAACCACTCCATATCATTGTTTAAATTGTTCCAAGAACATCAAGAAGACTAAACCAGTGAAGAAACCCGAAGAGCCGCAACCTCCTTAGAAGTAGCGTCCCATACCTGAACAAGATGATGCTAGAAATAGGGAAAAGAACATTACCTTTGTGGCTACCAAGGACAACAAAATACAATACAGTAAGTGATATTGATCAAGTCTTAGCCTATCGATTAAACTTGCTAGAGGAGGAAATCAAAGTAGATTTGGATCTCCTTCGAAATTCGATTAAAAAGGCTAAGAAATTATAAATGCAATCTCCGCCTCAAATATTCCAATAGCACATAACTTCTTCTCAATAATAAAGTCAACAATCGCAACAACAACAAGAAGTAAGTATACATTCCTACTCCAAAGGTTTAAGAGCAATCTTCATTGGGTAGTCGAAGTTTGAGGAGAAGAATAAATTAGAAATTGAATTACAGAGATCTGGTTGGGGAATATTGAAGTTACACATATAAATTATATTATTGTTTTACAACACCTAAATTTATCGTATTGTTTATTTAAACATATAGATTATAAAATATCATGATAATTATTCAATCTTCTTCACTTTCTCCTGATATCTCTTCAAGAAATGACAAGATTTATTTATTTATTCCAAAACTTGAATGTATTCTTCCTTTTATTATTATTTATTCAACAATTCACATAGAATAATTAGATTCGATAGACAGACTTCTATTTCTTGTCGATCTGAAAATTGCTCGTTGTCAATTATGAGAGTTTTCACTTTCTACCCTAATTCAAAAGCCTCTTCAAATTTGTTTTGACTAAAATGCTTATTTAAGAATATCATACTGAATCAGACAGGTGATCATCAAATTCATCAATTTTGAAGAATCTCCAAATCTATCCTTGGTCTCTTATATTGATTTATATGCCTACTCTGGTTATCCATTGTATAACTAGAGAGATATATCACACTACATACATTTAGATATATTTAAGCAAGATATGTCAGGATGTCTTCATCATCAAATCTTCTCAGATCTAGTAAAGTGGATTCTGCCAAATCAAATCTTCTTCCTCTTAGATATATCATAAATTAGAGAAATAGCAATTCCTATTAAAATGCATCTTTTGCCATATCCAATTGTAGTGCATATTGTGCTTCACAAGAATTCACAGACATATATGCACATATGATTTAAATCATTTTCTAATTTTATTGAGGAATGATGTCTTTAAGTTTTTTCAATACTTCTTCAATTTGTTTTCTATCTTCATCTACGGTAGTATCTGATTTCGGTTATTCTATTAAAGGACCCATGAATCTGCTGACAATATCTGTGATCTCCAACAGTTTGGATGATGGTTTCTTTGTTAATCGTATAGTTTTGGGTTTCAATTCTCTAGCTGCGATTAATGCTCTTGAAACCAAAAAGTAATAGTAATCATCATCATAGTCATTTTATTACCATATTTCCAACACTTTATTAAAATTTCCTAAGAAGAATGCTATCTTGGCTTAAAGAAGTATTTGCTATTCCATCCAATACACGTAAATATTAATTAAAATATTTATTAATATTTCATTTGATATAATTACTCAACTCAATTATGTTGGGATAACAATACATTCTTAAAATATAAATTCTTCATTAAAGAATCCATAGACTTTATTCTCATTTAATGTTTAATGTCATTGATTAAATGTTATAATTATTCTATATTAAGCATATTTTGTCTTGTATTATATCTCATTCTAATTTTTTATTTTGAGAAGTCAGAATTTGTATCATTTTATGTTTAACTACTTTCTAATACTGCCTATATTAGATTGTCAATTATGATACCATAATTTTAAGAATTGTCTTAGATAGTTGTACAGTTATTTTATTTCTAGTTTGCAATGCAATTACAAATTTAGCATTCTTACAGATTCCTCAATTTATCAAGTTTAATTATAACTATCCTCGTTTGTTAATTAAATCATTGCAAATAAATCTAAATTCTAGATGTATATTTCATTAAATAAAATATTTAATGAAATCCCATAATATTTTAGAAATATATTAGTTTTAATTTATTATAAACTGATTACTTAAATATGCATGAGAACCGTATACCTTTCATGTGCAATTTGTTATCATGTAAGTTTGCAGGTACTCTAAATCAATCTTAATTATTACTATCGATAATATTTATGCAATTATTATATTATCATAAATAATTAAAATACTCTTATTATTATTATATATATGAAGTAATGTTTTCATTGTTTGAGAATCTAACTTAAGTATTTTTTCAGAATTATCCTATATGTATACTGATATTAGGATGACTCATAAGAACCAGAAGTGTATTCCAGTTATTCCGGTTCTAATAGTATATCTTTAGCCAATTATAGTAATATAATATTATGCTGGATAATTCTTTACTTTTCCAATCTATAAACCAAAGCGAAATACTCATCATAGTCTAGCCTTTAGTCCTTTAATAAGAGATCCCCTTTAGAGAGATCTTCTTTGAACTCAGCTTTAAATTCCTGTAATAACTATATGGATTTTGTCAACCCTAGGGATATTAGAACTCTTAACCTTTCAATTCTGTTTAAATATTGATGATATTCAACACGCTCTGAGGATCATAGCAATCTTGGTTCTCACTTCTACAACCTATTTTAAATATTACTCTTTAATAGCCTTGGCCAATTTAAGCAAATCAAAAGGGAATTCAGTATATTTTAGTTTAATTGATAAATATTGTTTCTAAAATATTCTGCTCACTCCACTTTTTAATAAGTCTGCAGTTTTGATCCTGAAATAGACATGATCATATTTATTTTTTTCTAAGGCAATTCCATATCTCAATAATAATTCTCTATTTGATAGTCTTCCATAGTTGAAGTAGACCTGAGATCCCTTTTTAAAATTTTCAGTCTTTTAAGAGTTAATACAAAAATAGTCAAAATCTTCATCCTCTTTCCAATTTATTATTTTCTTTGCTGCGTTGCGGACACATCGATTAGATCTCTGTTGGTATCTCACAACTTGGTGGAGAACATAATCTCTAAGGATTTCATATGTTTAGTCCAATAGTTCCTTTGAAGTAGTCCATTCAATGATTTGATCTGCAATAAAGTAATCTAGATCTGATTCATCTTGATCTAGGTCTAAAGAGTTATCTGAATCCGAGGAGGATTAAACACTTTATAGTTCTTCATCAGCATAGAAACCTTAATTTCTTTTATTTTTTTGATTTTTTATTGATTTATAATTTCTTTTATTGAATTCATTCTATTTCTGTTTATCATCTTCAGATAAGAGAGTGATGTGCACGTCAACACATTCATGATTGAAAAATTCACAAAAGGGAACCATGCTCTTGTATTTTAAATTGTGTCCAAAATCTCTGGTGTACAAGTTGGTGTAAGCCCATTAGAATTCCTCTTCGGTTGTATTCAATATCTTTTTGAATGTTAAAAAGGTCTACTCATATTCTTCCCTCTTTTTGTGTATTTTACGGATTAAATTTTCATCTTACAATAATTTCAATTTCTCTTCTGACCAAAATATCAACATATTAACATCTTGGGGTAGTTACTCAACAAATCGATAATATTTGGATCTTAATCCTTCTCTTTTATTCATAATCAAAAATGCTATTATTGCATGTTCTTCCCCATCTTCATGATCCAAGAAAAACTCTCTGTGTTTAAAAAAGAAGGCTTTCTGACTTGATTCAAAAGCAGTTTGACTGCTGATTATCAATTGGCGGGGAACTTTGACTAAAAGATAATTGGCTGGGATATTTTAAGTGGCTGTTCCCTATTTAAAAAAACTCAAGATTACCCATCAAACCTCGATAGGGCAAACCGTTCTTTAGATAGAAGGTTGCTAAACTCACATCCTATAGTTACACTCCTTACTAAATATAATCTATTTGATATTGTGTTTTTTTATTTTAAGGCAGAATAGTGCAATTTTCATCATATTAATAGATACCTTTTTCCTGTGAATTAAATTATAAGTCTTACTCTCTAATGCATTTTGCCAATCGAAAACCTTTTTGGATAATTCATAATATAATTTATATTAACACTAAAATTAACATCTCATTTAGGTAAATAAAGAGCATATCTCATCTGTTCAAAATATTTCTTTAAGATAATACGATTTGTTTCGCAATAATCGAAGTCAAATTATGTTTTTTCAGTGGCTTATTCAAATGGCACTCCATCTAACATTCTGTCAATAACAACAATACAAATTTTAATTAGACTATTGTGAGACATCAAAATTACTTAATATTGTGATGATAAATTCTCTGTCTTTCCAATCTATAAATAACTGCAAAATATTCATGATATCCAAGTGTGTTGTCATGCAACAATTTCTCGTTATCTTCTAATTTATCAGAAAATTTAGAAATGTCTTCAACTAATATCTCTAAGGCTAATTGCAATGCTTTTCTTTCTAATTTTAGATCTTAGATCTTGAAAAAAGAATCCAAAGAATGTACATTAAAAGTCCTATTTAAAGTATTAACAATATGATTACCAATAGATTGATTTACAAAATACAATGAAGTCTAGAGGGAAGGTAGTATGCTTTAATTTGAATTTTTTGAATTTGCTTATTTGGTATTTATGGACCAACCAGATGGCTTCATTGCTTTATAGGTATTTCAAATATTCGATTCTCAAATGTACATGATCATATTTATTGTGTTCTAAGGACATTCCATATCTCATGAGCATCATTCTATTGGACAGTCTGCCATAACAAAAATAAACCTAAGCTCCCTTGTCGAATTGATCCTTGCTCGATGCCTTCATGACAAACCGATCAAACTTGTCCTTCTCCCACACTTATTTATAATATTCACAATCTGGATCTAAAGGCTGAGATAGAATTTGATCAACGCTGTCCAAGGTTTGATTTTGTCCCTTGGCTCTTTTTTATTGGAAATAACTGGTTTGATAGATGGGTTATTTCATGACATCCTTCTGAAAAGCATACAAGTTGTTTCTATAGGTGTTGCAGGTTAATTGGATTCTTTTGACATCTTCTCTGGCCATAAAGTAAGCCTTGCCTCCATTGATGTATTCTTAGATAGACTTATCTAATTTGGCGAACATCTATCCAATAAAGAAGATGGAATAGTTATCTCCATAATCGATATTTTAGAATACAAATGTCTTGCAATCTCGAGACAAGAGGAACACTTCTCTTTGAAGATTCAACTTGATATTAAAGTCCTTCCTCATTTTGATTTATTGATCTTGCAAATCTTTGATTCTCTTGTTGAATTCCTCTTCTTCCTCATTTTCCAATTGTTTGATATCGAAAGTCTTGCTGAATTCCTCATAAAATTTCTACGTTGACTACTCACTGAAATCATCAAAATTAAACTCTTTGAATTGTTCAAATGTATCAGTCACATATTCTGAATCGCTAATCTCATCTTCAGAGTGGTAGGAACCCTCCGAAGATGTGATTGATAATTCTTCGTCTTCTTTCAATTCTTTGACTTGAGTTTATTCACTCTCTTCATTCTTATGAGGGTTGTCAGCATTGTATTCAAAATCATAGAACACATCTGTGCATTCATGATTAAACAGTTCGCAAAAGGGCACCATAGTCACATAAGCTAAGTACTTACCGAAACACCTGGTAACGAGATGTGTGTAGACCCACCTGGCATTTTCTAAGGTGACAGTTTCAGGTTTAAAGAGTTGTGGATACTTATCAGTGATGTATTTGAGAGTTTCGTATTCAAGTAAGAATTCTGAATATTGTTTTCTGGCCAATTTGATTAGTTTTTCATCGTCCAACAAGTCTTGTTCTTCGTGACTCCAAAAAACGAGGTAATCGATGTCTCGAGGCAAATTAGATATTAGTAGATGCCATTCAGATTCTGGGCCTCTCTGATATTCATACAAGATAAATGCCATTAATTGATGATCTTCCCATGAAGATTGAAACTAATTGCTAAAGTATTGTGGGTGGTCTAAAAACATCTATTTCAAAGGGGATTCAAATGCATGTCTTGTTGTTAGTAGCAAATCCCTTGGCACTGAGACGAGGGTTTCATTTGACAAGATCTTCTCGGAGGCTAAAACATGGAATAATTAGAATACCAATGAGACCTGGATATTTTAGACCATTTTTAGTTTAGAAGATCGCATACTTAACTTTGTTGATCTACACCCCTTTCGAAGTCAAGATGTCGATGTAATCTTGCAATTGTTTCGGTGTTTCAGGTATGACTGCATTCGGGTCAGATTTGCGCAACCCTTTGACTCTACGAAATCGCTTGCCTATACTGTGTCTTTTCATGATTAATATTTTATTTAATTAAATAAGAATTTCAAATGAGATCATCGGAGTAGCAAATAACAACTCTTTTGATTGAAGGATCAAACAAACAAGGGCAGTTGGGCATAACCCAATAGCAAACCGATTTGAAGGAACACAATTATGGTGTTAAAATATTAAACATTGCTTGTGGAGGGTACTTTACACTTCTGCTTTTGGAAACCTAGCAGTGTTGTCTTTTGGGTTAATGATCAATGCTAATTAGGCTTCAACATCACTAAACTGATAGACATCCCAAAGGTAGAATTAATAGCATGTGGATAATGGCATATGGTAATAAGGACAAATAATGGAATGTATGTATGGGGCAACAATGATGACGGTCAATTGGGTCTAGGCGATTACGAGCCAAGGAACGAGCCAGAACAACTGGAAATCCCATTAGGCAACGTCGTTTGTGGGTCTTATCACACCTTGATTTACCAATCTGATTTTCTGTTTACTTTTGGAAGAGGCAACAAGGGACAACTATTGGTAAATAGAGATAAAAGTTGTATGCCAATCAAGATTGAACATTAAAATATAAAATTGGTTGCAGCTGGAGATTATTAGACATTCATCTATTCAAATTAGTTAACTTTGAATGGCAAAGTGCTCCACTATAATGGAATCATTAAGTAATTATCCTGCAATAATGATTACTCTGCAGTTGTCACACTAGATGGTATAGCTGTCTTTTGGGACAAATCCAATACTATCAAACATCATTTTAATAACATAGAACAAGTGAGCATGTTTGGTTCTCGTTGTTATCTATTAAAGAAGGATGGGTCTGTAGAATTGTTGGACGGTACAATAGTAACCAGATAAATAATTAAGTCAATCCACACAGGTGAATAACACTCACTCTTTGTTTTATTACAAAATTCATTCGATTCGATTGTGAATGAAACTTTGCTTCTTAGTGATCATAGAGATGTGCAATCCTAATAATAGGAGAGTAGAAATTATTTGTTTTATGAGAGGAAGATTGCAGAACTCCAATTAGCTTTGGCTAAGAAAGACAAATAAATTCTGCAATTGTAAAGTGAGTTAAATGCTTTAAAAAATAATTTCAATGTTTAATGAGCATAAATTTATTAGATTCAACAACAGGCCTTACTTTCGACTTTCCCCTACTCCTAGTTACTTTTGTTATCTATTTATATAGGATTTGCTTGAATGTTTAAATATCGTACATTGATTTGGGTTGTTCATTACAGAATTAACCATTTAAGAAGTCTCTGTCCCTGGCAATGTTGCTGCAATTTATTTAAATAATAATTCGACATTGTTCCCTGTCTTTGCACTTACTTCTATGAAATGAGCATCACTTTCTTTTGCTAGATTCGCTCCTTCCTCAGTAGATATCACTCTTACATTTAGTACCGATTCTTTACCTATTATCCAAGTCGATCTTGTTTGCCACTATAAATATAATCACATCATTTCCTCTCTCTAAACGAACATCCTATATCCATCTAGTTATGTTCGCAAATGAAGTTTTCACTACATATGTTGTTACATCTACCTTCCACATCATAACACACTACTGCCACTGCACTGTCCCTTATGTAACTCGGAATTAATGATCGAAATCTCTCTTACCCTGCAGTATCCCATAACTATAAACGTATCGTCCTATCCTCGTAGTACAGAGTCTTTGAAATAAAATCTATTCCCACTGTTGGCTTGTTTTTTAATTTAACTTTCTCTTACATGATCCTTCCCATCAAATGTATCAAACATGAACCGATTTATAATGGATGTCTTTCCGACTGATTAATCACCCAAGAAAACCAATTTATATTTAGATAGCGGTGCTACCATAGACCCTTTTGTGTCAGCCATCTCTTTATATTATTTAAATTTCTAATTTATCACATATATACAAATTTGTATATCATTTTTTTTCCTTCTTCCATTCATGTTCCTCCTTAAATAACACACCCAAGACAAATGCCACACAACAAAATCCAAATACAATCCAAAATACTCCATTGTACCCTATTTTCGGTTCTCCAAATTTGTACAACAAGTATCCCAACATGTTTGATATGCCTATCACAAAGAATAAACCTCCATATATGACAGGTCCAACCTACACATTAGTATTTTATTTACTTTATGCCCAAACACCTTAGCACTAACAGCAGGGTAACATGACAATAGACCACCTTCACAAAACATTGTCAAACATAAAATTATAAAATATCCAGCATAGCTATTATTAATGTATCCGATTGTGGCACTACAAATCAGATTAATTACTGAAATAACTAAATAGAGTTTCTTAAAGCCATATTTATCAAATAACACAGCCCATAAAAATCTTGATCCTCCATTACATACCGACTAAACAGACCCAAGAACAGTCAAACTTGAGTCATCAATCCCAAGCTAAAATTATAGATCATTTAGATTTTACAGTTTAACCGAACACTTTGTAACAATTTGCCATCAATAACCCAAAGATAACTGAGCATAAAACCATGACTATCAAAAACCAAAAGGGCCTTGATTTGATTCCTTATCCTAGAGTCTCGCATTCTGCATGTAACACTGTTGGATGATAATCAATTGATTTCTCATGATTTATTCCACTTGGTTTCTTGGTTCCATCCCCCAAAACAGCCTAATATTCAAGATGAAGATCCCTTGGATATTTTATTAATAATGTGGCTATTATTGTTAATATAAAATAGGATCTAAAATTATATATATAAAGATAGTTACAATGCCATCATCTGAAACATGAAGGGAACATGTTTAAACACATCTTTGGGGAAGTATTTTTTGATTTTTCCATCCTCCTCAAAAGGAACACTTGGTTCCTCATTATTTGGATTACAAATTGCCTTACACACAAAATTAAAAATAAATGCTCCAAATCCATATCCTGCAATAATCAAACCAGACACCATTCCTCTATTGAAGGGAAAGAATTTCCAACCACAAACTACACGTTTAATAATATCTTACTTATGGGTAACATATATACTAATCCAGATGGAATACCAACCATGAAACAATATATGAAAATGAATGCGTAAATGTTGTTTATGAATGACAATATTAAAAAGGCCAGCGATATGATGCTCCCACCCAATCCAACCATTGTTTTGTATCCGATTCGTTGAGCTAATTTTACTCCAAACGAGAGGACAGAAAATAATCCAATTCCTAATATAGGAAATATGATCTAGAGTGTCGATTATGTGACACTTGGATCCTTGTCTTTCATATAAGCACCAACATAGGGACCTAAATAAATAACTAATGCCTACTAATTCCACCCCAGAGATAAAATGTTCCGAGTACAAAGTGTAGAGCAATTCCTCCAATTAAACAAATAACACCCTAGATTTTGATACTCCTCAACTCCTTTTAAGTGTATTCTCGCAAGTGATGTTCATCGCCATGATCATCTGCCTAACTTTCATGATGATGATGTTTATCAAACTCATGATCACTTTAAGCAGCTTACTGTGGTATTTCTTGCGGTTTCATCAATAAAGATATATTAATTATTTAATGCTTAATCTATAGATATGTATAAAATCATAAATTTCACTTCACTGTGCTTTATTCAAGTTCATTTATTCTTTATCTTATTCTTTATTATTGTTAATATTTCTCATTGATGCGTCATTTCTCCAATTGTGCATAATAAAGCGTCATACTATTCATAATTACAATCATTACTTAAGCCTATTAAATAGTCATCTTTGTCTATAAGGTCGTTTAAAAATACTTAATTTTAAATTAATACATTTTCTATTCATCAAATTTCGATCTCTTTCATTGAAGCACTGCTCTATAAGTCTTCATGCACGTGCTATTTAGTGATCATTTTAATAAAAACGAATTAATTTAATATTAATAATACCAAATGTAATATAAAAATTGTAAATTCAATTGTAAAATGAAAAATAAATATGCATAAAATTGATTCTTTTACCTTTGCCAGTAATTACAATACCACACACTTTATTTTACAGCTGCAACTTAAATTATCGGAATCAAGGGATGCTAACTATAATTGGAATATGAAAGTGATTGAATTTGTATTATTAAATTTATTTAATTTAATTGATAATATTCTCTGAATGAAATTATTTGAACCTAAATCTACATGTATATTAATACCATTAAATTTTAACATAGACGATTCAATATCTATACTTAACAATGAACTACCATTTAACTATGAAATTATTGATTCAAATTAACAATTAAAAGAGGTATATTATTTATAATATTGATAATATTCTAAAAAATGAAGAATAGATGATTTGTCTTGAATAAATATCAAAATTCTTAATCGAGTTATTTTTATTAAAATCTACTAATTAGTTTATAAAATGTTTAATATTGATTATTCTTGTACATATATTGATCACTTAAACGATCCTATATAGGGCTTTTGCTTAAACTCAGACTGTTAATGTTCTCAAAAATAGTTCTGTTTGAAATGTATTCAAGATGTAGATAAACACTCAAAGCATAAAGAAGATTGTAAAGGTTTCAATGAAATTCTTGGTTTATTAACAAAAAATATTGCCACATTCTCCAATCTATATAAAGAATTAGAAGGCTTATTTCTAGAAGTTAGAGCAATTTATGATAAATAATTAAAAGAAATAGATGCTACTAAGAGCAAATTAATTACTCTCTAGCAGATGCTTGAAGAATAGAATTATTAGGAATTAAGAGAAAGTTCTAATTTATCAATTTTAAGATTTATGTATTCATTGACTTGGAATAGCAAATTGGGATTAAACAATTCCTATAGTATACTTTAATTTTATAACATATAGAAAATGAACTATTGATCTAAGATCCACGATTCAAGAACCTCAAACTGCTATTAACTTCATTCGAGTCACTGAAAATTTAAACTACAAATAATGTCGGAAATTCCTTTGTATGTGTCCAATAGTAGGGTACTGATCCAGAGATGTCCTACATGAATCAATCTTAACAATTATTTGAAATAGGTGTACTTTCAATTATATTCAAATAGGATTATAATATATGCAAGAACATGAATGGGAGAAAGCAGATTAGATATTTAAGAGAAGTATAGATAGGAATTAGAATGATTATAAGACTTTATTCTTTTACAGTATATTTGAATATAATTTAGGTTGGGTCTTAATTGAATTGAATAAATGCCAAGAAGCTTAGTCATTACTAGAATAATCTCTTGAATTGAATAAAAATCTTTCTATTGATTTACTTAATTGGTGCGGATGGGAAAGAAATACATCATTTAATTCAGTGTTAACAATTGCTTAAGCTTATGCCTTAGAATTGAACGATAATTAAGAAAAGGCGATTCTGCTTTATGATTAAGCAATAAATTATGATAAAAGGCAGACATTTGCATATGCAAGAAAAGGTTTGATATAATCGATATATTTTAGCTACTCTGTTAGTAAAGTTCAAAATATATGATGCAGCCCTAGAAACTTTAAACGAGGGTTTAAAAATCACTTATAATAAGGCCTTTATACATTATTGTAAAGGTGTTAATTTTTGATTATCAATAGGAACTGCACTACTTGAGAGCCAAAAATTACATGAAGCATTAAATTCTTTTAAGGTAGCCTTTTCATTTGATCCAAACTTTGGATTGAACAATTTTAATATCGGTACAAATTTTCATCTTTATTTAGGGAACATATTAAGGACTTAACAAAAGCTTGAAGATGCATTCATATATATGGATTCAGCAATAAAAAGTGATCCAAATCTTCTCAAGGCATATACTGGCAAAAGTTATATACACTTCTATAAAATTAGGTTTGGTTTTATGCGAGATGAAAAAGTATGATCTGGCGTTGGATTGTTTAGAGTAAGTATTGAAGATTAATCCAAATTATGAAACAGCATACCATTTAAGAGGTTTATTGACATGATATAATAGGAAATTGTCTAAAATAATAAAGAAAATTCTAGGAAGCTATTTAATAACTAGATAAAGCCATAGCTTTAGATAATAAATATGTGAATGCATATACACTAAAAGGTATTGAATTAAACTAAGTTTAAGGAAATTGCTTAACATGTTTGAAGTAGTATAGTAAAGCTTTGTAATGTTATGACTAAGCTTTATCAATTGATAAGTAATGCATAGAAGTGTATATAAATAAAGGCATTCTATTACAAGACTTAAAAAAATATAAAGAAGCAATTGAATAATATGATTTGGCATTACGAATAGATCCTAAATGTCCTTTGGCCTATAAAAATAAGGGTATTAAATGTTAGTTTATATTTAGGTGTTATTTTAGAAACAATGAAGAAGTTTGAAGAAGCAATAATCTGTTATTAATTAGCAATTGAATTAGGAGATGCTGATTCTGATCAAATTAAAAAGTGGATTGGATCGATTAAAGTTAAGAAGGGAATATCATGGATTTTTGGATATTGATGTTGTTATTAAATAATATAAAATTACGGCTTATTCTTGAACGAGTAACAATTGGTCATTTATCATTGACTCAATTCACAAATACAAGAATCATTTAATTTTATGTAAAAGTTTTTTATAGATTATTTATAAATATTATGTAAAACTAAAATATTAAATCTGTTACATCGAGATAGGATGTAAAACCAATAAAAGCAAATATTACAAGGTAATTCTCATGAAGTATTAAATTAGAGAATAATTTCAAACTCTAACCAAACTATATAACTTAGGGAGATAATAAAACAATAATGTTGAACGTGATCGAAATTAATAATAGCAATAACCATCTAACCAATAATAATAATAAACAATTACGCCAAGAAATAATACACCTTAATCTTGTAGAACTGCATAAGAAGTATTCATTTATAGTAAACAAAAAAAGATGAAATATTTTTTGTATTAAAAAAGTAATCTGAAAGAGCAAGGAAAGATGTAAAATAATTCATAGGTATTGCCTAAAACGAAAAATAGTTTACATCGCAACTTTTCTTAATTAGAAAAGTCAGCAAGTGCTTTGCTTACACCTTTAATCTAAACAACAACCACTCCGTAATCAAAATAGAAAAAATATAATCTGATGTCAATTGATCAAAGATTCCCTTCAAACTAATTCGCATAATAAATTGCATAACAATTGAAAAAGAAGAATGAAACCAATAAGAAAGAAAATTTAAAAGTGAGTTTGGATGATTTCATCACCCAAGTGAGCAGACCAACCAAAACGCTCATTTCCCCTTTTAAATAGACAAAGTCTTTGTCTCCATCAAGCAGAGTGTAATCAGCTAAACCAAAAAGTAATAATCTTAAACTAATATAGAATAAATCTATTATGTTTCTTCCTTAGTTGAAGCATTTAAGCATTAGTATCCTCAAACATCTGAATAATAATTATTCAAGGATCATGCCGTTTAGACATTCAATTGTGTTGGTTTCTGCATGAATCTTTAAGAATCAGATCAATAGATCATTCAATCAAAAATATTAAATTTACCACCAAAATTGAATTGCAAATGTAAAATTCTACTCAGATAATATTAGATTAAAAAACAGTAGTTTTTGATCTTGATGAAACATTGATTCATTGTAATGAAAACTAATCATTAAAGGCTGATGTATATTTACCTATAACATTCCCTTCAGGGGATACAGTCTAAGCAGGTATTAATATTAGACCCTATGCAAAATGGATTCTTCAAGAACTAAGTTAAATATGTGAGGTCGTAGTGTTCACTGCATCTCATCAATGTTATGCTAGTTAGGTGATTTAATACTTGGATCCTAAAAATTAACTACTTTCAGCGCAATTATTTAGAGACAAATGTGTTTTATCACCAGACGGAGTGCATATAAAGGATTTGAAAATATTCAATAGAGATCTTAAAGACATAGTATTAGTTGACAATGCTGCATATTCATTTGGAGTTCATCTAGAAAATGGCATTCCAATAATTCCATATTATGATAATAAGGATGATAAAGAGTTGAAGACTTTATATGACTTTTTAGTTGAATAGGTATTGCCAGCACCTGATTGCAGATTGGTCTTGTAATCAACATTTAGATTACGAGAATTTTTAAAATATAATGAACCAAAGTTAGCTATTGAAAAACTATTTTGATTATTACAATTAATTAATTTATATATATAAATATACTTATTCTATGGCATAATTGTAAGATTATTTTGATAAAAAAGTCATAGAACACAAGAAGTTATTCGATCTTTGAAATAAAATAAAGAGTTGGATGAAAAAGTTACAATAAATTAATCAAACCCAAACAAATTATAAAAACAAAACCAATAGCAGTAACAGTAATCATAGAAAAAAAAACAAGAAATTGATTAACTGTATGAGGAAAGTGTAAACTAATCATAAGCCAAAATGATAATAACTGGAAAAGCAGCTGATAATGCAGTCTAAGTAAATATTATATTTAAAACTGAGTAATTGGATAATGACTTAAAGAAATAAGAGGAGAACTTGAAGACAAGTACTGCGACTGATCATAAAAGAGGATTTTTTACATTAAGTAAACAGGAGAAAGAGAAGAGAAAGAAAATTAATTAGGAAATTGAATTAAGCAAAGAAATATTTTAGAATGCAATTTAAAATGAACCATTATATTGTAAATGTTAAAAGCCTTCTTTTGGATCAATGGTTATGTGCGATAATTAATAATGCTCAAAACAATGGTTTCATCTAGAATGCGTAAAACTAAAAGAGTTCCCTCCTCAAAAAGAGCCTTGGTTTTGTTCTTCAAAATGCAGAAAAGAAGGCAAAGGAGATTTGCAAAAGTGATAATTCGATGTTGTTAACATAAATGATATCGATAAAACTTTCAACGAGGTCTTTATTCTTACAATTCTAACTGCAAAATACAACCATCATAACTCTTGCCATTAAGTTTCTCAAGTGCAATTTCTGCTCTGTTTTTATCTTAAAATTTCAACATGACCTTTTAGATTAAAGGCTAATGAGAATTTTAACCATCCAAGGAATACACCTTTTACTTTCTTCTGTTTTACAAGAAATTAATATAATAGCTGAATCTACCTTCTTCTTAGTCTAATTGTTTTCTCAACCATCCTCTGAAATCATCTTTGGCTCCTAATTGCGTTTAAAATGAGATTTACTTATAATGTCCTAGAATGTTTCAGCATATTCGAATTGCACAAGATTAGACACAATAACTAACCATTAAGAGGAAGCAGGGGCCTATTCAAATTGGATACTTTAACCAATTTAACGAGGACCTTTCATATTCAATATGAATACCAACTTATTGATTTGCTTAGGGTTTAGACGACTCTTTATCAAAACTGACCACAAACAATTATTTAGGAGGAGGGATAACAAAATTGCATTCCTCTTAATTATTTGCCGCTTAAATTCTTAATTCAGCTTCCACGAGCATATCTCCTTCTCTGAATTAGCCTCTTGGTAGATTGGAAACCTCTCCCCATTTTTCCCATTTCTATCTTTCCAATACTCCAGGTCTAACTTGGATTTATTTATAGGTGACTTTGACTTTAGTCTCTTTATCATTAATAGTTTTGTCAACCACTTCTTGTTTGTATTCTGAGTCAGAATCCTCTTGAATCAATTATTATTTCATAAAATAAAGAAATTTTAATTTACTAAATTTTAATAAATTATAAATATAAAATAATTGAATCACATAGGCTTTTTGGAAAAAGTCATTAAGATTTTTCTATCAGCCATTACTTTGCCATGATTTTTAGCTAAGAAATACATAGCATCTTCAACGGTTTTGAATTTTAAGGCGCAGCTATGTTTTTATTTTGGGTCCTCATAAAATCTAAAATATGATAAAAGTTATTACTTAAAATCAATAATATCTGTTTCCAAAAGAGGTTGAATACTTTCTATGTTGAGTAATTCGTTTGATAAATTCATCAGAAAGATTGTATCATTGGGTGAGGCAGCAACAAACGAGTTTTTTGGTTTATATCTATTAGTGGCTTCAGATCCAATGAATCTTTCCTCATAGAAAGTCTTCTCAACCAATCCCAATTCTTCTAGTTCATCTAAGAATGTTATTTCTTACAGAATTGAATAGGTAATCTAAAATATTATAGCAATATTACTTAAAGAGTTTGGCCTTGGAATACAACATTATTCAACTTCTCAATGCATTAATCAGCACATTTCTGAAGATGGTATTCGATCAACAATGTGGACTTGTCTTTCTAGTATACCATTTTGTCTATGTTTCCATAGATACTGAAAATGTTATAGAGCATGTCTATGGTAGTAACAGAGTCATCAAAAGATTTGGCCACAATGACTCTGGATTTCTCTTCTTAATCAACATGATAGATTTGATTCAGAGTATTATTAATTTACAACTATTATTATAATTATTGTTGTCGTTATTAGTTTTGGATTTCGGACAAAGCATTAGCAGATTCTTACTTGATATAATTGATATAATTATCAATGAGTTAATATTGAAGTAAATATTATGATTGTAGTAGTTTTCCTAGTTATACAAATTAATCAACCCATTAGGCTGAAACTATAGTATTAACATAATCAGGGACTTGGAGATCTAAACTTTAGGTTTACAATCTCATCTAAAGTACTTATTATTCATATAGTCTTTGTTATAAATGTTGTTAGTATTAATAGATTGATTATTAGATATTTTATTAGTAATTTTTGGTCGAATTCGCATTCGGATTTTATTCTCCTTAGCTGCCTACTGAATTCTATTCATCATCAGTTGAATTATAGGAATCTCGTTTCTCTTTGTATTTGGAATAATCTATAAATTGGTTTATAAAGAAATTACCTTTGCCAGCAGAATTTGAATCAGAAAAGATGACATTCTCTAGATTACTGGGATACAATTGCATCCTCAGAGAGTTATCCGTGTTCAAAATATTATTATTACATTATTTTATTAAATTTTAGGCAGTTTCTTTGTTTTTGGTTTCCAAGAAGACTTTCCAAATTTGTGTTTTTTCGAATATCAAAATCTAAGAATATTAAGTTTGTTTACTTTCTCGATTTAGCCATATTGGGAGAAGTGTTTATATATTTAATCATGAGTAATTGTTAATTATTTCTTATTTTGAATACAAAGAAGAACGACCTTGGTTAATGCCATTTTGTGTTTGTTATTTATTATTTTTAATCATTCGTAATTTGGGATTAGGATTTAACATTAACTTACGTTAATTCACAACGATAATTTTAGATAATTAAAATTATACAAATTATATACTCGATATTACATGTTGTATATAAATTAAAATGGCAGTAAAATATGACCCAATATTAAATTATTATTCTAAACTCAAAATAATTCTTTCTCTTATGTCAAAATGACAAATTGAAGTAAAAATATTACTAAAATAAAGCCAAAATTCATTTTCCTGCAAAAATTACGCATTGATTTTCCAATCATTTTGTTTAAAGGATTTTAATGCAATCTCTCTCATTCTATTTTATAACTAGAAATATCCTTAAGTGATGAAATTAACTTAAAGATAATTTTACTATCGAATAATTATGAACTAGCTGCATCTTTTGAAGAATTAAAAAGCTTTGTCATCAATTGACAAAAAGATTAAATAATGTTTCTAAATTAATTTAGGAACTTAAACAAACGTAGAACACTTAAAATCTATTCTTATTAGCAATCTTAATTACAATTTGAATTTAACATAAAATAATTTCAATAGGTCTTTTTCTAATGCTGTCTCGAATTAATCTATGCTTAAATGGCTCTTTCATATTTATTTGAACTTAAAGTAAATATAATTTCAAATAAATAGAGATTAGACAAATCAAATTATATTGCGATAGCTTAATTTCTTTTTCATATTGCCAAAAAGAGTCATATAATTAGTTTTCATAAATATATATCAGTAATTACGTCATAATTCTGATAAAAACAATATTAAAATAAAATTATTCACTCAAAATATGAATGATTTCTTTAATCAATGATCCATTTCTGTCAGAATAATTAGAAATTCAAAATTTGTTAGTAAGTGATACCATAAAATTGTTAAATTGTAATATTCTATTTATTATTTATTGAAATTACACATTTATGAACCAATACATTATATAATAATAAAATGATATTTTTTCAAAAATCGAAATGTTGTGTATGTGCAAAGGATCTATAAGCATTGTAAGAATTTACAATATTAATAAAGAAAGTTGAGAAAAAGCTATAGATGTAAGATGTGTCACCAAGATGTTTGCATTAATTGCAGTGATAACCGTGTTAAAGTATAAATACCTTAAAATTAGTTATATGCCAAACCAAATGATTTTGTTAAAGATTTCAATTTACCATAACGTGTGTGTGATAACTGTCATAAAGATTATTCATACTATCAAAAATTAATTTAAGAATATGGACTCAAATGGAATACTAGATCTTTGCTTCAATCAAAATGGATTGGGAAACTGGAAAGGAAAATCAAGATGTAAATAGCTATTTCAGAAAGCGACAAGGAAATTATTGATAAAGATGTTATCACAGGAAGATCTGAGGCTTTTTTATTTAATTATAGTTTGAGAGAGTTTATCACCTAATGTTAAGAAGGTTATGATCAAACCTATATAAGGGAATCTATTATCAAAGTCTTATAGCTATTTGTTACACATTATCCCATAATTGGATATTGTTAAGGAATGAATTAGATAGCAACAATTTTGTTGTGTGTTTCTGATGAAGAAGGAGCATTTCACATTATGAACTACATTTTCAAATCTATCATTCCTCCAAGATTCTACTCCAACTCATAAGGAGCCACTTTGATTGGTTATCAAGCAGAACTTTACTTTTTAAAAACTTTGCTAAAAAGTTTGAATTTATAAAATTTTGATCAACTCAGCAATTTTTTAGATGTTTCAGGACCTCAAATGTTGTTAACTTTGATGTTATAAGTGTTAAATACAAGTTCCTTATTTGTCACTTGGGGAGAGATGTTTAAGAAGAACTCTTTCATTCCTATTGATCAAGCAATCATTCTTTCTTTAGTCCAGGCATCCAAAACTTTTGACCTAACAAAGTAAGGCATCATTGAAGAAATTGGAAAGAGTATTTATATATACTATCTGTAGATATTAAATATAGTGATTTATCTTAAATATTCAGTAAAGAGGGTGCTTATTTTACTAGCTTTGAAAGGTAAGTTTAGATAGAACAATACTATTCATAAACAAGCAGATCCTGGGTTAATAATGAGAAATTAGTACTCTTTAGACTCAAAAAAATCACCAATTTTGACACTGAGGAGATTCTGGAAATCTAGAATGAATTTAAAAAGTATTGCATGGAATCTAGAAGTGTCTCCATAAGCAGATAAGATAGACAAAGTATTAAATAATCAGCTTAATTAACTGATTCCTCAGATGATGATAGTGATTATCTATAAAATTTGTAGATATAGCAGGTTAAGTTACAAAAGTATGGTATTAATAAGGAAGCATTTCTTGATCTTATGGTATTATAATCTAATTATATAGATTTCTTTAGGAATAGTTTCATTAGCATTAAACTAAGTATCAAATTTTAGATCGACATAAATATGAACTAGTGTTTAATTTATTTGACGAAAATAAAACGGAATTGCTTGATTTTAGAGAGTTCTTGATTTGTTTGAGTATCTTGTTAAGAGGATCCTTTGAGTAAAAATTGAAGATGTTTTTCACTGCACACACTGGATCTAGTTTAAGAGATCAGGAATTTTAGACCTTATTATCAATAATTATTCCTTAAGATTTACAATCATAAGATGAGTATCAATCATTCTTGAAGAGAATATATAAACCTCAATATTCTTATTAAGATATGCTCTAAGTGTCATAAGATCCATTTGTTTCAGATAATGAATTTAAGAGGGAACGAAGTCAAACATCAGTAATAATAGCATAATCATTAAACCATATAAAATACAATTGATTTCATGATCCTTAGTTTAGCTATTCAATATTTATTATTATTGATAATATTTCAAATTTTATAATACCCCTAAGACTGATAAAAATACTCTGAAATCCATCTAATTTTCAGAAGAACAAATTAGATTCAATTTGATAATCAGGGCTAATGAGGAATTCTATTGTGATACATAAAATTTGATATTCTTGCTTTATATAATCTTTTTATATTATTGAAATATGTTTATTTTCTATTGTACTAAAATATAATTAATGATCGTAATCAACGATTGGTTTTGGCAACTTTCTCTAATTCGTCTCTCTTTTTAATAGTGTATGACTTTTATCCATCTTCATTGGATGCTGCGATCAATTCATCAGCTAAGGCTTCTGCAATAGTTTTCATCTTCTTAAATACAGAATCTCTGACTCCCTTGGCTAAATTGTGAACAGCCTTTTTATATATTTGAATTCCTTACTTCATTAACTCTTCTAATTGGAGCAACATCAACTGCTTATTATTTAGCGACACCACCTGTTCCTACTTTAGTGAAATCTTCTCTGGCTCCACCTCTTTAGACAGCTAATGACAATACTGCAAGTGGATTCTTGCCTGTCAATAAATGCACTATTTCAAAGGCATGTCTGATTATTGCTACAGCCTTTACTTTCTTACCTGTATTTCTGCCGTGAAACATAAGTGCACCAGCCAATCTCTCAACTATTGGGCATTAAGCCTTTCTGAACTTCTTTCTTTGATATCTATGAACATTATTATGCCAATTATATACCTTCCAGCAGTGTGGGGAACAAACACTCTTGATTTTGATGTTTGAACTGCAATATAATCTTTGAAGCATTAATCTGTCACTTGTACTTCATCATAATCCCATTTTCCAAATAATTTAGGTTGGTTTGCAAATTTGACTGTGGCCACAGATTCTTATTCAGCCATAATAATTTTTTTAAAAAGGATTTTTATTTATTTAAAATTTTATATATATACATATACAGGTAAGTATATAGAATTGATTAAGATACTTGTGATCATTTTAATATATCAAATATAATGGAGTATTTAAATTTGCTTAGTTATCTGAACTGCTCATAGATCTTCATCATTAAGAGATCGTCTAATTTTGGAGATAAGTTGACATCGTTATAATCAAGAGCTTTCCTAAACTCTTAAATATTGCAATGATCTCCTTACAATTGTAAATATGACACTATTTTATTTTAGAATTATTTCATCACCTAATTTATCTCAATAATAATACTTAGCATAATTATGTGTATAAAACTTTGTGTTCTTCGCAAGATATTAATTCATATTGTTTTATGAGATTTTTAAATATACTAATTGCGATTACAATATCGTTCTAACAATTTACATCATAATAGATCCACTCTTCTTATTCTGGTTCTATAATAAATCTAGCAATTAATGTAGCCTATTCATCATTTAATTCAAATGGTTATTATTTAAAAGTTTCAATCAAATCTGACAATGTCAAACATCCTTTTACAGATTTTGAGTAGATATATTGATCTAATCTATTAAATGGAATTTCATTCAATTTTAATTTCATTTATAATTCCAATAACATTAATGAGATTTCATGAAAGGTAACTTTCTAAATCCTTTTCTTATTTATTATTACTGAGGCATGCTTTTTATTTCTATCAGATGACTCATTAGGCTAATCAATTACAGGTAAAGACTTCCGTTTGTCTTCATTCTCCAATTAAAATATTTAATCTTTCAAAGTAGCTATAACCAAGTGCAAATTATCGATATCCTTTTTATGATAGAAGTCTTTCTATTACAATTATTACTCTAAATCGGTTATCTTCTTCTCTAGTTCAGCTATCTACTCTTATTTATAGATTAACAATTGTTCCTATCTCTAATATGACATTAATTGCAAATCTAATTTTTACTACCATTACTTATTAAGATCAGCAATGGTTCTCTTGGGATTGCTATATTCAAAATGAGTTAAGCTTAATTCCTTATCTTTTTCTTAAATAAGCCTTTCAATTTGTTATCGCCTAAAATTACTTTAATGCAACTCAGTTTCAAGTTTCTTAACTTTTGTATTCAACTATTGTATTAGTTACTAGTTGTCATAAAGTTACTTAGATAGATAAATATTATCTTTGTTTAATTCATCATTGCTAGCAAATTAACTAGACATGAGATATTAATTTAAATTACCTGATATGTCTTTAAGCTTAATACTTTTTGAGTAATTCTTCATATTCTTATTAAATAACATCGTATTGAATCTATAATGAAATAGATGATAATACTTGCAATTCAGTATATCTAGTTTTTCTGGTGTCTCTTTTGAGTTCTTCAATTTATTGATTCTTTTGTTAAATAGTATTTTCTAATTCTTTTATTTATTTAGAATAAGCGATAATCTAACATGTCTATGAAGATATATTAAATATTTCCTCATTAAATGCTTTAGTGTAATCACTCTATTGTGTTTGCATCTTCGAGTCAAAGTGAAGTTTCTTATTCATTTGCAATGCTTTTTCCTGCTTATTCAATTATTTCTAATTAAATTGTATAAACAATTACTTGAAGATGCTAGATTTCAAATCTGAGCTTGGCATTGTTATCATTCAAGACATTGATTTGCAATTTGAGATGCATAACAGTTTCTTCTAGTTTTTCTTTATCTTTGGGTTATTTAAGAATCACTAATAATGAATAGTACATAAGTCTTACATTTATTAGTTGTAAAGAAATGCTATTTGCATTCACTCCTACATCCAGACGATCTTCGAGCTGACGATATACGAAAAGGGGAATTCATATGAGTTAATTAATTATATAATCATAAAATATCAAAATAAAGAATGGATTTACAACATTCTAAATCTTTTGCAGCATTGACTTAGTAGAATAGTTAGCTATTTAAACCCAAACAACTCTCGTTTAAATAATAGATGGGTATATAATAAGATCAATAATCCAGCATAGTAACCTACGCAGACTCATAGATTATAGATACAGGCACTTACGACGCCAACAATGACAGAATGTGATTCTAAGTATGATTTCTAGTTTTATGAAGTCCTTATGTAAATTAGCAACTTTATTCATTTAAATCCTACAGAATATCCACTGAAATGATAAATGGATCTCCTATTGATCAAATATAATTGATATTGAGGGAAAATGAGAATTTAAAACGATCATTAAACCAAAAATAGTAGATTATAGAATCCTTAAGTCGAAGTCGCAAAGTTAAACCAAGATTGGACTTCAGTGACTTAAAAAAGAACTCTAGATCTCTTGTTCAGCCGTAAAGTTAACAGGAATCCATCAAACCGAAGAATATTGAAATAAAATAGTCCATCTCTTAAAATTATAATAAACGCATTAAATTGCCAAAAATAGAGGATTCCATACCAACAAAGGAAGATGAATGTAATTTCACATTTGCCAATAATTTTTTCAACAATAATACTTGCAAAAATTAAAAGATCAACTTCAAATAAGTGTTTACATAGTCTCATTTGAAAAAAAAATTTTTCACTTGATAAATTTATATTATTTAATGACAGAATATTGTGATCAAATTGTGACATCTTAAATCATAAGCGATGTAATAAAACGAGGGCCGATACTGGAAACAAAATCGATGTCCTACAAAGTATAACACAAAAGTACTGATACTGAACCTCATTTGTAATTATAACATAATTTATTTTGAATGTTTTAGAGCTTGGGAAACAGTTAAATACACATTCGAAATTATCAAAACAGATTTGATTCATGGTATAGAAGAAAACCATATATTTACAAGAAGGTATAACTTATATAATATGAAGATATTCGCATTTTGAATGGCTACAAAATGAGTTAGAAACTAAACATATCGGAAGAATACTACCAAGTTTGCCAGAAAAAACCCAAAATTATGATAAAGATAAAAGGTAAATGTATGTTCTAAACAATAGAAAATATGAATTTATATATTATATGTAAAAGTTATTAGATCATAAATTATTAAGAAATTCGGATGTTTTACAGAAATTCATTAGCAAAGAATATAAGGTATTTATTCAGTTATTAACATAGGATTTCAATGATTTTTAAGAATACATTAATAAACTTAGCGATTAAAATACATTCATTAATAGAATAATGAACACAGGAGTTACTTTTGTTTCACTTTTTTAAAAATGCGTGAGTTTTGGATCTTCTACAATCTTGCCAAGAGTGCCTGATAAATAGGACTTATATTTTGATGAAAGTAAACATTTTTTTTTAATCTTGAGTTTTGAAAGAACTTTAATCAAGCAAATAATAGACTGAAATGATATATTCAGATTTGTAAAAAATAGTCTAAAAATTATATATTCAATCCAAATCACTGATAATTAGTCAAGAAATTTTCAGTAAGCCAATTCAATTTATTGTAGTAACTGAATGTTAACAAAATGATGAATTCATGAAATTAAAAAGGATAACAAAAATATATGAAAATTTTTAAATATAACTAAAGGAGACATTTATTTATCGACTAGAAACCTGCATTAGAGATTACCTTTAGGCTTTGAAAATTATTAATGAGTACAGAGAATTAAAAGATCAAATTCATAAAGATTCTTAATAAATTAATAATATTAATATCGGAAAATCAAAGTTGGAGGAACTCAAATATACCTTAAGCAATAATAAATAAAAGATTGAATAGATATACACCAACTTTTTAGATGATCTTCCAATATTCAAATAAACATAGTAATTGTATTTAAAAGATATCTAATCAAATTTTCACTCAGAACTGTCAGCGTTCTATTTTACACTAAAAAACTTAAAATAATTATGATATATAATTCAGTTATTTTGATATTGAATTTATTTAATTAAGTTATTGATATATTTCAAAAATGTCTAGTAGCAATTAATAGGATGAATCCTACGATGAAGAGTAAGAAGACGATGAAATTGAAACTGTTTAGGAAAATGGCTTAAAATAGTTATTCAAAAATCAAGGTATATTGTGTTAAATTAACTTAAAATTAGAGCAATTCATGTAATAAATCAATTATCTCAATGACCAAGCAGTTCTAAAAATTAAACTCTAAAAGTTCAAAGAAGCCATGAAGTTACTCTAATAATCAGAATAAATGTTGGAAGTATTCCATATTCTTTATCCATAGTATGCTGCAAGTTGTGGTAAAACCATAGATAAAAACTTAATTATCGTTGTTCTCTACAATCAAGCATGTGGATATTAGTGGTACAAAAAATAAACTATACTTAGTTAATGGGTTTTGGACAAATGTTCCAAATACTTATCTGGAGTGATTTATAATATGGAAGAATGCATGAAAGAAGAAGAATAGGAAACAAACAATCTGGCAAGCACCTAAGAAAGTGATGCTTCTTTAGTCAAAAGCAAAGCCTTTTTAGCAAGAACACTCTTATAACACACAGCCATTTTGAGTCAATTAGGAAAGTATAAATTAGCATTAATTTAGACATAAATTAGCATTACAGTCTGCCAGAAAAGCAGCTAGTACAATGAGGGAAGTGTTTAAGATAGCTTCCCAATTTTGTAAGGACTGGTTAAACAAAAATGGATCCCTGGGATCAGCAACAACTGCCAATTCAAGTCTAACAACGAAGTCAAAATAAAAAAATAATAAATTTCAAATGAAAGACGAAGTAGAATTCAGTAGATTAGTTATTGATGCCAGTAAAGATATTCTCTAAGATTTGTCAAAGTAATAAGATTTAGATAATATATCTAATAATGAATAACTGATTCTAAGAGAAGCTAAGAAATAATTATATTTCTGGAGAACCAATCCAGAAAATAATGAAAAGCATATTCGTAAAGAATTGAAATTAGATCAAAAGGAAGACGACTATCGTTCTATCCTAGGAGTTCAAAATGTGCAGGAGTGGATTCAAACCTTCAATATCGGTTTCATTATGCACATGACTCCACAAATTTATAAAGACTTCTCATCACAAGGAGAAATGCTATATGAAATTTCCAAGAGATTGTTGCTTGAGAAAATCATTTATTTATCTATATCCTACTTCACTATTGCAACTGAACTAAGGTTCATTGAATTAGACAAAGCTAAACAATAAGGAATCAAAGACATTAATACTGATGAGTTTAAATTAAGCGAATTATATCATCTAAAAGCAGTTGAAATTGCTTGTAAAAACATTACTTGCTCATCTCCTTACATTAATCATTTAATTACAAGTTATCATAAACATTATAACTCTAATTTAGATACAATATAAGAAGAATCTATGATGTCTATGGTATCAGAAGTAAATTATAAAGAATAAAAATTATTAAAACTCAAATAGATGTAAATTCAAACCCAAAGAGAAAATCAATCTATACTCAAAAATTTAGCTGAAATAAAATTAAATGATTCATCTCCTTCTGGAAAATTTGTAAATTCTTTTCTAAATTAATAATCTCCGTTAAAAACTAATCGAAATATTAGTGATAATGTAAAACCATAGACTAGTCTTATGGAATAGATGATAATTAATAAAAGAAGATAATAAATGCCATCAGATATGTCTCCTAAATAAAAAGTATAGTTTTTTAATGCAACATCAAATAATAGTTGTGAAAGAATTAATGAAAAGTTATTAAAGACTTAAGAAACGTTACCTATTTAATTATAACCCTATAAATCAGCTAAAACGACTTTTAATAATCTTATTAAGCAAACATAGAACTCTTAGGCTTCTTCAAACCAGAATAATAATGGACTTTTGAAAGCCTTTTTTTTTGATAATTGTAGAACTGAAAGAATGAATGCAAGTTCGAATTAGTCCCCCAGGAGAGTAGGCAGGTCTCCTGAAAAATCTCCTGATAGATCTCAGATTTCCTTAAAACCTAGAAATTCAGTTTTGGGCAATAAAACTCCTTAAAATAGGCCCAGAACAGACACTGAACAATGTAAATATTAATAACTATTGAATAGAATGTCATATTAAATTTGAAACTATCTAGTAGTTATTAAGAGGGTAATATGGTACTAATTAAAAAAGAAAATGAATATAACTTATCATTCTTATTAGTTTTGTTTATTAGCTGTTAAATAATTTAATTCATAATTTCATACTTAATAATAATATGTAAAATTTAAGACTATTAGTTTGACAGCTTTCACATCTAAATTCTATATTTTATTGAAAAATTGACAGCTTTATGTATTCTTTTCAATTCTTTTATTTTAGTAGTTTAATACATTAGTTTTTTAAGTATTTAACCAAATCCTAAAGGTATTTTTTTTCCTGGTTTAAATGGCTTAACCGTTCCATGTTGCTTTGTTCATTGATTTCAATAATCATTATGATAGATACTCTGAGAATTTATATTTGTAATTTATATTTCATTTTTGATATTTACTTTGAAATATTTATTCTACTTTGCAATTGTGATAATGTTGTAATCCAAACTCTTTGGCCTCAAATAAGAATCCAATTGATCTTCATACTATTTATCAATTCAGATATCTTCAATATGTATCTTTAAACCCTTTCAAAGTTATTATTTTCGTTTTCAACTAAGATTAGCCCAGAATAATTCAGGAATATTTTGAGTGATATTTAAATTAATTTTAAATCTTGACATTATTTGATATTTTGAATGATTTTTCTTAATAATATATTGGATATTTTTATGAAACTAAGCATGAATCAGAAATGGTTTTTGAAGCCACTTTATTAAATTATATGTTCTTGATTAGAAATTATAGTTTTAGACCTTATTATAATTAATAATTTGCATATAACATTGATATCATTATTAAGCACATTAGACTCTTTGCCCACCATGTCCTCTTTCATCATCATCATCTTCCTCATCCTTCTTACCACCCTCTGGGTTTGAATTTACATGAGCTTCATCGTAATCTTCTAAAAACAAAGTTTTTTTAGCTTCAAGCTTTGCTTATTATTTAGGACCTGGTAAAACCTTTAAATAACTTTAAAAAATACCTTCTTCAATTATTCTACTTGTTCGTTTTTGAGTTATCCAGGTAATGGGAACTCAATTTCAAATTTAATATGAAGATCGCCTTCACTCATGGCATCTTTGTAACAAGGCATACCCTTCTTTTTTACTGTCTTTATTTGAGCTAAAATAATAGACTCATTAATTACCTGGTGAAATAATTTCTCCAGGCTTAGTAGAGATGTGTAGATTAGTACCGTCTAAGAATTTCAATGTAAATTGTGTTCCTGTCAAGGCTTCGACTAAAGTTATCTTTTTATTCATAAATAGATCAGCACCTTTCCTTTCATAAACATCGTGTTTCTTTATTTTGATTCTAACATAAAGATCTCCAGCCATAACTCCTGGCACTTCATCACTTTCTCCGTAAAATTGATAATCATGCTCATCAGGTACACCTCTTTCCAATGGGATTTCAATAACTTTTTCTTAGTCTATTACTTTATTTCCTTTGCATTTCTTGCATCTATCCTTTTCTGGGAATATTGTTCCATCACCACCACAATCATTGCATGGTCCTGTAGATTAGGAATACATTCCTGGACCAATCATCTATAATTTTTGCACCATTCCTCTTCCTTTGCATGTTGTACATTGCTTTGCATTTGCACCTCCTTTTCCTTCACATCCTTCACAAACTCTCTTTCTTTTGTGAGTCAAATGAATCATCTTTCCTTCAAATACTTCTTCAAGTGTGACTTATTATTCTCTCATTTTTGCTTTCATTTTCTTAGGACCTTATTCTCTTCTTCCTCCGCCACCACCAAAGAAATGGCTGAAGATATCTCCCATATCTCCACCGCCTCCGCCATTTTTAACACCTTCCATACCGAAACGATCGTAGAGGTCTTTTTTTTCTGGGTTTGAAAGAATTTCATAAGCCTCAGTCAATTTTTTAAACTATTATTTGTGAATTATCCCATACTTTTTCAGGATCACCACCTTTATCTGGATGCTCCTTTACAGCCTTTTTACGAAACGCCTTTTTGACATCATCTGTAGTGCTTTAAGGAGGTACTCCCAACAGTTCATATAAAGTTTTGTTGTCTACTTCTCCTTAACTATTCGAAGATTCCTCTTCTCCCATACCACCAAATGGAAAGCCTCCAGGAAAACCACGAAATCCACCTGAGAACATCTATTAAAATATTTAAAAATAGTTTGAAAATTTCGATAAATTTTTATTATAAAAAAAGAGATGTTTCTAGAAACTTTTATTTTATTATTTATTTTAATTTATTTCTTTTTTTGCGCTGCTCATCCTTATTTTTTATCACTCACTTAATGATCTCCTCAGGTTTCTAATCATTGATGTAAGTGTCACTTAATAGAAACTCTTTTCTGTGAATTTGAAATTCAACATTTTCTCTTTTAACTAATTTTAGAATTGTCAATTAGTAAATCAATTCCTGCATTTTGAACGAAAAATGAATACTAATATTAAATGTACACATCTTTAGAATCAAGATATTAACTTCTAAACAGAAACTCAACATTCTTCTACTTCAAAATTTGAAATTAAATTAAATTTTTATTTTTTAACATAGACTTGTGTTTAAAATGGGCATTACTATTTTGTCATAATATTATAAATAAAACTATGTCTATATTGAATCAAAAATTCTCATCTTTAAATTTATATATTTTTATAATGTAAGATTTTAAAAGAACTAAACTTGAGAGTTCTTGTAATAATATTTAAATTGACTTATATTAGATAATTCTTAAAGAACAGAAGATTTTTCAATTATCAATGGCCAACCTAGTGTTTATAAATAGTAGGAGTAAAAAATTACTTAATTTGATGAACAAGCAAGTGAAATATCAGAATACTAAGAAAAGTAAATGCTTAAATAATCTAGCAAATCAACATCACTTAAATAGCCTCTACCTATCATTTAGTAAAATATTGAAAAATCAGTATATGAATCCTAAATTTATGAATCAATTGCAGATTCATAACCAGGATCTGAAATTCAAGCCCTTATTTAATAGAAAAAAATATAAGATCAGAAACCAGTACGATATTGAATAATATAGATCTATTTAAATATCATGGTCGTTGGATAATCAGGATTGGGAAAATCGACATTTATAGATGTCTTGTTGAAAAAAAAACTTGGAACTGGTCAAATAATTAGAGATTCCACTCTTTAAATCTAAGAAATTTAGGGTATCCATCGCTTTCTATTCAAGGGCAAATCTATAATAACGATTTAAGTTTAAATATCAAATTTATTGATACTCCAGGTTTTCGACACTAATATGGTTTACGTTCATGGTTAAAGCTACTATGCACTTATATTCACAATTAATTTAATACATATAAATTAAGACAGACCTAATAATATGAAAGCAAGGAGAAATTTCAAAAATTGTCATAATAAGATCTTGATGAAAGAGTTCACGTTTGCCTCTACTTTTTTTCAGGTCCTAGAATTCAAGCAGAAGATTTATAAGCCTTGAAAAAGATAAGTGGTTTAGTGAATGTCATTCCAATCTTAGCAAAAGGCGATTCATATACAAAAAATGAGATTATTCAATTGAAATAATAGTTTAATGATCTCATTAGCGAATATCACATCGATTTGTTTAAATGCCAATGCAATAATAGCTATTAAGAAAAAGGTTAATTTGGAATCACCCCACCTTACGTGATAATTAGTTCAATTGAATAATTTTAAGTTGGAAATCATTTTATTTATGGAAGGTAATATGTATTATAAAATTTAGAAAATTTCCTTGGGGAATTTGTGACATTTTTAACCCTTAACATTCAGATTTATCCATACTTTATAAATTATTAATTGGGCATTACTGTTTTGAACTAATTAGTTTGACTGAATATCTTTACAACAAATATGAACAAAAAGAAAAAGAAAAACTAAAATTGTAATTATCAACTTAAAATTGGTTAAGAAACCTATTGCGCTATTTCTTTAATTTTTGAACTATATTATGCTTCAAATAAATTAAAAATATAAAATATATATGATTTAACCTTCAATATAATAATAATATTGTTGATTATTTTTATCCTCTATTTAAATACTTATTTTTATTCAGACTAAGTTTAAGAGAAAATTCTTTATTATATTTGTTAATTGATCGTAATTCGAGTTTAATAAATTTAAATCATGTTTTTGAAATTCAACAACCACTACATTCTTTACTATTCAATACTATTAATTATATTAATATTAGAATACTATTAATTATATTAATATTAGAATATTGTAATTGTAGAAAAATTAACCAGCATATACAATTCCTTCTTTGTTATGAAATTCTTTTGCCATGCATTTAATCCTAAAGCCAATCTCCGACATATTGATCTCCATTCCTAATAAATTTCATTATATAATTGCCAAAAAATCTATTACCCTATTCCATATTTAATCTTAAACCCATTCTCCATCATCTGTTAGAGCATGAGTATATTTTCCTCTGTCATACTTTTAATCAGCCAACCACTCTCACACATATCTGTCTCCATTTGCAAATAACATTTCTCAGTTCTCTAATCCTTTCTAAATAATCCTGAGTCTATATCTCTTGACGAAGCGTATTTAAATTCTCCTTCCCCAACATTCTTACCATACTAAAATATCCTTTATAATGATCTCCATTTTCATATTATAATATTCGAAAACCATTTGGCAAATCATTTCAAAATTAACCCATATCAATCGATTATCCATTGCACATTGTAAAAACTTCATCACCATTTTTTCTTAATTCCTATCCTACTCTTCTCTATAAGTATTCCATTAAAGGTATTACATTTTGGCTTAGCCACATAATTGCTCATTTACCCTCTTTCCATCTACTCTTGCCTATCATTAAATTTCATAATTCCAAATCCTCTTTTCCATTCTTCTCCAAACTCCATCATAATATTCATACTTGCTATAATAAACATATCTTCCTTTCCCATGCTTTTTATCATTTTACCGAATCTACATCATTAGTAATTTCAGTCAAATAATAATATTTTCTATGTCTATGTTTAAAACAATTGGACAATACTCCAGAATATCTTTCCCCTAGAGATCTTTAATTCTAATACCATCTGCAATAAAATGAGTGCTGAACCATTAAAATTATCATCAAACCATTAACCTATAAAGATCTCACCATTATTATAGTAATATAATATATTCCATACCCTAATCTATATCAAATTATTTATGTACCGCTCCTTTATCATTAGATAATTATCCTTAGTATTTGCTACCATCAATGAACTTCTTTACTTTACAATCTCCTCTCAAATTTCCTTTTTCATCATAAATATATAGTTATTTGAATTTTTCGATCGGTTTTATTCAACTCTATTTTGATTTAAAATTGCTCCCATTTATTATCATCTCCATGTTCTTTGTAGCCTTAACGATATTAGATTTTAAGTACTTTTAATTTCTGGAATTTTTTTAATGAAATTTATATTAAGAATATCTAAATATAGCAAGGATAGATATTATAAGCTTTTGAAACTTTTGAATAACGTAGCTCAATATCTAACACAAAAAAAATCGTGTAGAGGATTTAGTGAATAAAAATTAGATAAATAAATAAATAATTAATTTATCTCTTAGATTAATTTATAATCAGAAATTATTTTGTAATAGTGATAAACAAGGCAAGAAATTGATTCAAAAGAAAATGGAAAATAATTATGGTTGAATAAGAAGAAACCTGTATAATTCATTCTTATCAAACTTAGATGTTTGAGAAATCAGCGCTTTCGACAACAGATAAAGCTTATTCGCTGATTCCAAGTTCTCTAGTGAATTCGTTCTTTAAGTTGGTGTATGTGTCAGTTTCTTCTGCATAGGTGTTGTTTTCTAATTCAAGTTCAGCAGTGTATTATTTTCTGTCAGCATCTCTTTAGTCTCTGAATTCAGTCATTTAATCAATCTTTTCTATAAATTCATTATTTTATTTTGTTACCGTTGGTGGCTGTCAAATCAACATTGACTCTGTTAATTTATCTTTAGAATTCAGCATATTCATCATCTAATTGTTCAAGATATTCTTCATGATCAGCTTAAGCTTAGGCTTCGGCAGCTGTTTAAGCATTGATAGAATCAACAACAGCGTTTCTGAATTCATTAAGGGCATCAACGATTTAACCAATAATGCCTTAGTCAGAAAAGTTTTAATTTGATGCTAAAGAAATAAGAGCCTTGATCATTGGAGCCATCTTGGATCTTGACTTGATTTTTGCTTCAATGTTTTTCAATGAATTTTAGAATCTTTTAACTTAGAGAAGTGATGGATTTGTAAGTGTTTAAAGAAGAGCAAGAGCATCATCTACAGCAGCAGTTGCATCATTCAATTCAGCAATTTAGAATTCAAAATCTTCGTGTTCTTATTCTCTTACTAGAATAGCTTCATCGTAATTCTTTCTGTTAGCTTCTTAGTTATCTTAAATTTATTCAATTCTAACTTGGAGCTATTCTCTTCTTGGGAACAATAAATTATCTAATGTGTCTTATGTATTATTAACATCTAAAGAAATTGTATTTATTTTTACCAATAACAGCATCTTAGATGTCTTATTCAAGGCTAACAACTAATGCATTATGCTCGTTCGTTCTGACTTAGAAATTGAATTCTAATTCTTCTAATTCCTCTTCAAGATCATTAATAAGTTCTTCAATAGCATCGATTAATTCTTAAACTGGACCTCCAGCCATTGAATGGAGCTCAACTAAGTGAAGTAATGCACTTCCATATGTGCTCTTTTTGAGGTCTGTTGTAATTTTAGCAAGATTTCTCTCTTACACTCTGGCTGTGAAGGCTACTGTAATCAAGGCAATGAGCAAAATTGTCTTCATAAGATAATTATTGTTATTGCCAATGAAAAATTACATAGTTAAACAATAAAAACGACTAGTCTTCATTAATTAATAATGAATTAAAAACGCTATACTATATCCATATTTAGAATAAAACAATTAATTAAAAGCATATTACCCCTAATCTTTTTCCCAATAACATCTTTCTGCTAATTCATAGAAAATTACATAATCAATTATAATATTTAAATTCATCATCTTTCATCAAATTTTGCATATTAAATAAAAATAATTATATGATAAGTAGGAATCGTTCTCCTTTAGAGTTAAGATAATGTATCCTTTAAATCAGATAATTTAGTGCAAAACTAAGTTTTAACATATAAAAGGTGTTAATATAGAAATTAATTTAAATGATTTACTCAACGAATTATGATGTTTAAATAATTTCAAATTTCTACCTTCAATGTTATCGTTTATTATCGTTACATCTTTCCTTTAATTTACCCACAAAATTTTATTATAATTAAGCTTTTATCTAAAAGTATTTGGATAAATAGATAATTTAATCAGAGCTGAATGAATTTGATATACCATTTTAAAGAAAAAATCATTAATGCTAAGTATTATAGATTACTTTTTTCGATTAAAAACAAAACAAAAATTGAAATATATTATTAAGTTAATTTACTGTTAAAATGGTAATCCTTTGTCAAATTATTATTCAAAGCCCTTATCCGAAAATATAATCTAATTGGATCGAATGGGAAATTAGTATTTGATAACAATTAAGAATGTTCAATCTCAAAAATATTTTTAATAAACCTTTTCAAAGAGACCAAACTATAACAATATTACATCATTCTAATAAATTCTGAGAAATCATTCATATCATTGAGTATATATTGAAGTATTTGATTTTATTTAACCAAACGAATTATAAATTTTCAGTAAATCTCATAAAAGTCAACACAAAAATAGACAAAATGATAAAATAAATTAGATCAACGAATAAAATAAAGTTTCGAATTGATTTGAGTATAATAGAAAGAAGCCAAAAGTAATTTAATACAGTTAAAAAAATACCTTTAAATGAGCTTCATAAAACATATCAATAATTAAATACAACACAGAATTTCCTATATCAATAGCCATACTTATAATTTTCAAATAGAAATGTTAATTTGTAGTATAATTCAAATTTTGAAAAGAGAAGTTTGTTTTTTGGATCAAATTACCCAATATTAATAATTATACTTTAATTACCCTTTTATATACAATTCTGTCCATTTTACAATCCTTTCTTTTAAATCAATTCTGTGCTCATGAGTTTTCTATTATTTCTAATAAACAATCTTAAATTAAATTAAGTAAATATTAAACAAAGTAGAAGATTGGCTAATAATATATTTATTTAGTAAATGGATTTACGAAATCCATATGAAAAATTAGGTTTTATAAAGTCAAGCTCTAGCTTCAAGGATATTTTTTAACTTATCATTTTGTAGGAATATCTTTTTACAGTGTTAAAGGCAGAGCTGAAATCAATAAATATAAAACTCATAATAGAATTTTTAATAAAGAATTGATTGTATTTAGAATATTTGAAATATGTTTCTAAGTTAAAGAAAATAAATTAAGCCTATAGTGTTTAGCTAATTGAGAGTTAAGTCGCCTTGTGGCTTTAAAGAAATCTGATTTCCAACAATTTCTTATAAGCACTAAGCATAGTTATAGCCAAAATTGATTTTATCTCTGATAGAAGCAAATATGATGTTTAAGGAAATAGTTTGGATTTACAACTTTGGAATTAGATCAATTGTAAAAAATTAATGAAATTTGGTTTATTTTAGTAAAGAAATCTGAAAGTAATTCAAAAATTATAGCCTAATTTTATTGATTCATTTTATTTATTACCAACAAGGGAATTTGGAATACAACTTCATTTCAAAAACATTTCTCTATCTCATTTTTGCTCCTGTTTAATATTCAGAATATATTATTGAGTTATTGATTCAAATTTTTGTTCTTCAATTTCTTTTAATGCCATTTCTTTTAACTTTTGTTTTTCTCATTATTGTTTAAAGTTCTTTTAGGGATATTCAAAGAAGTTCTCAAACTTTTTATGCGCTTGACAAGATGTCAATAAAAACTAGAATTATGGAATAATCTCTCTGGTTTTCAGAAGGTTTCTTGAAATGAATCAATGTCAGTTCCATTCTATGATATTTGTTATCAAATAAGGATAGCTTTGTTAAGTTCTATTAATATCTCTTTAGCAATTTATCGATAGTGTTTCAACTTTTCTTTGTATGATGTGATCATGGTCGCTGAAGAAAAAATCTACAACTTTAAATAGAGTGTATTTTGGTAATAAATATTTTTCTTTCTAACCTTTTTTGTTCTATTATTTAAGTAATGTATTTATAATAAAATAACTAAAGACGGTTTCAATATACACCATTTTCACTGATATGATTAGAAATTTCAAATTGAGTTTACATTTCGGTCTATTTCTATTTAAATGAAAATCATTATTTTTTTGATTTACCTCTATTCCTNTACAACACAGAATTTCCTATATCAATAGCCATACTTATAATTTTCAAATAGAAATGTTAATTTGTAGTATAATTCAAATTTTGAAAAGAGAAGTTTGTTTTTTGGATCAAATTACCCAATATTAATAATTATACTTTAATTACCCTTTTATATACAATTCTGTCCATTTTACAATCCTTTCTTTTAAATCAATTCTGTGCTCATGAGTTTTCTATTATTTCTAATAAACAATCTTAAATTAAATTAAGTAAATATTAAACAAAGTAGAAGATTGGCTAATAATATATTTATTTAGTAAATGGATTTACGAAATCCATATGAAAAATTAGGTTTTATAAAGTCAAGCTCTAGCTTCAAGGATATTTTTTAACTTATCATTTTGTAGGAATATCTTTTTACAGTGTTAAAGGCAGAGCTGAAATCAATAAATATAAAACTCATAATAGAATTTTTAATAAAGAATTGATTGTATTTAGAATATTTGAAATATGTTTCTAAGTTAAAGAAAATAAATTAAGCCTATAGTGTTTAGCTAATTGAGAGTTAAGTCGCCTTGTGGCTTTAAAGAAATCTGATTTCCAACAATTTCTTATAAGCACTAAGCATAGTTATAGCCAAAATTGATTTTATCTCTGATAGAAGCAAATATGATGTTTAAGGAAATAGTTTGGATTTACAACTTTGGAATTAGATCAATTGTAAAAAATTAATGAAATTTGGTTTATTTTAGTAAAGAAATCTGAAAGTAATTCAAAAATTATAGCCTAATTTTATTGATTCATTTTATTTATTACCAACAAGGGAATTTGGAATACAACTTCATTTCAAAAACATTTCTCTATCTCATTTTTGCTCCTGTTTAATATTCAGAATATATTATTGAGTTATTGATTCAAATTTTTGTTCTTCAATTTCTTTTAATGCCATTTCTTTTAACTTTTGTTTTTCTCATTATTGTTTAAAGTTCTTTTAGGGATATTCAAAGAAGTTCTCAAACTTTTTATGCGCTTGACAAGATGTCAATAAAAACTAGAATTATGGAATAATCTCTCTGGTTTTCAGAAGGTTTCTTGAAATGAATCAATGTCAGTTCCATTCTATGATATTTGTTATCAAATAAGGATAGCTTTGTTAAGTTCTATTAATATCTCTTTAGCAATTTATCGATAGTGTTTCAACTTTTCTTTGTATGATGTGATCATGGTCGCTGAAGAAAAAATCTACAACTTTAAATAGAGTGTATTTTGGTAATAAATATTTTTCTTTCTAACCTTTTTTGTTCTATTATTTAAGTAATGTATTTATAATAAAATAACTAAAGACGGTTTCAATATACACCATTTTCACTGATATGATTAGAAATTTCAAATTGAGTTTACATTTCGGTCTATTTCTATTTAAATGAAAATCATTATTTTTTTGATTTACCTCTATTCCTAGATATTTATATTTATAAAGAGTTGGAAATTTATTTAAGCCTTCATTTTTGAATTGTGAATCTTATGGCATTCTACCACTTTTCTTCTTGTAAATAATAAGATTCCTTCTTATATCTGACTTTATAATCAATTCTCTTAAATATTGTCCAGATATATATTGAAAAATGAGGGTGAAATAGGTGACCCTTAAGGTGCACTATTAGAAAATTAATATCTTTTTAATTATATTGATTAATGAAAACGTCTGATTATAAAAGGGTTCTAGGGGTGAAATATATTTGTTCAATGATTGGATTTGTTTTTAGTATTTAGTGAGTACATCTCTGTTAAAGTATTTTATGTATTAGTTCGATCAATGAACAATAATATTTTATATTGTTTAGCTTTTATCTTTTTTTTCTATCTAGTAATTAGTAAATATTTAGATAAAGTAGTAGTCCATTATCGAATATTATGGTTTTTTAATATTTGAAGCCAAAACAAAGGAATTTTTTTTTCATAACAGGTAGCCTTTAATTATAAGAAGGAACAATTGATATGAATTAATGGTTACATGATTATCTGGTTATCTCTTCTCTTTTCTCATTCATATTTTCTTTAATATTTTATTTAAAAACGGATAGATAAAAGATGAATAAAGTCATCTTAACACTAATGATAATTGCAATAACCTATGCAACTTAATCAGAGATGAAATCCCAGCATTTTAAAACTCGAGAGAGTAGTATTTGATTAGTATTTATTTCAAGGCTTGAGCTTTTAAGATGCCAATGATATAAATACAAATAAATTCACCTGCTAAATGGGTTTTGACTTTTATGATTACACCATCATAGAGTTATCTAAATGGGCTGATATTATTGAGCATAGAGATTAATTATAAAGGGATTTAACAATCATTGATTAAATCAGTAGATTGGTTGACAAGGCAAAACACATAGACGATAACTAATAATAAAGTATGTATGTTAAAAATTTAGGAATGTTCTTGCAAATAACTGGAAGCCTATAAAATTCTTTATTAGATATGACTATTGCTTAATTAAATCATTAATGGGCTAGAGGAAATCTAGATTAATGCATAGAATATATGAGATAATTCTAAAATACTGTAGGGCATACAGAGCGAGTTACTATGGCAAATAGAATTATGGATTATTTAGAAAACATGAAATATTAAATAAATAGAAATTTAAACGAATGCGCTTAATATAGATAATCGACAAGATTGCGTCAAAAAATAAGGGATTTGTAGATGAGAAAAAGAGAATGTCAAGAGAATTATAGCAGAAATAATCGAAGAGATATTAGTAATTAATATCCATACAATAAAAAAAAGAATTATGAATATGAATAAGAATAAGAATATGGCTAGTATCGTTCTAATTAAGGTTCATCTGTTACTTAATAAGACATCACTTAAATTAAACCCAATAGGCATTAACCTTATAACAGATAACCAATTTTTTATAATGATGACAATGTTTGCCCTTAGGGAGAAGAGGATGATTCACCAAAAAATTTAACAGAGGAGTAGAATGAAGAAAGAGTGGAAAAAGTGGAGGAAGAAGAACCTAAAGTCGAATCACCAGAAGAGCAAGAGATTGAGATAGAACCTAGTCCGGATAGTAATTAAATTAAAGAAGAAGAGGAGGAATAAAAATTAGAAAATGATTCAAATTTAGATGACAAAAAGCCAAGAGAAATAATAATAGAAAGAGAATTTGGCCCAGATTCGGAACATTAAAATAATTATGACGAGCCAGAGGAATGCACAGCTGATGAATAAACCGATTTAGCATCGGACCCTACAAACAATAGTAACTCTGAGTAATCATAATAATAAGAGGATGAGAATGAATAGGAGATTGATTAAGAATAAAATGCAATAGAAGAAGACTAAGAATAAGATAAAGAATAGGACAAAGAATAAGATAATGAATAGGAAAAAGAAGAAGACAAAGAATAAGATAAAGAATAAGACAAAGAATAAGATAATGAATAGGACAAAGAATAAGAAAAAGAAGAAGACAAAGAATAAGACAAAGAGTAGGACAAAGAATAAGATATTGAATAGGACAAAGAATAAGACAAAGAATAGGAAAAAGAATAAGATAAAGAATAAGATAATGATTAAGACAAAGAATAAGATAATGAATAGGAAAAAGAATAAGATTTAGAATAGGACAATGAATAAGACAAAGAATAGGAAAAAGAAAATGACAATGAATAAGATAGCGATTAGGAAAAAGAATAAGAAAAAGAGAAGGCTAAAGAGAAAGAAAAGGAAAAATAAAAAAGCGGACCATTAGAGATTCCTCCAGATGATGATGAAGAACCTGTTGAAGGGGAATTAGTTAAAACAGAAGGTATTGGGGCTTCATCTGATGGTAGAATAGGAAATTAATAGACATAATAANTATTATGGTTTTTTAATATTTGAAGCCAAAACAAAGGAATTTTTTTTTCATAACAGGTAGCCTTTAATTATAAGAAGGAACAATTGATATGAATTAATGGTTACATGATTATCTGGTTATCTCTTCTCTTTTCTCATTCATATTTTCTTTAATATTTTATTTAAAAACGGATAGATAAAAGATGAATAAAGTCATCTTAACACTAATGATAATTGCAATAACCTATGCAACTTAATCAGAGATGAAATCCCAGCATTTTAAAACTCGAGAGAGTAGTATTTGATTAGTATTTATTTCAAGGCTTGAGCTTTTAAGATGCCAATGATATAAATACAAATAAATTCACCTGCTAAATGGGTTTTGACTTTTATGATTACACCATCATAGAGTTATCTAAATGGGCTGATATTATTGAGCATAGAGATTAATTATAAAGGGATTTAACAATCATTGATTAAATCAGTAGATTGGTTGACAAGGCAAAACACATAGACGATAACTAATAATAAAGTATGTATGTTAAAAATTTAGGAATGTTCTTGCAAATAACTGGAAGCCTATAAAATTCTTTATTAGATATGACTATTGCTTAATTAAATCATTAATGGGCTAGAGGAAATCTAGATTAATGCATAGAATATATGAGATAATTCTAAAATACTGTAGGGCATACAGAGCGAGTTACTATGGCAAATAGAATTATGGATTATTTAGAAAACATGAAATATTAAATAAATAGAAATTTAAACGAATGCGCTTAATATAGATAATCGACAAGATTGCGTCAAAAAATAAGGGATTTGTAGATGAGAAAAAGAGAATGTCAAGAGAATTATAGCAGAAATAATCGAAGAGATATTAGTAATTAATATCCATACAATAAAAAAAAGAATTATGAATATGAATAAGAATAAGAATATGGCTAGTATCGTTCTAATTAAGGTTCATCTGTTACTTAATAAGACATCACTTAAATTAAACCCAATAGGCATTAACCTTATAACAGATAACCAATTTTTTATAATGATGACAATGTTTGCCCTTAGGGAGAAGAGGATGATTCACCAAAAAATTTAACAGAGGAGTAGAATGAAGAAAGAGTGGAAAAAGTGGAGGAAGAAGAACCTAAAGTCGAATCACCAGAAGAGCAAGAGATTGAGATAGAACCTAGTCCGGATAGTAATTAAATTAAAGAAGAAGAGGAGGAATAAAAATTAGAAAATGATTCAAATTTAGATGACAAAAAGCCAAGAGAAATAATAATAGAAAGAGAATTTGGCCCAGATTCGGAACATTAAAATAATTATGACGAGCCAGAGGAATGCACAGCTGATGAATAAACCGATTTAGCATCGGACCCTACAAACAATAGTAACTCTGAGTAATCATAATAATAAGAGGATGAGAATGAATAGGAGATTGATTAAGAATAAAATGCAATAGAAGAAGACTAAGAATAAGATAAAGAATAGGACAAAGAATAAGATAATGAATAGGAAAAAGAAGAAGACAAAGAATAAGATAAAGAATAAGACAAAGAATAAGATAATGAATAGGACAAAGAATAAGAAAAAGAAGAAGACAAAGAATAAGACAAAGAGTAGGACAAAGAATAAGATATTGAATAGGACAAAGAATAAGACAAAGAATAGGAAAAAGAATAAGATAAAGAATAAGATAATGATTAAGACAAAGAATAAGATAATGAATAGGAAAAAGAATAAGATTTAGAATAGGACAATGAATAAGACAAAGAATAGGAAAAAGAAAATGACAATGAATAAGATAGCGATTAGGAAAAAGAATAAGAAAAAGAGAAGGCTAAAGAGAAAGAAAAGGAAAAATAAAAAAGCGGACCATTAGAGATTCCTCCAGATGATGATGAAGAACCTGTTGAAGGGGAATTAGTTAAAACAGAAGGTATTGGGGCTTCATCTGATGGTAGAATAGGAAATTAATAGACATAATAAAATAATTAATTAGATAAGGAAAAAGATAAAGAATAAGATAAGCAGAAATCGTAGGATAGAACTTCTGATAAGGAATAAGATAAGCAGAAATCTTAGGATAGAACTTCTGATAAGGAATAAGATAAGCAGAAATCTTAGGATAGAACTTCTGATAAGGAATAAGATAAGCAGAAATCATAGGATAGAACTTCTGATAAGGANAGAACAACTGGAGTATCAGGATCTTCATCGGCTTCATCTTAAAAATCTAGCTCATCAAGCTCATCGAATTCTTCGGGTTCATCAAATTCCTCAAGTTCTTCAGGTTCATCAAGTTCCTCAAGCTCATCAAGCTCATCAAGTTCTTCAAGTTCATCAAGTTCCTCAAGTTCTTCGAGTTCATCAAATGGTTCTTCAATAAGTAGTAGTTAATCTAATAAGTCTACTGGAGGTAGTTCATCAACTTCGACCCAAAATAAAAATTCTCAATAAGAATCATCATCATCAGATTATAAACCTCCTAGATACGGAGATGATGCAAGTGAAGAGGATGTCTTTGAATAAGTTGAAGTGGAAGAGCCAGATGGAAACGGAGGAGTGAAAAAAGTAAAAAGAATGGTTAGAAAAAGAGTCAAAAAGACCAAAAGAACAACTGGAGTATCAGGATCTTCATCGGCTTCATCTTAAAAATCTAGCTCATCAAGCTCATCGAATTCTTCGGGTTCATCAAATTCCTCAAGTTCTTCAGGTTCATCAAGTTCCTCAAGCTCATCAAGCTCATCAAGTTCTTCAAGTTCATCAAGTTCCTCAAGTTCTTCGAGTTCATCAAATGGTTCTTCAATAAGTAGTAGTTAATCTAATAAGTCTACTGGAGGTAGTTCATCAACTTCGACCCAAAATAAAAATTCTCAATAAGAATCATCATCATCAGATTATAAACCTCCTAGATACGGAGATGATGCAAGTGAAGAGGATGTCTTTGAATAAGTTGAAGTGGAAGAGCCAGATGGAAACGGAGGAGTGAAAAAAGTAAAAAGAATGGTTAGAAAAAGAGTCAAAAAGACCAAAAGAACAACTGGAGTATCAGGATCTTCATCGGCTTCATCTTAAAAATCTAGCTCATCAAGCTCATCGAATTCTTCGGGTTCATCAAATTCCTCAAGTTCTTCAGGTTCATCAAGTTCCTCAAGCTCATCAAGCTCATCAAGTTCTTCAAGTTCATCAAGTTCCTCAAGTTCTTCGAGTTCATCAAATGGTTCTTCAATAAGTAGTAGTTAATCTAATAAGTCTACTGGAGGTAGTTCATCAACTTCGACCCAAAATAAAAATTCTCAATAAGAATCATCATCATCAGATTATAAACCTCCTAGATACGGAGATGATGCAAGTGAAGAGGATGTCTTTGAATAAGTTGAAGTGGAAGAGCCAGATGGAAACGGAGGAGTGAAAAAAGTAAAAAGAATGGTTAGAAAAAGAGTCAAAAAGACCAAAAGAACAACTGGAGTATCAGGATCTTCATCGGCTTCATCTTAAAAATCTAGCTCATCAAGCTCATCGAATTCTTCGGGTTCATCAAATTCCTCAAGTTCTTCAGGTTCATCAAGTTCCTCAAGCTCATCAAGCTCATCAAGTTCTTCAAGTTCATCAAGTTCCTCAAGTTCTTCGAGTTCATCAAATGGTTCTTCAATAAGTAGTAGTTAATCTAATAAGTCTACTGGAGGTAGTTCATCAACTTCGACCCAAAATAAAAATTCTCAATAAGAATCATCATCATCAGATTATAAACCTCCTAGATACGGAGATGATGCAAGTGAAGAGGATGTCTTTGAATAAGTTGAAGTGGAAGAGCCAGATGGAAACGGAGGAGTGAAAAAAGTAAAAAGAATGGTTAGAAAAAGAGTCAAAAAGACCAAAAGAACAACTGGAGTATCAGGATCTTCATCGGCTTCATCTTAAAAATCTAGCTCATCAAGCTCATCGAATTCTTCGGGTTCATCAAATTCCTCAAGTTCTTCAGGTTCATCAAGTTCCTCAAGCTCATCAAGCTCATCAAGTTCTTCAAGTTCATCAAGTTCCTCAAGTTCTTCGAGTTCATCAAATGGTTCTTCAATAAGTAGTAGTTAATCTAATAAGTCTACTGGAGGTAGTTCATCAACTTCGACCCAAAATAAAAATTCTCAATAAGAATCATCATCATCAGATTATAAACCTCCTAGATACGGAGATGATGCAAGTGAAGAGGATGTCTTTGAATAAGTTGAAGTGGAAGAGCCAGATGGAAACGGAGGAGTGAAAAAAGTAAAAAGAATGGTTAGAAAAAGAGTCAAAAAGACCAAAAGAACAACTGGAGTATCAGGATCTTCATCGGCTTCATCTTAAAAATCTAGCTCATCAAGCTCATCGAATTCTTCGGGTTCATCAAATTCCTCAAGTTCTTCAGGTTCATCAAGTTCCTCAAGCTCATCAAGCTCATCAAGTTCTTCAAGTTCATCAAGTTCCTCAAGTTCTTCGAGTTCATCAAATGGTTCTTCAATAAGTAGTAGTTAATCTAATAAGTCTACTGGAGGTAGTTCATCAACTTCGACCCAAAATAAAAATTCTCAATAAGAATCATCATCATCAGATTATAAACCTCCTAGATACGGAGATGATGCAAGTGAAGAGGATGTCTTTGAATAAGTTGAAGTGGAAGAGCCAGATGGAAACGGAGGAGTGAAAAAAGTAAAAAGAATGGTTAGAAAAAGAGTCAAAAAGACCAAAAGAACAACTGGAGTATCAGGATCTTCATCGGCTTCATCTTAAAAATCTAGCTCATCAAGCTCATCGAATTCTTCGGGTTCATCAAATTCCTCAAGTTCTTCAGGTTCATCAAGTTCCTCAAGCTCATCAAGCTCATCAAGTTCTTCAAGTTCATCAAGTTCCTCAAGTTCTTCGAGTTCATCAAATGGTTCTTCAATAAGTAGTAGTTAATCTAATAAGTCTACTGGAGGTAGTTCATCAACTTCGACCCAAAATAAAAATTCTCAATAAGAATCATCATCATCAGATTATAAACCTCCTAGATACGGAGATGATGCAAGTGAAGAGGATGTCTTTGAATAAGTTGAAGTGGAAGAGCCAGATGGAAACGGAGGAGTGAAAAAAGTAAAAAGAATGGTTAGAAAAAGAGTCAAAAAGACCAAAAGAACAACTGGAGTATCAGGATCTTCATCGGCTTCATCTTAAAAATCTAGCTCATCAAGCTCATCGAATTCTTCGGGTTCATCAAATTCCTCAAGTTCTTCAGGTTCATCAAGTTCCTCAAGCTCATCAAGCTCATCAAGTTCTTCAAGTTCATCAAGTTCCTCAAGTTCTTCGAGTTCATCAAATGGTTCTTCAATAAGTAGTAGTTAATCTAATAAGTCTACTGGAGGTAGTTCATCAACTTCGACCCAAAATAAAAATTCTCAATAAGAATCATCATCATCAGATTATAAGCCTCCTAGATACGGAGATGATGCAAGTGAAGAGGATGTCTTTGAATAAGTTGAAGTGGAAGAGCCAGATGGAAACGGAGGAGTGAAAAAAGTAAAAAGAATGGTTAGAAAAAGAGTCAAAAAGACCAAAAGAACAACCGGAGCATCAGGATCTTCATCGGCTTCATCTTAAAAATCTAGCTCATCAAGTTCTTCGAGTTCCTCTAGTTCTTCAGGTTCATCAAGTTCTTCGAAATCATCAAGTTCAACAAGTGGGACGAATTCTAACTCTAATGACCATACTTAATCGTAAGTCAACCAAGAATCTTCGAACAAATCAAAAGTGAGTCAATCAGTTGCAGATAGATTAACATAAAAATATTCTGAAGCTGAATCAAAAGAGCAAGTATCATCATCCACTTCTGATTCCAGAAATATTTAAAATAGCAGCACAAATAAATAGTAAATTGTATCTGGAGGTTCAAGCAGCAGTTTAAATACCAGTTCAGCTAATAAATCAAGCAGCAGTTCAAATACCAGTTCAGCCAATAAATCAAGCAGCAGTTCAAGCAGTAGTTCAAGTAGCAGCTCTAGCAGTAGTTCAAGCAGTAGCTCTAGCAGTAATTCAAGTAGTAGCTCTAGCAGTAGTTAAAAATAAAGCTCAAGCAGCAATGCAGGTAATGCTAAGAGTTCTAGCAGTTCAAATTCTAATAATTCCAGCTAAAAATCTGCATCTTCTTCCAGCAAATAATCCTCCTCAAAAGGCTCTTAAGGATCAAGCAGCAAATCAAACAAAAAAGTTGTGAAAACCGAGGATGGAGAAGAAGTTTGGGAAGAATTTTCAGTTGAGGAGGTAACAGAATACACGATAGACTCTGAAGGAAACATGAAAGTTATTTCGTAGACAAGTACATAAATTCCAAAAACAAAAACATATTACTTAAATTCAATAGGGGACTAAAAAATAAGTCTTGATAGTGAACAAAATGATGAAAATAGTTTTTAAAACTCTTTAGAAAACTCTCAAAATGGGTTTAAATCTAGTAATGAAACATAGGATCTAAACGATTAAGGCGATGATTATCTCTATGAAAAAGACGGAGATAATTAAGAAGAGGATTTATAGGAAAATGAATAAATGTTAGAAGAAGATGGCCCTAATAATTTTTAAGAGTAGTAAAGTAAAATAATTGTAGATCCATAATTAGATGAAGATTAAGACTATATTTATTATGAAATAGAAGGAGATTCAATCATTTATTATTAATATGATCCTATAAAGAATGTTTACCATAAGATTAATATAGTTGATCCGGAATAATAAAAATCTCTTATAATATAAGATTCCTTATTTGATGATGTATTAGATGATGTGATAGATGAGAATAAAGATTAAAAAACATTGCCAACAGAAGAAGCTATTGAGTAAGAAAAAGTAAATAAATAAAAGCAAAAGGCTTAAGAAAATGAATAGAATAAAGAGGCTCAAAGTGGCTTGCCAAAAGAAAATTCTGAAAATTAAGAAAAAGATTCTTCAAAAGAAGTCTAATTTAAAGATAATACAGATTAGGCTAAAGTTATAAATATCGAGGGATAAGAATAAAAAAAATAAAAAGAAAAATTGGTTTAGGAAGGGAAATAATTATAGAATTCAGATGATTAAACAGAAGATAAGATAGGAAACGGTGTTAAGGATCTTATTAAAGAAGAAAAAGTTAAAATAGATGGTATAAGTTCTGAAAAAAATCAAATGGAAGTGAAGGATGAGAAAGAAAAATCTTTAAAAATTTAATCATTGAAAGAGGAGTTCAATCCTAATGAACCCACTTAATATGAACCACCAAAACATAAAGTTAATGTTAGACCAAAAACAGAGAAGGTCAATATACCAGTATCTACAAAATATGTGAAATCTTCGTATGATGATGATGTTGCTGAATAATTTGAATTTGCAGACAGAGAGCTACTTTAAGATTCCGATGAATATGGATATGGATTTTGGGTGAGATACACATCAAATTCTCCAAAAGTACATGTAAGAAAACCAGAAACCTATTACTTTTTATCTCGACTAACCTCAAATCAAGAATACAAAGACTTGGCTTATTATGGAGATAGAACTTTAGCTATATTTATGATAGAAAACTCCTTTGTTTTTTCCACCTATGATCATTAAGAAAAGAAAAAAGTAAAAGACTAGGTTGTGGCCTTAAATGAAGATTTAGACAGCATGTGGTACTTCATCACATTTTCATACAGCACAGCTAAAAAAACAGCAGTAGGATTTGTAATTGGTTATGGAGATAATAATAAAATTTTGAGGGCAGAAATTTAATGCAGACATGTACCACCATAATACTTTAAATTATTGATTGGTGGAAAACATATGACATATGAAGGATTTAATGGTCAATTTGCAAATATCTTTTATGATATTGATGCTCCAGCCTTTGTAGACACAGAAGCCAAAATAAAAGAAATCATAAAGTCCATTTCAAATGCACCTCAATAAGTTACAAATTTAATTGATTTAGAAGTTATATCAACTCCAAAATTATTTAATGCTAATACAGCAAGTGATTCAGTCATATTGGATCCATAAGAGTCTTAATTAATAATTGAAGAATACAGCGTTGCAGCTTGGTTTAGATGGATTGATGACTTAAAAGTGGATACTGAGAATACTTTCTAAATATTTAATTTAAGATCAAATGAAAAAAAGTCGTAAGGAAAAGGAATTTTAGGGGATAGATCATTAGAAATGCATTATATTTATGGAGGAGGATCTAAAAGTTCTGTATACTTTAATACTTATACGATTGAAGGTAATAAGGCAAAAGGATCAAGTTATTTATCAAAAACAGCGTAATCTCCTAATTATATTTGGTAATACGGCTACATGGCTTATGATAATGATAAAATGAAAGTTTATGGAGCATTAATAAGACCAGGAAGATCTGATGAGATTGCTTTCGACCCAATTCAACATAAATTGATAACAAAATTATACTTCACTCTAGGAGGAGACGATTATGTTTCACCATTTAATGGTAAAATTGGGTATGTAGGAGTGTACTTAGGACCTGGAGCATACAGATAAGCACTTAATTTTGGTTAATAATTTTAATATGGAGATGGTGCAATGAACGTTTTTTAATTAATGAAACCAATTCAATATAAAGAAGATGCTTTAGACCCTAATGTAGTAAGAGATTGCGCCTATGATACCGAAAGCGCATTGGTGGACAAGATTCTGATTCATGATGACTAGAAATTAAGAATAAATGGCTAAAGTGAATATTCATTTGGTATGTGGACAAGATGGTTGAGTACAATGCCTAAGTATTTGGTCTAAAGAGGAGCAGTTCATAATATTGCTAGATTAGGTACAGAGCCTTATTTGATTGAATCAGTTGATGGTAAATTAAAAAGAGCAAATAATAGAGCATAAACACCAAAGGACTAAACTTTGGCTGTAACCTTAAGCAAAGAAGCATATGAATTTTATACCTATAATGCGAAGGATGAAATAGAATTTACAAAATTAGAAGGCTGGTGGAATTATATTTACTTTGGGTATAAAAGATTTGGAGATAAGGGAACAGCGAGAGGATATGTTTAATTTGGTGTAGATGGAGAGATAAAGGAGGTTTCTTTTGATATTTATCATGATTATATTTTGGAATATGCTGAATTTGTAGTTGGTAAGTCTTAGGCTCCTTTCTTTAATGGTTAAATGACGAAGATACAATGTTCAATTGGGCCAGGAGCATTTGTGCCAAGTGCTGATAATCTGAGACTATATACTTAAAATACATTACCTGAAAAAGCTTAAATACATCCAGTTTCAAGATAAACTCAGTAATTAATTGGTGTTCCAGTCAATGAGCCTTCCAATTAATTTTAATTTGATAAATTTTAAGGAGCTTTAGAATATGCAATTTCAGGTTGGGTGAAATGGAGTGGTATCCAGAAGTTTGGTAAAGTGTCACATATTATCACGATGGCATAGAAGAGAATAGCAGACTTGGATGGAAAAAATGAGGAAACTCTAAAGATTCAGAGATCTGATTTATCATATATTTACTCAACGTATAATTGCAAAGGCGAAGATTGTTCTAAAATTTAAATTAAAGAATAATAATTTGGAGAGTATTGGGATTAATGGACTTATGTATATTTTGGTTATTCAACTTCATTGAAGAAAGCATTTGGTTATATCAAGTATATATTTAGTGAAGACAAATTTTTGTTGGATGATATTAATCATTTTTATTTGGCCGTTTTCAGTGTATTAATAGGAAGTGAATCGGTTAAATTTTAAGGTTAAATGAAAACATGGGTAATTAATATTGGATAAGGATCTTATAGAGAAGGAGGATTTGAGAGCGATGAAAATATTAAGGTTCATTTTGGATTTATAAGTGGAACTGATCACATTAAATTATAATAAGCAGGATAAGAGGCTCACCATGAAGAATAAGTTCTTGAATGTTCAGCAAACGGCAAAGAAGTTCCTTTGCATGTACAATTTGAATAAAGTGATAAATTAAATCTTTAAGGAGTAAGTGAATATGGTTATGGATTTTGGGCTCGATTTTAACATTTTGCGAATAAAGGCGTGTTATACTAATAGCCATAATGGATGGGTATGGCTAGATTGACAAGTTAAAAAGATTATAAAGATTTTGATCATCCAGGAGATAGAGTGCTGTTGGTGTTGATGGGCAAAAATGTTTATCACTTTTCAACTTACAATGTACAACCAGCCTCAAATAATGTGAATGGAAATATACCTTATGCAATAGAATCAGAAAGTGAATGGACATACATTTATTTTAGTTATAAGAGAATTTCCTAGACATTAGGACACGCAGTGGCCTTTACTTCTTTTGGAGAAATCACACCTGGTATCTAAATGGATGTATTACATAACTTACTTTAAAATTATTTGTAATTAACAATTGGACATGCAGGTAAATATTATCCAAACTTTAATGGGCAAATCACAACGGTAAGATTCAATTTAGGACCTGGAGCATTTATTGAAAATACAGCAGGGATTATGGCTAGGATAAAGAATAAAGATCCAAAACCAGATATTTTGTCAGTTCCTAAGATCTATGAAATATTTGTTGGTAAACAAGATGCTACAAAGCTTAAAATTGATAATCCTGTCATTATTGAGTAAGAAGCAAGAGAATATTCAGTTTAATTATGGTTCAGGTGGTTCAAGACCCCAGTTAAACCAAATTAAGTGGTTTATAGATTATCAGCTAATAGAGCTGAAAATGATGCCTAGAAGATTGGTGATAAGGTATTAATGTTATCTCATATTGGAACTGCTTTATTTAGTACTTACACTCTGCAAGATTAAATTATGAATGTTCCTTTTGAATGCAACATACCAAGATAATCGCTTGAAATTTGGACTTTTGCTTATTTTTCTTATTCAAAGAAGGAAAGAAAAGTATAATATTATTTGAAAGCTGATGCTCATGAAAATAAAGGATTGGAACCTATACTACATGCCGTATCTTCTAAGTTTTGGTTGTATGCAGGAAGAGATGGTTAATTGGAAAACTTTAATAGTAGAGTGGCATAATTAACGTTGAATTTTGGTGAGGGATCTTTTCGTAAGGAAAACTTTTTATAATTGCCAGTATATTTGTTATCTACAAAACTATTTTCATAAGAAAAGAAGAATAATTGGGAGAATGCAGGAAAGATAGTTTTTGGTTAACCTTAAACTGTTAAATTTGTAGATGAACCAGATAAACCAATTGAATCAATGTAGGAATATAGCATAGGATTTTGGTGCAGGTTTTTATAAGCATGGCCTGAAAGATTGTATAAGTTATAATAGGAAATGTAATTAGTTAGATTAACCTCAAATGAATAGATAGAGGTTGGTAAAGTAGCAATGGGAGATAGGATATTGGCTTCTCATGTTATTTAAGGTCAGTATCAATTTTCTACTTATGATTTGAATGATGATGCACCTAATGAACTAAGAACTATACCATATTCTAAATTAGAAGGATAATGGAATTATATCTACATGGGTTATTAGAGAGTGAGCTAATTAGCTTCATATTTTGTTTATGATGGAAAAGAGATTCAGTAGGTTAAAAACTAAGATTTATTACACAAGCCTATGGGAGACTTCGTTATTTTACATTTAGGAGGTGAACCAGATATCCCAGGATTTTAAGGACTAATGTGCAAGATATCAGTAAATTTCGGAGTTGGATCATTCTTTGGTTTGGTAGAAGATGTAAAGAAAACAATTGATAATTCATTTGCCCTTGATTAATAATTGACTGTGGAATTTATTCATAAGGAAAAGCATGGTTAATAAGAATTAATTGGCAAATAGGAAACAGTTGCCGATGATGTCGGAGGAGCTGAATTGAGAGGGGATACTTGGTCATAGGTTGGTGAATATTCAATCAGTGGATGGCTCAAAATTGCTGAACTTAAAGGATAAAATGCCAACGATTGTTAAATCTTATTTAGAGTTACTAATAATGATAAGGAGCATTTGAATGACAAAAGATTTTAAGGTGATAGGACTCTTTATGCCTCTATTTGTGTGGATTCCATTAAGTTATCCACTTACACCATACACGGATTGAAAGATTGGAATGAAGCCAAGTTCTTGGAAGAAAAGGTGGATCTTGGTCATAATAAGAAGGCATGGATATATATTTATATGGGATACAATGAAGATATATCAGAGGTTCACGCATTGCTACATTTATTCGATCAAGACAAGCCCCTTATTTTCAAAGGAGTTTAACATTATGTACCACATTATACAGGGATCTATGTAGCCAAAGATCCATTCACTAAAAGATTCTAAGGTGATCTATAAAAGTGGGTAGCCTAATATGGTTCAGGTGCTTTCATTAGTATTTAAAAGAGAGGTTATGAAGATATGTTGACAAATTATAGAGCTTTGGCAACTAACTAGAAATATATGTGGTTTTCTAAAGAAGAAGGTGTAATAGAAACAGAAAAAGCTATAACATAAGTCTTTACTACTGAAGTTGAATCTGTTGATGAATATTCTATAGGTGTTTGGACCAGATGGTTAATTTCCTTCCCAACTACCCTTACTGAAAGATATGAAAGACATAATATTTTCAGGTTCTCTTCTAATAAAGAGGATTAGGACAAAAGCGAATTGGGGGACAGAGTATTGGCGGTATTTTTAACTCTTGGAAATTATGAATTTAGCACTTATGATGTTCTCAAACCATCTAATGCAGTTGATGCCAAACTACCATATAACGAATTAGAAGGTGCTTGGACATATATTTATGCAACTTACAAAACAGGATAATTCTATGGAATGGTGTTGTTTAGAGAATAGTAAAAAGCCTAACATATTGAATTATAAGTCCAACATAAGGCTTTAACTGGCTATTCCAAGTTTGTTTTAGGAGCTAAAGAGTTTGGATTCAGAGGATTTCATGGATGGTTATTTGATCCTAGAATCTTCCTGGGTTAAGGATCATTCATTAATGAAGGTTAGAAAGTTGTTGACATGGTACTCAAACTGCATCGTAAATTACCTGTCCAACCTCTTGATGCTGAAGATTTTAAGTGGCCTGTCTAATTAATAGACACGACTCTTGAAGATGAAATCAACAACAAAAAAGATAAATTTTCATTTGTATTTAATGATAAACCAGGTTTGGTTGAATACTCATATGGATTCTGGATGCAAAATGCTGTCCTAACACCTGAATTAAAAGATGAATACAGAGGCCTTGTAAGATTATCAACAAATAACGAAGGCTCTGATGAAAGATATATTGGTGATAGAACTCTTGCTTTTTTTACAAAGACTGATGAGATAGTGGCTAGTACTTATACAATTAAAGATCCTACTTTTGAACCAGTTACGCATACATTCAAACTCATACCTTATTAATGGTCTTTTGTTTATTTCGGTTATATTCCTGGAAGGGCAAGAGCCTATATTTTGGGAATTAAGGGACCTGAAGAATAAATATTGAATGTAAAACATGCCATTCCAAATGCTTTCTATCTTAATTTAATTAAAGATTAATCCCATCCTTTATTTTTTGTAAATAATTTATTTAATTTTAGGGAAAATTCTATGGATTTAAACTATTATTTGGATAAGGCAGCTATCTGGCCAATCCTTAAGAAATTATAGAAAAATGGCCTTATGATCCCAAAGCATTGCCACCTCCTCCAAAATAAGATGAAAAAATCCTGTCATTAAATTCAGCCAAAGTAGATAGGGCATAAAATAAGGATCATGAAAAATTTGAAGAATGATTTGTTTTAAACTCAAATTTAAATACAATTTATCATATTATCAATTTTACTTTGAAATTTTAGTCTTGCCACGTTCTGTGATTGTTTATTTTTCATTAAAAAACAATTACAACAATGTTATTAAGCTTATTCCAAAATAACTGCTAGCAAGTACTATTCCAAAAGGTGATCGAGTTAATATTATTAATAATTTGATTGAAAATTCAATTAATTTTATTTCCTTTTTTAAACTTCTTCTATTATTAGGATCATCAAGTTCATTTGCATGGTTTTTTTGGAGATCTTTTTATATCTCTTTTACTTCTGATTCAATAATTTTCAAACTTTCATCAGATAGTTTCTTAAACCCATCTATAGCCTTTAAAGTATTTTTTGGGTTTTCGTTATTTGCTATTTCAATTTAATTATCTCCAATTTTTAACATAATTCCAGCAATTGCTGCTAAGCTTTTAATTGCTTTAAATCTGATTAAAAATTCATAATTTTTACTGAGAGCTCCATTAATTTACTCACCTTTATATAAAACTTATAATCCAATTATTTGAAAACTTATTTCTATTATGTAAGCAGTTCTCATCCCAACTTTTTCATAAATGTCGAGATTTTCAATAACTAATTTATTTCCAAAATATACATCAAAAATTCGAGCATTACTTTCTGAATATTGTAGCTAGTTTTATCATAAGAAATACTTCAGCAAAATACAGTGTCAACATATAATTTTAAGTTTCTGGTGAATCCTTGTTTAACGGAAGTTTGTAAAAAAAATTTAAACCTTATCTTTGAGTCGTATACAATTCTTAATCAAGAGTCTATATTACTTTTACAGACTCCTGCTCATCATAATAATCAACGAATTCTGAAGAACCTTAAAAAAATTAGTCCTTTTTAAACAAATATTGATAAAATTTACATTCTTGTAATTAATGCCATTAAAAGAACGATATTTCATATAATTTCCACAATCTATAGAGTGTACAATGTTTACTTAAGATTATTTTTTCATCATTGAGACAGGGAGCAAAATCAATATTAAAATCATAAAACAATTAATATTTTGCTAAAAGGAAATGTTTTTTAGTGTTGATGAAGTGTTTAGTAAGTGAGATAAGAATATGTTAAAAAAACTATTTTTTAAATAAATTTAATACATAGAATAACAATAATGAATAACAATGGCTTTATTGTGTATATAATTGGTACTACAGCGTCTGGAAAGACAAACTTATCTTTGAATTTAGGTCTTAATAATTATGAGATAATATCTTGCGATTCTATGTAAGTTTAAAAAGATGCAGATATAATGGCTGCAAAAGCTACAGTTATAGAATAGACAATAAAAAAGCATCATGGAATCGATATATTAGATTTAGAATCTGAAAGTTTTAATCGTAAATAATGGAGAGATGGTAAGAAACATTATAAGCCCTATTTTAGTGACTATTAAAAAAATTGAAGAGTTATAATCTAAAGGAAAAATTCCAGTTTTGGTAGGAAGCATTCATTATTATATTGAATTAATATTATTTAATTAAGGCGAAGAAAACCAATCACTATAAGAAGCTGAACTAATGTTAGATGGCAAAGAGCCTTTTGAATATTTAAAAGAAATTGATCAATTTGGAGCTGAAAAATTTCATCCGAATGATCGTAGAAGGATTTTAAATTCAACTAAATCCATCCAAAATAAAGGATAATAATCATCTTAATAAATAGATCATCATTCATAATAATGTAAATTAAGAAGTATTAACTTCCTCATCCTTTGGCCAAAATGGAGGAAAAATGTAGATTTATAGATTAAAGTTGCTGAAAGAATAAATGAGATGCTTGAATAAGGGGGGATTGAAGAAATATTAAGGATATTCTAAAGGTTAGAGAACAAATCAAATAAAGTGGAAGCACTACAAAGAATTGGATACCAATAATTCTAAAAAGTTTATCAGTATTATAAAGAATAAGGATTTTAATACCCAAACGTAGATTAAAAATTTTAAGAGCTATTATAAGAGGGGGCTGATTATTTAATCAAAGATACTATGTTAAAAACAAAGAAATAACTTTAATGGATTAAAAATAGAATTCTTTGTAATCCAAAAATTGATATTATTGCAAATAGATTATTTTTATTAGAATTTTCAACAGCAGAAACTTTTCAAGAGCAGGTAATTCTACCTGCCTAAAAAATATATAGCTTGTTTTGTGAACTATTCCATGATCATAAATTAGGGGATGAATAATTTAAAATTGTCTAATACAATTTAGAAAATATTAAAATAATAACTCCTGAAATGATTGCAAAGTATAAATAAACACAATAATTAAAATCAAGAGCTAATTGGAAAAAACAAGTTTGTGAATTATGCAATTAATCAATGAGTGGGCTATTTGAAATAGAATAGCATTTTAAATCTCGTGCTCATAATATTAATGTTTTGAAAGATGAACAATTGTAAATGAAAAAATAAAAAATAGATTGAATTTCTTAAGATTTTGTTTTGTAATNGGTACTACAGCGTCTGGAAAGACAAACTTATCTTTGAATTTAGGTCTTAATAATTATGAGATAATATCTTGCGATTCTATGTAAGTTTAAAAAGATGCAGATATAATGGCTGCAAAAGCTACAGTTATAGAATAGACAATAAAAAAGCATCATGGAATCGATATATTAGATTTAGAATCTGAAAGTTTTAATCGTAAATAATGGAGAGATGGTAAGAAACATTATAAGCCCTATTTTAGTGACTATTAAAAAAATTGAAGAGTTATAATCTAAAGGAAAAATTCCAGTTTTGGTAGGAAGCATTCATTATTATATTGAATTAATATTATTTAATTAAGGCGAAGAAAACCAATCACTATAAGAAGCTGAACTAATGTTAGATGGCAAAGAGCCTTTTGAATATTTAAAAGAAATTGATCAATTTGGAGCTGAAAAATTTCATCCGAATGATCGTAGAAGGATTTTAAATTCAACTAAATCCATCCAAAATAAAGGATAATAATCATCTTAATAAATAGATCATCATTCATAATAATGTAAATTAAGAAGTATTAACTTCCTCATCCTTTGGCCAAAATGGAGGAAAAATGTAGATTTATAGATTAAAGTTGCTGAAAGAATAAATGAGATGCTTGAATAAGGGGGGATTGAAGAAATATTAAGGATATTCTAAAGGTTAGAGAACAAATCAAATAAAGTGGAAGCACTACAAAGAATTGGATACCAATAATTCTAAAAAGTTTATCAGTATTATAAAGAATAAGGATTTTAATACCCAAACGTAGATTAAAAATTTTAAGAGCTATTATAAGAGGGGGCTGATTATTTAATCAAAGATACTATGTTAAAAACAAAGAAATAACTTTAATGGATTAAAAATAGAATTCTTTGTAATCCAAAAATTGATATTATTGCAAATAGATTATTTTTATTAGAATTTTCAACAGCAGAAACTTTTCAAGAGCAGGTAATTCTACCTGCCTAAAAAATATATAGCTTGTTTTGTGAACTATTCCATGATCATAAATTAGGGGATGAATAATTTAAAATTGTCTAATACAATTTAGAAAATATTAAAATAATAACTCCTGAAATGATTGCAAAGTATAAATAAACACAATAATTAAAATCAAGAGCTAATTGGAAAAAACAAGTTTGTGAATTATGCAATTAATCAATGAGTGGGCTATTTGAAATAGAATAGCATTTTAAATCTCGTGCTCATAATATTAATGTTTTGAAAGATGAACAATTGTAAATGAAAAAATAAAAAATAGATTGAATTTCTTAAGATTTTGTTTTGTAATAAATTATAAATAAATCCTAATCGTTTAGAATGTTTCTGGTTTCAATAAAATTTTGTTTTTATTAATGTAGGAGGAAAGATGCTAAATTTAATAAGTAAGATATTCTTCTTTTTTCTTCAATCAATTTTACATTCTTAAGATTTATAAACTCATTTTTTTGCAAAAGATAAAGTTCTTAAAAAACCAAACTTAAAGAAAAAATTGTTTTCCAAATATACAATTAGTTAAATAAATGAAGTTAAAAATGTAAATGACTTTTTGGAATGGTTCTCGCATTGTTGTTAAATCAATTGATGAAGCTTTAAGAAATAACTCAGAGATTTAACCTATTTAATATCAAAGAGGCTATTTATTGTCCCTCGCCATTAATCAAAGAGCTACAATTAATCACGAGAACTACTAGAGATGGTGTATATAAGAGTTCTAGATGAGTTAGAAAATAAAATAATTTATTATTAATGTACCCTAAATTAAACCGAATCCTTTATTCTTAGGGTAATATGACCACAAGTGCTACATAGTCCCCATCTTAAAACATAAATTATAATGATGTCGGGTAAGAGTGCAATCAATAGTATCAGAGAGCTACTGGATATGAAACTGAATTAAGTTCGTAAAATAAACCGATAGCAAGGTGATAACATTAAATTGCTTAAGTCTCGACTAAATCATATTCAACATTAGGATATAATTTGCTAAAAGAATATTTCTAGAACAAGTAATGAAATATAATCAATTATCTCTACAAAATCTAGAGTCAATGAAGACTAATTGAGGAAGGTACATATCTAATAACTAATTGATTTGAATAGTAATTCCTAGAAGAGATTAAATAAAAGAAAATTGAAGAATATTCATAAAGGGCCTATATATCAAAAATGGAGAGATTAAAAAGGAGCAAACATGTTGAAAACTGTAAGTCTATGATTATATGAAAAGAAAAATAATTATATTCTGAGACTTATTCTTTCTAAAACAAGGAATATAAAGCGAATCTCTCTTAAGCAAAATTATAAACTTGGAATGAGATATATGGCACTAATTGTAAATCTCACAAACTAATCAGATAAGCTCATCTAAAACATCAATAGGATAAAATTATTTCATTACAGCTGGTAATATATTCCTCGATTCTAGAAATAATAAGAAGGATAATATAATTATAAGTAGAAGATAATACAAGAAGCATAGTAATTTAAAGAAAGATAATTGAGAATCACAGAATTGGAAGAAGCAGAGGAATAATACCTAATGAAACTAAAAGTAACTCAGAGTAAAAACCGATCTATGAGTGCTAAAAAGGAAGAAATAAAGAGAATGCCTGCTGAGAAAATAGCGATTAGCAAAAACAATCTCTTTAGAATAAATTGATTTTATATGGATAAAGAATTTTAATGTTGTTAATGTTAACTTGAGTTTAATTTACAGGATAGAAGTCCTCATGTCCTCCCATCCTGCGGTCATTCAATATGTTAGTTATGTGTGAAATAATATTTGTAATCGCAATTGTAGTTGATATGCAACGAGGACAAGTAAATGAATCACAAATTAAATTAAGCATCGAATGCCAAGTTGACAGAGATTTCAAATTCTTCCCTATTAATCAAAGCATCATAGTCCTGTTGAGAAAAAAGCGAACTGTACAAAGATGCCATACTTATGTAACTCCAGAAGATGCAATCCCTCGAATATCAGCAGAAGATGTAAGCGAATTTTCAGGTGACAGCCAATAAAACATTCAACTAAATAAGAGCATCTCTCAATCACATTCATGTGAAATATTGCCAGCTAAAGAAAACTAAGGAAATTTATGTCAGATTCATTCAAAACCATTAGAATTAGTTTGTTAAGAAGATGGAGAATGTATCTGTGTTAATTGTGCCTTATTTGGAAATCATAAGTTCCACAACTATAAGCCTATTGAATAATATGTGAAAGAAATGGAATAAACAATTTATGATATCACCACAATATATGAGGTTGTAAAGGAAATGAGTTCTAAAATTGAACAAAAAATTTACGCAAAAGAATTTGAAACTAAAATACTTTAATCAAAAGACTCTAAATTATAAGCAATAGATTTAAAGTTTAATGAATTATTTAATGAATTGAATTAAATAAAAGAAGAATTTAAATCTAGAGTAGAAAATAATTACAATATATAATTCGATAGTAATAAAAGAAAAATTGAATCAGAATTTATTTAATTAAAAGATCAAGCAGATAAATGGCTTTCATAAACGGGACATCAATTAAATGATTTCATTGTTGATAAAATTTAAAATCAAAAGCTAAGAATGGATGCTAAAGAATTAGGCAATAGCAAAGAATTAGGTAATAGCAAAGAAAACGGGTCTTAATTAATTAACAAAATATAATTCTAGTTTACTTAAATTGACACTTGTGTTAAGTTGATCGGAGAGTAATAACAATTCTTTGTACCTATCGAAAACATTAAAAACTAATTTTCTCATGAAAATAAATAATAACTTGACTAGTTATTATTGGATAGAGAAGATAAATTAACAGATTCGGATATTATTTATTAGGATATTAAAGATGAAAAATTAACATAATCAATGTATATTTCCTAATAACCTACGCAACCAGCTTCTCCTTAATATAATGTTGGAAAAAATAATTATTTCAGCCAAACACTGACGCCAGGATAATTCTAAAGAAAAGATAGGAGCGTAACTATGCTACAAACAGAACCTTCAGAGATTTCTGCTCCAAATACTAACAGAAATAAGTTGTCTTCATCAAAGTTCGCTAAAGTCTAAAAATTTAGTAAAGACCCAAAATTACACGATAAAATAATTAATACCCTAGCCATGTTCGAAAAGTTTGAAATGATTGATTTTTCTACTCTTGGTAATAATTAGTCTATCTTAGATGTTACTGAGCCGTTGATTTAAGCCATAGAAGAAGCACTCAAAAATAAAAAAATTGTCAAAGTATTAAAAATGAGTAAATGTAAATTAAGTGATGATCTTTTTGCTAAACTGTTATCAGTCATTGAAGAATCTAGGTATTGAGGTTAAGTATATTTTACAGTGTTACAGCATTGCACCTATAATCCAACGCATTAACTGAAAAAGCATTAGATTGTCTATTAAATATTGCCAAAGTCAAAAAGCATTTTGAATGCAAATAAATCTACTTGAATGGAAATATGAGCATTACATAGGCAAAAGCCAAAAAAAAGATTGAAGAAATTAAAAAGTATGGTATATAAGTAACGATCTGAAATACATTTATTTTATTTATTGACATTTAATTCTTTTATTATTTTTAATAGCCTGCAACTTTAGTTTTAGTTAATATACATTTTATTGGCAAAACAATTTTTTAAGTATTAGATGAGCTAATAAGCTTAAAAATTTATCAAATAATATGTGAAAATTTATTTAGAATTTTTTAATATGTACTTTTTAAGTTTCCAATATTACATCCATACAGTACAAAATATGTGAACAGAAAAATATTAAGAAAATAATTTGAATATTTAATATGAATTAGTAGTGACGAATAAAATATTAGAAAATTAAAATGAATAAGCTAATAATATAAATACTTTAAAAAATGAAATGAATAATTTTATTTCAAGAAGAACCTTAAAACAATTTAATTATCATAATATTTTATGTTGAAATAATTTGAACGAATGATTGGAACTTGCTAATAAGAATAAAATAATAATGTCTTCTCAATATATAAATTATATATTTATATTGATACAATATTTAATATAAAGAGAATAGCTTCTAAAATATTCAATTTATTTACTTAAATTTTATGTTTATATAATTGAAATTAATAAATAAAATGTCCTTCTAAATATTCAATTAAATTTGATAATATTAGTATTAAACAAAATTGAGATCAATTAGATAATATTCACTTCTAAAATATTCAAGTCAGGTTAAATTCCTAACATGTTAACACTTTATGTAATGATAAGGCAATTATCACTTCTAAGATAATCAAATTATATCTTTAATATTTTAATATTGACACTTTATGATATAATAAAATTAATAATTAATTCTAAAATATTCAATTATAATTATACTATTTGCTTCTAAATATTCAAAAATAATTGTAATATTTGAATGTAATAATAAGATAATAATATCTTCCAAATTATTCAATTTTAACTCTAATATTTGTATGTAATAATAAAATAATAGTATCTTCCAAAATATTCAATTATAATTATAATATTTGTATGGAATTATAAGACAACAAACACTTCTAATATATTCAATTATAATTTTATTGTAAATCAAATCACGAATATTCTTAAGTTATTGTAGTATTATTAAAAGTTGTTTTTTCAAATTTTTTTCCCAAATTTTTAAGGGCTAATATATGTTTTCTATTTTGAAATATACAGAAATCAAATGATATTTGAAGTAAGCTTAAGTATATAAATGGAGTAAAAGTAAGCTAGATCCGAAGTCTATTTTTTTTGAAATTTTTACCAATTTATACGCTTTAAGTTAGCACTCTATTTAATATCTTGAATTTACTATTTAACCCTATCTAGATGATTAATTTCTATTCCTAGATATGTGCATTATTTCACATTAGGAATTCAAGAATCTTGTCCTATAAATTTAATATTTAATTGGCATTATCCCAAATTTTTTTAATATGTATATTAAGCAACCACTTTTTAGATAAATTAACTAATTTTAATAAACAATCCTTGCAAAATTTTTGTTTTACAAAGAAACCATCAGCATAACCTAATATTTTCATTTCATATTTATGCCTGTTCATTCCTTTCATCAATTAACCTATTCCAATTGCAATTTTTTACAAGTTAGTGCGTTATACAATCATATGAAACAGCTTTATCAGAAGAAATCATTTTTTATAGATCATCTATTACTTATTTACTCAATTCATATAGAGAAAGTATAGGCAATAGTTTATATAAGACTGAATTAGATAAACAATCTAATTAATCAAAACAGTTCTTATATAAATCCGATCTGACACAAATGTTTTGGTTATTATCTTGTAAACAATTAAATATGTCTCCTTCTCTTTACTTTTATTCGTAATTAAAGTTTTTTTAAGAACTTGAAAATTCCTTTTTATCAAGTGTGGGGTCAAATTTTCTGTTTACTCCAGATTATAATTTTTTAAAGTTAGTTTTCTTCTTTTTATCCGACTTTTAGTTAATATTTATTATTTTTAAATCTAGATCTTGTATTTATGATTGTAGAAGTTTTTTGCATTCTCTTATTGCTAACTATTTATTTATTCTTTCTTCATTTATAAGTATTGGTAACCCTAATTTAATTAAGGTATGATCAGAGATTTCGGTTCATAATATTTGAATTTAATGTTATACATCTTTATTGATCAAAACTTGATTAGTTGTCAAAGTNTAATAATAAGATAATAATATCTTCCAAATTATTCAATTTTAACTCTAATATTTGTATGTAATAATAAAATAATAGTATCTTCCAAAATATTCAATTATAATTATAATATTTGTATGGAATTATAAGACAACAAACACTTCTAATATATTCAATTATAATTTTATTGTAAATCAAATCACGAATATTCTTAAGTTATTGTAGTATTATTAAAAGTTGTTTTTTCAAATTTTTTTCCCAAATTTTTAAGGGCTAATATATGTTTTCTATTTTGAAATATACAGAAATCAAATGATATTTGAAGTAAGCTTAAGTATATAAATGGAGTAAAAGTAAGCTAGATCCGAAGTCTATTTTTTTTGAAATTTTTACCAATTTATACGCTTTAAGTTAGCACTCTATTTAATATCTTGAATTTACTATTTAACCCTATCTAGATGATTAATTTCTATTCCTAGATATGTGCATTATTTCACATTAGGAATTCAAGAATCTTGTCCTATAAATTTAATATTTAATTGGCATTATCCCAAATTTTTTTAATATGTATATTAAGCAACCACTTTTTAGATAAATTAACTAATTTTAATAAACAATCCTTGCAAAATTTTTGTTTTACAAAGAAACCATCAGCATAACCTAATATTTTCATTTCATATTTATGCCTGTTCATTCCTTTCATCAATTAACCTATTCCAATTGCAATTTTTTACAAGTTAGTGCGTTATACAATCATATGAAACAGCTTTATCAGAAGAAATCATTTTTTATAGATCATCTATTACTTATTTACTCAATTCATATAGAGAAAGTATAGGCAATAGTTTATATAAGACTGAATTAGATAAACAATCTAATTAATCAAAACAGTTCTTATATAAATCCGATCTGACACAAATGTTTTGGTTATTATCTTGTAAACAATTAAATATGTCTCCTTCTCTTTACTTTTATTCGTAATTAAAGTTTTTTTAAGAACTTGAAAATTCCTTTTTATCAAGTGTGGGGTCAAATTTTCTGTTTACTCCAGATTATAATTTTTTAAAGTTAGTTTTCTTCTTTTTATCCGACTTTTAGTTAATATTTATTATTTTTAAATCTAGATCTTGTATTTATGATTGTAGAAGTTTTTTGCATTCTCTTATTGCTAACTATTTATTTATTCTTTCTTCATTTATAAGTATTGGTAACCCTAATTTAATTAAGGTATGATCAGAGATTTCGGTTCATAATATTTGAATTTAATGTTATACATCTTTATTGATCAAAACTTGATTAGTTGTCAAAGTAACTTATTAACTGAAAATTGTCCTTTGAAAGGTTTCCTTACCTAGTATGAGATCATTTAACATCGGTGAAAGGGCTATCAATAATTAAAATCCCCAAACAATATAAGGAACTGGTTTGTATTCTTTTAACTCATTATTTATAATAAAATTTCATTTTTTTTATTTTGGGTAAACTTATTAAAATAAACATTAATGATGATTAAATCTGAAAAATAGCAACTGCTCTTATTACCAAAATATTCAAGGTATCTTTATTAGTCAATAAATTTGATGTATTTTAAGAGTTAAAATCTATAATAAATGGCTCTACTTATGCCACCAGAATTAGTAGAGCCAGCTCTTTGATAATAAATATATAATTAATTGAATCGTTAAATTAAGTATTTCTTACTCTTATAAGCATATAATATCAGCTTTTAATTATTTTATAAAAAGCGAGTTTCAGTTCTTTCATGTGTGTGTTATTCGTGGAGGATTAAAATTTATGTTCGATATCAATGGTTTCAATTCCCTCCTTTATAAATTTTCCTTTCTTCTCTTGTTTATCATTTATTTCAATGAAATTTTTTAGAGTGCTGAAGTTCTTATTTGAAATTTTTACAAAATATCCAATCCTCAAATAAAGACAATATAATATTTAGTGTAATGAATTGTGATTCCTCATTTTATTTAATAATATTTGAAATAATATTGTTTAAATAAACATTCTAATATATGATAATTTTATATCGTAATTTTCTTAGAATAAAATAGAAAATGATGCTATTTGATTAATTTCAGAGTTATGCTAATTACGTATGAAACTATCATGTGTAAAATATTTCTAAATAAAGCCTATATCCAAAAAAGAATCAATTAGTATAACAGTACTTTGGTAAGTTACAATTTTTTTTCCTCCAATTATTCAAATATTTATTAACTTCTTAATTTTGTATTCAACTTTATCATTTTATTATATTATATAACATTTTTAATATAAAAATAGTATAAATAAATATAACAACTAAATCATTATGTAATTAATCATATTTTAAACTATTTTTATATACCTTTTAACTTTTCTTATATATATTTTTTAATTTGATATTTATTTGGTTTAGAGTTTAGTAATGTTTCGACCTGAAATACACAATCCAATAATAAGTAAGAAAAGACATCAATTATTTTAAATAAATATTGAATATATCTTATTTTTCAAATTATACTAAAGTTTGGTGATTTCTCTTATTTTAACCAATTGAAATCTTGAACTTAATCAAACAAATTGCCATCCTTATTGCTCAATTTAGAAAAGGATAATTTGGAACATCTCTCTATGATAGGATTTGATGTGACATGGATGATAAATGCACAATCTAGGGTGTCATGAATTCTTAATTGATGCATACTTCCTTAAAATTCACAATTTTAGCATTTATCAACCCATACACTTCCCTTCACGTCTCCAAATTTTACTTTAAGATTTTTAAGACTATGCAAATAAAATGTATCCAATGACCCCTCAACATTAAAGGTAGTATTTTCCAAGTTTTTCAACAATAGTGACCCATTTTCTAAGGTTATCGATTCCTAATAATTGTCCTGAGTTATGACAATAGAATCATTTTCCAACAAATTTTGCTTTTCCTCTAAGATTTTGCTCTATTGAGGAATCCCCTTTGGAAATGGTTTCGAAAACCTAAATTTTTATCTCGGAATGATTTAGGACCTTAGAGTGAATATTGTACATTCTAATTAGTCTAATTACTTTAAATAGATTAAGATTGTACTTCTTTATATTGTTATTTGTCATATGCAATTAAGGCATAATTGATGTCCACATAATATTAAAATAACACTTGAAATTCATCAATTAATTGTTGAATTTGATCTTCTGTTTTGATTGCCTTCTAATTTATAGGAATAATAATATCTAAATTTATATGAAATTTACTGTCATAAAGTAGTCTAAATTCTTTTTGAACATGCAATTATAATTCTTTAGGATCTTTGGTTTGAAGTTTAATTTCTTATCTTCTATCCTTTTGAGTTCTTAATTTATCAGCCTGCTTATTTAAATATGCTTCAAATTGCTGTTTTCTTAACTGTTATTGTGAACTAAGCTATGAGGTTTACATAAGAAAATTTTCTTTTATAATTAAATTATTTTGTTAAATTCAAAAAATGTCAAATGCTTATGTTTAGAATTCTGGTGTTTCTTTGACTTTCCAATATTCTTACCCAAATGAAAATTTTCCATTTCTCTACAAAAACCATTTAGGAACATGATCTTTTTTTTGCTCATGCAATTCTTTTCGAGCTAGTCGTTACTTTTATTCTAATCTTGTTTTCTCGATTGCTGCAAAATCAATATTACTATTTTCTAAGGCTCTTTAATCAGGTCTCAATCTAGAATCTGTTGGTGGTAATGTTTTTAATAGTTGTCTATTTAAATGGTTTAATTATAAAGCAAATCGAGTAAAGAAGTACTATTAATCGCATTTCTAAGGTAATACATTTCGAACCCATATAACTTTCGTCATGCCTGCCACAGTTATACCTATTTCAGAATTCCACTTGCCTTGGATGGTACAATATTAAGTGCCTTATTTATCTTTAACAAATCCTTTTAATTCGTAAGATGCTTCTGATGATCCCTCTATTAATTTAAGTGTTCCAGTGTCTCCAGTGACTTCATTCTTAAATTTCATTTCCCCGTAATGATCTAAATATTATGGGCCCATTATTAAGTTTTTAAATGAGGATTTGCATCTTTAAAATGCGATTTGATCTTAATATTTCTTTAGTTTAATATTTACCCAGCCCAAGGGTGTCACAGTAATTGATTTACCCCAAAAGGATGTGGTCACATTATTATCTGATAAAAATTCAAAATGTTCATTTTCTGCATAGCCCACGGATATTGGAGGGTGATGTGAAACCTATTCTGATATGTATTTAAATTTTGGACAAGAAAATTCAAACGTTTCTCCTAAAATTGGGTTAAATGGTTTTTTGACTCTGTTTATAGTAGCTGACAACCCAGATGCGGCAAAAACCATAACATAAGCTAGTCTTTCACAACTATTTGAAAATGAATCTGCTTGATCTAGGATTTCTGAGTACTCTAAATTTTCGCACAAATTTTAAAGCATAGATAATGGTTCATTGAATGTTACCGGGAATGCAATTTTAGTGAGATCCTTTCCTATCATATCTTTTAATAGTGAAACAAATTTAATGCTTTCATTTGGATCCTTAAATGCAGGCAATTATTCTCTAGTTTCATCAATCCCTATTATCATATCTTTAAATGCTTCATTATTGATAAGATTTTTGTATTTGATCGGTTATGGAATTCTTAGCTGTTCAAGTACTTGGAATAAAGGGGACACCCCTGCTACGGACATTTTCTTTGAAGAGAGTCTCCTTACTAATTGTCTGTCATCATAGAGTTCATTGTTAATTGAATAAAATTCATCTTCATCCATTTTGAAGCTCATAAATTATTCAGTTGGTACAAATTCTTCTTCATAAAGATCGTCGTGATCAGGAGGATTTTGATCATTAGTTTCTCTTAATTTTTCTTAAAGTTTTTTACTGATTTCAATCAACTTGTTATACTCTTCATCTAATTCTTACGCACAAGCTGTGGTTGTGTGCTAAAATTGCTAAGCCATTTACTTTTAATTCCTGAATCAACTAGCTAATTCTCTAAGTATTGTTTAGAGAAATCTACTCTTCTAACTGTGCTTGCATAACCCAAAATTATGTAAGGGTGGTATGGATTCTTTTCAAATCTAATTCCGGAGCTCCTTCTATGAAATAAAAAGGGTTCTTCTTTCTCTATACAAGCAATTTGTTTTAAGATTTTGAAGTAAACTAAATAACGATTACATAATACTCTCTATTAAGCAGACAATAGCGCATCTAACCACTTTTGTTTTTCTTAAACAGAAGAAGCTCTTAAATGCATTTCGCTCATTCCATAATTTATAACGATTCTCTATGGATCTTTAGGTACAGATCTTATAGAACAAATACTTAAATGAACTTAACCTAAATCATAACATAATTTTTCAACCTTTCTTTGGTGTTCCTTTAGATTAACAATATATTAAGGAGTCTTCATGCAGAATAAAATAACGATTTTGCCATTAATACATGAAATTGACCCACTTCTTTAAATAACCTTCCATAATTTATAATAAATTTAATGAAACAATTTCTTTCATTATCAGTTTTATTTCAATTCATGATACTTATAGATAATANTGGTACAATATTAAGTGCCTTATTTATCTTTAACAAATCCTTTTAATTCGTAAGATGCTTCTGATGATCCCTCTATTAATTTAAGTGTTCCAGTGTCTCCAGTGACTTCATTCTTAAATTTCATTTCCCCGTAATGATCTAAATATTATGGGCCCATTATTAAGTTTTTAAATGAGGATTTGCATCTTTAAAATGCGATTTGATCTTAATATTTCTTTAGTTTAATATTTACCCAGCCCAAGGGTGTCACAGTAATTGATTTACCCCAAAAGGATGTGGTCACATTATTATCTGATAAAAATTCAAAATGTTCATTTTCTGCATAGCCCACGGATATTGGAGGGTGATGTGAAACCTATTCTGATATGTATTTAAATTTTGGACAAGAAAATTCAAACGTTTCTCCTAAAATTGGGTTAAATGGTTTTTTGACTCTGTTTATAGTAGCTGACAACCCAGATGCGGCAAAAACCATAACATAAGCTAGTCTTTCACAACTATTTGAAAATGAATCTGCTTGATCTAGGATTTCTGAGTACTCTAAATTTTCGCACAAATTTTAAAGCATAGATAATGGTTCATTGAATGTTACCGGGAATGCAATTTTAGTGAGATCCTTTCCTATCATATCTTTTAATAGTGAAACAAATTTAATGCTTTCATTTGGATCCTTAAATGCAGGCAATTATTCTCTAGTTTCATCAATCCCTATTATCATATCTTTAAATGCTTCATTATTGATAAGATTTTTGTATTTGATCGGTTATGGAATTCTTAGCTGTTCAAGTACTTGGAATAAAGGGGACACCCCTGCTACGGACATTTTCTTTGAAGAGAGTCTCCTTACTAATTGTCTGTCATCATAGAGTTCATTGTTAATTGAATAAAATTCATCTTCATCCATTTTGAAGCTCATAAATTATTCAGTTGGTACAAATTCTTCTTCATAAAGATCGTCGTGATCAGGAGGATTTTGATCATTAGTTTCTCTTAATTTTTCTTAAAGTTTTTTACTGATTTCAATCAACTTGTTATACTCTTCATCTAATTCTTACGCACAAGCTGTGGTTGTGTGCTAAAATTGCTAAGCCATTTACTTTTAATTCCTGAATCAACTAGCTAATTCTCTAAGTATTGTTTAGAGAAATCTACTCTTCTAACTGTGCTTGCATAACCCAAAATTATGTAAGGGTGGTATGGATTCTTTTCAAATCTAATTCCGGAGCTCCTTCTATGAAATAAAAAGGGTTCTTCTTTCTCTATACAAGCAATTTGTTTTAAGATTTTGAAGTAAACTAAATAACGATTACATAATACTCTCTATTAAGCAGACAATAGCGCATCTAACCACTTTTGTTTTTCTTAAACAGAAGAAGCTCTTAAATGCATTTCGCTCATTCCATAATTTATAACGATTCTCTATGGATCTTTAGGTACAGATCTTATAGAACAAATACTTAAATGAACTTAACCTAAATCATAACATAATTTTTCAACCTTTCTTTGGTGTTCCTTTAGATTAACAATATATTAAGGAGTCTTCATGCAGAATAAAATAACGATTTTGCCATTAATACATGAAATTGACCCACTTCTTTAAATAACCTTCCATAATTTATAATAAATTTAATGAAACAATTTCTTTCATTATCAGTTTTATTTCAATTCATGATACTTATAGATAATANCACAGTAATTGATTTACCCCAAAAGGATGTGGTCACATTATTATCTGATAAAAATTCAAAATGTTCATTTTCTGCATAGCCCACGGATATTGGAGGGTGATGTGAAACCTATTCTGATATGTATTTAAATTTTGGACAAGAAAATTCAAACGTTTCTCCTAAAATTGGGTTAAATGGTTTTTTGACTCTGTTTATAGTAGCTGACAACCCAGATGCGGCAAAAACCATAACATAAGCTAGTCTTTCACAACTATTTGAAAATGAATCTGCTTGATCTAGGATTTCTGAGTACTCTAAATTTTCGCACAAATTTTAAAGCATAGATAATGGTTCATTGAATGTTACCGGGAATGCAATTTTAGTGAGATCCTTTCCTATCATATCTTTTAATAGTGAAACAAATTTAATGCTTTCATTTGGATCCTTAAATGCAGGCAATTATTCTCTAGTTTCATCAATCCCTATTATCATATCTTTAAATGCTTCATTATTGATAAGATTTTTGTATTTGATCGGTTATGGAATTCTTAGCTGTTCAAGTACTTGGAATAAAGGGGACACCCCTGCTACGGACATTTTCTTTGAAGAGAGTCTCCTTACTAATTGTCTGTCATCATAGAGTTCATTGTTAATTGAATAAAATTCATCTTCATCCATTTTGAAGCTCATAAATTATTCAGTTGGTACAAATTCTTCTTCATAAAGATCGTCGTGATCAGGAGGATTTTGATCATTAGTTTCTCTTAATTTTTCTTAAAGTTTTTTACTGATTTCAATCAACTTGTTATACTCTTCATCTAATTCTTACGCACAAGCTGTGGTTGTGTGCTAAAATTGCTAAGCCATTTACTTTTAATTCCTGAATCAACTAGCTAATTCTCTAAGTATTGTTTAGAGAAATCTACTCTTCTAACTGTGCTTGCATAACCCAAAATTATGTAAGGGTGGTATGGATTCTTTTCAAATCTAATTCCGGAGCTCCTTCTATGAAATAAAAAGGGTTCTTCTTTCTCTATACAAGCAATTTGTTTTAAGATTTTGAAGTAAACTAAATAACGATTACATAATACTCTCTATTAAGCAGACAATAGCGCATCTAACCACTTTTGTTTTTCTTAAACAGAAGAAGCTCTTAAATGCATTTCGCTCATTCCATAATTTATAACGATTCTCTATGGATCTTTAGGTACAGATCTTATAGAACAAATACTTAAATGAACTTAACCTAAATCATAACATAATTTTTCAACCTTTCTTTGGTGTTCCTTTAGATTAACAATATATTAAGGAGTCTTCATGCAGAATAAAATAACGATTTTGCCATTAATACATGAAATTGACCCACTTCTTTAAATAACCTTCCATAATTTATAATAAATTTAATGAAACAATTTCTTTCATTATCAGTTTTATTTCAATTCATGATACTTATAGATAATAATTTTATTTTCCATAAATGCTCTTCTCAAAGGAACCATCTAATAAAAGAAAGTTCTACTATCGAAATATCCTTTCATAAAACTTTGATTTCTTCTCTTAATGCTAAATACTCAATAAAACTCAAAAGAATACTTAATAATCAATATTCAATTCACATCTCATAATTAATAGTTGCCAACCTAATTAAACCATACATACCCCTCGCTCTCCAAAAATCAATAATTTTGAAACACCTAATCTTAAGCGTTTTCATACCAATATTTCTAGAAAAATGCTTGAACCGAAGTAGACATCTGAAAAATTTTAATATAAGTAGAAGATAGAACGTCGAGCTCCTTTACATAAAAGAAAAACATAAGTGCTAGAGGAATAATTAAAGATAGGAGATTACATTGAATTATTGAAAAATAAATCATAATCAAATCTCTAATGCAAATACTCAGATCTGTTTAAGGATCAATCATTTTAGACTTCATCACTTCATTTCAAGTAATAAAGCCCAAGAAAATCAAAGGAAGAATAAAGAAATCATTTGTAACTTCTTTTATAATGGTATATTTCTAATTCATTTATTTTAGTACATATACAATAGTTAAAATTAAAGATGGATCCAATCTGTAAACTCTTATTAACGAATGTACACAATAATATCCAAAATTATCATTAATTATTGATTAATTTATCTAAGATATAGATGTAGCTGTGCAATTGTATAGCAATGAGAACTAAATATCATTAAACCTATCAAGAATAACAGGACTTGATTATAAAATATTTCATTTGTTGTTCAAACCTAAGCAAGATTTCCCTCAATCACATCATTCCTTTTTAATTGATGATGACTTCTTTTTAAATTATAAATTCATTAAACCTACTAAATATGATATTTATTATCGAGTTTATGGAGCTGGTGAATTACCATTAGAGTTTTAAGAATAACTCGGTGAGCTTAATCCTTCAATTATATAGCAAAAATTCAAAGATTCTGATTTTTAATCAGCAATTTTGATTAAAGATTAAATCCCTTAAATTGATTTAGATTTTGTTAGAAAAATTGTTTATTATTAAAAAAATCTTTAACTATTCTTAAAATAAAAATCAAGTGAAGTCTTGAGCAGTTTTAAAGAGTAATTAAATTTAGATGAGTATAACAATAGTAATATGTTAAGATAATCAATACTTTCAAAACTTATTGATTCAGAAAATTTGATTGGAAATTTTCCACATATAACAAGATCAAATAGGTACTTATTTGAAAAGATGGAATTAGAGTATTAGAATAAACCATATTCTTAAAGAATAAAATAATGAAAAGTGGGTGTAAATTGAATTTAATATATTGATATTATTCATCAAATTCATTCAATTATCTATATAAAGTACTTATGAAGATTTGCCTCTAATTTATTTTTACAATTTCATTACTTCTATTCAACTCATTTGAATTTATAAAGTTTCTAATTTTATTTATCCAATAGCACAATCCTTTTTAGAGAATAACATTTGGTAAGAATTAAATTCGGTATTATGTATGCGTAGAATGATTTAAATTTCTTTTAATAATATAATTAATATTTATATGACTCATCCGTTAAGAGTAGATGATTTTGTTGACGAACTTCGAAAATACGATAGAAAAGAAGACTTTATGGCTGTAATGAGATCATACGAATAAAGGTATTCTTAAATTCATAATTAGATATTATGATTAATTTGAATAATTTGCAAATAATAATTTTCCTCCTGAATTATAGAGATAGCAAATGCCGAAACAGGAATAACTATTCAAATAATAACCTTAATATTAAAAACCTCCTGTTGTTCGCTCTAGTTCAGCAAATAAATTAGATTACTAAGATCAATACTAAATATTTCCTTAATAGCCAATTTAACAACCTTAAATACCTTAAAGACCATAATCAAGAGGAGAAATTTAAGATCCTTTTAAGAGACCACAAGAGCAATTTGACTATCGATTGAGTCCTGTTGCGTAGCAGGATCCCTTTAGAGGTTTAAATAAATAGCAATATATTTCACAACAAAGAAGCCCTGCCTAGATTCCTACTCAATAAGCACCATTTTCCCCCTTTCAAGGTTAAACTGTAACAAATAATGCCTAATAAATTGGTCTGCCTTTTAATAACCAGGTTGGAGTTCCAAACAACAATCCACAGTTCCCAAATTATGGAGCTTAATAACAATAATTTTATGAACAACCAATATATCAATAATAGCAAACTTTATCATACCCAAAAACAGTGCCAAACTAATAATAGTAAATGGATGCCTTTCTTAATGATATAAGATCTTAGAGGATCTAGAAGTAATAACAATACAAATGAATATAATACTTATAATATCAAAATTATAAAATATGAAGATTTCATTCTGAAACATGGAAGGAAAATACAAACTTATATTGATAATGAAGTACATATAAAATATTCCATCATCAATTATGCACTTCGGTGCTTAATCTTTTAATTGGTGGTAGTACTTAGGATAATCGTTTAAATGATTGTGTCTCATTTCTCCTTGATGTTTATGGCAAGATGGCATTGCTTTTGGATTTTAAGGATGCTCTGGGTTTTTATATGGATAAAGCAACAGGTTTCTTATAATCCTTGAATAATGGGCATCCTTATTCATCGTATTCAACTTGCATAACAGGATGATTTAACACTTCCGAACACGAAATCCTTTGGTCAGGTTTTGGATTCAACATTTTCATAAGTAGATTTATTACTAAAACTAATAAAATTGATTTACATTATCTATTTCCGAAACAATCGTCTAGCAATTTATTCATATTTATGTTACATTCCTTATTTAATTACTTTAAATTATTGCCTGAAAAGAGTGGTTTTGTAGTAGTTCTAATAAATTAAATTTTATACAATTCATAAAGTAAACATCCTAAACTAAAAATGTCACATTTCTCATTATATGATTTAGATTTGTCCTCCTCGCATATAAAGATCTCTGGTGCCATATACCCATAGGAGCCACAAAATTAGTAAACATTAAGTTATTTTTAAATTGTGGAAGAAACTCCAAAATCGCTGATTAATGGGCTGTCTTAGGCTGATAAACCAAATTATTTAAGGGAAACAGGTTTTCTAAAAAGAATATTCCCTGGTTTTATGTCTCTATGCATCAAACCTTTCATTCTCTTATTTTTATACCTATATCATGCATATATTTGATTCCTTCGACAATTTATCGAAAAATTACTTTCACAGTTAGAAATGGCAATGGTTCTTCTAACTTTTTTATTGCTTAATCCAAGTTACCACCTCTACATAATTCAGTGATTAAGTAAATTTGAGCTTTGTTCTCAAAAACATCATACAATTTTAATATATTTTGATGATTCATATATTTCATTACTTTTACTTCATTGTCAATTTGTTCCTACCATAAATCATATTATTACTCTCCATAAAGTTGGATCTTGTAACATGAGCATTTTTTTAAGAAATGCTTTAATTGCAACTTTGGTACCGTCGGCCTTTGATTTTCCAATATAAACACTGGCGAAACTACCACTACCAATTAATTTTTCGATTTCATAATATTTTTGGTAATCCATTAGTGGTAATTTCTATTTTAGAAATATTTCCCACATCCCTGGTTATTCAATAAATTAATATTCTATCGGTTTAGATAATAAGTCAGTTTCTAACATTAGGTAATTCTGTTATCTGTTTGATTTAATTTAAAAACGAAGATGGCTGCTTAGAGAAACCATTTTTACACCTTTGTCAGACTTTAAATAATTTTGTAAAATTTTACAATTCGATAAAGTTTTGAATCAGATAGGATTAGAGTAATTTTCCTTCCATTTTTAGTAAGGAATCTGGAACTAATTATCCCGGATGGTACATCATAAGATTTATTGAAGAGCTTAATAATTTGCATATAAATTAATCAATTAAATAACATTTGACTAGATATTTATATATCGTAATCATTATTGAAATTCACAGAATTAAAAAGTTATATCATTTACATACCAACAAATTGACAAATCATTAAAATCCCTTAAGGTACTATACAACTTCTAAAAAAGAGGGTCTTTTTAGAGGATCTTTATCCCAACATTTAATCATCAACTCTTTCAAAAAGGGAGGACATCCTGTCTATATTAAACTAAGATCAGGCCTTCCGTTATCTACTGTGACTAATTTCATGATAGCAGGGGGATTAGTGGAAAATTACTTATATGGAGTTTCTCTACAACATATTTCCCATAAAACTATCTAAATTTCATAGAACTGATTTTTTTACTGCATATGAATAGACATCAGCTTTTAATGTATATGGAACATTTTAAAACACTTCTGGAGCCATCCAATGCTATTGTAATAGATATAAAATACAAAAGTTCCCAGGACACCTGTCATTTATTCACCATTATCTGCTTGTACTCTAGCCAATCCGAAATCAGCAATCTTGATATTTATCCTATTCGAATCGTAAGTTTATTCAAGTAATATACTACTCAATATAATATTTGTTTACTTTAAACTCTTAAGGTCTCTATGTATTAATGGAGGATTCAATTTGTGTAAATGAAGCATGCCATCAGCTATTTGAATTGCCATTTTTACCCTTAATTACCAATTTATTTCTAAGTGTTTTTTTTTATGCAACAAGTCAAAGAGTGTTCCTCCAGCACAATATTCTGTTACAATATGTAATTCATCTTCTTTTTACGAGATTCCCAAAAGCTATACTAAATTTGAATGCCGTTATATAGTCACTAAAGCTGAAATTTCTCTTCTAAACTCTTTTAAATGATTTTCATTTAATGATTTAATCTTCATTTTTTTTATTGCAACTTCTCCTCCTTTCCAATACCCTTTATATACAGTGCAACTACTACCTGTTCCTATTAGTGTTTCTAACTTTAATTAATCATGATTAATCATCCACTCGGAGACATCTAAGAATTAATAAATATATCTCTATACTTTTGCCTTATTTATGAAAATAATCAACAATTTAAAAGGTGTTTGATTAGGGTTGATCAGTTTTATCAAAGACCTAAGATTTCTAATTTTAATTTATATTAAATTAATCAAAAATATTATTTGATTAAGAATTAGCTGATTAAATTCTATGATTTTATCCATTTTACTTAATTTGATTATTTTGCTTAGATCTCCAATTTAAAAATCCCTCATCATTTAACAATTCTTTTGTTAATTACACATTTTAATTAGATAACGGGGCTCGTATTTTTGTTTGTTATAGTTCAATCGGTTTATTGGGCAATTGTTCAGAATCATCATCCTCATTTTATTAATCGTTCATAATATGATCATCATCATCATCAGAGAAATCTAATCCTTTGTATTCTCCTTGTTATTATTGTTTAGATTGCTTTTTCTTTAATTCTGTATTTTTAACATTTATAGATTCTCTTTAGTTGTCAATCATTTGATTCTGCCAAAACTATTATTTATTAGCTTAATCATCTAAACTTTTTAGAGAATAGTTATTGTTATTGTTAATTTTGGATGGTTCTTCAAATTCAAAATTAAATTGGTTTTATTTCTCTTATTATATTGAACAAGATGTTACTGCTTTTATAGGATATGAATTTGACTTCTAATATTTAGGTTCTAATTCAACTACTTCTTCATCATATTCTACTACTTGGTTAATCATTATTTCCCCATAACTTTAAGGTAATTTAATTCCATCGATTGACATGGAATAGCTTAAGAAATCATATATATTAAATTCTCCTCTTGTTGATTAAAATAAGGGCAATTTTTTAAGAGTCTCGATTGCGTTTTTAGAAGGGTCTGGTATTAATTATTAAAACTATGGTATTCTTTTGCAGATAGAAAAGAAATTAATAGTCTATTAAAAGTTTATTGAATAATCGTCTTATAATGTTAGAAAAGCTTATTTGACTTCATTATTATAATTGGGTTATCCACTGATATAATTAGTACTTTACTTCAATGCATAAAAGATATGAGTGAAGGTACACAAGATATTGTACAATTCATCTGCCATAGTAATAGCAAGACCCAATTATAAATTAATTAAATTCTATTCCTAAAATTATATATTTGAAGTGAAGTTTAATAATTTTTTCCATAAGTTCATCATATTGTTTAATATTGCTACACTTAGTCTTTGGGTTTAAGTTCCATTCTTTTTATTGAAGAAAGGAATCATAGCATAATTACCTTCAAAAAACTTTAGATAAAATGTATGAAAATTCACTTTCTCCAATAAAATTATTGAATAAGAATACAATAAATTGGTAAAAAATTAAGTCCTAAATTTATCTTTAGAGCTTTTCATTTAATTTGATTCCTAATAATTTTTGATTTTCTCTAAAATAGCATTTGGAGAATATATTTAATGTTATATTATAATAGTTTCCTATGGGCCCTTTTTAACATAGTTATGTATTAATTGCAATGCTTTAAACGTTACTATCACAGAGTTTAGTTAGAGTCGATTTGATACTTTCTCATAAAATTTAGGAATTTTTTCTTTCTTTTACCATGCTTTACAATGAAGATATCTGAAATATTTTTAACATGGAGCTGCATCAACTTCTTCTAAACAGGCAGCAACCCAAAAGTCCGTCTTTTAAGCAACTTTACTGACTAATTTTACGAATCTTGTTGATAATGAAGATTATGGCTATTAAAAGTCTTTAAATTCAAATGAATGACCCTTCTCTATTTCTTGATTTTGGTTGATTGTCACTCTATTCAATATCTCATTGGTTGATTAGCTTCGTAGATGTATCTATTATGACATTCCACTATAAAATTAGAATATTGCGGCTTACTTGTATTAGATAATAAAGGAATTAATATATTTTTCTATTTATTCAGCTGATATTCTGTCCTATGGATTAACGGCGAGTAATTATTTGATTAAATTTTATAATTTCAAACTATACACACCCCATTAAGCACTTATATAAATAAACTTATACTTTCCTTCCCAATTAGGATTTTAATCATATCGGACTTTAAATATCATATAATACATTAATTATCCTAGAGCATAAATATCTACTTTGGTAGTAATTGGCAATCTTTGAGAGAAATCTTTTTATTCTGGAGCTCTTACATGTTCAAAAGTGTTCATTTCAATTTCTTCTTTGATTCTTCCCAAATATTCATTTGGTATTTGCTCATATTGCTAATTAGAATTTTATATATACTTAGAAAAAACAGCGTTAAAAATTCCATAATTTTGCTTGCTTATCTAATCCAATTAAAATATTTTCTGGCCTGATATCTCTATGTGTTATACCTAATGAATGACAGTGCTATAATGCTTTGCTTAAATCTAATAAGATCTACGCTTATTTTTCTGCTTACTTTTAGGACTTGAGGTTCTGCTAAACCTTATTAAGAATCCTTCAAAATATTTTGGAGGACTTCAGCTTTTTCAAAAACAATTACTTTTTTATTTGTTTATAATTCTCCTTCAGTTGATTTTGCTATGTTGTTACACCCATTATCCCTGAAGAGATGAACAGCTTATAATTCGGTATTCAAATACTATATAAAAATTAGAACATAATTATATACCTTCTCTTATCCAGCATCATAAATTTTGACTACATGATTGCATTCTGAAGTCAAAAATAATTTATATTTAGTGCCTTAAAAGTAGATTTAAGTGGTGGTATACAGAATTTGCTTATTACCAAAAATAACTTTATGTTATTGCATTAATCAGTATAATAAAATAATTACAAATTTCATTAACCATTTTCAAAATTATTTGATTCTCAATATAGTTAAACTAATTAATCAAATATACTTATAGACTTAGAAAAATCTGTTTGGTTATAAAATTATTTAAAAAATAGAATGATCATCTGGGGACATATATTTGCAATAGTAAGAAAGTAAAGAGTGAATAAAATCAATATTTATGGATTTTTCAATAATAATATGTTTATGATAAATATCTTACTCCTCCGACATTAGTAAAGATGTTGAATATGATTTGAATCTTTACATAAATAGAATTTCATATAAAACATGCTGAGCATATAGAAGTTTAATTATAAGCAACTGTTTTCTTAAAATATATAATTAGGTTACAGAATTCATACTCTATGATTGAAAAGAGTTTATGTTTATAAGCATACAGGTTAACTGAAATATAGGAGAAAAATATACTATATTTATCAGGATCTCATAAACTCACATAAATAACTTATAACATAATGAGAGTGAAGTAAATATAACCAAAAATTTTGAAATTATAATGTCATCATTCGAGTGAAAAATATTAATTTTGAGAAAATCCTTATTAAATGATTTCAAAATCAATAATATCACTAAAGAGATATTTATAATGAAAATGAATTTCTAATATTAATATCTTTAGTATAAATTTTATAATTTGAAAAACTAAAGCATGAGACAAAAATTATGATAAATTTTTAAGTATCAAAAATTTTATCAGGTGTTAAGTGGCGAATTTTTAATCTCAGAAATTTAATAAGAATCTTTCTAACTTCTTTTACTAATGTCATCAAAGTAGAAAAAAATATAGTAAATATTAGTTTTATAAAATTTAGGAACAAAATAATAACATTAAGGAATTAGAGACATTTTTTGTATTTAATTAAAATTTAAGATTTGAATTTGATAAAGTTGATATCATTAATGAAAGCAAGGTTTTGTAAAACTGATTTTTGTATGAGAGTGTATGAGTAGCACAGATCTTATAGAGCTAATTACAATTAAGAGAGAAAATGATTTTCAAAATTTTTGGCAGAAACTAAAACAGAAAAAGTTTAATTATTCATGGTCATCAATTAATTATAACTATTTTCTTAATCTTAAGTAATTACATTATTAAATAGACTGATAAATCAATAATTTAAGTGAAATTTAACAACCAATACACTTTTTAAGAAAAAGTAAAATATAACTAATAAATTAATATAATGATAAAAATAAAGTGATCAGTATATGTGGAAGATTCAAAAATTATGATTTAATTTATATTAGTATATCATTCATCCTTAAATTTTGCTGATTAGGCTTACTATTCGAATGAACTATATCCAGAATTTCTTAACTAAGAAGGAAGCATAATATTAAACGATGCTTAACTTTAAGACTATGATTATGAAGCTTCTATTAATAATAACTATAATTCTTTACCTTGAATAATTCTATTCACTGAACTTGGATGATTGTGATATTTAATTGTACTGGGTGAGGTGGCTCCTTAAATATAAATCTAAGTAGATTATATTATTACTTGCTTTAATCTCTCTTACGAAAAAATCTTTTGCTTTTCTAGTTCCTTTAGAAAGATATTAAATATTTCTGATTTATCATTAATTTAATTTAAGGTTAATAAAAGTACAGAGAGTATTTTTGAGCAATTAACAGTTTAAAATAATTCAATCAAAATATTTCTGATAGATGCACTTAAATCATACTATTAGTTAGAATTATAAGGAAATATCTTCTAGATTTCTTCAATTAATTCTTATTACTGAATATTGCAATATTTTCCAAAATAATAAATAGTGAAAATGTGGACATCATTTATTATGATCTTCTGACTCTCAAAATAAACAAAATCGTTTATTGCATTATATAAAAAATTTGTCTTTTTTTGATTCGTGATGATAATAATGTTAGGATTACTTGCGAAACACTTCTAAATAGTTTTTGTAAAATGATCTCCCTATTTTAGTTTTTCATAGTTGCATAGATTGATAAAGATACCATCATTTGACTCAAATGTTCCTCCTAATTATGTGAATTCCCCATTTATGATGTCAATTTTATTTTGTAAATCATATTAAACAACATTCTGGTAACCTAAAGTTGCATTTTTAGTGTTTGTTTCAATAGAAATAACGAATATTCCGGCAATGGCAAACTAAAAAGATAGTAAAACAATCTACTTATATTGAATGCTGATTAAATTATGAATTAATTTCGAGCATATAATCAGTTTCAATACATCTTTTAGCTATATATTTACAAAGCTAATGAGGTGCTATATATCTTAAATTTAGATCATATTTGATTGTCTTCTAATAATATAAATCAAAAATGTTCTTATGGTTAACTTTATAGTCATCCTCTTGATAAGTGAATTATTTCTGAGTTTTCTTGCAAATGAATAATAGTTTTTGTTATAAATTGGTTTGAAATTCAAAATCGTCATGAGAAATTTAAGAAAGTAATACCTATAAGCTTGAATTTCTTTATAGATTTGAGGTTTATAAATAATGATTTTGAACAATAATTGAACTCCCGTTGGTATCTGAAATCTATTATTTATCATGATCATTTGGATGATGATCATCACTATTGCATTGACACAATAATTTTGAAAAGAATTTTTTCATTTATTTATAATAAAAGTAGAAATATTCATTTATTATCTATCTTATAGATAAGATTTTCATTTGCTTTGATTAATTCTTCCTACAACTAAGATGTTTATTTGAGATTTTCTTTAAGTGAATTAAATCCACTGTTGATTTCTTCCAATTAACTTCCCAAAGCTCTGGCTGCGACATATTTCCGGGTGGTCAATTTCAATTGGATAGCATATTTTTTCATCTTTTTACTCATATCTGTAAATTCATCTTCAGTCAAATCAAGATGCCTAGAAAATGAATGATACATACCTTTTTGCATAATGCATACGACCAAAAATGGTAATAATCATTGCTGCCTCCTATTGCATTTGTTTTTTCAAACTCAAACGATCAATTAGAATGACAACCTTGTTTTCCAATGTAGTTAAATATGATTCATTTGTGATGATGACAATCATAGATGACACAACAAAGTTACCCAATATACAAACTACACTCATAACGATACGTCCTAATAAAGTTCTTGTATAATAATCACCATATCCTAACTACAATTTAAAATAGAAAATACAGTAGTGCTTGTAACTATGACACACCACATTGAATTAGCATAACTACTAAAATCATTGCTACTAACATCGATTCTATTTAAAGGACTCTCACATATTCTCAAACAATAACCAAATACAAATATTAGGAGAATCATAGCACTATAATTCACTGTGAATGGCTAATTTCTATTCATTGATTTCGAATTACCTCATTAGAGATTTTATTGTGAACATATAATCAGCTTAACTGGCATATAAACTGCATACTCGATCCGTTCTATTAGAATGCCAATATGAATTCAATAAGGTTGTTCGAATAAAGAATATTACACGAAATGCTAGAGTCAAACAAAGTAATTCGTTTGCATAATAATATACCTGGGAATATGGATATAAAGTTTACATCTCCGTCGACAAAATTATTAGTAAAGTAGAAACTAATACTATCCAGAAAAGGTAAGGGAGATGCAACAATAATGATTATTTCCATCAACAACTCTACGTGTTCCTTTGTAAATCCACTATACACATCTCCTTTACTCTCTCTCCATTTGATCTTTGCTTGATTTCTAACTACGGCCAATCCCATTAAAATTAAATTTGATATAAAAATCACCCACAAAATCACTAATCTTGCTTCCTGTTATTAATCATAATGAATTAATTCTAAGGTAATCACTGTTAATCCAGTCCCAATTAAATTAAAAACAAAAAAGCTCAAATCCATCATCCTAAAACTGAATTGACTTTAACAAAATCAAATACCGTTGAAAATATAGATTAGTCACTCTACCATCTTCCAAAGAATCCCCTGAAGATTCTAGATCAAAAAACGGTGCTTTATTTTAGATAGGTTCTTAAGGTTAATTTGCTTATGTATTAAGACGTTCTTGATCTGGCTGCGTCTGCATTTAATTAAATTAATAAATATAATCTCATTAAAAGTCTTGTTTGACCATATTAATTATATTTCTATGAATTTTCGATACTACTTTTTTCTAATATTACTTAGAATTACTAATAATTTTCTTCATATTGAGATTTTTAATTGTAGATTTCTAAATTAAAAATATGAAAGAATATATTCCTTTTAAAACTAAAGAATTTTGAATTTCTACTCTATTAATTTGAATTATTTTAATCATATTTATTCCTAAATTTTATTAGACTAGATTCTAATGTTTAGATTGCATATAATTTTTATAATCAAATTAATTTCAAATTTTCAAGGTAGGGAATGATAATTGAACTAAATGGTTAATCAGGCCTTTCTAAGAATTTTAGATGCATTTCTTCAATATTCAAATGTTCTGAATCTATCAATGTATAATCTCTTCTGCCTACTTATTGAAGTTTGATTCTCTTCAACTCATTTTACTTCATTTCTAGTTCAATTACAATTCCATGTTCTTATAATTTAATTATAATTAAATCTTTATCTTCATCATAATAAAGATCTTTGATCACTCTTGTCAATGAATTAGTCAAGGCCAATGTAATTTTGTTTAATTAATCATTTTGAATTTTGGCATTTTATTTTTAAATTTGAGATTATTGTTCATCCACTTAATTTTTCTATTGCTTAATACACATTTATTCATCATCTATGAACTATTAAATCCTGAATTCAGCTTCATAAACTTATTATCTTAAGGTATTAAATTCCTCAATCATTTCTTATATGACTTACATTATTAAATTTGAACAAAATAATTATTAAATTCATATGAATAATCATAAATGCTCGTCCTGTTTCAAATTTATTGCAATTGTACGATGCAAAGAATGTGACATCAATATATGTTTCAACTGTGATGAAAATCTTCATTAAGATAAGAAGGATACTCATTGGAGAACAACCATTTCATTCTAATCTCAATCAGCTCATTAACCTCAAAATGAGAATCTAATTGAAGTGATAAAGCTAAAGTAAAAACAATTACAAGAATTGAAGGACAAGGAATCTCAACTAACTAAACATTATTAAGATAGAATGATATAAGCCAAAAAGAAATATGAATTACAAATTTCAGCCTTAGAGAATAGATGTATAAATAATAGTATATGTAGTGTAATAGGCTTAATAATTCATGAATGAAGTAAGTCAAGAAAATGGGGAACTTGATGTAGATAATATGTAAAGTGAATTGGAGAATTTAGAAAAGAGTTTGAAAACAGAAATTAAAATAGCGGAAGAAGAATAAAAAAAATTGGATGAAAAAACTCTAAAAGTTGATACTTTGTTAGATAGAGTTAAAAAGGCTACGGACATAGAACAATAACAAATATCTAAAATGAATGAAGTTATATAGATCTTTAAAGCCTGTTCAGAATAATTATAGAAAGAAAAAGTAATATTATGATCTATTCAAGGATCTATTGATGCTTGATAATGAAAAATTGATTGGAGAAGTAGAGATCTTTGCTAAATTCTTTGATGAAAATGGACCTTTGATGGAAGAATTAAATGCCTAAAAGAATAATGAATAATAATGAAAATTTATTTTTGTTAATATGAGTAAAGGTGACAAGTCTCAAAACATTTTCGATTATAGGGCTGAAACTCTTGACTATTGGAAACAAACTATTGAAACGTTATAACTATCAATGCAATTCGATGTAAATATCTTCAACCAAAATAGGAAAAATACAAATTCATAGCTCCAACACTTATTGAACATGTATTAGCCACTCTTCAATTAATGATTCAAGTAAAGGGTCAGTATAGTGAAGACAGTTTCATCATTGCTCTCTCCAAATACGCAGTATTACATTAATCTAATCTCAGGAATTCTAACAAAAAAATGTTAAGAAATTTATGACTTCATTTGTCAATTCATTTCAATTGTTACTTAAGGGAAATCAAGAAATCTGCTATTTTACAATCATGTTGAGTCCTACTGAATTAGTCAAAGCAAGCTCTGATCAATTCTCATTTTACCTCAAGTTAAGAAAATACATCTATGCCAACTTTATTAACGAAAGAGAAACCAAAGTTAAACCAATGAACTTTGGTATATTCTATAATTATTTTAGATTAATGGGTTTCAGTGGTCTCTAAATAAATGGATAATTCTGCAATCAGTCTTGTTGGAAATAGAATTAGAGAAGAAGCTGATGAAAAATCCAAAGATAAAATTCTTAAAAATAAGTAACTAATTAAATTATACTTAGTGTAAGGCCATTTGATCTACTAATTTATTGTTACGAGTTATAATCTTAAAGGCTGTAACAATAACCATAATAAAGGTAAATAGCTACATTTTCACCTTCATAACAAAAAGATGAAGAAGTCCCCTAAAAATCAACTGTTTAACCGGTGCAACAATAACAATAGTAAAAACAAAAATAATAAAAATAAACTGATCTCTAGGCAAAAATGAGAGAAGTAGTCTTAATACATGAAAACCTTGCATCTAACTATAATAAATTAGCTATTTTTGCTTAATAAACATAAGCAAAACTATCAAAGGCATTAAATCAAGTAATTATTACAACTACTTTAGATTAAACAAGGATAATAATTAGATGAAACTGAAATACAAGATCTACAAAATATATTGAAGTTTAAGGATTTCTTACAAACTGATCCAGAATTAACATTAAGAAATAGTGGAGTCTATGAATTCTTTTGATTTTATTCTTGGATGTTATTATAATAAGTTAATCGGTTTTTTAATTTCCCTGAAGCAAATTTGATCTTTCTCTCAAATACCTGGATTGATCTTGAATCATTTTATATTTTTCAAAATTTTTCATATAATTATGGCTTGAAAGGATGATTCTATCAAGAAATACTGACATTATCCTTTGTAATACCATAGTTATTGATATCGAACAAAGAATTCAACTGCCACAAAATAAATTTAAATCGTAATAATGTATTTTCTTATAAAATAACACTAGGAATTCAGGGAAATAGCATTTAATTACCCAAATCGTATTGAAATTAAATTGCATAGAATACAAGGCTACTTTTTCCATAACATGAAAAGTATTTAATTTCTAGTTTTATATAAACTTTGTATATTATAATATATATAATTTTTAATTGCAATTGAGATGAGTAATATATAAGGAAAACCTTAAGATTACATTATTAAATAAAAATCAAAGTTCAAATCCAAATCCTGAAAAGTACTGCCTCAATTAGAATGAAGTTTGAGAAAAAACAATTTGTTCTTAATCAATGTCTGTTCTTCCAAAAGGTGTAGGAGAAAATAAATATTAATTACTCTAATCTTCTATCTCACTTATAACCTAAGTTGATTAGGGATCCTCTTGAATGGATTATGGGAACTATTATTATAATATTAGATCAAAGCCAATTTCTAAATCATATATTAATTGATACTTACATGACTCATATTTCATTCCTTTTACTAAATGGATGAGATTTTCAATAAATTATTTAAAAAGTTTTTCACCTTCTTATGCTAAAGAATGCTGATTCTTACAATAATTAAATAAATTACTTAAAGAAACAATTTCATGCTATTTTTAACTTTAATTTAATATTAAATTGAGGAAAAGAGTTTTTGTTGAATCTTTACTTACTCACATTAAAGTGCCTTGATTTAATTATGCAACTCCTTTTCTTCAACACTACAACTGTTAATATCACTTTATTTTTCTTTTTTGTTCTTCTTTTTAATTATGTTTCTCATAATAACTTGTTATCTAGCAAAACTTGGATGATAATATGTGATAGCTCCTTATTCATCTTTACTACTTATAAATCCATACAGGTTAAGCTATCTAATCATATATCAAGTTATTCTCTAACCTCAAAAAGCTTGCATAATTGGCATGTTTAAAATGTTGAGGCAGAACTATTTCTTATAGTAGTTCTCTATCAAGAATTTGAATTTTCACTCCATTCTCATCCCATCTTATAATATCCCTGTTCTTATTTTGCTAAGCATATATTGTAATTTTACATTTAACATTTCAAATGTGACTTCAATGAATTTAATTCCTTTATGTTTAGTATTTTTTTTAAGCATTTTTCAAAATGATTAAAATTTAAGGAGAAATTGGAATTCTTAAAAACCCAAATATATAAAAACAAATTTAATTATGGATTATATATAAATAATGTCCATTCAAAGTATATATTAGTATTAGTATTCTAACCCAAAACCTTTAATCTGATAATATTTTGATATAAACATATAATATTAAAACAGAATTAATGAATATAAGTCAAATAATCATAAAAGCTTAGAAATAACCTAAGCTTGAGAAATTGTGATTTTCTAGTATGGAATAATTGCTTGAAAAATCATTAAAATAGTGGTAGACATGTATGTGTTCTATTTTAGATTAATTTCCTTAGAATAACAAAGGATAATCAATTTTAACAATAATTAAAGTTATAAAATATTATCTTTCTTTGATTATAATTTTACCATATCTCATAAATCGAATATCTTCTTAGCTGAATTTCTTTACCTTAATTTTCAGCCTTTTAATCCCATCTTATTTAATTTACTCAATAAAGCTTACTCAAATATTATTAAGCTTTACATTTGTAAAATCCAAAGAGAACTATTTGAAAATTACAATTTGATGTTATTAATTTCTGAAGAGAATTATTGCTATCTATCTAATGAAGAAACTATTACATTGTAATCAATATCCTAAACTGAAATTTTTTTTTTCAATTTATTTAGATATTATAATTTATAATAAATCCTCAGCAACTAAGTTTTGAAATGTATAATTTCAATTAAAAATAATAAGATGAATTATAAGCTTATCTAAGATTCCCTTAAGATTTGAAGTGGATTATTTATTCTTGGTTTTTAATAAAATAAAAAAACAGCCGATAATAATTACTTGGATTATACAAAACTGAAAAATGAGTTTTTGTTGGAAACTCATCCTGGAAAATAAGTTTTATGGAGAAACAATTAAAAATTAATAGTAGAATTATGGAGTATTTGTTTGGGTAATCTATGACAAGACTATATAATCAATAATCTAGTTTTGTTGCTGAACATTAATCATTCTACAATTTTAAATTACTGAGTTTAAGTAGCATATTCTTAGAAAAATTATTAGGATTTCTATATATGTGAAAATGCTTCATCATATTTTGAAAATTAAGTGGCTGGATAGTAGGAGGATAAGTAATTAAATATCTAAAACAATGTTATATGAACTTGCGGTAGGATAGCAGTATTACCGAGATAGGACATTGCATTTTCAAGTTACAAGATTTCACTTTTAGGAAATGTTATTTCTAATAATTTGGATGATGTAACACCTTTATAATTTTTTATAAAATGTTTACAAAATTGGGGCAACATTCCATACATTATTTTCAAGGCTGCATTTAATATAGCTTTAGCCTAGTTAGATGCTGAAATCTTACTTTCAAAAAGTAGCTAGATCTATAAAATAATATACATTCAATAAATATTGAGTTACACTTGACATTTTATCAACAGTTTATATACATTCATAGATTTGCTATCTTAAGATTTATTGAGAAATTTTTATTTAATTCAGGTTATTTCTCAAAATAGATGTCTCTAGTTCAGATTAAGCAAATTATTGTCTTTGCTTTTTTTTTATTTATAAGTTCGGAGAAAATTTGGTAAATTATGTGTTATAGTAATAAGTATTATTCTTTTCTAAACTAGTTCTTTAGAACCCATACAGGTTCAATTGTCTTAGTATATATATTGAAATACTTTAAGAAACTGGAAAACTTTTAATGTCTAAAATATATAGGAAGTATCTTTGATATCAAGGTAGGTTTATCTAAAATGATAAATTTTTCTCCTGAATCATTCCATCTTATTATATTTTCATATTCTTGATTCTATTTTATTAATTTACTTAACCTCAAGAATTTTATAAAGTAATTTTAAAAATGACGAATGAATAATTCTGTTTTTCTTAATTTTTTTTTCTTACATTAAAAAAATAATTAAAATTTTATTATTGATGCATACATAATATTTTTATATCTTAAGCATATCTCATTTGATGAGAATCACTAGTTGATAAATTATTTTATTTTGTATATAGAATACTTAAAATAGAATCAGTCTTATGCTTTACGAGTAGACGCTTTCTTGGCTTTATGTTATTATAATTCGAATTTATAATCATCCAAATATTCCTGAGTAGCCTTCATGTAATTCCAATTATTCATATCTAAGTAAAATCTAATATAATTTTATTGATTACATCGCAACTTTACGATTTTTATCTTCGGGCTAACAAACTTAATCTAGAAACAATCCAATTTTTAATTCTTACATGTATTTCTCCATATTACTATATTCAATATTATATATTTACATTTCTTCTTTTTTATTATCACTTGTAGGATTAGGAATCCTCAATTTCTTCAAATAAAATATATCATTTGTTTGTAAATTGTTATACGTCCTTATTCTACAAGCAGGCACTCCATATTATAATTCCAGTCCTTCTATTGTGTCATCTGGACAAATTAAATGAATAATTTCATTTTTTCCATCAGCTGTAGATATATCCTATGACTTTTAGATAATGTTCCTTTAAACATCAAACCAATCTTCATCATATAGACTATAATGATCCTTCAATTCAGTTGGTTTGTATTCTTCTTCTTTTTATTCTGGCCTAGATTTCGACATTCCGAACATCCTTGCCAAAAAGCCAACAGGTTCTTACTGAGATACTTTACAAGGCTTTTTTAAATTGTCTTCATTAATCAAAGATTATTGCACATTTTCCTCATTCTTTAAATTAATTTCTTCCATTTCAACTAATCTATGAACTTAGTTCCTTCTATTATAAACTTCATTTGGAATGTCCCCGACTTTCATTATATATTAAATAAATAATTAAATTATGAGGAAAATTGTATAAAACAAAAATTAAATATATATTAGTTAATAAATAAACTAACAATTAAAAAGAGCAATTATGCTAATATTTAAACTTAAACTATAATAATAATAAAATAAAAGAAATATTATTTGATTTTAATTTATATAATAAAAATATCTTGATTAATAATGTATTGACATCCTTAAAGGTCTTCAGAAAGAAAATTGATTTAATTAAAGCAATTTTATTATTTCTCTTATCAAAAATGATGTAAACGATCTTTCAAAATTAGTCTGTTCAGTAATACATAATAAACAAATAGACAATAGAAAGTATATAAGCATAAATGTTGATTTTAGGATTAAAATAAATAATGATATAAATTAGTTTTTCATCTTTTAGTTAGAACCTAGAACGATATTGTATATATTTATCTTACAATTAAATTTATTAAGAGTAATGAAATAAAATTATATAGAAAGAAAAAGCGAATTAATTGATAACATTATGATGGGATAGGGAACAGAATCTTAGATTACTGATTATTTGATTCTCTATTAATTATATATACATAGATGCCTATATTCATTTTTAGCTTGGTGTTTAGAAAAAATTCCTAGCTTTTTTTACATCACAAAAGAAGATACATTTTGGAAAATTTAAAATTTTCTTCTCTTTGATTGGACTTTATTCCTTAGATTGATTAGAGTTTGGAAAATAAAGCATATTAAGTTAAAAATCCATCAGTGTTGACTAATTTTTTATTTCTAAGGTTTTGCTTTAATGAGACTTTTTAATTCTGAATGTTGGAGTATCTAGTGATTAATCAAGGACTTAGCTTCAATAGAGGCAACTGAATACTTATTTTAAAAAATTTCATTCAATCGAGGAAACCTTGGTTATTTTTTATATCTTTCTTATTTTATCTGAAAAGACTTATCATTTATGTGATTTCGCAACTAGTTAAATCTTAAATTTTAAATTGTTCCTTCAGAAACTAAATTTTGTTGTGGTTGTGTCTTTATTCTTGCTTCTCTTTGAAATCGAATATTATAGGTAACTGAATTAACAGATTCATTACCTAAAAGTTAACAATTAAATTACTTTTTAATGATGCTCTTAATTAATTGACCTTTTAAGCAGATCTTTATTTTACAGATTTTTAGAAAATTCTGTTTGCTCTATAATTGTGGAAATTGTTCATAAATAAATATTATAAAATATGAATCAAATCTTTGATAAATAGATAATGAGTCATCGATTCATTTTTCAAATTGTTCAAATATTAATGAGTCCATTTTTATTAATATTATTTAGAATATTAAAGTATAAACTATTAATTCAAAACTTTTTGATTTTCTATGCCATTACAACTCTTCATTCTTTATATGAATCAAAAGAGTAATAAATTCTTATATTTCTAAATTTGGTTATCTAAACTTTATGAAATCCTGTATAAACTAGCAATTACAAAAAGTTAAAAAGAGAATTAAAGTTATAACATTTTATAATTATTCAACAGTGTAGTATCTTCAAATTTGAAGCCATTTTCAATAAGAAATTATCTAGCTTATCTCACAATACATATCTCCTAATATTTAAAGGTAGGAAAATAGAGAATCAATAATAAGAGTGTATTTAAGGGAAGAAAATATCAGAAGTGTCAAAGGAATTTAAATGATTATATATTTATCTAATTATAGAATTTACATGTGTTAATGTGTTTATTCAATCATATATCTAAAAATTCTACAGATAATATAGTTTTATATGACTATCATCAATCGCAAGCCATTTGAATGAATAAGTATTTATACTTTAGAGAGGGCATGTCACTTTTATTTGAAAATCTTAATACCATAATATTTGGATTTTCGATGATTTTCCTGTTATTGAAATAGATTTTTATTATATTAAGTGTCATTGAAAAGGACTACTCAGATACAATTCAATATATATATATCAATATATTAGTATTTAATGTTATAAATATATTAACTATTTGTCTAAAATCAGAATTCTAATACAAAATTCCAGTATATAAATTCAAAAGGAACATCTGTTGTAAAATATATATTTATTTTTATTATAATTTATATTCCAAAGCAAATTCTATTAAATAAAATGTTAAACCATTAAGAGAAAATTGTTCCTTAGCCTTAATTTGAATTTATTTTCAATAGAGAACTATCTCAAAATATAGATAAATAAGAATTTGAGAAATTCAAGTGTCAATCCATTTTATATTGTTAAGAGATAATGATTTGTGATTTGATGTTGCTTTTGGAAAATGGTAAAATGATGAATTAAAAATTAAGCATTGCAGGTTACTTGAAATTAATGGATCTGATTAAAGAATTTAGATATATTCAAAAATCAAAAAATCAATTTACTCTATTAAATTATTGTGTAATTAAAAATATAGATGGATAATTATTGATTGAGTCTAAGTTCAAATTTAAATAATATTATCCCTCTCTGGAAAATCAAATTGATGAATTGCAAGCAAAATTTTCATAATTTGTCGATCAAAAAAATAATAAAGGCTAAGATTTAGAAGAAATATTAAAAGGGGCCTCTAATATTTATTCTCAGTTTAGCTCACCAAAAAAAGAAAACTAAAACAATATTAAGAATGAATTGTTTTATTATATTTAGGATAGATTTTTTGCCAAATAATTTTTGATACATGATTCAGATGAGGAGTAAAAGAAATCTCTATAATATTTCCAGGATATTTTTAAGATCATTTAATGCTCACCTAATTATGAGTAAATTTTGGATTTATTGATTGAAGTTGATTTTACAACTTTAGAATAAATATAATAATTTGTGAAATAAAAAGAATTTTAACATTCAGAAGTATGTTTAATGAATGATTTTGAATTATTTAAGTATTACATAGTTCTTTTGAAATCTGCATAATTTGATTAATAAAAGATAAAAGATGGTTATGCAAAGTGTTAGAATTAAGAAGATAAAAGGTAATACATTGATAATCAAATTAACAATTTGGATAATTTAATGAGTAGTCAAAATAAAGTAAGCGATCCGCAAGACTCAAACAAGTTTTAATAATCATTAATTAATTAATTAAAAATAAAGTTTTGGGTTTTCTTTGATTATGATTTGGAAGATTAAAAGCTTTAATCTAATCGTAGAAAGATAAAAATAAAGGACAAAATATATGTAATTAAAACAAAATATTCTAATTTTATTTCATTGAAATAAGATAACAAATATTAATTTGAAAAATTTGTGTAGACTATTATAAATGACGAGGATATGGAATAAATTATTGAAGAAATAATTGAATTAAAAATTGAAATCATTCATGAAAATGTTCGAACAAGCCTTAAAAATGGCGATTTAAAGAAACATTTAGAAGAGTTATTTAATGTAAATAAAAAATTGTATTTGCCACTTTTAAAAAATCACCCAACTCTTAAATAATAAGTCGATATTTTACTTGACTATTGTGAAAGAATTAAAATAATGATTCAAAATTTAAATTAAAAGTAATTAGTTGATTTCAAATAAGATGAATAATTAATTATTTTAAGAAAATAATTAGAATCTACTCAAAATGTAAATACTGATCTTTACATCGAATCTTAAGAAGAATTATAAGAGTTAACTAATAGATTTTGTCCTAATTTATGTATTTTCAAATCTACCAGATTTTAAAGATTTAAATAAAGAATTGAGTAGAAAATATCAAAATAGATGTTGTGGAATTAAATAAATTCCAGAGAAATGAGTGAAGCTAAGTCTAAAATGCCAGCAGAATTTTTTAATTAATATTAGTTCCCTTTATCAAAATATATGACAAAACGATAAGGCTTAGATTAATTGCGGTGTGGATTTTACTGTAATAAAACATGGAATAATTTACAAGATTCACTAAAAAAAGAGCTCTAAAATTAGATTAAATAAGATTAAAAATTTGCAGATGAAAAGGCAAAAATGTATAAGTAATATTAAAATCGAATATTCATTCCTATTGAAAAAATAGATTTGATTTATAAACATAATTTTGATTAAAAAAACGAAAAGAAAATTATGGAAGAAATAGCTTAATTCTTTGATAAAAAGAGATAAGAAGAAGAATGCTTTCTTAAAGATTTGTAAGAATATGTAGAATTAGCAGATGAATTCATTAAAACCTTGGATTAGGAAAAGAATGATTATTTCAAACAATAATTTTTGAATTATACAGAATATAAATCAATTGAAGAGATGTAAGATGATGTTTAAAAAATAATTCAAAATTTTAGAAAATTGAAATTTCAGAAATATGAAGATGATAAATCCTTAATTGAAAAAATACATAAAGATTATATGCATAAATGTTAAGAAGTATTAAAAATAATTCCTTAAGATTTCAAAAGATTCAAATTAGCAAAACAAAATAGAGAAGATTTAGATAAGAAGAAAAAAATAATAGAATTTTATGGAAGCTAATTATTAGAATTTTTGAAATTATAAATATAAAATAATCAAGCTTTATGATTTATTATAATATCTGTTTTACTTCCATTCTCTTCATAGTGTAATATAAAGAAAGCTAGGATTGTAGAGATATTCAATAAAGTTTAATAATTGCTATTCTATTTATTTGAATAACCAATAATAAATCATCTTGATCTAATTTTTAAGTATTACATAATTGATTATAATTCTAATTTAGACGATTGAAATTCTGAATCATAGAGAAAATAAATTAAGTAATCATTTTAATTCTGTCAAATCCTCACAACTATTTCCAGAATACTTTTTTTAGGGTTAATCCCATATAATCATACCATTTTCTTCATTATCTTCTTGATTCATATCTATTTCTATTTTTTAATTCTAAAATAAAGATTCTCTTAATTTTTTAAAAGTTTTTGAATGCTCTATCTAATTTTCTTTTTCCAAGACCTTTGGATCTCTCCAAAATTATGGCAACTACCAAACTTTTATTCTTTTATCCTTAGATGCAGTTACTAATTTTTTCTCTTCCTCTAGCCAATGCAATTTAGTTATGTCTGACTCATGGGCTTTTAAAACAACTAAGATTACTTTATATTTTACATAATTAATTGGAATTTCTGGCATCCCAAATAGTAACAGTTCCATCAATGTTTCCGACATAAATTTCTCCTCTTTTGGAAGACCAGCTTATCTCTCTACTCTTAAATCTTCCATTTAAACTTGTGATTTATTTTGCAAATTATTCCTAGCCAGGGTTTTAAATGTCAATTATTAAAATTACCCCATTTTCATGGCTAATTGAAAATAAATAATTTCTTGAATGATCAATAAATAATCCTCTTAGAAATAATTAATTCGTTGTGATTTTAATCATATATGAGGGCATTTACTTGAATAATTAATTAAATCTACTTTTTCTATATCATAAATAAAGATTTAACCATGTCTATCTCCAATAAACACCTTTCTTCTTTCATCGCTTGCTAATAAACTAGTCAATTCATACTAATCTGGCATATAATCTATTTTAGTTCAATAAAAACCTGCCACCAACTCTTTCATCCGCAAATTGAAAACCTTATATCTACGATCCTTTGAAATAGAATGCATGTATTTATTTCTTCTATCATAATACAAGCCCATAACTCTACTTTTGTGTTACTCAAATTCTTAACTATCTGAATATCTTTAGAATCCTTCTTGCTCAAGAACAATCAATTAATTTATAGATCCACTATCTAATCCAATAAGAAGAACAGATGCAATATGATCCCAATAACATGTTATTGCCTATGAATTATATACTTTGGCCCATAGTTTTTTATATTCCCCATGTAATGTTTAATGCCAGCATTCTACACTCCCTACTGCTATTTATGCTTCTTCATCTTTTTTAAATTCCCAAGGTGCCTTCATATTTGTTAAGTAGGCATCTATTCTATTTATTACCGAGCAATTAGAAGAAAGAACAAACATCAAGCCAGATTCAGTATTGAGGATAAAGTCTCTTACTCCTAGCTAAAACTCTTTAAATTCATAGAGTAATTAAGGAGGATTAACGACAATTTCTTTTGCATTTTTATCAATCTCAAAAAATTCTTTAAAAGGAATACAGGCTACAACTTCAGGTCTGTTAACCAAATCCTATATTCTTAGCGATTAATTACCTAGACAAATTAATCTAGCCCTTCTTTTCGCTTTTCTATATCCTCTGTAGATCTACCAATTAAAAATGTTATATATTTCTTTCTTGGTAAGGATGGTAATTATTCCCCAAAAAATACCTTTAATTTTTTTAATAACTCTTCAAATTATGAGAATCTTTAAATCTCATTATACAAACAACTACCTTCTATCAATTCTCCAATTATCCCCAGTTTTATCTAATATTTATATTGTATAATAAATGGCGGTTTCGTTAGGATCATTTCTATGCGAAATCACATGAGCCTTATTATATTCATGATTTATTACTTAAATAGGGGAATTTGAATGCATAATAATAAATAATATACAACAAATAACATATTACAAAATGTGTAAATTATTATTAAAATTGATAATAAATAAAAGTATATCAATTTTATGCTTTAGTATGTTTATTAGAACTTATTGAAGATGTATGAAAAATATCAAAAGATTTGTATATGCTAGATTTGTGTATTTTGATAGATAACTTTTGCATATTTGAGAGAGTTAATAAAGAAAAACTCAATAGAAAGTAGTAAGCATGAAATAATGTGAATAATTGAATTTTTTGTTTCAAAGTTTTTATTGCTTTAAATTTACAATTCTTATTGGACAGAAGAATGTTATTCAAATTATCAATAAAAATAGAACATTGTTTTCAAATTTGAAGGAAAAATAGTTTAATTGCAATGTTAACAATCTATCCTCTAATTTCAGCTTAAGGTTCAATTTATTGTTATTTATAACATATTATTTACTGAATGATTATATTTGATAATTATATAATTCATATAAAATAATAATTGTAAAAGTATAAAAAGATTAGATTGAAGATTCACGGTCAAAATGATAAGGATAATTGTCAAATAATTTTTAAAGTCTATAGATTTTAATGATTTTATCTCTTTATTTTGATTAATATTGTTAGTTACCTAAAGAATTTTATGGTTTAGAAATATCAGGAAAAAGAAATAGTAAATTATAAAGATTGAAATAGAACTTATTGACAATCTTTCAACATTGATAATTACATATTTTACCTGTTTTTTTAGAATTAAATAAAATAACAAATCATGTGTTATTGATAATGATATTAATAATTGAAGTCACTTTTACTTTCTTGTTGGTAATGAGCATAGCTTATACAACACATGATTAACTAATGGCCCTACTTTAAACAGGTACATAAGCAACGGATGCCATTGACACAGTAATTGGTTTATTGAATGACTTAATACAATCAAATAAGTGCTTAATTTGCTGCTGATTAAATAAATGAAACTGATGAATGGGTTGGAGCACAGTAATTTAGTATATAAACATATAACAATTGAATAATTTACAAAGATTAAATCACTCAACTAAAAATTATTCTAATAATCAATTAAAAACAGAGCACAATTTGAATAAGAATTATAAGTCAATAAGAATTATCTTGCATGGAATAAATAAAGATAGGATGAGATCTCAAGAAAGATTGATGTTCTTCTTGATGAATAATGTCTTAGTAACTAATTATTTGTGAGATCAATTAAGCAAAATAGAGAAGCACTTGAAGTTGTAAGAGTACTTAAACAAGATGCTGCTGGTTATATTATAAATGTTGATCCATTTGATTAGTCTAAGAGAAAGCAACTAGTGTAGCTCAAAAGTCAAAACATACAGAAATCTTTTCAATGAAAATGAAGTTAAGACTTTCTTGAATTTGGCTTAAACGTAATAAGAAGAAGGATTAAGCAGAGGGGCTACATTGGCTGAAAGAGTTCTTACGGTTCTTGAATCACTTGAAGCCAATCTCTAAGCTTCCCTTGAGGCTCTTGAAGTAAATGAAATCATTGCTTCATGGTAATTGGCTAGGTGGATTTCTTTTAGTGAAGCTGAAGTAGCAAACTTGATGGTTGAATATGAAAAAAGCAAGTTTATGCTGACAGTATTGGCAACTGTAATAATTATAAATTAATCTATTAGTAAATCCAAGCAGCTTTAGCTAAATAAGCAAAGTCAAAGTTGATTTTACAAGAATCTCAAGATGCCCTTGATGAAGCATTAGCAGACTCAGAATCCAAGAGAGCTGATTATGCTGAGGCTAAAGCAAAGATAGATGAAGATAATGCCATTTTGAAATAGGTTATCATCATCTTCAAGAATTAAGTTGAAACATGGCCTGGAAGATGATGAATATAACTAATCAAGTAATTACAAAAATCTAATCTTCTTATTTATTATTAATATATTGGAATTAGATTGTAGAGTGAGATAAATTTGAGAGAGAAGAATTTATTAAATAATAATATTTTAACATTTGTTAATTCACCAATCTTTGAATGGGTCATCTTATGGTTTTACAGGATCAGGTAATTCAGTACTGTCTGGATAAGTAGCAAAATTGGAAGTATCATAGTCAGATCTAATAATTCTATCATTTCATATTACTGAATAACAGGTGTATATTAAGGCTTTATTTTTTTATTGATAATATCTTTCCAATTAAGTGTTTCATACCACTTGTGTGATTTTATGTCATCTACTCCATTTTTAAGATTCCCAAATCGTTTAGTGACATCCTATTCTAATAAATGTTTAACTAAGCTTTTTGCCTCACTAATTAAGTTGAATTGTGAAGTTACTTATCAAAATTACGTGGGAACTTGACTTTACCCTTCAATATTTTCTAATAGATAGCCATAGGATCTTCATCGTTAAATGGGTCAATTCCTTTGTGAGTTCATCTATAATACAAATACCTGCTAGCATCTCATAGATGAAGATTCCCAAACACCACCAATCAACTGGCTTACTATGTCCTATAATTAAAGAATAGTTTACCCTTGTTTAATAAGATTTCTGGGGCTAAGTATTCTGGTGTTCCACATAATGTGTAAGTTCTATCCTCAACTACTTTAGCAAAACCAAAGTCTGTCAACTTTAAATAGCCATCTGACTAGACCAACAAATTCTCAGGTTTCAAGTCTCTATACACTATGTTCTTTGTGTGAAGATACTCAAACATTAGAACAACTTAAGCCGAGTAGAACCTATCTCTATGAATAATCATTTACTATGCTTCTTCATTTTGAACAGTCCCAGCATTTCTTAAATATGTAAACAGTTCACCTCCTTATATATATTCTAAAACAAAATATAAGTATCGTTCATCTTAAGTGTACCCACTCATTTCAATCTAAAATATTCAATCTTCAAACATACCAAAAAAGGATGCTTGATCTATTTCAAAATATTAAACTCACTAATAATATGATCAACCTATTTAAGTCTTAAAATTTCTATTTTCTTCAACATCTTCAAAGCCACATATTTGTTATTTGATTTTTGCTTAGCCAACCTCACCCGACCAAATGAACCTGTTCCCAAAGTGTTCATTATGTCATATTCCCCTAATTTAACTTTTTTAGTTTCCATTTAATTAATATTTATATTTTCACGATCAATTTCAATCTAAAATTGAATAATAAGTCTGAAACTAATATCCATCATAATTTTTGGTTCCCATAAATACACACGCATATTGACGCATGATCTATAAGCAAAATATAAATAACTTAACTAATCATCCAAACTCAATCCAGATTAATAGTTCTATCATCCTGACTTCACAATTAAACCAGATTTAGCTTCATAGACCTCTCAACTTTTATAAAAAGACTGAAGTACTTAAAACTAGAATTCAAGCATATATATATATATATATGCAAATAAAAAATGTTTATAAGATCTTTTCTATTCTTACCTTTCTTCAATCTTCCAAACTCAAATAATCTATATATATATATTAAAAATTTGGAACTATGATAGACTTCAGATGAGTTTCATTGATATGAGCGTCACATATTTTAATATTATTAAACATCTGTCTATGATAATTCTTATAATAAAAGTATATCCACATTATATATTTCATTTTGTAATTAATCCAAAATATGATAATGAAAAGAAAATAAACCCAAAAGATTGAATTTGAATAACCCATTGTTAAAAGTTAAAATCCTGAAATCCCCAAAAGGCCAAACTCTGGCAAATTAGCTCCAATCATTAAATCGCCTTTACCTCCTCGGAAGGCAACTCTATCATAACATCATAATCAAAAGAAATAACAATAAGAACCTCTTTAATCTTAAGACATCAAAGTTATTTAAATTCGAAGCATGACTCCAAATCAACAAAAACTATTTCAGCATAATGTATAATTCTCTATTTTATGAAAAACAGAACCCAAGTCCAGTTAAATTAGTATAAAAATAACAAATTGCTCAATCAGAAAAGAAAATTATTGTCATTCCCAAACGACCAGAAAAATAATAATTTAGAATAACAAATAAAATAGATTCATCGGTAGAAAAAAAAAATTAACCATTCAAAGGAAGAAGTCCCAATCAAGATTAAGCATTTAATTGGGCAAATACTGAATTAACAAAAGTAAAAGATTTTTTAAAGTAGAAATAAAATAATATAAGAGAATAACATTATAAATAGTCAAAGCAAGAAGTTTTAAAACATCAACCAAAATGTGCATAAGATTTCTCGATGACTTCTCATAAAAATGATTTGCCTTAATTATTAAAAAATTATTAATAAGAGATAAAAGAAGCTCGTTAATAATAAATTCATGAGAATTCACCTCCTTTAAATATGAGTGGTATCATATTATATCATAATAGAAATTATGGAAATCAATGAAGATGGTCTTTCCTCTTTAGCCCAAAGCACCTATCATCATTAGATGCATTGAATGAAAGATAAACTATACTTTGTTGTTTTTATAATATATTTTTCATTAAAGATCCTCCTCCCCTTCTTCTTATTCAAATTGTAAATTTAATGCTTTTCTAGGTTTATTATTGTCTTCTTCATCAATTTGACGTTTGCTGTTCTCTATTTTTGCTTTTTCATATAATTCTTTTTGCTATTCCTCTAACTGCTTCAAATGTTCTTCATCTTGAAATCTTGCTTTATTTTAATTTTTCACCTTTACATAGCATCAAAACTTTACATTAACCTCCTCTTTGATTTCTTCTTCAATTTCTTTTAGTAATGGGATTTAACCTTCCAGCCTTAATTTTTAAATGGCCTTATAAAAAAACTCTCCTGATATTGTTTTTTTTCCATTTTCTAAACAGATTGTATTAGCTTAATCAGAAACCAATTAGATATATTCCCTAGCCATCGACATGACTTATGTTACAAACTCATTAGAACATTTCATATCCCCATTGGTAGTTGCTTTGATAAACTATTACACAGTGGCTAAGATCTTAAGCAGATAATACCTTTTGGGAGCTATTCCATATTATATTATCTTTTGCATTTTTAATAATTCAATGTTTTCTTTGAAATAGGATAGATGCAGTGTTTTTTTTTATAATTAATGATTGGTCATAAAATTACCCAGAAGGATACAGTAAGAAAATCAATCTAATTGATGAATTCAAATATATCTACCACTAAAACTGCATAATCTTAAATATAGTAAGAAAATTTACATTTCTATCAGCAAAAAGAACATTTTTAAAGATTTAATTTTGTTCCTCTTTATTTTTCAATTTATATTAATGAAAAACCTCTCTATTTTGGTTAGCTAATACATGTTGTTAATAAAATAGTCTGTTAATTTTACATAATTATATTTATTTTCAAATAAATCGTATGAGCATCAATCACAAGAAAAAGATTTTTGAAAACACTGCTCCAAATCCATATTTCAATACAATTGAATCTCCATAAGTTCCTAAGATTCTAGAATAATCAATAATTTAATAGAATCCTTATTTCAACAGTCAATTAGGCAATTCAAATTAATTCGAGTTAACAAAATAGGTATTAGATGAACGTCAGAGTATCTCTCCTAATGATCTAGAGTAGTTTCTAATATTATTTCGATAGCCACAATAAATCAACATGAAACTAGATAATAGTTAGTCAAGTCAATCTAATTAATAACAATTCTACGAACAACTTGAAATAGAAGGAGAAAAATTGAGGGTTAAGTTAAAGTCAGATGCTCGTATTGTCTCATCAATTATAGAAAAACATACAAAGATGAAATCTAACAAATAACGATGCATCGAATAAATGAATCATCTCATAAATGAAATTAAGTCTTATAATAATGTTTCTAGGTATTCTGAACTCAATAGATCTATTAAATACAATTTCAATTAACTTGAATCTAATTAATTAGAATTAAGAGATATTCAGAAGGAGGCATCAACATTTGAAAGAGTTATGTCAGTTTCAGTTTAACAGTAATAGTCTCATCAGCAAGGGCAAAATTAACTTGATCAAACTATTGGACATTCATCAAACGAAACCTCTGAGGCTGAATTCACATCATTATCACTATAAATTTATTCTTCGATTGAAATGCATGCAAAAGAATTTGAGCAAACAATTTCAGAGAAAAAAAGGTTAATGCATATAAGCTAAAATTATCATTAATACAAATAAGTCTGTTAAGGTTTGATTCAGCTCATCCAAAAATATCCATAATTTGAATAATAATAATCTTAACAAATGTTAAAGTTAGAAAGCATTGCTTCAATTTATTTTTTTCACTTTTAAAAAGAATTGAGCTAATAGAATTTATATTACACATAAATTACAGAAGATATTAGATTATCTTTGTCTATTATTGATAAAATGAAATATTTGTTGGAATAGGCAAAAAGTTTGGATTGCATCACCGAATTTTATTTATATATAGAGAGCTAATTGACTGGCCAATAATTGATTATTAAATCAGGAAATAATTTAAAGTTGGCTAAAGCTTACTAAAATTAATTCAATATGCTTAATATCAATAATTATCAATATTTTCACATCCTCAGACATAAGGTTTATAATAAATGTCTTTTAGAGTTTGATAAAATATAATTTGATATAAAAACAGCTAGGAATTTGCAATCAATTCTATTAGAGTATGTTAAATAATTTAAAAATTATATTTCAATAGATTATGTTAAATTATTCAACGATGTATTAGCAAACTTAAAATAAGATCTAAAAAAAGAGTCTTGGCTCTATTTAATTAATCTATATACCGAATTAAGCTAAAAAAAATAAGACTTATAAATTATGATCAAAAATTTACAAAATATAAAAAACCAAAATTAATATTTAATAAGGTTGATATCGGTATTTTAGTAGAATATTGAAAAAGAATTGGAATAACTTAAAGATCTTTAGCCTAAATTAAATTAATATTTAGAAATAAAAGATTTTAAAGCATAAAAAGAGTTTGAAAATTTTTATGACTAATATTTAAAATGCTATAATGAAATACATCCAAAATAATAAAGCATATTATCTGATATTAATTAATTCTTAGAAGATTCAACTAATCCACAATCAAATGATGAATAATATCAATATTTGAGATCCCTGTAAACTCTATAGCCTAGTATTAGATAATTAAACAATAAAAGAATAAGTGGAAATTTTAAAGAAATTAAAACTTAATTTGATGAATTACTATAATTTGAGGTAGATATTGTTTAACTTCAAGTATCTATGAAATCAATAATAACTACAAATTTTAATCTTATTTTAGACGATTTTTTAGATATTACAAAATCGAACACAAATAGTGTTTTGTCATAATTAATGGAATTCATATAAAAAAATATTAAGACTATTTCTGAAATTAAAAGTCCCTCACTTTATAATATTAAGGAATAATAACTTCGTTAATTCTAATAGGTTTGGATGTTCTTTGAATAATTTGAAAAGTTTAGATCATCCTTATCATTGTTATTTAATAATAATCCGACAATTAATTATACTTAATATTTATAGTTTATGAACAAAAATAAATTTAGCTCTTTATTCTATTAACTTTCAAAATGTAATTATAAAATTTGTAAAAAATGGCATGATTTTTAATTAGATTTAAGCCATATTAGTCTTAAATCATATATATCATACATAACTAAACTTCTTGATAAGATAATTATAATAGGACAATTTGAGGTTCCATTGACTCAAATATAATTCAATGAAGAAAATTGCTAATTGCTTTTAGAATTTTTAGAATAGGAATATACAAGTTAATTGTAGAGATTCATTTGCAAGCATTAAATATATAGGAAGATGAAATAGCTTCAATTAAACTAATTAACTTTCAATAAGTTAAAGTAATATTTTGAACATTTGCAGATTGCATAAGATAATGAGGATTTTATAGATTTAAGGTATATTTTGATTGAATGTTCTGACTCTTAGCAAAAGGATAGTGAAATATACTCAACATTACAAGAGGAATGGATTTTAGATCATTTAGAATAAGGAGATAATAGTTTTTTATAAGGTTTTGTAAATAATGAAGGAATTTTCAGTAGCAGCTTAATGAGACATACAGCAAAACTGCAGAAATTGGCTAAATTGTCTAGTGAATAGAATGTAAATTGGAGAAATGTCAAATAAATATTAAAATAAGAAATATGAGTATATATTCTTTTTGTACTAATTAATTATTTGAAAAAAATAATTAAAATCAATGAATTTCTTAAAGTAACTCTTCAAGTAAATGATCAAAAATCATATCAGATAAGTCTATTGCAACTACTGTGTATTCTTCATCGTAACTTATCCATTTATCCTCATTTTCAATAACCTAGAAATTTAATTTAAATTATACCTCTGCAGATAGCATTCTAATCATCCTATCTTCTTTTATTTAAGCTAAACATTCTTGATCAAACATCAAAATTTTTGGATATGGACAATCTTCCTTATCGATTAAAAAGCCAGCCAAATAATGACACCATTCCAATACTTTATCAGAACTAGATTTAATGATATTTGGCATTTGCTATAAAGTGTTTTTTCGAAATTACAATCTAACAGCGTCGGATTTCCAAGCATAAGGTTATCCTGCCATTCCATAAGGTCTGTGATAATCTAAGGCTTCATTTAAAGCATCGAAAATTGCTTTATTGTGAATGTGTTCCAACTCTAATAATTAAGAAGATTGACTTTTCAAAATTTATTCATTCATCAAAAATCTTTCAAAAGTACCGAATAATTCAGCTGTCATAATTATATTTTACAAGTAATTTTCATTTGAATTGCTTTCCTCATCAGAAACTATAGTTGAATCAGAGAGGGGATGTAAAAACCTTAACATGTCTTTTGAGGATGGTCCCAAAGGAACATTAATTTTGGCTAGCACTTCCTCCTTGTAATTACAAAGCATAAATTCTGTCAAATGAGTCAAGTAAATTTTGACTGATGGGATTCCTGTTTTGAATCCTCTTGTTTAATTAGTTCCATAATTAGTTTACAATTGTGATGAAGGTCTGTTAATTTAGGCTTTAGTAACTAATTCAAATATATCAATGTTGTGTCTACCAAGATCTTAACACAATAATTATATTTCTTGGACTATCAACATATTTGAAATGAGAATAGAGTATGATTCTGCTTACTTTTCAGACATTGAAGATTACTCTCTTACAATGTCTTAAACTCTTAAGACTTGTGATTATGCTAATTAATGCAGATTGAATGGCTCTGGTTCATAATCTGCAAATTATTAATGAGATGGACTTGAGTTATTTTTAAAAATAACTTCATCATCAAAATTTTGAGACTTACTTAAATCTTCATCACTGAGTAAAGATGACTTCTATGGTAATGATAATTAAAGTTATTAAAAATTTTAATTTTGTATATCTATAATACTGTTCCTTAATGATTATTCTGAATATAAGACAGAATCTTAACTGAAACTATCGATAATTTTGATGTAAGATTGAGAATTAGATTGAGACATCTATTTCATGAATAGAAGATCTCTTTAAGTTTTCATAACAGTCTCATAAGTGCTTTATTGTCCTTTAATAATCTCAGTTTTTTTCTTTTCCAAGTCTTTTCTTTGTTTGGTAACCCATTTTTCAAGTTTTCTATTCTATTAATCATAAGTCTTAGGAGAAATTTGTTTATTTTAATATGCTTCATTTATGGTTTTAATCTATTATTTATGTCTCTCTTCAAGAACTTTTTCTCTCATTGATATCAACTCATCCATTTTATCTCTTGCCATTAGTTCTTTGAATTTCACTTGAACGAAATCTTAGAATGAAGATTATTCGAAGATGCTCTTTTCCTAATTAAATGTTTAATCTTCTTAAGATAAACTTTTAATCAGAGACTCAGATCCAATAGCACATCTAATTTCTCCTATTTCAACTTATTATTAGTTTTAATATTCTTTCTCAATTTCATCAACATCAATTGATAATCTCTTTTTCTTTTTGAATGTGATTTATTAATTCATAATCATTGAATTCTTTTCAGTACTTTCTCTACAGTTCTCCATTTCTTACTATTCAGAAATCGCTGATAAAAACTACTTTTTTTCTGTTGTTTTCTTTCCATCACTCTCATTTGAATCACTAAAACCTTCTATATAATCTTGATAAGCAACATCAAACACCTATTTTTGTGCTTAGGGTGCTTCTTCTTTAAAAGGGTTTGTTTTCTTTTTCTTATTTTATACTGAAGAATTTGAAGATCTTTCACTTACCTTCTGTTCAATTAATTAAACCTTTCCTTTAGAGTCAATCTTTATGTAACCCATTTTTATTAATTCTTGAATTTAACTTTAATGTAAATCATTTAAATTAAATTCTTCTTATTCTTCTTCTTTTTTAAAATAATCCTAGTAATAACTTAAAATTTATCTAGTTTTATATTTTCTCCAAACTTTTTATATTTTAATTGCAGCTTGTTCATCAGTTTGAGACTTTTATCTTTTCTCACTATATTTACTAGCAGCTTATTCGATTGATCTAATCTCTTATATTTCTTTGATATCCTATTCATCCCAATCTCTCTATGAACTCAACATTTCATCTTTGTCTTCTCCTAATGTTATTAGTTTCTAACTATAAAAACTATTATCAAAATTAGCAAAATCTTATTCAGGATCGCTTTCATTCGGTATGTTTGCACTACTTGAATTGCTCATATATTGATAGATCGACGAGCATGGCTACCTCATGGATTCATGATTTGATGATTATACTAATTTAGATTTATCTGATTAGTTTTTAAATTGACATAACACTTTTCTCTTTTTCGTTTATTCATATCGATCTGATATGAGATTCTCTTTTTAATCTTCATAAATAATTCCATAGGTTGATGCTGTTCTATTCTTTCTTCTCTATTTTGTATCTCCAACAGAAAGACTTCTATTTCTTGATCTTATGTAATCATTAAGATTTTGTAAATTTTGATGAATTTTAAATTGTTTTTCATATTATTTCTTTTTCTATTCTTATTTGGCTATTGTATTCATTTTTTATTTAAACTCTTTGTATTTTCTAATTTCTTCTTGGTTGATTTAAATTTTTGGTTTGTTTTGATCCTTTTTGGTTGGAGTCATTGATTTATTTAATTCTAGATTATATAAACAATAAATGGTTACTTTTCTTTTTCAGGAATTTATCCATTGAAACATTATTTAAAAATGAAACGCCTAATTGATCTCTTCTTTATTTAATGTCTACATCAGTTTTATTGACTCTCTTCAACATTGTTTCTTAAACATTTTTCTATTTCATCTATTCATTTAAAATATAATTTTTTAATCTTTCCTGGTTGACTCCCCAATTAAATAAAGGGGAAGTGTGAACCTTTTTTTATTTTTAAAGCTTATTCATACTAGTATTGATAGCTTTTTTGGGTTTAGGGGGTTTTTCAAGCCTTTCATGTGATGCTTTAGTCACAGGAGCGCTAATTTTGGTGTTTAAAGTTTTCTTCTTTTTTTTCTTTTTGGTTTTAGTTTTTGTAGGCCGATTGATCAGATTACCTAAGATCATATCATTTTCTTCTTGCTTGATTATATTGCCATATTGTGGATGTTCTCGAGAGTTGATCACTAAAGGAGTATTAGAGTAAGAGTCTAATTTACGTCCTTTAATAAAACTGTTCTCTTTGATTTGAACACTTATATTTAATTTTGAATTGTCTTAACTTCTCATTTTGAAATTTTATTTAGTTAAATATCAAATATAATGAGTATTTATACAAATGAAAAGAATTTATCCTTTAATTATAAATAAAGACACTATTTATTTGTTACAAGCCATGATTTTAAGATTGGCTTATTTTAATAAACCCATAAAATAATTTATGTATTAGCTTCTACTTTATAAATTAATGAATCTGTAATTATATTGGAACCCTTCGGGGTCATCCGTCAAATTGGAACGTAACAGAGAAGATTAGCATGGCCCCTGCGTAAGGATGACACGCATTAAGCGAGATGGTAGCTCATTTTTTTTTGATTTTTATCGATTTTATAATATTTTGTTTATATCTATTTATTAATATATATTGCAATCAACCTTCAGTTAAAGTTTAGACTGATGTTTTGCTTGATCCATCTTTTAATTTATATGTCTTTGTTATTTTTGTAATTTTTTACCCATTCTTAATAGTGACAGCAGTTGAAGTACTAACTGAAACACATCCAGGCGGAAGTTTTTCTAAATTAAATCTAATAAGATACCTTCTTCCTAATTTTGAGGGGCTTGAGCATCATTTCCACCTTTGGCTCCTAACATCATATTCTTCATTTAATCTTTCATGCTATAGGGTTAAGATTATTATTATGCTTTAGGCTTTTATCCTTATGCTCCCTTTGGAGTGAATTCACCTGCAAAATCAAATACACATTGAGTTTAATATTGTTTATGATCTCCTGCTGCAATTCCAACTAAGAAGAAGTCAGGACTAAAACAGTTTTTTCTATGTCCTCTTGTACTCACTCCATCGTCAATTAGTAATTGAATGATCACATCCTACCCATTCTTTTGTCCATAGCTGATATTCTCTCCAATTTTGCCATTCCATTCTCCATACCTTTCAATTCTGTCAGATAGAGATGATCCATCAGTACCAGTGTGACCACATACACCTTTTGGACCTGTATCATTCACATGATCAATACAAGCTTGTTCCAATCCCTTTTCGTATGACAAAGGTTATAAAGGCTATTGTTTTTATAAAAATGCAATTAATTCTATAGAATTATTCGTTATTTATACCTTGGATAACTTTGGTACCCTCATTTGTTTATAATGGTATCTCTCCAGGCTTATAAAGAACGTTACCCTTGAATAACTTCATCAGATCCTATAATTTTGTTATGGGCAGTGTTGGATTTTATCTAACTTAATTCAAATAATCAAAAGCGTCTTTGACAATTTTGTCATTGGGATCTTTAGATTATGCTTTTGCAGGGGCTGCTTATTCTTTGGATTGCATAGGGGCACTTTGACCTCCCTCTCTTTATGGTGCTACTCCTTATTAAGTATTTCCACTACCAGCATCTATGCCAGCTTTGTCTTGGAAAGAGCCTGCAAAATCAAAAACACATTGGGTTTTGAATTATTTATGATCACCATCAAAAATACCTACTGCTCCAAATTCTGCTTTAAAACAGTTTTTTCTATGTCCTCTAGATGATACTCCATCATCAATTATCAATTAAATGATGACTAAGCTCATAAATGGATATTATTACCATCTTCACCAGTTGTTTGACCATAACTGATGTTTTCTCCTATTGTCACATCCCACTCACCATATCTTTCTATTCTATCACTCATTGATGATCCATCTGTACCGGTATGGCCTGTAACACCTTTTGGTCCTGTATCTTTTACATGATCTCTTGCTGCACACTCCAAACCCTTACTCCAAGTTAATGGACCAACTGGTTTTTGATTCTATAAGAACTAGATGCATTCTGAGATATTAATAGCATAAATTATAAACCATTGACAACTTTTGGCCCTTCATTAGTTTGTAAAGGAATTTCTCCTGGTTTATATACTACATTTCCTTTAAACAACTTAAGATGTTCCTGTAACTTTGGGATAGCGATCTAAGGATTTTATCTCATTTTATTGAGATATTCAAATGCTTCTTTAGAAATTTTGCTCATTAAAATAAATATTTATAACGTGTAAAAATAATTTATATAAGTTAAATCACATTAATATAATACTTATAATTTATACAAAACAAAATCAATTCTGTTTAGTTTTCTTCTTTTTCTATTATTCGTCTGCTGTACTTAATTTCCTTATAATCCATGTTATACCTGCTCCGATGCAAAGAAAAACAAATATTAAAAATAGAATATCTGAAAAGTTGGCTTTTTGTAATTTTGGTTGATAATCATATAAATTTCTATGTTTTCCTTTCGTCTACTAAGCAGCAATCTTCAAGTATTCTAAATCTAAGTCATAATAATTTTCGTCACGCTCTTTCTCCTATTGTTTTTTCTTGTTTGAATCTTCTGCCAATGCAGATTCGAAATCCTATCATATTTCAACAAATTCGATACTTCAATGTATTTCCACACTGTATTTTCCAATTCACTGATTTCTCTTTCCCAAGAACCATTTCTGAATTAATTAAAATCGATCTCAGAAAATAAAGCAGGCAATCTTGAATGATCAAATTCCTCTGATCTCACTTATAATAGCACTTAAACACTTTCATCATAGTTGAGTTATTTGGAACATGAAATTGCATGGGTTGTATATAATTTAATCCAAACACTTTATTATTCTTCCTTTGATGCTTAACTATAATCACTAATAAATACTCACTTGTCTACAATTTCAACAAGTTCACTTCCATAATTTCCCAAATGCATTCTGGCTAAAATGATACACGTATAATAAATAGTGTCTCTCTCTTTCTTTAGTTTCTATTCCTACAACAATCTAAGTTGTTCTTCTGGGGAGATTTCCTGTATTGTTTCAATACCTTCTTGATTGATAACTTCATCTTAACATTTTGCTAAAGCTAAGAGGAGAATAATTGGAATTAACATTAATTAATTAAACGTGTAAAATTAATATCAAGACTCAATTAATGTTTAATGAATTTGTGTATTTAACACTGCTGCCTTTTGTTATTCCAAAAACTTAGTATAATCATCATCCTTAATGGGAATCTCATCAATCTATATAAAAAAGTAGTCCTCATTCACTTCTGGTTACCAATTCGTTAGAATACGCACAACCTCATCGAGATTACTCATCTAATTACTAATTTAGATAACTTACTTTCAATTCTATTTAGAAATATTTCAAATAACAAATTCCAACTTTGAATAAGTAGATTTCTCCTTCCAAAAGGAAATTATCCCACAATCTTGAGAGCATAGGAAATTTAAATTGATGCAAGAATATTTTCAAGAACCATTTCATCAAATAGAGTTTAGTTTCTAATTTAATGGCCTTAAGATGGTTGTGCACAAAAGGTAGAATTCTTTGCGCATTCTCTTCAAAAAATCGGATTCTCCATTCGATCTGTCTAGTATCATTTTGAAAAACACTCAGGAAATGATATTAATGGAGAAGATTGACCAAGGCCTAGAAACAATCGTATTCTTGCAGATGTTTGATAAGAACTACTGCAATATCAATTAAATCTGGTATGTATCCAAAATCTGGTCTATAATTACTAAAGGCATGTAAGATATTTGATAATTCCTTAGCTTTGACATCTGTTATGAATGGATATTATTGTTTTGCCCTTAGAATATCTTCTCTAATAGCTAAAATTTGATGATTGCAATACCTTCTTAAATACTCGTAGTTTTATGAACAAATATGGCATAGAGTTCTTCTCTGATCTTTAGGTTATTGCCGATAATAATAGGCCATAGGGTTCTCCTTGCAAAATCAGGTAATCCGAGTTTCCATAGGATCATGAGTAACATTGACTTATTTTTCTTTCCTTAGACGATCATTTCCTATTGAATATTGCTACCATTGTTGATTTCTGATTGATTGCTGTATTGTTAATTTTATATTTGCTATCTATTTTGGATAGGATTCAATGAGATAGTTTTTTTAAGACAACGACATAAACTCTCTAGAACACTAGCAGAATTGGCTTGATTCTATGCTTTTTAAACAGCTTCTTCCTTTTTGACACTAATATATTTCTTATAATTCAAAGGTTTATTTGGTTCATAATCCCAATGAGAACGCCAAAAAGGCAAGATGTCATTTCTCCAGATTTCTGATCTCTTTTCCTCATTCTCTTATCTCCTTTATTTCTCTTCTGCTCTCTTTGCTTCCACCTCTCTACGATTAATAATGACTGCTCTTAAGTAATTGATCCATTTTGACTTAATTTCCAAATCATTCACCTTGATATCGACTGATCTATGTATTGTAATGATTGAAAAACAAAACATATCAAATTCAGGGGGGATATTATTCTTTATCATAATCTCAGTTGTATTTTGTCCCAATGCTATGTCATGAACATCATACATATTAATATATCTAGCAGGTTCATTATCATTATTTATGGATCTCCAACATATACGTCTAATTTAATGATTTCAATTACTTTTCATCACTACTTAAGAAGAACTTTCTTGGTTATCCACCATTGTATCTTCCATATTTAACCAAATTGCATCCTTTCATTAGATCAAATGCTACTTACAACCATTTAGTTATCTACTCTCCTTGTAATTTCTCATTGCATAAAATCATACGGTTGTACATCTATTCCAAATAATCAAGTGTAGTTTGGAATGGCTCCCTAGTTATGGAATCATAAACCTCCTCAAAATATTTAGGTGGTATATCTGGAAATACTGGTATATTATTTTTTAGGAATTGTTCCTTGGTCATCTTATTCTTTGCTAGAATTTTAGTCGAAGCAGCATCAGTAGACAACATTATGAATGAGTAAGCCAGTACATATGGGATATCATCTGACTTAAATTCATGAGGATTTTATTAATGATAAACCTTTGCAAATACTTTGACCACTCTATCGACCATTTGTGCTTCTCCTGCTAATCGAAATCTCTATAATAATAATCTCATTGCATCCAAATAGCTCTTACCCTTCAGATTAAATTGCTGACAATAAGCTTCAAATACATCCTAATGTTTTTGATCTGGTTTACAAAAGTATTTATTTATTGAATCCTTATTCAATCCCTTTGTATTCATAAGCACTTTCGCTATGTCCTCATTTGTATTCTCAATCACCTAATTATCAATCAAATATTATATGGCCTAAAATTTAAATTATTTTCTTATTACACTATTTTGATCCTTCGAAAATCTTGTTATAAACTAATCAATGTGAAATCTCTCTTGAACAGCCTTTTCACATATTGTAATTTATTGTATTAATGGGTTATTTCCATTTACAACCTTATCCACTCTATTCTATTATCTCTCATACTATTTCGTTGAATTTGGTTTACTCTTCACCTTTGGAGAATCCTCTTCAACTATGATGACTTAATCTTCATCATCTGACATTATTTTAGAATTTTTAATTTATTAAAGAAAACACAACTATTGTACCTAGTTTATACATATTGTTATTTAATAATCAAAACTGGATTTTAAATAACCATGCATAAACGTTCCAAAAAGGCTGGCCCTTAGCATTTAGTGAACAAATAAGTAGAATAAAATGAGGTATATCAATTTACTTTCATTTGGTAATTTAAGGAATTTAGAATATTAATTTAAGTATTATTCTAAAATTTGAATCAAATAATTAAATCTGAAATTCCTTATTACATTATGAATACTCTTGATGGAAAGATAAAAAATATAAATGATAAAATAAGCTTAGATTACCAAGATTATTATTATAATAAATATTATGAATATAATCATTTGAGACTTAATCTATTTTAATATAGTAAGATTTATGGTTTATTGTTATTTGATTGAAAAGAGACACTTTAATAGCATGGTTCCCAGATAACAATTAATTAATAAGATTATAACATAATCAATTAATTATCATTTCCAAACAATTCTTAGTCATACTATTGAGAACTAACCTAAAGACTTAGTAATAATTAAATAAGGGGTATTTTATTAAACAAAAGAGATTGGATCGGAGAGGAATAAGAGCAATAATTAGAAATTTATGATATTAAAATTTTTAAATTAATTTTAAAATGGTCAAGAATGTTGCTTAAGAAAGTGTCAATTAAAAACTCTAATTGGTGGTTAGATCAGGAAAGATCACCATGGGTTACAAATAAACCTTGAAGGCCATCAGAAATGGAACAGCCAAGCTTGTATTCATCTCAAACAATTGTCCAACAATCAGAAAGACCCAAATAGAATACTATGCCATGTTGGCTTAGATCACCATTGTTTTATATCAAGGAAACAACGTCGATTTAGGTACGGGGGTTAATTGGGAGGCTTAGCTCTTCCTAATTGAGTTTATGGGCATGAGTGATTTTATCTTATTTTAGGTACCGCCTGTGGTAAATTACACAGATGCTCAAGTTTAGCCATCATTGATGCAGGAGATTCTGACATCTTAACATAATAATGATACATTTTTTATTAGTACAATATTCTAAATCATAAAAATTTCTTCAAATCCATTTATTGGAATCAATAAATATATTAAAATTCAATATCATATAAAAGATGAAAGCTGTTTGTACTTTATGAAAATATATAATATTGCTGCCAATTTTAGTTTCAATTATTAATTATTTAATATTTCTTCTTCTACTCTTATTTATATTGATTACTACTTACTTAATCATTTTTTGTGAAACCTTCTAATTAGGTTTGTCAAATATATTGAATTAATCTTTACCTTTAATTATTCTGGTTATCTTAAACCTTATAAATAATTCTAACCCTATATATTAATATAGAAACATAACTTTGCTTTGTATCAATAGTAATATTAAGTTTTTGGAGTTGCAATATATTTAAATAGTTAATGAATGTATTAAATTAGCATAAGTAGTAATTAATATAAAATTATGGTTTAATTCAGATCTATTTGTTTCTAAAATAAAGATTAGTAATTAATTTTCTAATAAATCATAATAATGATATAGAGTTATCATTTTTAACTAATAAATGAATTACTAATATCAAATTAATTTTGTTTATTAAAATATGTTCGTTAATAACTATTGCTTGTCAATGAATTGTATTGTTGCTCCACTTAATGGTTGTGGAGGTATCTACTTAGGAAATGTGGATGCAGCCTAAGACTCTCAATTACTTAATTAATACAAAATTGGAGCTGTATTGTAAATATTGGATTAATCAGTCCCTGTAAAAGGAGCTTAGAAATTAGTAATCTTTTATAATTATGTTTAGTGGATCATGGCTGAGGATTCAGAAGACTTCCCTCTATATAAATACTTTGATTAGAGCATAAGATTTATAGAGAATTAAAGTAAAAAAACCAATGTGTTGATTCATTGTTATGCTGGTATATCTAGATCTGCTGCAATTGTCGCTGCATACATGATGCAGAAATACAATTGGAGTGTCAATTAGACCATACTTCACCTCCAAAGCAAAAGGAGGATTGTGAGTCCAAATTCAGGATTTATGAAATAATTAAAAGATTTTGAAAGGAAATTGTCAAATCAAGATCAATAATTATCATTAAATTCATTTAAATTGGATATGTCTAATTATAGGCCAAGTTCAGCTATGTCAAATTACAATAGCATAAGTACTACAGCTATGGGGAATTACAATAAAATTAACACTCTAAGCACTAAGTCATCTTCAAGATTAGATGATTTTAGCAGCAAATTGGATCAATTTAGACATTAATTGAGAGTGAGACAAAAGGCTTATTGAATTTACTTAATATAAACTCAATTATTAATATAAATATGTTTAAAGACTTAGGATATCAATTGCTAATTAAATGGAAACTCTGGAAAGTATTGGTAGTGATATTTCCATTTACATTTATTTATGGAATATATCTGCTCTTTGTAATATCTTCGAATTCAGATCGTAATTCATTTGATGGAAGTCAATTAATTCATGCTGAGGTCAATAATTAATTGTCTTAAACTTTAAGTTTAGCCGCTGAGTCATATATGAAAGAATTCGGAAAGACAAGTGACATCCATTAATTATTGATGGAAAAACTTAGTAATCTGGGTTTGGAAACATTTCAATAGGATGAGTACAAAAATGTCATAGCCAAATTGAAAGCACCAAGAAGTCCTGATTATGAATGCAGTTTGATATCATTCGAATATAATGACGAATCTCCCAATATTAAAATTAGGAGTATTGCATATGTGTTGGCACTCATTAAGCTATATTAATCAGATTGTATTAAAATATGATTATTCTTAGAAATCAATTATTTATCAAGAGACCTAATATTTGTTGGCTATCATAGCAAATATAAAAGATATGGTCAAGGAATTACAGCATTCTTAGAAGAATATGTAAATCCTTAGGGAGTATCATTTATGCCAAGGTCTGGAACCATAAGATCTTCTATTAACATCAATTTGGATGATAAGTTTGATTCTTTTGCATTAAAGGTGTTTGGATTGAATGGCAAAGTCTCAGACAGAGACTATTACAATAGTATTAACATGATTATGGAGAAACAAAGCTTCTAGTATTAATTTACAGAAACTAATTACTATTGGATGCAACAACTAGAAAAGTACTTAGAAAAGGAACTAAGAAAATATTGGAAACTATTTCAATTAGATTCCATTTATTAATTACCCCAAAAAAAATTCTTACATATGGACCCTTATTTTTCTAATTAAATTGAGATGTTTCAAGGAGATTTACACGATGCACACTCATATATTATGAAATACGGGATCTATTCATTAACATTGAGAGGATACAATACTTAAAATAAAGATGATTCAGTTTTATTGACAAATAAGTTGTTATTGGTAGGAGAGGCAAGTATCAAGGCTTTGATGGCTAATGATGAATTCATCCATTCTGGTTCAACTCTGTATCTGCCTCTAAACAGAAGTTTCACGTTGACAATTTAGAATTACTGTTTACCTTATGTGTTTGTGATATTGAGTTGTGCCATCTTTGCCATAAAGTCTGTCTATAGCAGATGGCATTTTAATCTATTCAATGATAACAAAGAAGAATTGGGTAGAAGTAATTCAATGGTTGCACATAAAGCAATCATTGAAATCTTTATGGGTGTCACTTTATGTTTCATTCCAAATATGATAAATTATTTGGATGGTTATTTAGACAATCAATAAAACGAGTATTTCGATTAGTATTTTATAATCATGCTTGTGATTATAGTAACTTACTTGATACTCATATATTCATCTAGGAAATGGATTTTTGGATAATTTTCATTGCCTCGTAGAGAAAGCGTGGCAGAATGGTTATGGGTTGAATTAGTAATTTAAGTGTGCTTTGTTATGATGTATGCAGGGATAGTTCATATTCCAATAGCCACTTTTATTGCCATATTCCTTGGACCTTGGTTTTTCTTTATTTAACCATTGAGATTTAAACGTACTATTATTTGTTATTGTAGCTAATTTCAAGTTGTGGGATATATTCTCATATGTGATTAATCTACTGTTTCTATATGGATATTTCTAGATATTATCATACTTTGGATTTGATTCGATGCTGGCATTTTATAAACAGGTGGTCATCAATTATAATAATGTTGGAGTGTATTTGTTTTATTACTTAAATGGGGCCTTGATTCCATCTTTATTAAGATTTGCTGAGTTGTTGTTATTTTGATGTTGATTTAAGATAAATTTATATTGTTAACGAAACATAAAAGAAACTGTATTTAATACTAGAAATCGAATTCATCATTCACCATTCACTCTATGAAAATTGTAGGGGGATAATTTATACATTAATAATAAAATTTATAAGTAATCATGGTGATTATTATTATTTTAATTTGTTTTAATATTTATCTAGTTGGAAGTGTAAAGTCTGATTAATCACTTTCATTCCCAAATAATCAGAATTCAAGGTTGTCAATTTCTAAGTTAACTTTTGAATCTCTTCTTAGTACCTAGACTCTTACTCAAATAGTCTTAACTCTAATTTATCAACTGATTCAACTCTAATCTTAATATCCTTTAATTCTGTCTAACTCTACTACAATTCTTAACTTTAATTTATTAAGATCTATTCTTTTATTGCTAGTTCTAACTGGATTGTTTTTAAACACTTTTAAGTTTCTACTAATTCTCTCCTTAATTCTGATAACTTAGTTACTAATTTCTAATTCTCTTCTTGTTGTAAGATTAATTCATCTATATTTAACGGGTTAAAATAAGTATTTTAAACAAGATTTTTAATTTTTTAATTGTTCCCTTTTTTCTTGTAACTTTTTTGAGAATCTTTTGGAGATGTCATAGTTTCAGCACTGCTTACACTAGGATCTTTTGATTATAATTCATATTTCACTTACTCAATTTCCTCATTCAACTCCTTTATTTTCTTCTCATTTACTTTGCTTTCAGATTGAATGAAATAGTAATCACTTATTAATTAATCATACTATTTTCTCAGAGTATTCAGATCTATTGATTGTTAATTATATTATTTTTGTAATTGCTTTTATTTTTCAATTGAAATCTAATACTACTAAGCCACATTTTCCATCTCATCCCTATATTCCTCTCCCACTTAAACATTCTTATTTTCTTATTCCACTGTAATTTGAGTTCCAATATTTATAGTTTCTTTACTAGATTTAAGCAGTTCATTTAATCTCCTGTTCTCAAAATCATAATCTCTTAGAACCAATTTATATTGTTCAATTTCCCTATACATTTCATCCTAATTCTTCATTGAAACCTCATGATAGAATTAAGTTTCTGTTTGAACAAGTTTTGATATTTGTTCCTTGACCTTGGTTGTTGACTCCTATTGTTTCACACTTAAGATCATTCCTATATCAATTTCTGTTTATGTTGTTTAGGAAACTTTATTGTTAACTAAATCAGTCTGAGTATTTTGAGAAATCTTTATCATCTAAGCTTTTCTCATTAGATCCTACTACTCTAACTTTAATAGCAAATCCTTTTTTTATTAATTAGATTAGAGGATCATATTCTTAAAACTGAGAATCTATTTCTCATATTGTTCTATTGATTTATCTTTCTATTTTATTATCTCATTTAATAACTCTTATTTCTTGTCTTCGCATTGGATCTCTTTATCAGCAGAAACCTTAGCTTTATCCTTATTCTTCAAAAACATTAATTCACTTGTTAATCTCTCCACTTATTCACGTAACTACTGTTCCTCATTGATGTTTCCCTTTCGATTCTACATAGAATAAGATTCTAGTAAGTTTCTCTTGACTGTCTCCCCTCCTGATTCAAATAGTTTTTACTGTCTTATATGCATATAAAAATAATTATTAAATTTGCGAAATATGTTGAACTTCCTTTTCCAATAGAATTACAATTAGAAGAATCTAAAAAGATTGTCTACTCTTACTAAGATACTTATATACTAATTACATAAATTTAATGTTTTCTCAAAATACTTTTTGATTATTCAATCATTACTATTGATACCCAACATAGCAAGGTTGCTTTCATTGCAAACTTACTTTCAGGTCTCTTTTCCTTAGGAATTTTACTACTAAATTAATTTTAGACAAATACAATATATTATTAGGTTTGGATATTAGTGTAATATACGTTTAATGTAATTATAACTCTTAACAAAACTTAAGATCATAACTAAGATTATGAAAAATATTCATTCATTAAATATTAAACAATTCATAATATAAATTCGTTAATAAATGGAAATTTAATAAAAAGGCTATTGGAATTTTAGAAGATTTTTTTTTGATTTAAAATATCATTGATCTTTATAGATTCAAAAATAAGTGTCGAATTTTTCAAAATTCAATTTTAGGCCCTTAATTATATCGCATGAACTCCAGTCTAATTAATCAATCGCTCTTTAATATCTTTTTATTTCACTTGAATAAATAGATTTGCTGATTAATTTCATATAATTTTATTGTTTTAAACTAATTGCTTCGCATTATCTTTTCAATTAATTTACATAATTCTTTTCCACATCATAATCAAATTTAAGAAGTTTTTCTTACGAGAATTTTTCTTTCTTAAATTGATCCCCTACAAAGTATTTTACCTCATTTATTAAGTTAATACTTGTAATTTGTTTGAAGTCCTCTACACTGAATATTGCAAGCTCTTTTAAAATTAATATAAAGGTTGTTTCTTAAAAGGAAATTAGAAAGCCTAAGATGCAAAATAAAGGAATGTGAATAAGAGAATCAATTTAATTATGCTATTCAATAATTTAGCATAATGTGCATTTTGTTATTATTTCTTAGGTGTTTCTTTTGCCTCATTTCTAGCTGCGCGTCTTTGAAACTACCTTTTTAAACTCTTGTTTCCATTCATATTATAAATATAATACCTGTGCAAATAGTTCAAATTCTTCATCTGGTTGAAAATGCCTGTAATATTTGCCTTAATGAGGATGAGTTTAAGGTTTTTATTGCTAGTGTGCGTAACTCTCTCTTTTTTCAGGAGATGATAATGTGGAATATGCTTCTGAAATCCTTTTGAAAACTTCTTGTGCATTTTCTGCATTATTTTTATCAGGATGATATTTCAGTGCTAACTTTCTATATGCTTTCTTAAGTTCATCATCACTTGCATTTTTCTAAACACCTAAAATGTCATAATAATTCTATAATTTCAGAAGATGATTTATGTCCTCTTTCATTATTTGGATGTAATATATAAATAATAAACAAATATAACATAAATTAATAATCATGAAAATGAAATTTAATGTTAAGTGTGATTGTTTGACTAGTCTATCTTTTGATTCTAAAATTTAATCAAATGAAATTATTACTTAAGGACTTATCTGTCTGTATTATTGAGCTTTACTCTTTTCAACAGGCAAACCATTTATCTATTATCTAATTTTACCTAACATCCTATTTTGAGGTTAGAGATCTATTGGTAATTCATCCCTCTCAACCAAAGGGGGATTCTTAAATTCAATCTATCTATAGATGAAGTCTCCCCAAGTTTCTCTTGGGTCAATGACAGGATCGAGCAATTATTACTTTTTAGGTTTTTCATAGATATTTGGAATGTGTTCATATGGTGTTCGCAAACGTAGATGTGTTATCATAATTTCATAATTAACAAATCTGTAATCATTATCTTTGGCGAATTGATAGTAGGAGGTGAACTCGAGAATTTCTTGTATGAATTCAAAAAGAAAAAAGGCTGGACGATAATTTCCATGTAGAATAGCATAATCTAAAGCAGAGAACCCTTGATTTGAACGAATGGTAATATCAGCCCCGGATTAAATTAACAGAGAAACTAATTTTTGATTATCTCTTTTGCATGCCCACATGAGAGGTGTAATACTTGAGGAACCTCCATCATTTACATTAGCTCCTATCTATTTCTATTATGAAATAACATTTACATCCAATAATAATTGAACTAGTGCCATGTCATTTCTCCAGGCAGCTCTGGCTAGGGGAGTTTAGAGGATATCCTTAGCTATGTCTTCATTGATTAAATTAGGAGAAATTTCTAAGATAGATCTTATTTTTTCTGTTTTCGTCTGATCTATATATCTTAAAAGCCGCTCCTTCTAATTATGATTACCCATTTAAATTAATTAATTATTAAACACATTCTCTGTTAATTATGCTTGTCGAATAATAAATTTAGAATAAAACTAGTAGATGCAAGAAGTGCAATCAGGATGTTCCAAACTCCAATTTATATGCACATTATGAGAATTGTTAAAAGTAAAGTTTAAATTACTAACCCAACTCCAATGAAATTTCTGAACATGTCAAACCTACAGTGATTGATGATCAACAGTAATTACATAAGCAATCACCTAACATAATTCCTCAAGAGGATAAATTATAAGTTGATTAACCTTAATAATAATTAGTATCAATAGGATTTAGAATGTTGAAACAATGTGAAACATGTCAAGAGTATTTTCAAGTGGAAATTTATTATAATCATCAGAATGAATGTTAAAAAGTGAAATAAGCATAAATATTGAATCAAAATTCCATTAACATGAGTACATTGGTTTTCTAAAATTCAGAAGAAATAGGTGGAAATTTCAAAGCTGTTGAGTAATTTAAAGAAGAACACACATCAGAAATCATTCACAGCAATTATATAGTGTACAAAAAAACCAAAATAACAAAGGATAAAAGCACTGGATTCACACATTATCATACTACATATGAAAGGTAATAGAATAAAATTTAGGACAATAAAAATCAAACTGAATCTAAGGAAGAGACTGCCACTAATAATAAGATAGCTAATTTGAAAGAATAAAACTCACAAAACTTAGGAAGTAATTAAACACCCCAACCAGATGATGAAACAATATGTCCTATTTGCAATAAAAAGTATGAGTTACTAGATTAAACTAAACTTTTCGAGGATTGCCAACATCTATTTCATCTGGATTGCATCTAAAAAGACCTCTGTCCAATTTGTACTGGATAACCATTGTAAAAACAATGAAATATACTATCTCAAATAATAACATAAAATTATTATTTTCTGATATATAGCTTTGATATTCAAAATTTTTATTCACACCTATATGGATCTTAATTTATAAGATAATTAATCAAAATCCTAACTATCTACTCAAGTATTTCTTATAGTAATATAAGCAAATTTAACTTCTTTATTAATTAATGATTTATGAGCTTTTAGTAATCCTTGTCAATAAATTGATAGTTATGGAAATTTTATTTTTAAATCAAAAAGTCACTCTACTTTCATATTTCCCATCAGAATAATGAGAATTAAGGTAAATTATGGTCGGTAATATAAATTAAAAAATAAGAACAATACAATAAATGATTAAAACATTATTGAATAAGTTGGTTTACACAAATTAATTAACGAATTTATATAGAATCATTTGTAGAAAAAATAAGTTTGTAGTTTTTATCTCAAAAATGCTATATATTTTACTTTTGATGCAATCTATTAATCAAGATAATAAGTTTTCATTCTTGCATAATATTAAATCTCTAGAGAAAATGAAATCATTGTCTTATCAATAACTGATAGTAACTTAGTAGAGCAGATCATGAAAAAATATAATATACACTACAAAAATTATTGTACTATTCTTAATCAATTAGAATTTTTAAGATTTTTTAACCTCCTTAGCAATATATCATAGAAATACCATTTTAAGTAATGGTACACATATTGAATTGAACAGTAAGATAGGCTAACTTAAGATTTTTAATTAAATAGATATAAATTATGATTATACTGGATTGACAGATAATAAAATTGGGAACAACTTGGTTTAATAAAGTTTCTCTATTATATAATTGCTTTTAAAATTGAATATCGAGAGCAGGAGTTACAATTAAGAAGAATTAGGAAATTGATTTAAAGAATTTCTTATTTTATTGATTGATTCATTATAATAATTAATATATATTTATATGTCAAAAGAAGAAGCAGTAACTGCGACTTTGAAATAGCGCTTATCTGCAATTCAGGACAAGGAAATCTACTTTGAAGACAGGGACTCATTTAGTGAAGATGGGGTATTGATAAAATTAAGTTTAGAAATACGGAGAATATGTCCAAAAGCAGAATAAAGAAATTATGAAAAAGGTTCAGGAACTTCTGAATGATGGATAGTCCACAGTGAATTAGCAGGAGGAATAAAGTTTCGCTATTATGAATGAGAATCAGAAACAAGAAATCTTAGAAGACTTAGAAGAAGAATTTGGTTAGTCATATGCAGATGCGAAGGTGAAGGTGAACACTTACATAAAACTAATTCCTAAAAATGAATTACAATTGGCATACATTTATAGTGACAAGTAATTGAGTTGATTATTAGTTAGATATCCAATGTTGGCCATTCGAAAATAGATTTTAATATTCACAAAACTGATATCATCATATGCCTAATTAATTACTACTCACCCACTGTTTGAGTTAATGACATTGTTAATGATTATTTTCAACTCAGCCATGCTTGCTCTAGATGATCCAACCACAGACGTTTAAACATCTTTCTAAGATTTAACAGATATTATTTTTTTAGCCTATTATACAGCTGAGGCAGTCTTGAAAATAGTAGCATAGGTAAACTCTTATAAATATTCAGGGATTTATATTTCCTAAAAAAGCCTATCTGAAAGACACATGGAATATTTTAGATTTTTCAGTGATTATAACTGCCTACATTCCTTATTTTTTGGCATCCAATTCAGTGAATCTGAATGCTTTGAGATCCTTTAGAGTGTTGAGACCCCTAAGAACCGTGTCTTCAATAAAGGCGCTAAGAACTATTTTGTTAGCATTATTTGCATCCATAGCTCAATTGAGAGATGCAGTAGTGGTTCTGATTTTCTTTTATTCAATATTTGCAATAGCAGGAGTCTCCTTATTTTCTGGATATTTGAAAAGAAGATGCATAGGTGAAATGAGTGGAATCACATGGATTTCTGATGAAATATTGTTCTGTGCTGATGACAATAATTGTCCATTTCCAGAAGATACCATATACAATGAGAATTTTATATGTGGGAAACAAATAGCTAACCCTTAGAACGATTTGGTAAACTTCGATACATTTGGTTACTCATTCTTATAGGTTTTCATAATAACTACATTGGAAGGATGGACTTAAATTCAAACAGCAGTTATGCTCACGTTTTCTCAATACGTGGTTTTATACTTTATTATTGTTGTTATTGTTGGAGCCTTCTTTTTGGTCAATCTAACATTGGCTATTATAAAATTAAATTTCAAGCCTGAGAAGATTTAAGAAGAATTGGCTTAAATTAAGGAGGAAATCGAAGAATATGATTATAGATAACTTAGATAACTAAAATTATATGAACCAGAAAGATAAAAAGTAAACACTGAAGGCTATGGTATCACATGGGATAAGCATCACGATTTCGATCAAAATGCAATTATGAAGAGAAGAAAGAATTCTAGAGGAGGGGCTTCTTAGCTAAATATGATTAGATAGAATAATTTGAAGAAGATGAGAGGCAAAAATAAAGTAAGTTTTCAACCAATCAAATCTGCAGTGTATTTTAGTAATCCAATTGTATTGAAAAATAAATAATTAAAAATTGAAGGAATTTATGGGATGGGTAATCAGAGTAAATTGAATCAATAACACTAAGGATCTACCTAAAATAATAATAATAATCGATCTAGTGTGGTAAGAAGAAGCAGTCAAAGTAGTAACAATGATGATAGAACTTCCTCTAAAAAAGATGAAAAGAATAATAGCAATAATAACAACAACAATGAGAATGAAAGTCTGAGTAGACCCACAAGATTTGCTCCAAGAAAGAGTATGTAATTTGGTGAACAACAAATAAGTTCAGAATTCCTGAATTCTCCAATGATGGATTAATTGACTGAGAACATCCGACCATTAAATGGAGGCACCATGCTTGTTCATCACAGAGGCTCTATGGAAAGTAGTAAGAGTGGTGAATCAAGACCTGACAAAACTCCAATTAATAATCAACTAGAAATACCTAAATTGGGAGAGAGTATATATATTGAATAATATTAATAGTTAGACAATAGTCTTAGAATGTGAAATCCAATTAGAAGTTTAGCTTAGTTGCTGGTATGAAATATTAGAAGCCTCCTAGAAATTCACCTAAGCCTGATTCATAGAAGTCTTTGGACTAGAATGAATTTGACAGTGTAAATTTGAGTGAGTTGAATACAATTTCCGATGATGATCTTGATAGAAGATTAGAAGAAATGGATATATTTGTTTAGGATAAGAATGGAGATTCTGAAAGTGAAAACAAAAACAAGCAAAATTAGAAGGAATTGAATAGATAAAAAAGAATGGAAAATAGGAGATTAAGAGATTTAAATAAGAATGCTTAATAGCATTTAGATGATACATCACTAAAATTGAAATCCAAACTCTATAATACAAAGTTTTATCCAATCATAGTAATTGATTAAGACTTTTGTAGTGTAAATGATGTATTAGTTTCCAAGATGCTATTACAATTAGAGAAGGAAAAGCTGGAGCAAGAAGAGAAAATTAAGGAAATGGATATTAAAATTACTTATTGCTTTAAAAATTCTAAATAATCGTTGGAATTGAAAAAATCAAGTTCTGGCAAAATAAAAAGTATGACTAAATCAGGCTATTTAAAATCTGGAATGAAATCTAAGAAAAACAACTTAAGTTTAAGAAGGGTTTAACCAATAATGGATGAACTACATCCATTTGAAGATCTACAGTTTCCAACAGACAAGAATTTCGAGAATTAGGATGATTAAAATTAGGAAAATGTCAATGAAAATTCTGATTCTGATGATGAACCTGAAGAAAATAATGAGAAAAATAATAATTTTAATGGCAGTGCAAGTTAAAAAATTAAAATAAAAAAGAAAAAAAAAGATTAAGAATAAAATGATAAATTAGATTTTGAATAAATGGGTGAAAAATTTATGGAGAGTTCTGATTGCATCGTTGATTTAAATAGAATTCATTCTGTTGAAATTGAAAAGTAATTCAATTAACAGGAATTAGCTCTTATTCCAGCATGGGAACTTGAATAACAAAAGGGTGTTTTCTACTAAGAATATTAAGATATTAAATAAAAAGATATTGAAGAAAGTAAAGGAGTAATTACAGCATAGGCATCTATTGAAGATGTATTATTAATTGCAGATTACACATTTTATGATTAAAAGTTTGCAAAATAAATGAACTCAGTGATGAAAGCTCTAAATTATTCAAGAAGAGAAACCTTCATTTACTTATAAGGATTTGTTGGATTTTTACGAGTATGTTAAAACCATTTATTATATTTTGTTTAATCTAGCTATTTTGAAGCTGCAATGAATTTAGCAGTTGCCATAAACACTGTCATTTTAGCTTTAGATGGTCTCCTACCAGATAGCAGCGCAAATACTTTGAATTAATTCAATTTAGGATTCACCATCTTATTTACTATTGAATTAGGATTAAAGGTAATAGGAATGGGACCAAAAAATTATATTTCTGACACTATGAATATTTTTGATGCCGTAATAGTAGCATTGAGTTTAGTAGAACTATTTTTTCTAGGAGGAGGAACAAGTGGGAAATCTTCATTGTCAGCCTTTAGATCTGTAAGAATATTCAGAGCGTTCAGAGTATTGAGAGTAACTAAATTGATGAGAAGTTTACAATTTATGGGATTTTTAATAAAAGTATTGGGAAATGCATTTCAATCCTTTATGTACATTATGGTTTTGCTTGTTCTTTTTATTTTCATTTTCACATTGTTAGGAATGGCATTTTTTGGTGGACAACTGTCTAAAACTCCAAGTAGATAGAGCTATGATGATATTCAAAGTGCCTTTTTAGTAGTATTTTAAGTGCTCACCTTAGAGAATTGGAATAGCATATTATGGGACTTGTTGATTTAAGATGTTTCTGCATTTATTACAGTTCCGTATTTAGTGTTTTGGATTATGATTGGTAATTATGTCTTTTTGAATCTGTTTCTGGCTATTTTACTAGAAAATTTTGAAGAGGAATACAAGAATGATAAAGCAGGTCTAGACACTAATATTGAGATTGGACAGGATTCTATTATGGACAATACAACCTAAGCTGTAAACTCGACTAGCACTTTGAAATCTTCAATGAAAACAAAGAAAGCCACTGTTGCTAAAAATTTAGAAAATAATGAAGATCCTGAATCAAAGAAGCATAAGTAATTCTAATAAGTATTTCAATATTTTGTTGAACCAGGACTGTGTTAATTCTCATTATATATGTTTTCTCAAGAAAACATCATTCGAAGAATATGCTATAGAATAGTAAAGGATGATAAATTTGAAACACTTATTTTCTTTATGATATTTCTCACTTCAGCCAAATTAGTGTTTGATACTTACATCCCTGATACTGGATAATTAAAACAAACATCATTGCAGATAGATATCTTTTTTGCTGTATTTTTTGGAGTTGAAATGATTATGAAAATAATAGCTTTTGGATTTGTGCAGCAAGAGAGTTCATATTTAAGAGAATCATGGAACATATTAGATTTCTTCATTGTTATAGCATCATTTATTGATGTTAGTGTTTCAACAATCAATCTGAGTTTTGTGAAGATCTTAAGATTGCTTAGAACATTAAGACCATTAAGGTTTATCACTCATAATAGATCAATGAAAATTTTGGTGTCAGCATTACTATAATCAATTAATGGTATATTCAACGTGGCGATAGTTGTAGTATTGGTTTGGATGATGTTTGCCATTCTTGGTATAAATTTAGAGAAAAACAAACTGCATTATTGTGATATGGGAGATGATGAAATATATTATCATTATGGACCAGTGGAGTGTGCAGACAAAGGTGGTGTTTGGGCAAATCGAAAAGTTAACTTTGATAATATTTTGAATGGCATGTTGACTTTATTCATATTATCAACATTGGAAGGATGGCCAGATTAAATGTATTGGTTTATTGATGCAGATGAGTCAGGACCAATTAAGGGAGCTTAGTTGTAATTTTCTTGGTATTTCATTGTATTTATATTGGTTGGTTCGATATTACTGATGAATCTATTTATTGGTGTTATATTGGTCAATTACCATTTAGCAGAAGAAGCTTCAAGAGATAAGATTTTAACACCGCCACAAGTAGATTGGATTGAATTATAAAAACTGATTGTTCATGCTAATCCAAATTTGGCTATGTTTTTTAGTCCTGAGAATCCCTTTAGAGCCAAAGTGTTTATCATTATTAAGCATCGTTACTTTGACCCAACTATTTTAATGATTATTGTATGCAATATCGTGACCATGGGATTATCTTAAGATGATTCTCCAATTGCTTATGACAGTATTTTGTAATCTCTTAATACTGCATTCACTTTTGTATTCATCACTGAAGCACTCTTGAAGATCATTGCGTTGGGACCAGTAGGATACATGAGGAATTCATGGAATCAATTTGANCTCGACTAGCACTTTGAAATCTTCAATGAAAACAAAGAAAGCCACTGTTGCTAAAAATTTAGAAAATAATGAAGATCCTGAATCAAAGAAGCATAAGTAATTCTAATAAGTATTTCAATATTTTGTTGAACCAGGACTGTGTTAATTCTCATTATATATGTTTTCTCAAGAAAACATCATTCGAAGAATATGCTATAGAATAGTAAAGGATGATAAATTTGAAACACTTATTTTCTTTATGATATTTCTCACTTCAGCCAAATTAGTGTTTGATACTTACATCCCTGATACTGGATAATTAAAACAAACATCATTGCAGATAGATATCTTTTTTGCTGTATTTTTTGGAGTTGAAATGATTATGAAAATAATAGCTTTTGGATTTGTGCAGCAAGAGAGTTCATATTTAAGAGAATCATGGAACATATTAGATTTCTTCATTGTTATAGCATCATTTATTGATGTTAGTGTTTCAACAATCAATCTGAGTTTTGTGAAGATCTTAAGATTGCTTAGAACATTAAGACCATTAAGGTTTATCACTCATAATAGATCAATGAAAATTTTGGTGTCAGCATTACTATAATCAATTAATGGTATATTCAACGTGGCGATAGTTGTAGTATTGGTTTGGATGATGTTTGCCATTCTTGGTATAAATTTAGAGAAAAACAAACTGCATTATTGTGATATGGGAGATGATGAAATATATTATCATTATGGACCAGTGGAGTGTGCAGACAAAGGTGGTGTTTGGGCAAATCGAAAAGTTAACTTTGATAATATTTTGAATGGCATGTTGACTTTATTCATATTATCAACATTGGAAGGATGGCCAGATTAAATGTATTGGTTTATTGATGCAGATGAGTCAGGACCAATTAAGGGAGCTTAGTTGTAATTTTCTTGGTATTTCATTGTATTTATATTGGTTGGTTCGATATTACTGATGAATCTATTTATTGGTGTTATATTGGTCAATTACCATTTAGCAGAAGAAGCTTCAAGAGATAAGATTTTAACACCGCCACAAGTAGATTGGATTGAATTATAAAAACTGATTGTTCATGCTAATCCAAATTTGGCTATGTTTTTTAGTCCTGAGAATCCCTTTAGAGCCAAAGTGTTTATCATTATTAAGCATCGTTACTTTGACCCAACTATTTTAATGATTATTGTATGCAATATCGTGACCATGGGATTATCTTAAGATGATTCTCCAATTGCTTATGACAGTATTTTGTAATCTCTTAATACTGCATTCACTTTTGTATTCATCACTGAAGCACTCTTGAAGATCATTGCGTTGGGACCAGTAGGATACATGAGGAATTCATGGAATCAATTTGACTTTTTTGTAGTATGTGCTTCCATTTTGGATCTGATATTGTAATTCACTGGAAATTCATTTATCTCATTTTTAAGTGCAGGACCACAATTGGCTAGAGTGTTCAGAGTACTTAGAGTAACAAGACTATTTAGATTGATCAAATCATTTGAAGGATTGTAGAAACTTATAGAAACAGCAATTTACTCATTACCTGCTATGTTGAATGTGACAGCTCTATTATTTCTCGTTTTCTTCATCTTCTCTATACTAGGTGTGTTTCTCTTTGGATCCATCAAAAGTGGATGGGTAATAGATGATGTGAATAACTTTTCAGACTTCCATCATTCCTTTGAACTCTTATTCAGATGTTCAACAGGAGAAGATTGGTACAAAGTCATGTTTGACACTATGTAAGACGGCTAAGGTTATTATTGCATATTCTTCATTATTTTTATTGTGATCCAATAATACATTATGTTGAATTTGTTCATTTTGATTATTTTGGATCAATACGAAATCAACTATTTCAACAGTGATAATCCCCTTAACAAATTTTAAGAGTATGAAAATATGTTTATTGAATCTTGGTCTAAATTTGCCAAGGAAGACAAAGGAATGAAGATGAGTCAACAATTATTAGTACCATTATTGCTTGATATGGAAAAACCCATTGGTTATGATTTGAAATAGAAATTAAATGATGAGATTAGTGAATGGAGAAGAATCAATCCTCAATTAGACACAAAAGAGAATGTCCAAAAGCAAACTCAGATTCTCAAAGCTTAGGCCAAAAGAGCTGTTTCTACCTAAATCATGAAGATGAATATCTATGCTGATAATGCAGGATAGGTCAAGTATCATTAGATATTGTTTTCTGTTATGAAATCCTACATGTGGAAAAAGGTGTAGGTGAATTTAACTCCAGAAGGAGCTGAAAAGATTCTATAGAAGGAAGACGAAACCTAAAAAAGATTGAAAAAGAAGTAGGTAGGTGTTCATTCAAAGGAGGTGAATTTAGTTAACCCTATTGTACACTTCTTATTTGTTCATATGGCTTTTAAAACTTTAAGGAGGTATGGAGAAAAGAAGAAGCAGCAAAAAGAGTTGCAAGCTCAATTATTACTAGAATAGGAGCAGGAACATTATAGCGATGGATTTAGTTCTGATTCCTCTTTTGATAATAAAATAGAGATACTATCCAGAAACTCAAAGGATACTGAACATCCAAAGAGACCAGATTATGGCAGAACAAAGTATCTGACTCTTCCCAACACTGAAATCTACAAGGAAGAAATTTGCATCAATCAAGAAACTCCAATCGTAAATGATTCTGACCGAAGTTCAAGGGAGGAGGAAGAAGAACCAGATGAGGATGGTATTTATTTTATCTTATTCTCTTTAAGTCATGTAACAGTATAATAAGGACTTTAAAAGGCATCTCGTTAATCCTAATGGATCAAATGGAAATATTTAGGATGATAAAAGTGCCAGCAATCTAGGAGGGGGAGGAAATACAAGAAGCAGTTAATCTCGAACTAGTCAAATACCCAAATAGCCCAAGAGACTGACTCTGAAACCTAGTGACTTGATTTCAGGATTGGGAGCTAGCAAGAAATCCATCCAATCTAATCAACCTCCTGCCAATCAAAATCCTAATGTTTCTTAAGACAATCCATCAATTATGAATTAAAGTAGTGGAAACAGTGCTAGTAATAAATGATTTATATATATAAATTTGCCAACTTAAATATCCAATTATTTATTAAATTAAATATCTTGAACATGTTCCGAAGGGTATTTGGAATCTCTAATAGATGCACTCCTACTCGTTTACGATACTTAAGAGAGTATGTATGTTTAAGAGAGGCTGCAAATCCATCAGCTTAATAAGCCTAAATAGCTTAATTCCAATAAGTGTCAAATAAATATGGATTGGCAGTTCCTCAATTAGCAACTTTATCTGGAATCTTTTAATTAAGTCAATTACTAAGACCTTAAAATTTCCCAAATCCTAATGATTACAAAGTAACTCACTTTATTTTGAATATCTATAGATACATGTTGAAAAGTTAGAATTATTGTTCAGACAAACCTAACAAAGTAATGAGACTTTAAGTCAATTTGCACAATCCCTCGAATATAAAATTCCAGAAATAACAAAGCTTACTAATGATGCTAGAAAATAAGCTGCCCAAGAATTGTTTAGCATTTATTTAGAAGGAATTCATTACGATAATTTAGTCTCACCGTAGAGATTATATAATATTTTAGAGGCTATGTTTAGTAATTAGAATCAATCTACAGACAAAGAACAACAGAAGCAGTCAAAAAGATTTAAGCAGAAGTTAAGGATCCCTAAATAGCAGCCTAATTAACATAATCCCTTGAATCGATCTTCTAAAATTACTAATTCAACTAAGGACGGTATTCGTGTATTCTAATTTAGATATGTTGGTTTGATTAAGTCTTTCATTGACACTCTCTAAGGAACAGAAGTGGAAGTAGCTTAAAAATTGGATTAACAAACCCAAGAGAAACAATTATTCATTCAAACTGTTGACAAAGCAACAAAGCAATTTTCTGCTGAAGATTAAGAGTATGCCAGAAATGTAGATGGACACGATTACAAATTATTCCTATAAGAATTATATGAGAAGGAATATTAATCAGGATTTGCATAGAATAGATTTAATGAAAAAGGATAAAAGTTGGTTTATGAATCATAGGCATAAGAACATCACGTTCTAAGATATCAAATTTTAGCAGGAGTGTTTGCTGGTTACTTCCTCTATTTATTCTACAGAGGTGATGCCTATTACTCAACAATCGTGACAGTTCCAGTTGTTGCAGCAGCCTTCTTCTATTTGGCTAAGTAGGGACAAGTAAATTTGTTTTGTATATAAATAGGCCAAAAGAGCTATTCCATATGTTAGATAAGTGCTCAAAAACACTGACAACACCTATGAGGTAGTTTTTGAATAGAATCGTATTATTAGTAGAATTGAAAATGTACAACCAGGATAAATCAAGTAAGTAGTTATGATTATTCCTATTTAAGACTTGCTCAAGATACTTAATTTGCCAATACACTGGTCTTTGGCAATCCAACAGATTTCGGATATCACGTTAAGGTTGCTGACAATTCATTTATTGCACCATACTTATACAGTGGAAATGGTTTAGATTTCAGAGCATTTATTAATGTTTGATTCAATAATATAAATCACAATAAAAACAAAACTGTCATCCATTCTAAGACTCAACTTAATTATCAATCCCGTATAAATCCATTTTGTCTTGATTTTCTAATTCATCTCTATCCAAACAATTGAATGCAAATCCAGTATGCTTTTGATTAGCTACTTATCCAGATGGTTTATATGTTTATGGCTACATATTGGTTGATAGGTTTGGCAACCTTAACGACATATTCTTGTTAACTTTAGACAACACTCTGTTTAATTTGATATTCAATGCGATGTCAATGCTACAAATTGCAGCAATTACCAAAATGTTCCCGAAATGGAAATTTGGTGTTTGGAAAAGTCTAATGACAAATGAATATAGTATACGATTCAAACACCACATAGGCCTCTGCTGATTGTAAATTATCTAATATGATCCAAGAGAGCAAATAAGATATCATACTAAAAGAGATACTTCCCTAATAAATATGTAAAGAAAAATACTAATAAGGCAGGAGTGTATGTATTAGAGAATATCAGAATTTTAAGATTGCATACCACAACTACCATTCCAAATATCATGGTTCCTTAGGCCCAAAGGTGATGAGTGAAACCATTATCATCCACAAAATTTTCAGATATGGAGTAAGTTGGAAGGAAACACACAATAGCTGTTTACCAAAATCCACAAAATATCCAAAATAACACAATTTGAATATTAAATAAGAGACCTTTAGGACCTTGTTGATAATAGTTTTGAATTTTGTTGTCAGTCAATTAATCAGCATTGTATTCCTCATCAAATACTCCATATATCATAATAGGGAGAGCTCCATACAAAATATTAAATAATTGATAGATGAAAGTGTCATAGAGAGATTGAGCAGAATACATGGAGAGAATTCCATACCAAAATTGAGGTAACACAACTAAAATATTTTTATAAAATGTATAACAAACCAAAACACTATTTCTACGATAGCATTCTCTCCCGTGATAAAATAATAACCTTCGTAATTCTCTGAATTCTTATACACTATAATCAGCTGCTCTTGCTGCTTATTATCCTTCAACTCCCCTAATACCAACACCAACATGAGCAGCTGTTATCATATTTACATCATTGGCTCCATCTCCAATGGCTAAAGTTGAACAGGATTAATTTTGATTTCTAATCAATGTAACAACATCCTATTTCTGTTTTGGACTAACACGACAACACAACACCACTTCGCAACATTATCCTATTTCTGAAACCTTCTTTTGAATATCTGGCTTCAAAGCATGTAATAGTGCATCGCCAGATATAATCAATGCCTATCTCTGGTTCAAATCTTAAGAACCGATCTTATTCAATATATCATCTAATCTTTCCTTAATCAAAGCCTCCTCCTTTTCATCAACAACATGCTGCACTAATTAGTTAGTTAATAAAGAACAAGAGTAACCGATATTAATGGCAGTTTCTATTTTATCTCCTGTTAACACCCACACCTTAATGCCAGCTGCTTTAATGGCTGCAATTGTATCAGCCACATCCTACTATAATTTATCTTCTATAGCAGTTGCTCCTAAGATTTCATAGTTCTTCTCCAATTCATCCTACAAGACCTGCATCTTCTCTTCTCTATTTTCTATAAGTTGTGTTGCTTATTAATATCGTTTATGCCATTCCTAATATTCTTGTTTCTCTAATTTTCTTTTTGACAACACCAAAGTTCTCAAACCTATTTTACCATATTCTTCAAGTCTTTGAACCAACTGATGATATTCGTTTTTAGCCAACTCTTCACTAGACAATCTCACATAATCCAATAATACAGAGTCTGCACCCTTTGAAAATAAATAAATTTCTCCTGTCTTTATTACTTAGACCAATATTGATTGTCTCTTCCTCTAAGATGTAAATTCAAATATTTCTAATAATTGATACTCAATTATTTGATCTTAAAAACTTACTCTTTTGATATTAGTTTCATCGGTGCCCAAAAATTCAAATCCCACAAATCTAGCAAAATTTAATAAGGCTAATTCATCTGGGGATGTGGCATTATAAATTAATTTTCCATCTCTTTATTCGGATATGACAGTATGACAAATTGCTATCATCATTAAACATTCCACTACTTTTTCATTCATCACATGATTTCTATCTTAAATTGCTTCAATTAGTTTTCTGTCTCTAAAATCTACATTGCTAACCAAAGGGAAATTCTATAACTCATCATCTGTTATGTATTCTTCTGAACTTTTTAAAATGTCACCATAATTCTAATTTCCTCTAAATTGAATTTATATTAATACATTATAATTTATTTAAACTCCATTATATTACAGGTTAGAGTTCCAGTCTTATCACTAAAAATGTGTTCAATTTGCCCAAGTTCCTCATTTAGATTTGATGTCTGCACTCTTGGTTAGTTGAGTTTCTCATCTAAACTCATTATCTTTCCTTATATGAATTTGACCATTTCCAAAGTAACCAACAAAGAAATAGGCACAAAATTATTAAATATCAGCATCCAATTTCCAAATCTCACAAAAAAATTATATGGAATTGTATATTCGGATGTATTAACAGCTATGTATAGATAAGTTAATGTCATTCTATTGTTATAATAATAAATGGAATAGACAAGAGATGCTATGACACACATGATAAATTGTATGATGAAGATCATCAATATGAATTTTTGCATTAACACTTCTAATTTACTTCTCTTTGTTCTTGCCTTGAAAGAATTCATCATAATCTTTGTATCATGCCCAGTATAAGCTACTAATCCAAATATATACTTCACATTTCTTAAATTGCATCCCCTTAATAAGAAATTATTAAAATTTATTGATGAAACTTAGAGACTCGACGTAGTTGTTTCTCCAATGAACTTATATAAGTATGGAGTTGGAGCCTGGTACTTTAATACAATTCTTTTGTCTAATTAACCAAAACAATCATCGGATTTGAATATTTGCAATAAATCGGCATGCACATTTTTTTATTTTAAATTGGTTTCCCCATCCAATGATTTAGTTTCAACATAACATATCCCCTTCTTCTCACTTGATCTCAGAAGTAGCATATCCGCTGGTATTATCTCATCCTAATGCACCTTCACGATGTGTCCTACTCTTAAATTATACGAAGCTATCTTCACAAAACTAGTTCCATCAAATGCTGTCACCTACTATTTGTTTTCTTCTATATCTGATTTCCTTCTCTTGTAATCTTCATAGAAATCCTTTGCTCCACTGACCAAAATAATAAAACCTAATGGTAAGTATATTGTTGGAATTCCAGAACTTATTGAAACTTCTGGAACCATTTAAAGCGCTCCCATTATCTAAAGGATAATATTAAAGACGTACCACAAAATAAACATTGGCTAGCTTAGAGAATTACTCAAATAATTATTTTGGAAAAAAATTCAACAAAGTGTATTTCGATGTTTGAATACTATTATCAGGCAACATGAAATCCGGTCTATTGGAAGTGATCTTCCTATTTTTCGATTGATATTTCTATGCGTAATTTCCTTTACTCTCAACATTATCGTACTGATATTCTATTCTTAGTTTTTTTTATTACCAAATAAATTTTGTGTTTCCCTGTGATCTTAACTACTGAGAATATGAGGAGGAGTTTATAACTCTAATTAAATCATTTTAGCATCAGTCATATTGAGAAAATAAAATGTTTCAAATTAATATTATTATTCTAATTAAATCGATTGAACTCACTTCCAAATCTCTTGGGATATAACAATTAAGGTTTTCATGCATTAATAAATCCATAATATCCATAATAAACATATATATTACTACTCTCATGATATTAACTGAGTCTATTCAACCATCTCTAAATCCAAGCCATCCACCTAGTTAAAATTATGACCCATTTTTAAACCAGTAAATTGTCTTCTCCTTTCATAGTATCTCAAGTAGAAAATTAATACAATAAACCAACAGATTATTATATTTAAAACATTCTTCCCTTTACTCTACCCTAACTAATGATAAATTATGATTCATACAACTTAATTTTCTATTGTAAATGAATGGTAAATCTTACACAAAGTAAACTATTCCTAAGTTCTTGTTTCTATTTGATCCTGTATACATCTTGTCGAACTAATATCCACAAGAAACTAACTCTGCTATTTTTCACTCTTTTGGCATTTTATACTTGGAACTCTTATAATTAAGTTTAAGATTTAAAATTCCTATCTTCCAATAACAGCTACACTTTAAAAATTGGAAAAATCTAAAATATTTGATTTGAATTTCTTTGTTTTTATTAACTGGGGCTCGTAAAAGGATTTATGAGGGACAAACTGTTATTTAATGAAACCTAATTTGGATTTAAATGTTACCTGAGTATATTGAATGCTATACAATTTTATGTTCATTTTATCCTATTAGAATAGCATAATAATCTAATACACTAACTTCATTTATAATCATATCATCAAAATAATGATTGTTTATGTAATATTATTTTGTTTATATATTGACTAGTATCTCCAAAGCATAATCTTGTTTATTACCTGTTTTTGCAACTACAAAAAAAGTATTGTTGTTAAAATCAAAACTCTTAGCATCAGGGATATTAATTTGAAATTGATATTCATATTCAAACTCGTCTATTATTAAACAAAATATTAATCCTTATTCCCTATCTAAGATATATAAGTGATCTCCACCATCACTTTTTATATCGATTATTTAGGCGTATTATAAGAATAAAGAATTTATACTAGGCTTTAGCATTATGGTTCCATTTTCTAACTTATAAACATCAACTCCTTAATGACCTGCTGCTACAAATACTAAGCGATGTTTCTCATTGTAATGAACACAAAATATTTTATCCCTTTATTAAATTTAATTTTCTAAATGAAATGAAATTTCTTTCGGAGCTTCAAAATCAAATTGAAAACTAACACCTCCATTTTAAGTGAAAATGAAGATTCTATTCGATTGATCATCAATTATTAATTAAGGAATATCATCCAAGTCCATCCCATTAAGATTCAAAATATTGTAGAAAGAATAATCGAAAGTTCTTAAATAAATTCCATATGATGATGAATTAAAATTCACTTAAAACATTTTGAAATCATTCCTAACTATGAAAGCTTAGCTATATTATTCAGAGATTGCAATATCTGTGATATATACTCCTTCTGTGATCCCTGTTTTGTCAATCCAAAGTTTTAATTTCCTTCTTATTTCAACATCTCTTTGAATAATTTGGCAATCTTCAATTTTTGAAGGATCAATTTTTTCAAATTCCGCCAAACTAAAATTCACATTATTAACTTTCCCACTTATTCTTTTATGTAAATTTATTGAAAACATGTCAAGAATACTAAGTTTTACTAAATTGATAAATTACTTTCCATATAGAATTTCTATCTCTTCTTAAGAATCTAAGTTATAAGTGCTTGGTTTTAGAGTTTCATTCAATATAGATACTTAAGGCCTTTTAATTTAAGTATTTAACACATTTTGTAATAAATAGAAGTAAAAAATAAAATTCATTATATTAAAATGTAAGATTACAAATATTTTAGTGATGATAACCCATACTGTGATCCACCAGATGTATTCGAGCTCTTTTAATTCTATAACCAATATTTCTTTGAAGGGATATTAGTTACTTGTACTGTAAAATGGAGTACTCGAATGACTCTATGTGCTGGTAAATAATTCTTCTTAAGTAAAGGCACCTGTAAATATGAAGGATAGAAATCATGTACTATTACTCTCTCTGAACCACTTTTAAAATTTCGTTCAAACGATGAATTAAAATCTACTCTTCTACATGAAATGATTCATGCCTACTTATTTATTACAAAACCATCTGAAGCATTTATAAATGAAGGTCACGGACCTGCATTCCTGGAGAAAATGAACTTTATAAATTAAGTTACTGGATTAGAATTGAGTGTCTATCATCAATTTCATGATGAAGTTGATAGATGTAGAAACCATATTTGGAGATGCAACGGCAGCTGTCAATAAAAACCTCCATTTTTTGGCTATGTTAAAAGAGCAATCAATCGACCTCCTGGGAAAACAGATTATTGGTTTTAAAAACATCAAGAAGAATGTGGAGGGATTTTTGAAAAAATAAGTTAGCCAGAAAAAAAACAGCCATAAAAAAAAGTTTAGAAAAAGAAAAAGTCTAATGATGTGAAATAAGAAAAAATGATCAAATTATCCAATTTCTTTTAAAATGAACAAATTTATGCAAAATTTTAAATTAATTAAAAAGAAATAGCTGTAGAATTTCTAATGGTTCTCAATTCATTATTGAATTTTGAAGTTTTCAATCAAAAATTAGAATCTATTATTTCATGTTTGAAAGAGACGTATTAGTAAAATATCGAAAAATTCAATATTAAAAAACTAATTAATATCAAACAAAGTCTAGAGAAGTGTAATAATATTACTATTCTTAAATGTTCAAAAGAAATTGGTGAGTAAATGAAAATACTTTCCATTTCTGTTCGCACTAATGGATGTCCTCCTTAAGTGAGTATATTAATGTAATTAAATAAATTATTGAAATGAAAAGCTTTATAATTTATATATGATTACCATTCTTAATAAGGCTGTGAATTTTTATACAAAAAACAAAAGAAGAATTGATCCTCATATTACATTGCTAGGGCTCTACTTAACAACCAAATTCTTAATCAAAAAGACAAAGCACATTCTATCTACTTTAATGCTTTCCCAAGTTGATATTGTGAATAAATATGGAAAAGGATCATATGCTTTAATCACAGGTGGAGCTGGAGGAATTGGAAAAGAATTCGCTATTGATTTGGCAAAGAAGGGATTTAACTTGATCATCGTTGATTTCAATCAAGTCAATTTGGAATCTGTATAATAAGAAATCCTAAAAATAAATAATAATCTGATGGTTAAGACAATTTAATTAGACTTTAGCCAAGGCAATAATCCCGACTTTTTTAAGAAATTGCAATAAGAAGTAAAATATCATTTAATATCAGATATCAAATTTAGATATTTCCATTTTGATTAATAATGTAGGGACAGCCAAAGGAGCCACTGGTATATTTGATAGATAACCTATATAAAATATCTTAGAAGGCTTTAATATTAATTTTGTTACTGCCATCATGCTCACCCATGCAGTCATCAATTAAATGCATTTGAGAGATAAATATTAGTCATTAATCATAAACCTAAGTTCTGCTTCCTCTAATTTTCCTTTGCCTCATTACTTTGGATATGGAGCCTCAAAAGTAAGTTCATTATAATATTGTAGATTGGAATGGCTAGCTTTTTTGATGCTTTAGCTTTAGAAAATAAAGATAATAACAAAATAGATATTTTGACATTAAAGCCATACTTCGTGAGTACTGCATTGATTAATTACAGAAAAGGGTTATTTGTTATATCTCCTTAATAATTGGTCCAATAAACCTGGAAATATGTTGGTAGAACGACAGAAGCTATTCCAAATATAAGTCATCAATTATAATATTATTTTGATTCATCAATACCTTTTTGGTTAATGATGAAAATTAATCAATTTTAAAGAAGACCTTAAAAAAAATGATATTGATGATGAATTATCTAAAAGTAAAATATTAATAGTATTCATAATATATAATAAATAGTCTTAAAATATATTAATAATTAATTAAATGAATAAATAATAGACAAAACTCTCAATAATCCAAATTTCTAAGAATAATAATAATTAAACCAATCAATTCACATATTTTACTTTAAAGTTGAGGCCACAAAAAATATATAGTTTAATTATTCTTTATTATTTTAACTATCTTATTTAATACTCACGTGAAAAATCACCCAGATGTTTCTTTTATCACTCTTTCCATACTATGTTATTCTTCATTATGATTTATAGAAAATATATTAAATTTAAACAATATATACATAATATTCCTAGGAATAATACAATATTTAAAACGATCAAAGTCTTTCTTCCATCCTTGAGATTTAATGAATATGAGCAAAACTAAATTAGAAAAGAATTCTTGATTAATAAAAATGATTATTGACCATGATGATGGAATTTTTATGTTATTTGTGATGTATTTTTGATTACCTAATATAAATTAAAGTGCGTATTATATGCATTACTAATAATAAATAAAATCTTAAATTTATATATGCAAGCCTAAAGAAAAAGATTCATAGGAGGAAATTGGAAGAGCAACAACACATTAGCCAAGTCTCTTGAATTGGTTGACAGTGTTGTTAACAAATTAGAGTTTGATAATTTGGATGTTGTGGTTTCCCCAGTGTCTCTACATATTGTTCCAGTCTAATAAGCAATTAAGAACAACGTATAGGTTGCTCTTTAAAACATTGGACACAAAGGATTTGGAGCCTTTACTGGTGAGCTCAGTTTTGAACACGTCAAAGATCTTAAGATTAATTGGGTCATCTTGGGACATAGTGAGAGAAGAAGAACTCCAGAAATTTCAGAGAGTGAAGAGTTTATTGCTAACAAGGCTGTTTTGGCAATAAACAATGGATTATCTGTGATCTTCTGTATTGGAGAAACCATTTAAGAAATGGAAGCCAAAGAAACCTAGGCTGTCTTAGAGAAACAATTGAAACCCTTGGTTGATTAAGTGAAAGATTGGTCCAAGGTTGTGATTGCCTATGAACCAGTTTGGGCTATTGGAACAGGTAATATTATAATTTAAGAAATTTAGGTAAGACAGCAACTCCAGAATATGCTGAAGAAGTCCATGCAAACATAAGAAAATTACTTCCAGATTAATCAATCAGAATTTTATATGGTGGATCAGTCACTAAGGACAACGCAGCAGTTTTGATTGGACAACCTAATATCGATGGCTTCTTAGTTGGAGGTGCTTCATTAAAGGAAGACTTCATCCATATTGTTAATGCTTGCAAGTGAGTTCATATTAAAAAAAATAAAAATTTAATAATATATGTTTTATTCAACTGAACCGGAACCCTTTCCAATTGCTGTAATTAGTTTAGAATTAGAGGATCAGACTGAAGAAATTAAAATTTATGAAGGAGATGACATTGAAGAAATAGTGGAAAATTTTTGTTAATATAAAGGTCTAGAATAAAAGTATGTGAAATACTTGATTGATCAGATAAATCAATAATTAAAAAAAGAACCCTCTCCTAGATTTGGGGATAGTTTTGGATAAAATTTTAGAACTCAATAACCATTATACTCAAATCAAAGCTAATAAAGTGAAGTCTGCTACACTACATAAGCAAGCAGTGTCGAAGAGAATTCTGCATAAAAAAGTTACGAAAAATGGTAATAAATGATGAATAAAAAGACTGATCTCTAATAATTATTGAACATGTCTTCAAATACAGTATAATGGACTGTTCCTAATACAGCAAGATGTAAATATTTCAAATTTATTAACATTTTAGCTTTCAACGAAAATAAAAAAATTACAGCAAATGAACGTCTCTATAGAGATGGGTTAGATATTCAAAAAAATAAAAATGAGAAGGCTGAAATGCTTAAGATTCAAAAGTTATAATAAGAATCCAAATAAGCTACATTTAAACCCTTGATATCTCCTAGATCTAAATTGATCACACAATAGAAAAAAAAAGTGAGCAAACCAGAAAACAGTATTAATGAAGATGCATTTCATGCTTAATAAAAGAGTTAAGTTTAAAATACTTAGAAATTATCAAATAGAACATAAGTTCAAACCTAAAAAAGAAAAGAGTCTCCCTTTTAGCCTAACAAATAAATTAATACAAGCAGAAATCGCTCTCAAAATAGGTCTGTAACACCTATTTATGAAAAGTTATTCAAATAAGCTTAGGAAGGTAAAAAAAAGAAGGAAGAATTTGCTAATTAAGAGTTTCAAAAGATATATACATTTAAACCTTAAATTAATAATCCAACTACTAGTGTAGATCCTGAGAATTAAAAAATTCTAGTTTAAAAATTAGTGTAAGAACATGATGAGAAAAGACAAAGAATTGAAAAGAAAAGGTAAAAAACTCTAAATTTATCTTAGGCATCAAATGTAAATGCAAAATTAACCTACTTTCCATCCTAAAATCACCAAAGATTAAACATTTATTAAAGTTAGCAAGTAAAGAGATTATGAAGACTCTTAACTAGCTATTGATTTATAAAAAGTTCAATCTCGTCTAGGGAGCAAAAATTCATTTAGTTCTTCTGAAACCAGAATTTAGTCACAACAAAGTGAACCAACCTTTTTTGATAATTAAATGATAAAAATTTTCAATTTATTAGATGGAGACAAGGATGGTTATATAAGCAAAGACAATATCGACTTGCATAAAATAGAATTAGATACATTAGAAATTATCAAAGATGTCCTATTTTATATAGATGATAATAACATTATTGCCGATTAGAATTCATTTAAAAAAATGTGTTACTCTAACGGATTACAAGCCAAATTCAATAAATCCTGATAAATTTTTCATTTTTCGAGATATTTATAATATATAATACCTCTAAACTCAATATGTTCATTAGACAAATTCTGTTCATAATTTTATGTATAAAATAATTTAACCATCTTAAGAAGACAAAATATATTTTGGTTAGAAATAAGGTCAATAAAGTCAATAAGCCTAAGATGAATCATTTTATGATGATATTTCATAAATACCAACTCAATTATAGAAAGAAGAAATAGATTAGATACTCGATCTCAAGCCCCATTTCGTTAATTCAAAGTTCCCTTAAAATTAATAAAATCCTGATTTGTGGAAATCCATTTAATAGATAGAATCAAGAATTTAACAATAAGAACATAATTTTCAAAGAATCAATTTTGAACATCAAGAAGAAATTAAAAAATTAAAGAATGAACTTAACTAACAGAAAAATATATATGAAACGAGGATAGAAGAAATCAAGTAATCAAGAATATAAAGCTCTAATTCTTAAATTCCCACTCCATATTCCTCAGAAAATAATCGAGAATATAATTATCGTACTAATAAAAATTACACTGAAGTATCATAGGAGAAACATTATTTGCAATAATTAGTCTAGGATTTAAAATAACAAATTTATGTATTGTAAACAAAATCCTTTTCTACTCCTAATAAAAATGACTTTTCATGGGAATAAAAGACAAATTAGCTAGAACAATAAGATAAAACCAATATTGATAGGATATGCCAACTTGAAACTTAAATAATTAATTTAAAGCATTCTTATGAGAATGATATTTCAAAATTGAAAAAATAATTAGAGGAAAAAACCCTAGAAGAAATGTTGCAGAAAAACTAGATATAACAGTTATAACAAAATTTAAATAATTACAAAAATAAAGTATTAAATTTTAAAATTTTAGTTTAATTAAGTATCTTAATAACTATAATAATCAAGTTAACAATATTAATCCTAAATTTACTAATTATAATTACAATAATAAAAAAACTATACTTTTGAAAACAAGAATCAAAGTTAATAATTATTAGAATTGACTGAGTAATTATAAGCTTCTACGATGCTCCTTGAGAAGAAGATTTAAGAATGCGAATTTTATAAACAAAAAGTCTTGCAATAATAAACCATTCATCAAAACTAATACGTTTATTCTCATCGTTAATCTCTAACACCAACAACTTAGAGAATATAAAATTAAAATTAGACTGTGTTTCAAATTCCCAACAAATAGCAACTATTTTAATAATTTTAATGAATAATCATAAATAGAATTCTACTAATTAACTTAGATTATAAACTGAAACTCCTCGTTTTTTATTCAATATATCATTTTTTTGGTCTTATGCTATGTTCTTTCTCATTCTAATCTATTTTAAGCATAATTCATAATTGATATGCTAGGTTTCCTAAAGAATTAACAACTATAGAACAACAATTATGTTAAGGATATACAATGTGAATAAATTTTATATTGTGATGTACTTTTAAATAAATACACTTCATTTGGCTTATTGCTATTGTAATTATTATTATTATGTTTATTAGATTCTAATGTTGGCATTGTATACTCTGGCAATATTAACTTCAATTGTAGTGATTTAATCTTTTAGAAACACTATGTCTTCATCCTATATCAATAAATGGAAATACAAATTATCTAAGATTTGAGCTGGCATTTTCTTTATTGTATGATAAAAGTCCTTTGGCTTCATTGAATTAGAATTCGACCATGACATTAGCACCTAACCAAAGGGCGACGGTCTTATTTTCTTTAGGTAAAACAGCTTTTGAATAAATAGTGTCTGTAATAAGAAAGTCAACAACTTCATCTTCTTTTTGGTGTTCCAAATGTTCAACTATACTCAAGGCTCTTTCAATTTCTGGTAATTTATTTTGCATTGATTCTCTTTACTTGACTAATTGTGCCTCCATAAATTTATATTTGCTAAGATCATATTAAATTAATTGTTACTTATATGCTTCCTACAAGCTTTCCATTATTCTTTAGACTGAGTTCTTGGAGATTAATTCGTCAATATTTTCAAAGAAAATAGCCTCTGGGATTTTTCTATTGTTTTATGCCTGCTTTGTAACAAGGTCCATTTATATATTAATTATGATAATTATTTAATATATATATAAATTGACATGTCTAATAATTAAACATTCAAAGATTTTCCAAATTAAAGTCATATTGAATTGAAATTTAATACAAAAGACCAACATGGACTTGAAAAAGAAGAAGCCCTACAGAAGTATAGAAGAAATGTAATCATAGTAATTTTGAGTTATTTAGATTAATTTACTTACAAAAATATTTGCATATGATGTAGACCAACCAGAGTTGGAGAAATAAAATGATATCCTTCAATCCGAAAAACAAAATGGATAATATCAAATAAAAACCCATCTTTTAGAAAGCATGAGATCATCTCTAATTCATCTATAAAACAGACATAAAGAGACAATTGAAATGTTTAAAAAAAAAAATGAATTATTTAAATAGAGAATCAATGAGGATAATAAGATTAACACTTAAGAAGAATTTCAATAGTTTATTAATGAATTGCAATCTGATGATTTGCTTTGTGATTCCCATCCATTTCTAGATAAAAAATCCTCATTTTTCATGCAAACTAATCTATAGTAACCGATTTAAGTATAAATTGAAAATTATTCATTTTAGATAAGTTAAGAATAGTGTTTAGAGTTGAAAGAATAATTAAAAGATGATTAATGCATTTTATTAAGTTGACTTATAAATATTTATCTACAAATCAATTCCAAAACTTTGCAGTTTGCCTCTTAATAATTTGTTATTAAATTCAAATTATTTTTGAGTTCTTTACTACTAAAATTTGGTTTTCCCTCCTTAAATTAAATAATTTTAAGAATATAAATTCTATTTTAATATAAATAAATTATGTAAATAAATGAACCCAAAGCCATTCTGTTTAATAAACTGTATGAAAGGGATGTTTGCATCAGATGTATATTGAGACTGTTCAAAATTACAGAGATTAGCTTATATAGGGATACTAAAGGATTCATTTAATTACTAATAGATGTAGGAAAGTTGATTGGGAATGAGAATGTAAATAATTATTTATAATTTTAAAAAGAAATTAGTAGAAGAGTATGATCTCTTATTCTATAAAAGAAAGGCCGAGATTTTGGATTCTGATGTTTTGCCTTTGACTTGTCACTCTACATTAAAGGATTAATTCATTAAAAATCCCTTTCACATCTTTGATAAGATTAATAAATGTGTGATATGTTAAGGAATATTGTAATGTTTGGAGGATTAAAAATTCTAAGCAATATTAATGGATGAGATATTATAAAAACAATATTAATATGAAGCATTTAAATTGTAAGTGAAAACACCTATTGGCTGCTAAATCAGATAAATACTGATAGTGAATGATTGCATCACAGAGATTGGTTAGAAAGATCCATTTTATGAATACATCAGTACTCCTAATATTGCAACAGACATTAAGGCTTGTGTGAAGTGGATAATGTGTACTCCATTAAGTGAGTCACTAAAAGTACCAAGTGATATAAATGATGATCGATTTTAAATTTGTTTAAATTTTGAGAATATTGGAGATGATGTTAAGTAATTTGAATAATTCAAAGACATAATCTAAGAAATTGATGATCAAATATGGTAGGAGAAAATGATTAAGAAAGTATAATTATATTATAACAAAGTTAAAAATGAATGATCCTTAATTGAAGGCAGAAACTGAAAATCGATTATTGTAAAAGAAAAATCAACAATCTTAAATTTTCTTGCCTACCCAAAATAATTTGGAGAAAATATCGAAATTAAACAACACCTAATTATCCTAATTTAAAATAATTAATGTGAATTATCCAGTTAAGTTAGAAGTGACAACCAGTTATTAGAATATTTTCATCAAAGGAAATTACATCAAATTAGGTAGGTACATAAGCTAGACTCCATGGTATATAGGTGGAAATAGAATTTATGAAGATTCTATTGAAGATTTAGTAAGTGCAGAAGCATGTAAGATATTTAAGGCTTCAAGTGTAAAGTTTCATTCTGGAGGCAGGGAAGATATCGATGTAAGAATGTTAGGGAATGGTCGACCTTTCGCTATTGAATTGGTTGATCCTCACCTTGGACTATAGAATTAGACCTAAGAAATTCTTACTCAAATAGAATCTAAGATCAATTCATAGAATGTGGTAAAGGTTACTCCGTTGACTTTTACAGATACCAACATTTTTGGAGAATTAAAGAATTCTGAAATAAACAAGGTTAAAGCTTATTGTTGTGTGGTTGAGTGTAAAAATATCATCAATGGAGATCTTGTCTAATAAGCGAATTAAATAAAAGATTTAGTCATAAAACAGAAAACACCAATCAGAGTTTTACATAGAAGAACTTAAATGGTGAGGGATAAGATAATCCATTCGTTATTGATCAAATAGATTAATTAGAAATGGCTTTAGGTTTATGTACTTAGCAGTGCTGGTACTTACATAAAGGAATTTATTCACTCAGATCTAGATAGAACTGTTCCAAATTTATGTTCATTACTACAGAATGAATGCGATATTTATTAATTGGATGTGATCAAATTATATGATAAAATTGATGAGGATGTTATTAGTAATTTTAAAAGTATAGATGAAGAATGTGGAAGCAAAGTTTGAATATAAATAAAAATATTTAGTTTTAATTACTTTAAATCTTTTAATTTTTCAATAACATGATAGAATAACAGGATTTTGCTTAAATGGGCTTAAGTATTTTCATCAGAAATCATTTTGAGTTAAAATATAAACTGACTACAGATTTTTGATAAAATAGTGCCATTAAATGAAAATTAAGCTTTTATTTATTTTGATGGGGATGGTTATAATGTATATGATATTATCTCAGAATAAGTTGTTGGCAAAGGATAAATTACTCAGGATGTAAAATATTTCTATCAAATATACCCATAGTATTATTTATCATTATTAGTAGAACCTTATGTTTCCTTGATCCAGAAGATGTGAAAGTTAAATTGCTTGATCTTAAGACTCTTTAACTTTGTAAAATATTTGTTTTTGCGCTAAAATATTGCTACATAAAAAAGTGATAAGTAAGCAAAAAAAGCATTAGCCTAAAGTAAGTAATTAATATATTAATAGAATTTCTCATGATGGTATTAGAAAGAAAGTAAAAATAATAGTAATAATGTTCGATATCTCATTTCCCAAGATTAAGAAAACCACTATTCGAAAATAGTGTCTGCCACTTTGCTATTAGAATCCTCCTCTCTAAACTACAGGGATGAAATTTAATTTGATCTCAACCCTGTTTTTGAATATCACTATCCTAATATTACTAACAATATTGATCTGTTTAAATGGTAGGTTGATAAAGAAACATTAGTTATTTATGGATAAGATTATAAAATAGAAATCTTATTAATTAAACCACATCTAATTGAAAAAGCATTCTATATTATTCATGTTTATGAATAAATTTTTGTTATATTAATAAATGTTACTAACTGAATAGATCCACATTTAATTGCTTTTTGGGTCAATAATAATGATGGATCTATGAAACCAACCATTTTTACAATAGACACAGTCTACTATTGCATTTAACATATTTTGTTTCTATACTTCAATTGCCACAATAATTTAACCTAGAAATTTAAGTTAGAAAATAAAGATGAATTCAGAGTAGCATTATAAGATATTATTATTATGATCAAGAATGGTTACCTGGTCCAAAATATAATCTAACTAAAGTAAATAACTCAACAGGATATGAATAAGAACCAATTACTTTTATGGATATCTATTAATCTAATTTATGTTCAACATATGTATTCTAACTTAGATAGGCTGGAATTAAGCCTGTACTTTCCTTGATTAGTTATGCCAATGTTAATTAACTTGAATTGAATGATTAAGTACAACTGGATAAACTTTTCCATGAAATTCTAAGCAATAATGCTTATCTTTTGTCATATAATGATATAGAGTAAATTATCTAGGTATAGTTGAAAAAATAATATTTTGAGAAGATATTATTTTTGTTATTAATCTTAGTTTATGTTCAGAGTTAAGATTAAATGAATCCATTTTCAATGCCCTAATTTCTGTAATATTAGAGAAAAGAATGGAATTTTAGAATTTAATGTGGTTTATCCACTTCACATGAGACATTAATAGTTTTAAATTATGGAGAAACTACACCTAATTTATTAATATGGCATAAATATTATTGAGTGGTTGATTTACTATTATGAATGAGAGGATAAAAATATAAAGAACATTTAACTTTCAAATTTATAGAATAAAAATTCATAAAAAATACTTTCTTTTTGCAACCGTTTGTTAAGTTTGGATTTATTTAATATTTGTTACATCACTATTTTTAAATATATCTGCATCAGAAGGCCTTATAGTATTTATTTTATTATGATCTTGTATAGTTGATCCTTATGAATTCTAAAATTTATCTTATTGAGATCGATTGCTTGATAATTTGAAATACCTCTCAATTTATTCAATAGATCCATTTAACTATTAAATTACTAAGTCCACTTTGAATGATGGTTTTTCATTAGAGATTTTTTATGTCAGATGAAATAGCAATCTATCAAGTTTTTCATAAATCTTATGTAATTCAACTAATCGCTTCTCTTCTTAAGCAATATTTGTAGAAGTATTTTAGGACAATTCCAATTTTTCATTCATATCCTTGATTGTTCTAACAAATTATATAAAAGATTACTTTTCATAATATTCTATGTCTGCTTAGAATTTAATTTCCAATGCATGATATTTACCACTTAATTCTTATCTTTCTTACAAGAGCAATGACAAATCATTGTTATCAAATTTTAATTATTCTATAACCTTTTCTGATTCATATTTAACTTGTTATAGAATATCGAGTTCTTCCAATATTTACTATCTCTCATTTTAAAGTTCATTATTTGTTTGTTTCAATTATTGAATTTCTTACAAAAATAATTCTAGTTATTATGAGGATTCCTGAAATTCTTTGTTTCTCTGCTAGTATTCTTTCTGCAAGGATTCATATTTTTATTAGAATTATTGATGCTTTTCATTCAATGCTCCAAACTATTAATGAACCTAGACTAATTGATTAAATTCTTTTGACATTTCTTCATTTTATTTTAAGATATTTTCTAGTTCTTGTTATTACTTTTTGATTAATTATTCTTTTTCATTCATCATTCTATCAGCTTCACAAATTTGTCTTCCTGTTTTTGTCATATTACTTTCAATTTCATAATTTAACTATTCTAGATTTTCAATACGACTTTATTATTCCTCAGTTTATCTAAATTAAATCTACTATATACTTTTTAAGTTGTGACATTTAGTAAACACTTTAATTAAATTATCTACTTAATTCTCTATTTGCCTATTCGCATTCTAATAACTTATTATTGGCTTCAGTCAGTTATAATTAGAAGCTCATGATTTCTTTCTATTTATCAGATATATTCTTTTGTAATTACTAAAAGAATTAACATATGTTATACTTTTTTAGAATTCTCTGCTGATACAACTTCATTCTTTTTTGATTATAATTCCTCTTCTAATTAACCAAGTTTTTCTTAGATTTATATCATTTTTTTAATTTATTCATTTGATGTTTCTGATTACTTCTTTCTTTCTTAGTTCTCAAATTTCAACTTTTCAACTTACTGATGTAATTAATCAATTTATTCTTTTTATTACTCAATATGATCAATCAAAGCATCTTTCTCCTGTTCCTATTATTAAATCGTCTAATTTGCATGAGTTATGTTCTTCATTGCTTCTTACATAGATTGTGATAGGTCTTCATTTTATTATTATAATTCATTTTCATGTTTTTTCATTAACTCATTTATTTAATTTGATTATTTAAGTTAATTTTCTAAATGTTATATAATTTGATCTCTCTATTTAAATTCATTTTAGATTGTTTACATCTAAACTTTATTGTGTTATAATTCTAAATAGATATCTATAGCATTCTCATTTCTTTTCTTATTTTTTGAATTAGTTATAAACACTCCCTAATTGTACAATTTTTTCTCTAACTCCATTTTTATAATGTGATTATAAATTCTTAATTATTCCGAATTCAATCTTTCCTACATCAGTTACTGCTCCAACTCGGCTACTGTACTTTATGGTTATTATTAAGATTATTATTACTAACGTTGTTGCTACTGTGAGAGTTAGGACATCTACGATTGTTAAGATTGCTACACAAATTAAGGTAATTTCGATTCTTAAACTGGTGTTTTCACTGGACTTGAAGGTTGTAATTATTATTTCTTTGAACTGTCAGGTCTTATTATCTGTACAACTTTTGGCATATTTTAATTACTAACTTACTATTTTGGTTGAAGAACTTGATTTTATTATTAATCCAATTCATTGTTAACTAAGATCAATGGTCCTTTCTAGAAATTAGGAGAACTTACCGATTGAAATATGCGATTTGTATCCTAAGATGCTAAAGAAGATTTGAATTTATAATTACATGCACTGTATACTAGAGATTCTTGAGTGAATCGTTATTGTTACTACTGGATTTGTTGTTGATTTGGTTTGGTTGGAGTTGGTTGATCTCTCTCCGAATGTTCAGATGGCTGATATTCATAACCCTCATTCTCAAAATTGATTTAAGACATTAAATTTATTTATTAATAATTTTAAGGTTCCCCTTAACGATCTTTTTATTTGTAAAATATATAGATTTCATTCATCGTAAATAATTTGTATCTCTCCTGAACCTCCGCAATCTGATGATGCCACCACAAAAACCATGTTGGTCCAACAATCTATTTATAGTTCTGTTTGAACAGGTTAATTAAATGCTTTATTCTTTACCATTTATATTAGACCAGTGGCAGGATTAACTGTTAGGGTTAATTGATCACCTCTGTTAAAAAAAGGAAATTTGGAAGCCAAAAATAATTTATGTGGTTTGCTAGGATCCAATTCAACTGATCCTGTTTCACACACACCTATTTAAAATGTCTATAATATTTATTGTTAGATGCTAAACGTTATTGATTTTGGAGGCTTAAGAGGTCCCTCCTACAAACGAGGTCCTATTAGGGCCAATCTGGTTTTATTTGTTTTATTGCCTGTATTTGGTGGCACCAATAACCTAGTTGGACTGATTAATTTGAATTAAGAATGCACTTATTTAAATGTAAATGGATTCAGAAAAGTCTTCGATAATTAACTGCTAAAGGTTGATAAAAATAGTTATCTTTGGCTTGGACTAACATTCATTGCAGGAGATGCTAACATTGATTAAGTGCCAATAAAAGGTTCAGGATTAGATAATTTACGTGATATTGAATTATTCTACATTGTTTGATTGAATTCCTCCATTTATTATTGTATTTATGAAGTCATATCCTAGAGTGTTTCATCTAAAATAAGAAGTCTCCTATCTAATTTTTAATTAAAGAATGCATGTTCTTTTTGATTGCATGTTTATAATAATTCATCATTTTAGAGTAATAAAAGAAGAGAAGATTTGAGATTATCAGATAATTAAACTTATCTATCCATTTAATTAACATCTTTTATTTTTGTTTCTGCCTTAGCCTCAGTTGTAAGATGCCTAATTATTCTCTCTATATCATTCAATTTCTAGTAGTAAGTCTTTTATAAATTTTATGATTTCTAATCTCTTTCATTGATCTGAGACTCCAACTATTGTAACAGATTATTGAACACATCTGTAAATTATTGTAATTTATCTTTTATTAACTGAGTTTTCTATTAAGGTTATTTCCATTCAAACATTATAAAATTTGTTAACAAATCTGAAGCTCTCTTCATTGACATCATTTGTAGATGACTATCAATTTCTATGCATTGTGTGCAAATAAATGAATCACGAAAGTTGCATTTCATTTTAATCATTTTTGCTTTCTCCAATGGATGACGATGACATCGTTATTATTCGATAAATTATAATACATATTCATTCAACGATTCCATTTTATTTTTTATTATTTATATTTACAAATAAAATCATATTTTATAAATTATTGGTTTTTTAAACAGAATTTATTCATTTAATTTGTAGGCTTATAATAATAAAAATGGATCTAATAAGTTATATAAAATTCTTTAATCTTATTTAGATAATTTCTAATAATTTGATTGAATAAAACACAATTAAATACTATTTTTAAGTACTTCTACATTTTCAATATCTTGATTTATGAAAATAAGAAGTGAAATCACATTATTTCCATATTGGAAGGCTTTGATATTTTAATACTTGCCAAATTTTTTATTTTAATTATATATACAATATTAAATATAATTTAATTATTATTTAACATGCATTTATTGATGATTGATTATTCTGCGTTCTTCATTTTAATTTATTGATGTGAAATTTTAAAGTTAATTAATAATATTATATATGATAATACAATATACAATTGTGGCTATTTTTTTCATTTTCACTTTTGCAAAAAGAATAATGCTCATTGAAAATTTCAATTCATTAACTTTTAATTCTTAAGGGTGGAAGTGTTTGCCTAGTAATACTAATTCTGTAATATACTAATGTAATTACGGGATGTATTTAGTTTAATTAAGTAAGGAATGCAATAACATCGGTAATACTTTTATTAATATTCCACCACACTTCAGTATTTAACTTTATGTGGATTTCATAGCTTATAGGTCTATTGACGAAAACGAATAAGCATATATTAAAGCTGACAATGCCAATATTTATACTTATTATAATCTGCAAGCGGGATATCTATAGTATAGCAATTAATGTGAATCATCCGATGAAAGATTTAGTATGATCACGTCTGTTACTGAGTTCTCTCATTCAAACACCTAATTAATCATAGAATTCTCAACCAATTTAGATGAAGGATTTAATAATGAAGGTTATCCTTTCAGAAATTTATAATTATACATTAGTTAATGCCATTATACATGTAAGACCTGTTTAAGTGAAGCTTATAATTCATGTTTAAGTTGCTTCACATAGAATTCCTCGCCTACCCTCTAGTAATGCCAAACCTGTAAAGATTAATAAAACTTGAGATTTTTATTAACGACCTAAGGATGCTTGTAAGAATGCCCTGATGGTTATAGTTATGATTAAGAACTTGTTTGTTAAAGAAATATAAGTAAAAATTTAGTTTTAAATAGAATTATTATCTCTTTCAAATCTAAATTAAATTCAACTCATGATTTCTTAGGACTTCCATTTGATTTCCTAAATTAATTTACTATTAAGATCTCCTTTGGTTTGCAGTGCTACTGAGTAGTATTTACCATACTACCTAAATGAAATTTTATACAAAGATCTAAATTTACACAGTTCATCAGTAGCTATTAGATTAAAAGTTACAATAATTTTAATTGGGGCATGGGTAGCAGATAATTCAATCTAGATATAACTTAATGGAGAAATAATAGATTCTATCAGTTTCAATAATTTGATAGTCACAACTTAAAAAAGTGTGATATTGTATTAAGATTAAATCAAATAAGTGTGCAATTTTAAAGATGTATTTAAAATACGAGTTGAGCTTTATCAAGTCATTAATCAATAAACTTTAAATCTTTCCTTTAGTGGAAATAATTTGATTGGTTAATCTTTGTCTTGGTCTATTCTAGGTGTAGATATAGAATAGGAGGTTTGTTCTCTGAATTGCAATTCATGTTCTAATAGATATGATTGCAATAAATGTGCCTCAACCTTCTATTTATATAAAGGCTAGTGTATTTAAACTTGTCCCTCCTTTTCAAGAACAGTTGATGTCTATTGTATCGATTTAGATGAAGAACTGATTGATTAAAAGAATTCAAAAATAGAATATTTAGTAAAAGAATTTTATGATGTTTCAACAACATAAGAGAGAGTAAATGAGTTATTTAAATTGATTTCTAGTAGTAATAATAATTTTGCAAAAGGAAATAACATTTACTTCTCATATGTTCCAGATAAGAAAGTTTTTGGAGGAGCACTAGTTTGGATAAACGCAATATTTAAATTATAATTGGAGATTCCAATGTATTATCACCAAGTAAGAGTAAAGTTTCAAGTAATTTTGGGAGATGATTTTAATCCTGGAAGTTTCGAATATTAGATTAATCATAGGAGTAATGTAATATTAACAACATCAACAGCGAATCCAATAAAAAACGCGTAAATTTGGGGTGATTATTTTTAAGATTATGTTTTTTAAGTGGACGAAATAATAAAAAACGATGAAATTTATTAAAGGCAATTGATAATATTATTCAATTGCAATAATCCAAATAAATTGATTAATCAATCATTTTGTGCTATATAAGATTTATTCATAACAGTTGAACATTATTGCACAAAAGAATATAGATTTGATATATTTAATTATCAGAATGGCTTGAATCCATGTGTTCCTATATGTGGAGATGGATATGTAGTAGATGAAGAATAGTGTGATGATGAAAATCTCGATCCATTTGATGGATGTTTTAATTGTTAATACTAATGTGAAGAATTTTGTTAATATTGTGTTTATGGTAAGTGCTTATTAAATTTGGAAGGAGGGGATGAAAACTAAATGGTTTTAGAAAACAGAATAACAGAATAAGATATTGTCTACTATAATGATAATATTTATAATGAGTGTTAGTTAGAATGTTTAATTTGTCATAATGGGAATTGTTATCGATGTATGGAAGGTTATATATTTGATATAATCACATAGAATTGCTATATGCTTATTATCGGTTGTAATAATGTATAATCTTATTCTAAAGAAATTTAAAATTATACTAAAATAAGTATGTGTGAAAGTGATATCCCTTATTCAAAATTAGACAATATTTATAAAGATCCAGATTATTAATGTATAAATTGCTTATCTTTTGAATATTAAAGTTGCAATAATAAATGCTCCTTTTGTTATTAAGGATTGTGTTTTCAATGCCAATCTGGATATACACTTTAGAATAACCTAGATTGTCTTACTATTTGTGGCGATGGTCTTATTAATAAAGATAAGTTGAGCATTGAAAATAATGAAGAATGCGACAATCCTTTAATCGAAGGATGCCAAAATTGTATGATACAATCTGGATATAAATGTATTTAAGAAGATTACTCTGTTTGTTGGACTTGTGATGTGAAATGTTAGAAGTGTGTTAATGAAAATAATGTTTTGATATGCCAACAATGTATTGATGGATATTATGCTATAAATAGTTTTTGTTATATATGCGATGATAATTGTGTAACATGTAAAGATGATTCATCATTATGTACTTCATGCTTTCGAGATGATTGCTAAAAATGCGAAGATATTACTGGCTTATACACGGATTATTAAAATAAGAAATGTATGCCATAATGTGGAGATGGCATCAAGGTGTAATTTTACGAGTAATGTGATGATGGCAATATAATTGATGGAGATGGTTGTGATTCTAATTGTAATTCAGAATTTCCCTAAGATTTATATTCTATTGAAATTCAACGTCTTAGTGGAACAAATTCGAATGATTTAAATATTACTCATGATTCCAAAATTCAATTGAATTGTTAAGATACAACAGTAACTATAGAAGGATTCGATTAGAAAGAGTTCCTCTATAATTCTACTATTAGTGATAGTGGTTGTCAAATTTCATTTTAATTTTTTAAATCAATTAGAAAAACCAATATGATACACATCTATATTTAATATCGAGAAGTTTAAACAAGAATTCTTAGTGATTAGTACTAATAGTAGAAAGAGATTTAAGTGAACCCAATTGAATAAATAATTTTAGATGATAGCCAATAATCATAAGCTGATGCAATTTCTAATGCTTAATCGAGTCTATCTATTCTAATTTGGATTTTGGCACCACTTTCAATTCTTTTTGGTTTATTTGATTATTTATGGGCTGTTCTTGAAATTCTGAGTTGGATTAATAACTTTTACTTTTTCAACGTTAACTTCCCTTTCAATGTTTAAATTTTTTTTTTGAATAGCGATTGGTCATCTATTATAAGCTTTCCAACCTATTAAAATTTGAATTAACCAGATTGTGATTATTATTTCGAATCTCCCCCGAGATTCACTGAAAAAGGAGTTGATCCATTATTCCTTAATAATGCCTAAGTGCCTATCTTCTTTATATTTACTTCAGTTTTATTCTATTTCGCTAGTCTTCTAATTTTATCCTTATTCAAATTTATTAATTAGGCTACTCTGATAAAAGTGCCAATCCATGGTCATTCAACTTTTTGTATTTAAAAATAAAAGGATACTCACTTACATCGTTAAAATCAATCCTAGTTTTTGATTAAACCTAATAAATATATTTGGTTTATTGTTTAAAAGATGATTATTATTTCAAATAAGTTTTAAAGTAGGATAAAATAAACAATAACCTTATGCTTATTAGATTTAACTATGGCTATAACCTTATAATTAATCTATGGTAAGCAATTTCAATACAGCATGATATTAATTAATACCATTTTAGCATTACTATTTTGTTGTTTAATTTTTTACTAGCTAAGACAATCCTACTTTGTAATAGGTATTCATAAAAACCTAGCTGAATTTCCACCTTTTAAATTAAAATATGGATGCTATTATGAGAATATCAACATAGACAATGCATTTGGACTTAAATTTAATTTCTTCGGACTCATTCGAAAGATTGCATACATTTTTTGCATTGTTTATTTTTATTACAATCCTCTTTTGCAGACTACACTATGTTTTATATCATGCTCTTCAGGTGTTTTATTGTTGCTTTACTCTAATCCATTTGAAAGTAAAGGACAATTTTATAAATAATTAATTTCAGAGTCAGGATTAAGTTTGATTACTTTTGTGACTATTCTACTTTCTATTGATGATTTATTAAATAAAATGGAGGAATAAACAAAGATCAATTTAGGCTGGATGATTATATCATTAGTCATATTATGTGTTTTATGTGAAATCTTAACATTAATATTTGAAATTTGTAGACTACTTCATCAAATAGTGATCTAAATGATAATATCAATATTGAACAGAAATAAAACGAATAAAGAAATTGAAACTAAAACTTAGATCTAAGAATCAAAGCTACCAGAAATAATAATTGCAAATAAACTATCCTTTATTAAGAGTGGGCAAATTCATCAAATATTCAAATGACTTTGTTTTTAGTATTATATGTTAACTTGATCTTAAAATATAACTATTCCATACTCAATTAAAATTTAAGTTACAATTAATAAATATATGACATAATTCTTTTTATCAAGTGCTCAATAGATTTATGTATCAACAAATTTTCCTAATTTTCTATTATTAATTTATAATAGTAAGGGATAAGTTTTAATTTTCATATTTCACTATATGTATTTACTTTACTAAACATTTATATTTATGATTAGTGTTCTTATATAAGGTATTTCGGTAATATGAATTAAGTTCTATTTCCGAGGTTATCTCAATTATGTGAGCCTCATCTTAATATTGGCTACTTTTAAGTATTTTAAATATATTATGATTGTTATTAATAATGTTAAAATTTTAAAGAATCTGTCTAAGATAGTTTAGTTAAAAAAAAATATTAACTGATGAATAAATAAAAGAAGGTCTTAGACCAATTTTAATGAAGGAGGGATATTTTGAAGATGATTAATATTTATATTATATTGATCGAGATAGTAGAGTCAGAAAAGTGCCTAGAGAGTACTAAAAGAGAGAGTATATAACATATTTCTATGCCTTCTTAGTGGAGTTTATAGAATTAAGTTTCTTGAACCTATATATAGATGGTGGATACGTAGATCACCAGACACTTAATTTGCAATAATTCCTTATTTTTTATCAGCTCTTTTCTTTACTGTGATATACAATGGAGCAAATTTCATTATCGAAAGAGAAGACCAAATAGTAGAGAAGGCTAAAGTGGATCCAAATTTTAATAAAGAGAATCTTGCAAGATGGAAGAGCGAAAAGTAATAGGAAAAATGAAATTAATAACCATTATTATTATTATTTATCAATATGGATAAGGATGTTTCTCACTAAATTTAATGACTCCCTCTATCTCTTTCATTACTCTAAGCACCATTTCTTCCTGATTGGGATATGAAATGACTTGAATATTAACGGGTAATCCTTCAGCATTTTACATATTACGATTCATCATAATATAAACTAAATCAATAGTCCTTTCCTTGCCTTCAATTTTTAAATCCTCTCCGTCTTACACTCTTGTAATCGGCATACTTCCAGCTGGAACATCAACTGTATTCCACATCCAAGTATACAATCTATCAATATAACAAATAAAGAAGTACGCTGCCAAAGGAAGGACCTTGGATGCTCCGTGTTTAACTGCTGGACAACCAAATCCAGGTACAATTACAGCATCAATTTAGTTTAATTTCAAATATTATAAAAATTGAAAATTCATTCTCTTTTATTTTCCTGAATTTACCAAAAATTAATAAACGTCTAAACCATGAGTTTGTTTACTCATTACATACAAAGTTTTCTATCCAAATATCCTTAATAAAGGTGCTAAAATATAGGTTTATAAAAATATTGGTATTTTTGTTCCTGTCTCCATTAATTCATATTCTTCAATGATTTTTTCACCCTTCAAATTTTCTCCAAAAGACTTAAATCCTCCTTCAGCTGCCACTAACCTCGGAAAAGCAACAGCTAATTCATGCTCCAATTCTTCATCCAAATTTATTTAAACAAGTTCATGCCCTTTGTCAATCAAAGCCTAACAAGCTTCCTTAACAGCTCTTTTCATACAATTAGGTGGCAATAGATCTTTGAATTACTCAATATATCCTATTCTCAATTTATCCTTTTTAGCATTCTAAGTGAAATCAAGGTCTCTAGGTTACCAATAAGGATCTTAAATTTATGATGGTAATTCAGAATAATTCTTAGAATCAAATAAGACTCTTAACATAACTATTAGATCATCTACACTACGACCTAATGGACCCTTGGATGGTTTTATATTAACAATTCCACTAGCTGCTTTTTCAATCACACCTTCACCAACTTCTGTTTATCTAACCATACTTGGTTTAAGACCATATACTCCACAAAATGCAGCTGGTATTCGTATGCTTCCACCAATATCTGAACCTACACCTATGACACTGCATCGAGCAGCTTGTAAGGCAGCTTCTCCTCCTGAGGATCCACCTACTGCTCTATCCTTATTCCAAGGATTAAGAGATCTACCAAATATTCTATTAGTAGATTCAAAAGTCATTGCCAGTTGGGGTAAGTTGCTTCTTATAAATATAATACCTCTAGCCTTTTTGATTAATGATACTTAGATTCCATCATAGGTAGCTGGCTTATTCAATCGAGAAGCTAATCCATAAGTATTATCAAATCCTTTTTAAATGAAAGTGTCTTTCACTGATACAGGTATTCCAAAAAGATCGTATTTATAGATAATTTGAGGGTCTAAAGAAATCTCTTAATCTTGTCTCCTAGTTAAATCACTCTATAATTATACTCAGCCTCTTGTATTGCTTCTATGAAGTTGACATCTGTGATAAGGTTCAAGTTATCTGAGGTTGCTACTGACAATGTTCTATTAATAAACACTAACAACACTTGTTTAACTGTGGCCTTTTTTTCAAACAAAATTTATTTAATTTCAGCAATTGTGAAGTTTAGTATATCCCTTTCCAACTGAGCATTTAAACCTGTGGACAAATCATGTGATTGTCTAAATTCCTAAATAGATCTTTTGAGTTCCTCCCTCCTATTTTAACATAATTTATTATATTTTCTTTAAATTCTGTATTGGGCGACAAAGTTAGTCAGACCATAAAGTGCTAGTATCCCAAAAGCACTGAAAAGATATTTGTGTTCTTTTTTTGAGAACAAATTTTGTAATTTGAATTTCATTAATATATATTTTTAATTTTCATAAGATATACTAATTGAACATTCTTTTATAATAAGTTGAGGCTTGCACTAAAAATGACATGCTTTAGAGCAGTTTTCATTAATATTTAGATATGATAGTTATTTCATACAGATTCTGTGATATTTAAATCGATAAAAGCAGATTGATTTTTTTATTAAATAAAATAATGGATTAGATCGAATATGTGAATCTTGAAAAGAAGCCATAGACTAATAAGAATAATTAAAGAGGAAGATAAAATAATAGACCAAACAAAAATGATAGAAATAGAAGAAACCAAAGAGATAATAAACCACCATTCAAGAATCAAAAAAAACAATGGAGAAACAAGGATTAATAGAGATAAAAAGTAGATTATTTATTTTAATTTTTAAGCGTCCATTTCAATCTGAGAATAGGATTGTGGCAACTGGCTAGAAGAGAAGACAATTATAATAAAGAAAATTTACTTAAAGATCTAAAGCCCCCAGAAATATTTAACCAAATGTCATCATCAAAGGATTGGATCCAAAAATGACAGAAGCTGGTTTATAAGTATAGAAATCATATCATCCTCCCCTTTAGGAAGCATGCAAAGATTTTGGCCCAATGAATATGTGCAAATTAGACAGGGATAACTTTGGATAAGTGAAGGTATTATTAATTATTAAGTTTTGAACAGCCAGAAGGAATTGGATTAGTTAGATTCACAAGAGTAGAAGATGCAAAAGCTTGTGTCGAAAAGCTAGATGGTGTTACTGTGTAAATCATTGGGGAAAATAACAATGTAAATCATTGAAATAATCTTTAGGAAAAAGTAATATCTGCAACCTTCGTTGATGATTAAGAATAAGTTGACGATAATAGAAATAGAGGTGTATTGAACATTACTAAGAGATCAATAAATAAAAGGTATTGATTCAATAAAATTAAAATAGAAACTGGAGAAGATGAATTTGAATAAACACAAATATGTTATTTTAAACAATTCAAAAATCAATCATTTAGATTTATTAAAAAATAACTCATAACATTTTGATAATAGATTATGGATAAATCCTGAAAACTATGTATAATTTAGGAAATAAAAATACTCCAATTATCGGGGAGTTAGACTTATTTCTATATATTCGAGGCCTATTCATAATCTACTCTCTCACATTGTCCTGGTTTCAAATACTTTTTCTTAATAGTCAATTATTAAAATAGCCTCATTTTTGAATGAATATTAGATTTTTAAATATTTATTTCATTACATTTTCAACTCAATCAATATCTGGCTAAATGTCTCAATTTCTAATCATGCTTNTAATTGAACATTCTTTTATAATAAGTTGAGGCTTGCACTAAAAATGACATGCTTTAGAGCAGTTTTCATTAATATTTAGATATGATAGTTATTTCATACAGATTCTGTGATATTTAAATCGATAAAAGCAGATTGATTTTTTTATTAAATAAAATAATGGATTAGATCGAATATGTGAATCTTGAAAAGAAGCCATAGACTAATAAGAATAATTAAAGAGGAAGATAAAATAATAGACCAAACAAAAATGATAGAAATAGAAGAAACCAAAGAGATAATAAACCACCATTCAAGAATCAAAAAAAACAATGGAGAAACAAGGATTAATAGAGATAAAAAGTAGATTATTTATTTTAATTTTTAAGCGTCCATTTCAATCTGAGAATAGGATTGTGGCAACTGGCTAGAAGAGAAGACAATTATAATAAAGAAAATTTACTTAAAGATCTAAAGCCCCCAGAAATATTTAACCAAATGTCATCATCAAAGGATTGGATCCAAAAATGACAGAAGCTGGTTTATAAGTATAGAAATCATATCATCCTCCCCTTTAGGAAGCATGCAAAGATTTTGGCCCAATGAATATGTGCAAATTAGACAGGGATAACTTTGGATAAGTGAAGGTATTATTAATTATTAAGTTTTGAACAGCCAGAAGGAATTGGATTAGTTAGATTCACAAGAGTAGAAGATGCAAAAGCTTGTGTCGAAAAGCTAGATGGTGTTACTGTGTAAATCATTGGGGAAAATAACAATGTAAATCATTGAAATAATCTTTAGGAAAAAGTAATATCTGCAACCTTCGTTGATGATTAAGAATAAGTTGACGATAATAGAAATAGAGGTGTATTGAACATTACTAAGAGATCAATAAATAAAAGGTATTGATTCAATAAAATTAAAATAGAAACTGGAGAAGATGAATTTGAATAAACACAAATATGTTATTTTAAACAATTCAAAAATCAATCATTTAGATTTATTAAAAAATAACTCATAACATTTTGATAATAGATTATGGATAAATCCTGAAAACTATGTATAATTTAGGAAATAAAAATACTCCAATTATCGGGGAGTTAGACTTATTTCTATATATTCGAGGCCTATTCATAATCTACTCTCTCACATTGTCCTGGTTTCAAATACTTTTTCTTAATAGTCAATTATTAAAATAGCCTCATTTTTGAATGAATATTAGATTTTTAAATATTTATTTCATTACATTTTCAACTCAATCAATATCTGGCTAAATGTCTCAATTTCTAATCATGCTTTAATATATTGGTATTTAAATATCCCTCATCTTTATTTTCAATAATATTCTTTATCTATCCTATAAATCATCCTTAATTAGCTCGATTTTGATTTATCAATTTAAACCAGAAAATTTAGAATATTTGCATGATTATAAAGTTAATTATATAAATTAGAATAATAATGCATATGATGAGGACTAGATGTAATAAACACAAACAAAACTTTATACAATTCATTTGCCTTGAAGAGGATTGTGAAATCAATAAATTAGGATGTATTAGTTGTTTTCCAGATCACGATGGCCACACTAAACAAAATATGGAAATTTAACATTTCTTTGAAAAGATAACACAAAAAGATAGGGATCTTGAGTTAAAGTATCTATAACTTATTAATTCAAACTCAGCAAAGAAGAATAAAGAATAAATAATCAGATCTATTCAATAATAATGCAAAGCTATCTAAAGTAGGGCATTTAGTTTCATTGATCGTCACTGTGAAACCTTAATAAACAGTGTTTAAAATAAGAATCTCAATGATTCAGCCTCATAATTAAAGGTTAGAGCTTATCATGATGAACTTGAAAGGATAAAAAATAAATCAACTTATACGTTAGAGAATAAAGTAATTTAATTTATTATATAAAATAGGAGATTGAGTTCTTGATCAACTTTGTTTTAACAAATGATTATTCAGAAATGATTGCAAGTGCTTTTCAAATAAAAGAAAAAAACATATAAGAATTCACATATGATATCAATTAGATAGTCAATTCAATAGATTATTAACTATCTGAACTTTACACTCAATTAGACTCACAACTTTCTGCTCAATAATTTGCCTCGTCTCCATCATTTGACCAAAAAAACAAAAGTTTTTAACACAATTATTCATTAACTCTTGGAATTTTACAAAAAAGCCCAAATAGAAATTCCACTAAAGGCAAATCAAAATCTCCTCTAAGATAAACATCAACAAATCAAACAAGAATGAAGACTCCTGAATCAAACAAGAAACTAACTTATTCAATTGGATCCACCAGTAAAATTTAGATCTCAAAGTTTCTTATGACTTCTCCTTTAAAGGAGGAGGATGATTTTATCACTAAAAATAAAAATCTAGAATCCTTAATTACAAATGTATTAATGATACATCTGCCATTCAAATATTTAAATGATCACTTATTGTTCTTAAAAAACAATTATGCTGAGTTCTAAGATTATAATAAAATTACCCAATAGGAAAAAGTATAATTAATTGAGGAATCCAACTCTTAATTGCTATATGTTCTATGGGATAATTTAATGATTGAATGGTTAAAACCTCCTCTCAATTTTAATATCATTTAAATTAAGGTTTATGAGATTGAAAATAACTTTAATTCATTTCTGGAGTTATTTGATAAGTAATTAAAAATGCATGAATTTGTTGCTTATGTTATTAAGTAGAAAATTATTAAACCAAAAGTTGATTATTAAACATGGTTCATTCTAGCTAGCAAAGCTACAAATTCATTTAAAATGTATAATATTAAGTCTAGTGGTAAGAAAGTAAATAGAGAAATGACAGTTGAAGATTAATCATTTTCTTGTATTGATCAATTAAAAGCTGCTAATGTCTATGCATAATTCCCAAAAGTAATTTAAGACCATCTCAACGGAAGCTTTTCTATTGATAAGGATCTTAAAATAATAATCAAAGGAATTTAGGATCCAAACTTCTAAACGTAACTATTAGCAGAAAGATTACAAGTAAAATTTAAGTTTATTTAGATTTTATTAAATTTGGTGACAAATCCATAAGTTGCTGCCAATCTAACATTCTAGAATATTGAGAAACACTTTGATCAAGTCTTGATCAATTTCAAGTAATTTATTAACTACCTAAATTTATCATTAAAAGATACACTATAAAACTGATTTATAAAAATATAATCCACTTTAACAATCCTAAATTATAAATTAATAACATATTAATTTTGATAATAGCCTTCACATTTATCCTTACTTTTTGTTGTTTATTGTCAGTTTTAAAGAATATGTGAAAGATATATTTGAAAAAAATAAATAAAATATTGCCAATTTTATGTAAAATTATGAGTATCATATTTAAAATTAGAAAATATTATTACTAATTTAAATTATTTTGAAATTATAAATATGAGGATTTCTTTTTTAATTGTTCAATCAATAATATTATTAGTAACTCTAACCTAATTTTCTAGTTTGTAATTACATTACTATTTTAACCATAATAATTCATTAACACTCAATTCATAAATGTAGTCACCAATTTTATAACATTTTTCTAATAAAATAAATTAGAATATTTTGATCAAGTATGCAATTATTCTAGTTCTATAAAAAGAATTAAAATATAGGATAGAATGGAAGATGAATAATGGATTACCATTCTTATTTCATCTAAATGATATTATAGCATCTATATTCTAAGCATATTAATATGCTAATAATAACACTCATATATCCACACAAATATTATAACTTATTTATCCATTTAGTCACTTAATTATAACATTTATTGGTTCTCTTTCAAACTAGCGATTCCTATAATTTATAATTTAGAAAGTATATTCTTAAAGAAGAGAAATAATATTCATTCTATTTTTACTCTGAAAATTGAATTTTAATTATATAAATTAAATAATCATGTATGAGCTTCTTTAGAATGTGGATAACTATATTTAATTAGGTTTTGCTAGCCTTTCCATCCTATTCTTTTATATTGTTTATTAGACAGATGTAATTGGGAATTATAATTCTTAGACATTCATGATACAAAATGAAGAGAATTGGGATTACTTGAGATAGCAATATGCTCAATTGTACGATTCTTAGGAATTGGATAAATTTCATTTCCCGAATGAGATGGCTAGTTTTTGTTATAAAATTTAAGAGAAAATAACATCAATATAATGGGAATACATTTATTTTATTTGCTTGTCAGGATTAGTTTTAATGCTATATTCAGTATTTGTTTGTTCATATAGTAGTTTTTTTTTCTTGAGAGTGGATTCTTATATTTTGGAATGAACATCATATTTGGAGGACTAACAATGTTTTACCTATGTTATTTTATAAATAACGTATATTTGGGAACTGTTGTAAAAGTTCCATTGCGAGTAATTTGTATATCAATCAGACTGATCCTCTGCGCTGGGCCTATGGTAATGGATTCTTCTTGAGTCTATTTTGTCTGGGAATGCTAATAATTTCAATACTTTTAGTCAATCAAATAAATAGGTTCGTTTTCCACAAACCAATAAGTATAGCCTATGTATTAGGAGGTACAAAATGTGTGATAAAAAAGGCTCGCTATCCTTATATTTCAGAAGAGAGTAGCAATCAATTCTTGGAAGAAGCATATAGATAGGAACCGATCTTCATGTAAAAGATAACTTAGGCTCAGAAGGTGTGATGGATGTCATTGGATATTCTGAAAAATTAGCATCTATAATGGGTCATATTTTAAGTGACAACCATTTGCTAGATCTAATAATTGTGTTGTTATTGTATTTCACATTGCCGAGAGTATAAATTAATTATTAATAGATTTTTGAAATTGGAGCTATGAACACTAATGTTTACTCAATAGTAATGTTAATCAATTACTTTGCATAATTTATTATTTCATTTTTCATTTCCTCCTTTTAATCAGAAGACATAGCTAAGAATGTCTTATAGAATGTGAGAACATAAATTATAGCTGCTAGTCTTTTCAGTATTATCTCATTAATACTATTGTACATCTACAACTCCACTTATATGAGTATAGCTAGTTTTGGACTAATAACTAGTATGTTACTCATAATTTATTTGGAATATGTTACAAATCATTCATTTCCCTAAGTCAGGAACATTGCTTCAGCAGCCCTGAATGCTCCAATGTTAAATATAATGAATGGCAATTTTTTGGGAGACATGGGTTAGTTGTTTTTTGTTGGCTTAACTGGATTATTCATTTTCATCTCTAAGGAAATTGGTGGAAACGAGGGTCTTTATGCTTTTTTGACTGGATTAATTATGAATGCCATAGTTATGACTTCTATATAATTTAGTGGAAATTCAATAATGATTGGCTTAAGATTCGCTTAGATTGCCTAGGTGGATTCATTGCCTTTAGAAAAAGTATAACACATATATAGATATAAAAATAGATTAATTTAGCTGCATGCAATTATGCGTTATATTTAAAAACGATTACGATTATTTGCTTGTTTTTGATCACAATAATATTTTTTCCTTTGTAAGAAATCTAGTGTTTTGCAGTGTTTATAGGACTCATATTGGCATACTTTTTCAAAGGGATTTTTCTAAAGTTTGTTGGAACGTAGATTGTTAGACAATTACGAGGATTTTATGAGGGGACATTCTTGGAAGGGCAGACTTACAATTTGTGGGAATTAACTGGATTAATCGGTCTAGTAATATTAATTAATTATTATTCTATTAGCAATTTATTATTTTGAATTGTTTTAAATACTTCACTTCTAAGTTTGGAATGTATTCATATGTTTACAGTTACACACAGATTGTGTTGGTTTTAAGTGCCAGAGCCATTATAACTGGGAGCAGTCTTAAGAATGTAAGAGTTCTTGAGGGAACTCTAAAGGAGAACAAGATAATTTATTTATCTCATATGTATGCAGATATTCAAGGGATTGCTATGGAAGAATCTCCAGCATTACCTTAGATAGGATTTTTGGGGATATCGATAGTGCTAGGGTTAACAATTTGAATAATTCCAGTTTAAAATTTAATCGAACTTTTATTAAATGGATATTTAATATTTATTATATTAATTCTTCTTTCTCCTCAGTTTTCACTTACATCATCAGAACGAATGTCATCTCAAATAACGAAAAAGCCATCTTTAAAGCTCTAATTAAACAAGAAGACATTGGATACTTTGGCAAAGGAGAAAACCAACATTCCTCCTAGTTCCAAATGCTCTCAAAAGACAGTCTCCTCTATTAATGTAAAATAATAACCTCAATAATCTATTTAGACTACTAGCTGCACATCTTCATCTTCCAAATAAAACTATCCATGTAAAGAATCAAAGTCAAATCCCTCCAAAAATTCCGATTAACATTCATAATTAATTCAATATTTGCTCCAAGAAAATATAGAATTACAAAAACAGAACTAAGACAAGGATCAATTGATAAATTTCTTGAGTACAAAACAATCCCCCAAGAGAAGATCAATTTTAAATACAGAAAGGAGCACTGAAATCAAATCTTAAAAACTTCCTTAAATTTCATAGCCTAAAAATTCACTAGAGATTGATAAGTAATTATTTCTTTAAATTCAATACTAGTTTAAACGATGGAGTCTAAGCACCATTTTGTTTTACATTTTGTCAATAAGATACTCAGAGTTAATAAAGTGTCAGAAATAAAAAATTGCCCAAAGAATTTTAAATTGTACCAAACAAAAAAAGATATTTTGTATGATTATAGAAAGTTCATCAATGATGATATTATATTTCAATTTATTTGTGTTTATATTCATAACAATTCAAAAAGTAAATACCCTATTCACTTCATATTAATTTAACATTTATTGCCCTCGTTTTATTCTCTTAATCCTAATACAAACCAATGTTACTCCAGCTAAAATAAATAATTATGTTTGAATCAAGTATCTAAAAATTGCAATATGTATTGAGCTTCGTGTCTCTCAAATCTTTTTATAGAAGATATATCAATCTTCTAATACAATTGCATGATACAATTGGAAGAACCAATAAAAAAAGTTTAAATTTTCTTTATAAAACTAATATAAAAACCAGCATATGATTTAATAAGTGTAACAATTAGGTGATATTTTCAATTAAAAACTTTAACTTATATTCAACTTTTCAAGTAATAAGATAAGACACACCATTCAGACAATCTCCAAGAACACTATCCCTCTTTTATTGATCATATACAATACATTAAAATAAATGAGGTTGTTTATTCAAAAATTATATAATTTGTTATAAATGAGAAGTTAATAAAGCAATATTTATTTGATTACTTTAATTATATCATATTATTTCTAATTACTAATCTTATATATAGAATAAGACAAGATCATATATCAGCATCATTCTAGATAAAATAAACAATTGTATTAAGATTTATTTAATAAAATAATGAGATCGATTTAAATTAATCTTTGTATCGAATTAAAAAGGAGGAAGAATGCCTCATCGATTAATCATATAATTTAACTGTCTTTTTTGCAAAAATAATATCTCAGAGACCATAGGTTAATATCTTTTTAATGGAAGATTTGATATTTTTCATGTTCTTTTGTATTCATTAATAAAATGAATTAAGAAATTTAATAATTTAGAGCCACTTTACCAATAAATGAATTCAAATAGGAAATTTTGAAATAGACTTTGGAAAATACTTTTATTATCATAACTGGTGACACAGGTTCAGGTAAGTCAACATAATTGCCACAATATCTATTGGATGATGAGAATTTCAGATTAAGCATTTGTGAAAAGAGAAAATAGTTTTTGGAGGAATAAGTTGAGGAGAAAGAATAACCTAAGGTTTAGGGATTCTTGTCTAAGAAGTAGAAGCCATTTGTTCCAGAGGACAGAAAAAATTCAACCGATTTAAAGATTGTGGTAACATAACCCAGAAGAATGGCTGCTATATCAATGGCCAAAAGAGTAGCATTTGAGAGAAATGTAAAATTATATCTTATATATCAATTAATAGCAAAACTTAGGTAGTGAAGTCGGATACTCAATAAGATTTGACAATTCCACTACTAATACTACTTAATTAAGATATGTGACTGATGGTATATTGGTGAGAGAATGTTTGTAGGATAAGGATTTAACAGGATATGATGTTGTAATTCTAGATGAGGCTCATGAGAGATCCCTATACACAGATGTTCTATTTGCATTAGTGAAGACAGCTGCAAAGAGAAGGAAGGGAAGTTTAAAAGTTATCATAACATCTGCAACACTAAACATCAATATCTTTAAGACCTATTTTGAAGGATGTCCCTACGTCAAAGTTCATGGTAAGTCATTTCCTGTTGAAGTGAAATATGCTGAACATAATATAACCTAGTAAAAAAGAAATCATGATGCTGTGAATGCTGCAATCAGAATGCATTTGCATGAAGGTCCAGGAGATATCTTAGTGTTTCTACCTGGAAGTGAAGATTGCGAAGTTTGCAGGAAATTTTGTTATGAGAGATTAGCAGAAGTGTTAAACTCTGGAGTTGAAGTTCCGAGTGTGTTATTATACACATTGTATGGTAGTCAGACTTCTGAAGACCAGAGTCAAGTATTTTAAAGAGCAGATGAACATACTAGAAAAATCATATTCTGTACAAACATAGCTGAAACTTCATTGACTATTGATAATATTGGATTTGTGGTCGATACTGGTTATGTTAAATAAAAAGTGTATAATCCAAGGACTGGCATGGATTCTCTTATCATTTAACCTATATCTAAGACTCAAGCGATTTAAAGAACAGGTAGAGCAGGTAGAACATAGCCTGGAAAATGTTATAGATTATTTTCTAAATAGTTTTATGAGTCTCTTTCAGAACACACAACGGCTGAAATCATGAGAGTCAATTTAGCATCAGTGATGTTATTACTTAAATCCATGGGAATAGATGATGTAGTGAGATTTGAATTTATGGAACAACCTACTTAAGAGGCTATTTTGTAATCTTTAAGATAATTATATCTAATATAAGCAATTGATGAGGATGGATATATCACTCCTATGGGTTATGAAATGTCTAGATATCCATTGGAACCAAGTTATGCTAAAGCATTAATAACTTCAAAATTGATGGAATGTTCAAGTGAAATGAGTGCAATTGTGGCCATATTGTCTACAGAAAGCATTTGGCAAAGAATTACCCGAGTAGATGTAGATGGATACTAAAAGTTACAGGAAATCCAAACTTAACATGCTGATCCTGCAGGAGATCACTTAAGTTTATTGAAAATATTTTCAGAATGGAGATAAGCAACATTTAATGAATAATTTGCCAAGGATACTCTATTAAACTTAAGGTCTTTGAGATAGGCTGATAATATTCGCCAATAGTTATAATAGTTAGTTGAAGGCACTAGTAAAAAGAAATGTTTCCAGTTTTATGAATAGGATTATCTTTATAAATTGTTTAGAAAATAGAAGGATTCAAAGAAGTGGAATATCAATGAGAGTATTAAATTAGCTTTATGTTCTGGATTTTATTTTAATACTGCTCGTAAGATGCATAATGGTGAGGATACTTATTTGATGGTGTATCCTGAAGGCACAGTCGTAGACACAGATCCTCAGAGTGTATATACAGTGATCCAACAATATCCTGAGACTGTGATATTTACTGAATTGGGAGGTACATCCTAAGTGAGGGGAGTCATGAAGTTGATTAGTGAAATCAATATTGAATGGGTTAAACCCTACTTCTCAAATATGGTGAAGGTATGAATGATTATTGATTTTAGGTTGATCTATTTAAACTGGCGAGAATTGAATTTCAATAAAGAGGAAGAGATGCTGTGCATGAAAGAAGACAAAAGAAAATCTAAGAATAAGAGAAATAAAAAGAGTAAGAAGAAAAGGAGAAGCTAGAAAAGCATTAATTATATAAGGCAAGATTCGAACAAAGAAAGAAAGTTAAAATGTGAATAGAATAATTGTTATTGTTATAATAGATCATTCTTTAAAGACTGATAGTCTCTTTTATACTGATCTTTTGTTCTCGTGATTCTCATCATACACTGATCCAATTCTTATACTACTCTTACGACGTAATTTACTGGCAATAGTTTCATCTAATTTCTCTTCTTCAATTTCCTCCTCTGCAAAGATATTGATGCCATTAAACCATCTAGAAGGCAGTGTCCTTACAAATATGGCTACAATCATGCCACCCAATGCAAATATCCAACAGAATATATGTTACCAGACAGATAATTCACATACAACTGCGAATTTATCTCCAAATAGAATCAGCAGATATTGCACTGCTACTTCAATTAAATTTATCAACCAAAATAAGGAATTGTTGAATAATCCACTAAAAGGATTAAGAGATACTTCATCTAATTTTCTGCAGCTGATCGAATTGCAAATTTACATTAAAACAAAGGTTTAAAAGAACATCGTTAATCTCTATATTGGTCTGTCTTCGTATTCCTTATCCAAGGAGTCATCGAAATCAAATATTCTATCTGGAATAAACAAGATTAGACACAAAATAGCAATTTGATATATACTAGCTCCAATTACTGTTCTGTACATAATTGAATTGACGATGCTTTCTCTTTTACCATAAGGTTTCCTATTTAACAGTCTATCACTAGGAGGTTCAGTAGCCAAAGCTAAGGATGCAAAAGTATCCATGATTAGATTCACCCACAGCATTTGTATACTTGTTAAAGGAGCCTCCTTTGTTACGGCTGCTCCAAGCACACTCATAAAGAGAGCCACAACATTGACAGTCAATTAAAATTAGATGAATTTACGAATACAATTATAAATATTTCTTCCCCATTTGCATGCAGTGATGATAGAACTAAAATTGTCATCCAATAAAATGATGTCTGCAGCATCTTTACAAACATCAGTTCCTGTGATACCCATAGCAAATCCGACATCAGCCTTTCTTAAAGCAGGAGCATCATTGGTTCCATCTCCAGTCACTGCAATCACATTATCTAATTATTTCAATCCTGTTGCTAATATAAATTTATCCTCAGGAGTTGCTCTTGCCAATACTTTTAAATGAACTGCAATTTCTTAAAATTTCAAGAGATTCTTGACTTCTTGTACTTCAGCTCCATCCTTAATCACTTTATTCAAACCTCCTGTCAGTTATCTAAATTAAGATCCTTCCATGGCTTCGTATTCATGTAAGTCACTTTCTGGTCCTAAAATTTTGCAATCTCTTGCAATAGCTTTTGCTGTATTAATGTTATCACCTGTTACCATTCTGACTATTATTCCTGATCTATAACACTATTAAATAGCGCTTGGAACATCTGGTCTCACAGGGTCTTTAATTCCAGCTATATTTATTAAGGTTAAATCGGTTAAAAGATATTCTTCTGGTATTGAATCAAAATCATATTCAAGATGGTAATTTAATATTTTGTATGCATTTCCTAATGTTCTGAGTGCTTGACTAGCATAATCTTCTATTATTTATAACATGTTATTGGTATCTGAAGGTGTTAATTTAGCCTCTTCTCCATTTGAGTTGATAAATTTAGAGCACTTTTTTAAAACCATTTCAGGTGCACCCTTGGTAAACAAATATATCTTATTATTATGATGAACAAGAGAAATCATCATTTTTCTCTTTGAATTTAACGGAATCACTCTCAGTATATTATCAGATGGTCTATAACTAGAAAGTTAATAACCTAACATATCACAAAACTCTATCAAAGCACATTCTGTTTTGTTTCCTATTTATTCAAACTTTCCATTAATGCCTCTTTTTGGATATGCACTTGAATTGTAGAGATTGCTGGCAGCTAAGAGATCTAAATAATCTTTTTCTAGATTTTTGATCTAAAGTAACTGATAGTCTTTGTAATTAGAACCATAGCAAAAGATTGAATTGACTTGCATTGTATTCAAGGTCAGAGTACCAGTTTTATCACTACAAATATTGTTGACTCCTCCCATAATTTCACAAGAGGCAAGAGTCTTAACTAAATTTTATTCATCTTTCATTTTGTTCACAGAAAAGGCCAAGGTGATCGTAACAGCCAAAGGTAGTCCCTCTGGAACAGCCACAACAATAATAGTAACACCAATCATGAAAAACTTAAGTATTTTTTGGAGACAATCAAGATGCCAAAATTATTCCCAAAATGTTTATTCATCATTCTATCCATATTCTATGAATAGTCGAACCAGGAGTATTACGAATGTTAATATTGCCACAATAACACCCACTTTACCTATTGTTTCTGCCACTGCTTCTAATTTCACTTACAAAGGAGTTGGTGTACTATCACTTTCACCAAGTCTCTTCATTTCATTCTGCACTGTTTTCTCGCCCACTAATTTAATGTTTTATATCATTACCTTACAAAACCAACATAACTCCTGTTCCCTCATTAACCTTAGTTCCTGACATCAAAAAAGGAGATTTGCCCTTCTTATCCTTCAAACATACATCGAATGGTGCCTTCAACATTTCATCAGACTCCCCTGTCATTGCTGACTCATCTATCTTCACTTCACTGCCACTCAAATACAATCCTAAAATCAAATTTTATACTCACCATCCACATTGAAAATATCTCCTAATTAAAACAATAAGACGTCACCAACGACAAGATCCTTATTGCTAATTGTTATTACACTTCCTCCTCGCTTTACCTACACGTGTCCCTCGTCAAGTTTTGATTATAATTTAGCAAATTATCTCTCTTTCGCATAGTTATTGCCTGCCGTAATTCCTATGATCAAGAAGATTGCCAAAAATATTGTTAAGCTAACTTATTTGATCATAAGTTTACCCCTCGTACCATCCACCCTCACCCTCGATAATCCCCAATATGGTTGATACAATTGCAGCAACAATCAAGATTTGCAGCATTGTATCACCCAAACACTCTACTATTAATTTCCATAAAGGTGTTAATTCTTTTACAATAGGTAAATTAGCCCCATATCTGTTTCTAAGGGTACTCGCTTGTTCTTCGTCTTGTACACCTCTCTATACTTATAAATTAAATAATACCTTCAAATCAACTTAAAATATTTTCGCCAATCCTTACTCTCCCCCTAATTATTACACCAGTCCTAACGAAACACCCTCTCGAATATTATCAAGCTTAAATAAATTTTTGAAGTCTTCTTCCTCTCCCTAACGAACTAACTCAGAATCAGAGTTCTTTTCAATGAGGTTTACTCTACTCATTTAATTATGTATTTTATTAGAACTAAATTACTATTAATTAATATTTATTGATACGAGACTTGAAATATGGATCAACTAAATGGAATTTTTCTAATTACTATATCTTTATTCACCCAATGGTAATATAACGTCTTATTGATTTGTCAAATACACCAAGACTATCTATTGAAATTTTGCGTTCTCAAAAAAATTCAACTTTAATTAAAGGCCAAAATAATGTTATAGATAATTCTAATTCTACCCTTTACTTAGAGAACTAGGTATGTGATTTATGAATCTTAATCAATTTATAGTCTAATGAGGCAAGAGTGAGATTTTTGTAGAAAAATATCGTTTTGCATCAATTGCAGAACTTTACTTAAAATGTACACTTTTAAATGTTGAAATTACAGAATTATTAAAATACTCCCGATAAGGAAGAAAGAACATTCAAAGAGATTCCTTAATCGTTTAAACTTGTGATGGTTGGAAATTCAACAACAAATTTGACCAAAGATGCTGCAATCATTATGACTAAAATATAGCAGCAAATGCTTAATCTTATTTGTTGCTATCGGATTTATTTCGTGATTTGATAGCATATATAGATTTACTTTGTGAATCTACTTTATATACAATTTAATTTGTTTTTTTTATTTAATTAAACTTATAAACACTCAATTAGATTTTCTTAGAATTAATTAAATAATAACAAAAATTAATTAAAAATAAAATTTAAATATGCTTTTTGACTTTATTCATCTTAAGAATGGAACAGCTATTATAAATTGGAAAGCAGTGAAAGCAGTGCTAAGTTTAAAAATATATTCTAATATTTCAAATTATCTAAAATCCTATTATATTGATTTTATTCTAATTTTTTTAACAAATATTGTCTTTTAAACCTATTCGTATTAATTTGCATATGATTATACACCTTTTTCTTGATCTTAAATTTTAGATAGACGAAAAAGATAATAACTGCATTATTTTTATAATTTTAATTAAACATATTATGAAACATATAAAAAAATTGCTAAGTTAATATTTAAATAGAATTATCATGATGGCAATAATAATGGATAGAAAATTACTATATCCACTTAAAATATATTCTAATTCCATTATCAGAGAAGATGTCGGAATTCCTCAATATAAAATATAAGTAGAACTTTTAATAGTAAAAGAGTAATCGATTGATTTTACTTAAATTTTTAAAAAAGAAATAAAGAGTTCTTATTAAGAAAATTCCTGGATAACATATAAAAGAGTTGGATATGGAGAGTAGAAAGTTTTGATAATAAAGGATTTTAAATAATAGAATTCTTTAGTCTATTAAATTTGCATAAATTTATTTATCAACTTTCATGCCAATATCTAATTATTAAATACAATTTCATTTGAATTTGAATGTTTATCTTAGGGATCCTAGATCATCTATTATTCACTACTATTTAATTCGATTCTAAAATTAATCCATCAAGAGTACATTGTATTTTTATGGTCAATTTGAAAAATTATTTGAGTTTATGGAACTGCCTTGGGTATGTTTTCAGGGAGGGCTCTCAAATTATTGTTTTGTGGATTTATTTTTTTGATATTGGGATTCACAATAAATTCATAAGTGGTAATTCCATTGATTATTAGATATATGTGGAAAATGAATAATTAGAGGAGCAGCATCGAAAAAATAATAGAATCTACAAGCATTATTAATGAGAGTGTGTACTTGATGTCTAAATCGTTTTCTTTAAAAAAATGCTTAATCTAAAATGAAATTTAATACAAACTTTTGAATTTCATTGTCTATTAATAACTTTTCATTCTATGTATTATATAATATTATAATTCTGATATAAACAATCAGTGTGTAAATAAATTGTAACATTGTTGACGTTACCATCATCATAAAAATTTTATAATTTAAATTCCCTATGCAATTATTAACCCATTTACAATGATGATCAAAATCTTGGCAACATCTAAAATAAGTATTTTTTACAACCTATTACAATGTTTACAATGCTTCGTATTTTCCTTCACATAGGCTTCACAAATATCGCAGTAAGATTCCAATTTATAATTTTCATATGCAAACAGTTTTCTTCATAATATAAATTTTAGTTTACCCTTGATTACGATATTCTAATTATAATAACAAAAATTGATCAGTCGGACAGCTTAGAGTAGTCTTACCACTAGAAAACAATGAAAGTATAGTTAAAAGTCCTAGCATTATAAAATGTATAGCCTAATGCCAATAACAAACTTACTGATTCATCCAGCAAAGATATTAATAGGAAACAAGTTAAAATATTTGGAAAGTAAAGCAAGTAAGTAAGTAATTGATAAACAGTTGGAAGTTAAGAGCAACCATGCCGAATTTTATTATTTAATTTCATTATAAAATAAATATATAACTATTTTAGATATATCATAAAATAAGTGATTGCTTAATATATTGAATATCATAATCCAAGAATAATATTAAGGGGACTATATAAGTTAATGGAAGAATGAATTCGATTCTTAATTGCAACTATTTATCTAATCTTAAATACAGCTGAAGATGCAAACCAACTTAAAGATGTAATTTATCTCATAATATTTCCAAACCATAAAGGTATTTGCTCATATCATTAGAATGTTCGATCCAAAATAGAAATGAAATTCAAAGCTTACTCTATTCAAGATCTAAATTTCCTAAGAATTCATATTTGATCACTTTTCCCAAGCATGTCATCAAATAGTAGGCTTTTTCAAGAATTTCTTTGGAAAGTGATACAACATAACTTAGGCTATAAAAATAATTAAAATAATTAGCTCTCCCAATAATTTTATTTAATGATCTAAATACAAATCTTTATAATTACATTAGTTTCAATGTAATAATGAGGATTGCTTTAGATAAAAGTACAATTTATTTTATTTTAATACTTCGTAATGATTAATAATCTTAATACTCCATATAGAAATTTTAGTAATATAAAATGAATACTATGAAAAATAATGATAGTTCCTTCTATAGTGTTGTCTATCAAGATACCTATGATCCTTATCCTTTATCTTCTGAGATACCATCATCTGAAAATGAAGTCCCGTTTAAACAATTGAGGTTAGCATAGTTGTTATTAATTAGTGGAGATGAGGCGATAGAGAAAAGCTTCATGGAATCTAATTGTTAATCTTCCGTCTGGGCGAAACGAGGATCCAAAGCATCATTTTTATTGACGAGTATCACGATTATGAAAAGCATGGTTGGAGTCGGAATTTTAGGAATTGTACGTAGAGTTGTTATTTATAGCCAAATGTCATGAAAAATTTTGGTGTAATATTGACAATAGTCATAATGATTGCTGTTTATTCCTTAGGTATGACTACATCAAGAGTTCTACTTAAATGCAAGAATTTAAGCAAGAAAAGTAATTATTCAACAATTGGATATTTTATCTTTCGTCACAGTTGGATTATTTACACAGTTAATACCGTAATTACATTATCCAATGTAACAACATGTCTTAGTGAATTGATGTAAGAACCAACATATGATATGATAGTATTTTTGGAGATGCCTCTCAATTGTTGATTAAGTTTTATAAAGGGTAGGATTACGAGGTTCCATTTTATTTATCAAGAACATTTCTACTATGTATTCTTGGACTAGTTCTCTCACCTCTTTTGATTGTAAAATCTATAGAAAAATTAAGATTTGTCAGTTTGACAGCCATCCTTTCCATCAGCACTTTCACTGTCTTGGCATTTTACAACTTCTTTACAAAAGATAAAATACCTGATGGTATCATACTTAATCAATGTAGGATTTTCGTTGTTGCTACCATCAACTTTCAATTTCAAAAATGCAATGTCTGCACTCCCTACGTTGCTATTGGCATACAATTGGCAATTTAATCTATTTCCCATTTTTAAAGGGATGGAAAGTCCTACAGATACAAAGATGACATATGCAATGTTTACTGGATATTCAATGGCTTCCTTTTTATATTTATGTGTCGGTATATTAGGTTATGCTACATATGGAAATGATGTATAGATAATTAATTAAATTCCTAGATTTAAACTAATTATTTAAAGAGTATTAAATCTGAGGAGGTCGGATCAGTACTATATGTAATTTTGAATATCACTTTTGTTGTATCGACCACATTGACGTTGCCTGTATTATTCTTTGGTGGTAGGAACAATTTCATTTAAATCTACAAACAGTTGACTTCAGAGAAAAAAACGGTTTAGGAAGTTAAGAATTATAAAGAGTTTTTGGATGAGACCAATTCTAAAAGGCAGGAGAGACTAATAGAAATTAAGTTGAAAAAGAGATCATAAAAGCTTAGGTTTTATTTGTTAACTTTGATCCTTTTCATATTTTTGATGTGCGGGGCTATATTTCTAGATAACCTAGCTTTGGTATTTAATATCAAAGGAGCTGTGTTTTGTAATACGATTTAATTTGTCTTGCCAACTATATTCTATATAAAATTGGTGGAGAAAGTTAAGAAATACCGATTCAAAAACAAATAGAAATAATACTTTTATTATGGTATAAAAGTGTTATTCTGCATGAGTTGGGTATTTTTGGTTACTTGCGTTGTGTGTGGAACCATGGCAGCAGGTCATTGATTTATTTGATTTTAATTTAAATTTATTATATGATTATGTAAGCCTTTTAATAATTGCCATCCTAAAGAGTGATAAGCTTTGGTTTAGCAATATTTTAATATTGAAAATTGAATTTATTTTAGTTTATTAATTAAAACATTACTGTTATCGATGAGTGATCACTCTTAATTATTTTATAATAAAGATGACAACACAGATGACTTATTGTTATCACAATTTTCATATGAATCCTAATTCAGAAGCTAGGAATCGTTACCCTAAAGGAAGAAAAGACAAAATCAATAAGCAAAATAAAATCAAGTGATTTAAGAAGAAAATTCGAATTCATATATCATTGAAGATCAATAACACTCGTATTTAAAATCTCAACAGGAATCTAAGGAGGTTCAGCTCTTAAAATTGGCTTCTCATTTGAGATAGCTCTTATAAAAATAACAATAGGAATTTTATGAAAAGGAACTTGGTTTTCAATAAAAATTATTAACTGTATAATAACAACATGATAGTATGATTTCATTAATGAAAACCAAATATCAAATCATAATAGAAGAATTGTAATAAAAACTATCTCTGTAACAATCAGAAAATGCAAATTTGAAATAATAAATATTCTAACTATAAGAGTAATAACAAAATCAAGTGACTCAAAGAATTCATAAATCAAGTGGAACTGATGCGAGTAAGGATGCAAATTGCTTTTTCACTCAAAGATAAACTCATCAGAACTCAAAATTGAATGATTACTATCAACCAGAACATGATGAGGATAAATTGCTCCAATTATACAAATAAGAAATAGATAAGGTAAAATAATAGACTGCAGAATTCGAGAGAAAGTTTTAGAATGAAAAATAATCGATAAAACAAGAGATTAGTGCATTGAGAAACCAAAAACTAATGCTTTAGACATTAATTACAAATAAATAAGTAACCAATCAAAGTACAGACAAGCCTTACTCTCAAGGTATGAATTCTGAACACAAAACCAATAAATCCAAAAGAGATAGTTAATCCAGAGCCTACAGTCATGTTTCTAAGAAGTCTTTTGATTTTTGAATAATTACTATGTGATTTTATGTTATAAAGTAATAATTTTACTTTTATAATTATGGATTAAGGCGTTAGTCAAGGTTTCTCTTTAAGAAAGATATGTAAACAACGACTCAAGGGATTGTTTGTTTCACTGATATAAACGAATCCAAATGTTTAGAATTACTTTTTGATTGTGGATCAGAAAACAGTGAAAGTTGTATCTGCTTACATGAAAATGGCTGAGTACTTTATCTTTTTAGATCTTTAGATTGATGGAATTGGGAGTGAGTGCTGTGGAGAAACTCGAATTAGGTAGAAAGCCTTTTCCAAAATTACATGCTATTTATTTTATATCGCCAACTTAGGATTCAATTCAAAGAGTTTTGGATGATTTTAAAGATAAAAAAAATCCACAATATGGGGTTGTTCATTTATTCTTATCAAATGAAATCGATTAAGGATTAATGCAAAAAATTGCTTAATGTATGGAATGCATATTTAAATTATAGGTAATTCATTGATAACCAAAATTGCCTCTTTCAAAATTGTGAATTTAGATTTCGCTTGCACATCTGATTAAGTGTTCACTATTGAAACACCAGAAATGTTGACTAAGGCCTATACCACTTAAAGTAAATAAATTGCTGATATATTTTAGATGTGTAATAATTATTAAAAGAAGCATCATATAAATTGGCTACTCTACTCATATCCTTTAACAAATTTTATTCTTTTGAATTTCTATATAACTAAGCGGAAAATAAATTGTCAGAATAAATCGCTAAATTGACAGCTGCAAGATTACAAGAATTGCTAGCTTCTTTTGTTAAACAAAAAAATGAATAGTATGATAATATTGAAAAAGAAGCTGGGAAAATTACTGTGATGATAATAGATAGATCATATGATGTGGCCACTCCATTGTTACATGATTTTTATTATCAATCTATGATCTATGATCTATTAGATATAACAAATGACATATATGAAACTGAAGTTGAAGTTGGTGGAAAATAAATCAAATAGAAAGTGATATTCAACGAAAATGATGATTTATTCAATAGATATAAGTACCTCAATCTTCATTTATTCAAGATATCGACACATTATATAAGTGCTGGAAGGAATACCTGTTGAATTTAGAGAATTCATCAATAACAATACGACTGCCAAGGTTCATCAAGGATAAATGAATAATTTGGACCTCAATTAGATGTCAGAAATTGTTAAGACATTGCCTTAATATAACGAATTGTTGGGAAAATATACCTTACACATGGTATGATATTTAAAATTGAATTAAGAAACTAATAGAGAAAAGTTGGTCTATCTTTGAAAATAAGGGTCTTAAGGAGATAGGAGAAATCGAGTAAGGCTTAATCACTGGAATTGATGGAACTGGCAAAAGTATTTCAACTACCAAAATTTAAAGTGCTGTTGCCACTAAATTGATGAGTGAAACTCTGGATGAGTATGATAAATTGAGATTAATCTTATTAAGTAAATCATAAATAAAGTTGTAGCCTCTATAGGTTTGGAAATGTCAGAAAAAGACAGAAAGGTATTAACTGATAAAATTAAAGTTGAACATCAATAAGCAATCTTAAATTTAATTTATTTAGGTGTCAATCCTTAAAAGGGGGGTCAAAAAAAGGTAGAATTCATATGATTAATCCTTAGTCTAAATCTTCCAATAGAATAAATGATGATTTAAAGAAATAAGCTAAGCACAAATTGGCAAGTGCTTGTACAGAATTATCAAGAAATACACCATTAATTGAAACCTTAGTGGAAAGCTTTGTTGAATCTAATTACAAAAAACCTTAGAAATTTGATTCTATAATAATTAATGAAGACGGTGCAGGAAGTAAAGGTAGTGGAAAATCAATTAGAAAAGGAGGATAATTGGCTAGGATGATGCAAAATGAAGACAGTGATGACACCATTAATTACACTCCTAAATTAGTATACTTGTTTGTTTATCAATAGATTATTTTTGTGGTTGGAGGCATTAGTTACTCAGAAATAAGAAGCATCTTAAGTAATCAGAAAATTGCTAGTTCCTAAATTACTGTAAGATAATTCATAATTATGTAAGTTGGTTGGTTCAACTAACATAGTGAAACCAAAGGATTTTTGTTAAGGACTGTTAAGCATGAAGACTATTTGAATAATATATTTATTAAATATATATATGCATATTTATCCTACTCATTTGTATATAGGTGATCCTCTTGGTTTAGTTTGCTAGAAGTAGTTAAATGCATTTGATACATTGTTATTAGAATTTTAATCTTTGTCTTTTTCAAACTCATCATGAACCCATTTAGAATGATTTTGATAATTTCTCTAATCTTATAGTCTTCTAAATAAATATACTTCTATCATCTCCTTTTTGATCTCTGTCTTTATTGTTTCTATCCCTATCGTTGTATCTATTTCTATATTTGTCTCTATTGAAACTATTATTCCTATCACTTCTATCATTTCTATCATTCGCATCATTCCTATCATTTCTTTGATTCCTGTCATAATCACGTCTATCTCTTTTATCATATCTTCTTTAATTAGAATTGTTAAATCTTCTATAGTTTCCTTGACTATAGTTTCTTCTTTCAACCTTATTAAATCTAAGAATTAATAATCATACTTATTAATCTTCTGCTTTTTTTTCTAAATTGACATTCATATCATTATTTGCTTATCCTTGCTCTTGAGACTTATTTGTTTGCGATTTTTGCTTTTTTTTTATGATAGATTAATCAATTCTAAAATTAATAAGAGTTTGAACAAATACCTTTTTAGATAAGAATTGGCTTAACTAAAATCTTCATTCTTCCAACCACTAATTATAATCAAAAATAAACTTACAAAAGACAACTATTCATGTGACCCCTTCCTTTTTTTATAATGTTTGGATCATCCTTTGGTTCAGATTTAGAATGAGACTTTGATTTCTATTTAGATCTGGATCTAGATCTTTAAGTTCTAAACAATCACAATTAAATACAACTTTTATGATGCCACAATATCTAAATTCACAAAGTTTGAATTACTTTATGAATTCTTTTCCTTCCTTTCCTTTTTGTCTTTTTTCTGCTTCTTTTTCCTATCTCCTAACAAATTAATCCAGAAATTTACTTCTGGAACTACTTGATGAGCTTGAATTCTTCCTATGATCTCTTTTGGCTTTTTACCTTAAAAAATTAAAATAATTATTACTTGGAGGATCTATCAGATGATCTTGAGTCCGACCTTGTATTGGTACTTATACACAATATACCTTTTCATAATTAAGCAATTAATAAATGAATAAAATATTAATTTATTTGCAATATTATGTGAGATTAACTTTCAATAGAAATTGAACACAAGATTTCGAATAAAATGAATAAACTTAATGAGAGTTCTTTATCAATAACCAAAAGGATTCTATTTAAATAATAGTAATTATTGGATGTCATTCAAAAATTTACTTACATATTTTTAATTTCTATTTAAATCTAAATATTCTGAATAAGGATGCTGTAGCAAGGTGAAATAGAATTTAATAAAAAACTCGTACTTATTAAGTAGTGAAATTGAAATGTAACATATTATTTTTAACAGGGTTTACAATCCTCATATATTGGTTGTAATTTCTATTGATTTTTATATTGATTGAATCTTATCCAATTATTTTAGGAAAAACGTTTTTTCCTAGGAATTTGTAGTTAGAGCAATTCTTAATGAGGAAGTGTTTTATAAAATTAATTTCGTTTCAGTATATTTTAGGATTATAAGAGTTCTGGAAGTAACAATAATGAATCTCATCCTGACTTTTAATAATGCCGTTTTGCATTATTGGTTTATTATAGAAAACAATATTTAAAGATTGAATGGAGGCTAGAGCATTACCTTCCTAATTATATCAAAATTTTTTTAATTATTTTAATCATTTAATTAATGTCTAAAAAAGTTATTTATTCAAGCTTTGTTTTACTCTTTTTTTTTTGTTTTTAAATTTGAGATTTTGTTTCATTCTGTATGGGATTTTTAATCTGATATAAAGAATTTATTTTAGGATTTAATTTAAAAGTTTATAATGAAAGAAGATCGAAAATAATAAAAAAATAATGAAGGATTGTACTAATGGATTGTTCTTACAAGTTTTTGCTTGAATTCGTATCAAAGAATATATATTTTAGAATATCAAATATATTTATGTTTACAGGAATAACACCAATTTGGTCTGAAGTGGCCATATATTATGGCACTACTGACTATGATTTAAATTGGTTTACAAACATGTACTACATTACCTTAATAATATTTACCTTCCTATTCAACCCAATCATAATTAAATATTTTGGAATCTCGTAATTATTAAGCTGTTGCCTAACATCATTAGGACTTTGGCTGCTATATTACGTGAAATAAAATTATTAGCTGGGACTTTTAAGTTTTGGGTTGATAGGCTTAGGTGAAGCCTTCTATTTCTAAGTTCCTTTGTGTAATAAATTAACTAAAAATAGATTTATCCAAGCTTTGGTTCGCGCATGATCAAAGAATTATATCAACATTTATTGCCTAATATTCAAATAATATGGGAATGCTCTTAGGATATACGATTTCATCCATATATTTTAATGAGGTAACACTTATATTAATTTAGAAGATTGATGAAAGTGAATTCGACTAACGATTCGAAAACTTGATTTTATTTAACGCTATATTAGCTACCATTGCTTTGGGATGTAACTTAACAACTTTAAAATCCCCTGCAATGCATCATGATATTATTGAAATCAGACTTTCTATCTGGGAATCTGTAAAAAAAATTATTATGGCTGAAGAAGCTATATTCGATTTTTTATCTATTTCTTCATGTAGATATCTTTATATTCTTAGTTATAGGATTAAGTTGGTGCTACACAATGCTATTCGGAACTCAACAATATTATTTGGGCTAAACTTATTTTTAAGTTACTTAAACTAACATATACTTCTAAGTTGGGTAGATAGTGGCTGCTGCTTACTGTACATGGAAATTATAAAGGTAATCCAAAGCAGGAATTCAATAAGATTATGATAAATAGATAAAAACAGTAATTAGTTTAGGATTTTGGATGCTGGTTTTCGAAATAATTTTATTTGAATATATCCCTTTCGTAGTTTTAGTTTTCATCAATTTCTTCATTGGAGCAGGCCTAGGAGGGATATATTCAGTATTTTTGGAATCCTTAATGGAGAAGCATTTTCCAGTTTAAGAATTGGCAATTGGTTCTGTTTTTGCTGCGGTTGCTTGTGTAATCAATATTAATAATTTAGACTGTTTCTATCACAATAACTATGACGTTAGTAATCCCTAAATTTCTTCAGTATGGATTTCAAATATCTTGTTATCTGATGATCATACCATTTAGCTACATAGCTATTTTCTACAAAACTCAATTTCGAAGATTTGAAGCCGAAGCTTGAATAATCATTTGTACCTAGAATTATATTATATAATTTAAATTTTGTACGTATAAAATAAAGTCGCTTATTTAAAGTCTCTATAAGAAAGTACTTTACATTTTCATTTTTTTTGTTGAATCTCTATGCATTTAAGTTTCAAATTACTTTTATTTTTATTTGAAGAACATTTCCTATTTTAACTCCTAGTTTCTTATAATTTTTAGTTTATAAGCGTTTTTATTTAATCCTTTTTTTAACTATTTTGTTAGAGAAATTGCCTAATATTTTACTATTACTCTTTCTTACTTTCCTATAATTTATTGAGTTGGTTCAAGAATTATATTATATGATTTTTAATATAAAATGTTTTATGTTGATTTTATAAAGAAATTATTCTAATTCTAACCCCAATTTGTGAAATCCATCACAGAATTAATTTAATTATTAATTATTTGTGTTAAGGGAATATTTTTAGTAAAGATCTATTTTTTATGGTTATATTCAATTTGAATCAATTTGAAGAAGTGATTGAATGTTACAATGAAGCTATATCTATTAACCCTAAATATGTTGTTGCATGGTATAAAAAGGGTAATCTATTAATTAATATTATTATATAGGTCACACATTAAAAAATTTGAATCAATATGAAGAAGCTATTGAATGTTACAATGAAGCAATATCTATTAACCCTAAATATGTTTATGCATGGAATAGCAAGGGTATTTTATTGTTAAACATTTTTTTATAGGTAGTGCATTATTTATACATATCTATCATAAATATTAAGATTAATTGTTTTTATAAATTCATAATAAATAAAGAGATGATGCAATAATAATAATTTTACATATAGTTTATTAAGAGACCTCATTTATCTTATTATAAATAAGTCATTCTTTAAGTGGCACGACATGCTTCGAGTTCGGCTTATGCGAAACATAATTATTCTTGAGCTTTATGATATTTTTCATTTAAATCTTAGAAATTTCTTCTCCAATCTAAGTTTTCATTGTGGTACGAGTCTTACAATTCTTAATTTTTGATCAAAATGATTCTGTTTAATCTTTCTATTTCTTTGCATGCTTGTTCTAGAGACAATTTTTAATTTCGATTTTCCTCATTTAATTGCCTATTAAATTAGGTGACTTATTATAATTCATTATAAATATTCTCGACTTGTTTACTTTACTGCTACATAGAATTATCTTTGTCTCTAAAATTTAATTGAATAATACTCTAATATTTAAGTTAGAACATTAATTTAGCTCACTAATTAATCAATATTTTTTTCTTGTTCTCTCAGTTTACTAGTTGAACCAATGTTCTCTCTTTATGTCGATTAAGTCAACTACAATTATTCTTGCAAATAATAGATGTTTTTCTATTTAGTGATTAATTCATTTCGCAAATCTTCGACTAATTTCTAAATTGCTATCAGTTCTTAGCCTAATTGTTTTTAATCATTCTATCTTAAAATCTACTCATTATCGTTGTATCTATTTAATTGATAATTATGAAGTCTTTCAATTTCGATACTCATTGCAACAACTNTTCTTATAATTTTTAGTTTATAAGCGTTTTTATTTAATCCTTTTTTTAACTATTTTGTTAGAGAAATTGCCTAATATTTTACTATTACTCTTTCTTACTTTCCTATAATTTATTGAGTTGGTTCAAGAATTATATTATATGATTTTTAATATAAAATGTTTTATGTTGATTTTATAAAGAAATTATTCTAATTCTAACCCCAATTTGTGAAATCCATCACAGAATTAATTTAATTATTAATTATTTGTGTTAAGGGAATATTTTTAGTAAAGATCTATTTTTTATGGTTATATTCAATTTGAATCAATTTGAAGAAGTGATTGAATGTTACAATGAAGCTATATCTATTAACCCTAAATATGTTGTTGCATGGTATAAAAAGGGTAATCTATTAATTAATATTATTATATAGGTCACACATTAAAAAATTTGAATCAATATGAAGAAGCTATTGAATGTTACAATGAAGCAATATCTATTAACCCTAAATATGTTTATGCATGGAATAGCAAGGGTATTTTATTGTTAAACATTTTTTTATAGGTAGTGCATTATTTATACATATCTATCATAAATATTAAGATTAATTGTTTTTATAAATTCATAATAAATAAAGAGATGATGCAATAATAATAATTTTACATATAGTTTATTAAGAGACCTCATTTATCTTATTATAAATAAGTCATTCTTTAAGTGGCACGACATGCTTCGAGTTCGGCTTATGCGAAACATAATTATTCTTGAGCTTTATGATATTTTTCATTTAAATCTTAGAAATTTCTTCTCCAATCTAAGTTTTCATTGTGGTACGAGTCTTACAATTCTTAATTTTTGATCAAAATGATTCTGTTTAATCTTTCTATTTCTTTGCATGCTTGTTCTAGAGACAATTTTTAATTTCGATTTTCCTCATTTAATTGCCTATTAAATTAGGTGACTTATTATAATTCATTATAAATATTCTCGACTTGTTTACTTTACTGCTACATAGAATTATCTTTGTCTCTAAAATTTAATTGAATAATACTCTAATATTTAAGTTAGAACATTAATTTAGCTCACTAATTAATCAATATTTTTTTCTTGTTCTCTCAGTTTACTAGTTGAACCAATGTTCTCTCTTTATGTCGATTAAGTCAACTACAATTATTCTTGCAAATAATAGATGTTTTTCTATTTAGTGATTAATTCATTTCGCAAATCTTCGACTAATTTCTAAATTGCTATCAGTTCTTAGCCTAATTGTTTTTAATCATTCTATCTTAAAATCTACTCATTATCGTTGTATCTATTTAATTGATAATTATGAAGTCTTTCAATTTCGATACTCATTGCAACAACTTTATCATTAGATTCTTTCAAAAGGTTCTAATGATAGATGCTATTTTCTCTGAATTTAATTTCAAGTTCTTAGTTTCTAAATTTATAATCTTCATTTTGTTGCCTTAAAATGTTGATATCATTGGTAAATAGTTATTCATTTTGCACTATTAATGAATTTGCTAAGGTTACCTCTCTAATTGATTTCGCATTGCAACTACATCTCCAATTAGGATGATCTCTACCTTTCCTATTAGATCTCATAACGCAAGTATTAAACTTCTGCCTTTTCTTAACAGGGTTAGAGAACCTGGTTTTCTAAAGAATCAGTTTTAAAAGTAAGATTTGGTGAGAATGGTCTGATTTAACTATTGAGTGCAGGTGTATTTCCTTTTCTCATGGATCTACTCATTTTAACAGTTAAATATAAATTAATATTAAATAATGTATATGAGTTTCAATAATGGGAAAAGGGCGAATTTATTCAATCTAGGAATCAAGAGAGTATTGTTTTAAATAATATGGATTTAAACAATTTAGATTGGTTTACAAATCGAAATCTGATTTGATTATATGTAAATAATTAAAAAAAAATTATATTAAAAACAATGAGTAATGGATCTGTGAAGGACATTTTGAAGGATAAAAAGAAAGTCAGATTTGTTGCTGAGAGTGCTTTTAAACAAGTTGATAAAGATGGTATACCATAAGAATTTATATATTAAAGGTAGTGGCTATCTTGAAAGACCAGAACTTGAGGAGGTGATGAATAATGTAGCAGCAGATTTGGGAGTCGAAGTAATTATAAAGACTATTGATTTGTAGCCTCCAACAAGTGAGGAAATAGATGAAGTACTAAAAGAATTAGATGAGAATGGGGATGGAAAATTGTCAATTGATGAATTTTAAGTTTTAATCGAATAGGTTCTAGAGATGATGGCAAAGGTCGAAGGTTGATTTAATTTAACATGCACATTTCTTATTAATTTTAATATTCACAGTATGTTTCTCAAAATATACATAAGTATTTAGATAAGAAATATTTTTATAAGTTTTGTATGTATTTTAAAATGATGTTATTAAACATTAAAAACAAATTTTTCTCAAATTAATTAGATTGAATTAAATTTTATTTCTATATGATACTATCAATATTTTGTGTATAAATGTAAATCTTTTCAAGAAAGATCTCTATAATATAATTAAGTAATTGAATATGTCCTTTTATCCTGGCTACAGATATCCATATGCAGCACCTCTCACATCTTCATTTGCAGCTCCATTGACATATGCACCCCAAGTATCCTATGCTCCCCCAGTGTCATATGCTCCCCAATATGCTCCTCAAGTGTCATATGCACCCCCAGTGCAATATGCAAGACCTGTCACTCAATCATACGTTTAGCCAGTCGTCACACAACCTGTGGCTGTTTAACCAGTTTTACAACAATCAGTGATCGCATAACCAGTTGTTGCTCAACCAGTCTAACAACCAATCAAAGGGGAATCAAGAGTTGAATACAGAGAATACTAAAGACCCGTTGTAGAAATGGAAACTGAGACTGTTTAAGTCTAAGTGCCCAAAACAAAATATGTTACAGATTACTATCCTATTGAATACCAAACAGAATACATTCCCAGAACTGTATACGAGTAACAAACCGAATATGTCCCTGTAACCAAAACAGTCCCAAGAGTCGAATATGAGGCTTTCGAGAGAGAAGTTTAAAGAGTATAGACCTTGTTTTATCACTTTAGCCTCAACAAGTCGTTGTCCAACAACCTGTCGTCTAATAAGTTGTTTAATAACCAGTTGTCCAATAAGTTGTTCAATAACCAGTCGTTCAATCTGTTGTGTAATAACCTTATGTCCAACAGCCATTGTCATATTCATTGGTAAGACCAGCACAAACATACGCTGCTCCAGTGGGTTATTCAAGCGTAGCTCCAGTGGGTGCTTATCCAGGCTACTATGGTGGATATAGACCTTATTGAGATTATTCCAAATTCAACATTATAAATAACCAAAAAAAAATTTATTCATCTACTTCCCCTTAGTATCTGCTCCTTTTTATCATAAAATCTCTCCTCTTATCCTCAAGATATTTTATAGCAGACTTATCATCAAATCAACAAAAATGTCTTAATTTTATTTTATGGTAGCTAATAATGATTAATTTCTTTTTTTTCGGCCATGGAATTACCGCTTAGTATTTCTAAGAGTTATTTAAAACCTCATAACCTAGGGCTAAATTCTTATGGCATTTATAATCCAGACAATTTTTAATCCAAAAGCGATTGTTATTTTGAGGTTGCTTACATCTTTGATATTATGAGAACGGTGAAACATTTAATATGCTAAAAATACTTGGAAATACAACTAGAAAAGAATTCCATATTAAGTATTATGATAGGAGAGAAATGGTAAGGAGATTTTTTTTTTAGTAAGGATTCAAGGCATTTCCTAAAATTATTGAATTCTATTGGATAATCTAAACAAAAGAAACTTTGTTTCAGGTTTGGAAGATTTTCAAACTTAAATATCAAAAGAATTTGAATTTCTGAAGAAGGCTTAGTAATATCAACAGAATAGAAATATATACATTAAATGTAACAACTCTATAATATTTATTAAACAAAACGAAATTTGTTATCAGTCTCAAAAATACCAAGAAGTAATACAGACCTTTTGATGAATTGATTCAATATTCTTTAGCACGAGTGTTTTAGTTGAAGGGCGCAAAAACACTGTTTAAGGGATATTGACAAAACTCATAAATAAAATTTATTAATATAAAAAAATTAATTATAAATTATTCAATTATTTCTGTTTAATTAAAGATGTAGTTTTCTAAAATTAATATAATTATTTTACAATATATTTAAGGTATAATTCAAAAAAAAAAGTTTAGTTACATAAATTCATAACAAGAAAAGGGAGAGATTAGAATTCAGAGAAACTAGAAAATATGGTAATTTTGAGATAGAAATACAAGTATAATTTAGAATTTGTCTAGGGGATAATATATATTTATTTTGAAATCATTATTGTTTGAATACAAACTCCCATTTCTTCAATTATTATTTATCTTATGGGGGCTTCTCTGCGAATTTGGCACTATTAGTAGATTCCACTAAGGATACATCATTTATTGATATTCTAGACAAAATACTAATTGTTTCATCAGGCAAAGGTTATTGTTATTGGAAGTGTAATGTTTAGCTTCGATTAATCATTTTAAAATTATCCTTCTTGCCACTATTGCTTATACTATTTGTTTTGTTGTGAGATAGATTTAATTATTATTGTTTGGATGCTAATGGTTGTTAATATTATTATTATTATTCTTATGAAATGAAACTGGAACTTAATTATGGTAATTCTTTCAGAAATGAATCATCTATGTTAAATTAACCATTTAATTTTTATAGTTGTTATTTAATCCAAAGAATACTTTTCCCACCTTGTTAGGGCAATCGAACAATATCAGGGTTGAAAATGTCAGAACCATTGTTCAATGATTAAAAAAAATGATTCAAAATAGAAATTAAGGTACTTAGTGTATCCTGTAAAGAGCATACTTCGTCAATTAGGCCTTTTCTTGTAGAGACCCATGTGTCAAAACCATTCTATTATGATGTCTAGGTTTTCAATGGGATTACGTCATATCTATTAGCATAATTGATTCTATCTTTGCTTCTTAACTATTTGTTATTGTATTATACAAACCTGATCTTTCATTTTTAAAAATTCCAATTCTTTTTTTTTGAACTCACTTTGCATCAATTGCACTTTGTTTTGAATTTTAATAACTTTTTAATTCAATTCTTCCTGTCTATTAAGTTAATTAATACCTTTTCTGAGAGAAGTTTATCATTTACAAGTTTATTGGATTTATTCAATAAAGTAATTTGATTTTCAAGTTACCCAATTTGTTTTATTCTATTCAAATATATGAAATAGAATTCTACTTTTAATCTATTTCTTCTTACAATCGTTTAGCCTTAACCTTTAAGGATTCGTTGTCACTTCTGATTTTGAAAAATTCATCTTCATGATTGTTAAGGTTTTTCATTGTGGCTGATTTAAATATAAAAACTGCATGTATTATTTCATACACTTTTGACAAGTATAAGGGTACGTTAAAATTATCCTCTGGAAAAACAGGCATTTCTATAAAATGAATTATTTTGAAAAGTACATTGCTAGTTTAAAATTCCATTAAATTACTATAGCATCTACATCCATTCTAAAACATTAATTAAGATTATACTTTTAGTTTCGCATACAACGCAAGATTCCGATATTTTACATTCACATCTATAATCCTCAATCTCATCAACCATTTTTTCAAGGAAGCTTGACATCTGAACTTTCTCCGAAAAGATGATCTTAATTAAATTTGAATTTCTATACACTCTGCTCATATGTGTTCGAAAACATTATTAATTAAATTATTTAATATATGCTAATCAATAAATACTATTTCAAACAAACTTAGTTATAGATTTCCATTAGAAATCCATAATACTTTTAATTTTATCGAAAAAATCTAAGCTCATTTTTACATGAATTTTCCCTCTTTATTAAATTTAACACACATTACATAAAAAACCGCAAATTTCAACTGAAATCTATGACAGACTCTTTTCAAAAAATTCAATTTTAAATTCTGAATATGAGACCACTCATTAAAGGAACTTTCTTCCTACGTTTCTTCTTTATTTATATGTTGGCTATAGAAAATCAATAGATGTAAATATGAATCATAATAGAAAGATTCAAAATTTATTGAAATATTATAAGAATTGATTCTGTTTAATTAATAAGGAAAATTATCACTACAATCATAGTTAATCATCTTCCTCAAATGCCATCTCCTATTCAGCGACATCAGTTTTGCAAATAGGACATGTAGTCATTTCTTTAAACCATTATGAAATGCATGTCTTATGAAATCTATGTATGCAAGGAAGTAGAATTAATTCTTCTCCATCTTCATAATCAGTAAAACATATTGTGCATTATTTATATTCTTGAGCAAGACCATCATAAGGTGTGTATTTGATAACAGCTAAATTTTATAATTCTTCTGGAACCTGATGCATGAATGTAGAATTCCTATAATAATAATTGAAATTACGCCATTGGTTAGAAAATACTTCTTTGTTAATTAGGAAAGACGTTGGTGCCAAAAATTGAATCAAAAGAGTGAAAAAAATTTACACCTTCATTTTAGCTTTCGAATGACCTATGAAATGGCACTTATGGAAACTATTATGGTTATGGCTATTATTATTATTATTAGGGTCTATGAATTGTTTCAGTTCTGGTTATAACTTCTCCTGTATTAAAATTTGTAGTAGTTATAGTTTTAAAAATTGACCCATCAGGCAAAAGTTCTTCTCGAATTCCTGTAATATAATGAGAGCCTTCATTTTATGATGAATCACTACTTTCCTCATATTACTGTGGATAATTCTGATGTTCATTATCTTAAGAATCTAAGGAGTCTTAATCATCTTAATTATCTTAATTATCTTAATCATCTTAAACATCTTAATTATCTTAAGAATCTTATTCATCTTAATAATCTTGATGATTTTAAGATTGATAATGATTATTCTATTCCTACTCCTCAGCTAAAGATAAGGATTCAATTAATAATTTAGCTTCGCAGAAAGGATAATGTTATTCAAGTATTTAAATAGGGTATACTTCATCACAGTATTCGCATTTCTTTTATGCTTATTTCAACAAAGATTCCGTATATACATTGCTATTTTATTTATTCAATTTTTGTATTTCTTATTTGTTATTCTGTTAAGGTAAGTTAGAGTGACTTCCATTATTCACGGATTATTATTACTAAATTTCGCTCTGTGATGTTGAAAACTATATAAATGATTCCACAAACTCAACAGGCAACTTTGATGAACTTTATTGAAGATTTGTTTCTTAAATTGGAACACTTTGTTATTATAAATGAGACTGGCTTGATTTCACAACTGATTTCATTTATGAGTTAAAGTTTGGATGATTTGATGAATTGCATTCCAAGGTGTGAGCATACATCTGGGGGATATGTACTCTTTCTTTACAATACTTGCATTTCACATAATCTTGATTTTGTGTTTACATTGTATTTGCCACTTTATTTAATTACTTTGTAATTGTTAGTATTTAGTTTTGCATCTTAATTTTTCATAATAGAATTAATTTGATATGAGAGGTGTCCTATTTCATGGAATTGATTATTAAAATTATATTGAAGATCTTTTTGGTTTTAATTGTTAAAGAGAGCATATTGCTAATTTATTTATAAATAATTCAGAATTCATCAATTAAATAAACAGAGATGGTTGAGAAATCTACAATGAGATGGTTATGCGCTGTTTGTACTTGCTGTTGTTGGCTCAATTATTATAGCTTTTTAAATAATTGTGTAAGAGGATGCTAAATTTGTATAGATGGTAAATTGATTCATTATTTCAAGTTTTTGATGCAACTGCTTCAGCTGTTTGGAAAGGGATATTTTGTATATTCATGTGTTGTTGTTTTGGGTTTGAATGTGTGGCATGTGTGTTGTGTATCTACTCATGCATTGAATTATTCAATGATCCATGTTAAAGATATTAAGCTGAAGATTCATGGATCAACGCTTTTTGGCAGTTGGTATATCTAAAGGATCTAGAAATAGAAGGAACAGTTAGAGAGAAACTTAAAGAGATATTTGCTAAATGATAAAATGGATAATATATATAATGGATTGCATGTTCATTCATATTTTAAGTTTATCTTATTTTATATACGTCTTGACATTCCTAAAAGATACCTCCATAATTTATAAAACTAATCCAATTGCCTCCTGGCGTTTCTAATTACTCCTCTTATTAAAGCATTAGCAAAACATTTCCCATCGTCTTTCCAAAATGTCATCAACTCTTATAAATAATTCAAACCAAGGACATATTTCATTTGAATATCTTTTAACTCAAATCTAAAGGTTCCCCACCTAAAATATTCAATATATCAGATTCAATAGACGCAGTATTCTGTTATTGTATCTCATATTTAGAATTAATTAGTAAAGTTAGTAAAAGAAATCTTATTAGCTTTGAGTTAATTAATTAAAAGCTCATACATCATCCTAATAATAACAGTAATTCATCCTCAATATGGAGAGATAATTATGTCTATATTGTTATTTGATAATGATTTACATTTAAATATTTAAAATTTTTGGGGCCACTTAAGATTTTATTATGAGTCCAACATTTCTGAAACTTAATTTAATTGGATAACTTATTGTATAATTTATTTTATAACCTTTAGACAAAATTAAATCAAAAGTATTTTGAATCATCACTAAACAATTGTATAAATTTACAATAATTTCATAATTGTTTTAAGCCTAAAGTATAAAACATTAAGAAATAATATGAATTTAGAATCAGTCAATTTTGATATAATTATAGAGACTGATATTAAGGATGAAATCCTATTATTCATATTTATACTTAAGAGAATGAAAATTATAATTTCTTTAATGATTTTCCTTGAGTATAAAATATTATATTACTATATTTTGCAGTTCATATAATATTATAGTATGTTATATTATCCTCATACTAAAATCAAGAGGATATTGCATTGAAAGTAATTAGTAAAATAAGATAATCATTTGCATAATTTCTTATTATAAAAGTAAAATTGCAAGGCGAACAAATTAAAGTGAAGTTTGATATTTACTAGTTATATAAAGTCTAAATTCAATAAAATTCCCAAAGTTCGAAGATAATATTGGAAGTAAATTACAATTCAAAATTAGTTAACTTATTGCAAAAGGCAACATAATAGTTGTTAAGTGTGTTGATTGCTTCTCAGATTAAAATGCATTCTTAAGGAATAATCTCAAGTAATGAATTTCTTAGTTCTAAGAAGAATTAAAAAATGCAATTAGAGATTATTTTATTGATTGAAAAGAACATAGGAATTCACTCACTTAAGATAACCAATTGATATTCAGAATTAAATAAGACTAACTGAGTTAGTAATGTCCCCAAAACTTTTGCGTATGTATTTATTTTTTTTATTCGCATATTATAAAATATAATATATTTTTATTCTGTTTTTGTCTAACATCTCTACTTACTTTAGTTTAATATATCATATAAACAAAAATACATATGTAATTAAAATCTGAGTATGGCTAATGGGATGGTATTGATTGTTATAATTCATTAAAATAATATATCCTAAATCCACCAATCAAATGAGAGTTTCGATGTTTTTTGTGTGCCAATTTTTGAGTAACATTTTTAATATTAAAAATGGCAAGAACAAAATAAACTGCAAGAAAGAGCACAGCTGGTAACAAAAAGCCAACTAAGCATTTGGCCACAAAAGCAGCCAGAAAAACTGCTCCAGCTGTTGGAGCTGCTGGCGGTTTGAAAAAGCCACACAAATTTAGACCAGGAACTGTTGCTTTAAGAGAAATTCGTAAATACCAAAAATCAACTGAATTGTTGATCAGAAAATTACCATTCCAAAGATTAGTTAGAGAAATCGCTCATGAATTCTAAAAGGAACTCAGATTCTAAAGCTCAGCCGTGTTGGCTCTCCAAGAAGCTGCAGAAGCCTACCTTGTTGGATTATTTGAAGACACAAACTTATGTGCAATTCATGCTAGAAGAGTCACAATTATGTCAAGAGACATTCAATTAGCTAGAAGAATTAGAGGAGAAAGATTCTGATATTTATTACAGAAAATTATTATATAAGATTTCATAAACCTTTAAATTTTAAATAGCCAATATATGAATATTCGATTGATTCCATAAGAATAATAGAGGTTGTTTGCCGATTCCAATTTAAATTCCAGATTCCCTCCTGTTTTATAAATGCTGTAACTTTAAAAATATAAATTTGATTAGATTAAGTACTATACATATTTATTTTGAGCCGAAATTATATACATATTGGAGAAATATTGTATAAATTAATTGCCTAATGACATTATAATTTGTATATTAAATTTATAAGTAATATATCAGAATATGTATTTTGAATGTCCATGCTCCTTTAAAAAGGAATTAGAACAAGAAGATCAAATAATACAACACATAGATCATTGTGAACAGTTTAATGTTGATAGTCCTTTATGCAATATGTACAAAAGGGGAAATGTTGATGAAGCACCAATAGAACAATTAGTAACTTTTTTGTGCGATCTCAAATTGCAAGTTGAAAGAATAGAAAATGTTTTAAGAAAACGTATAATAATATAACCATAATTTAGGTGGCTATTAAAAAAAGACAGCCTCAAATATACAAGAATTAAATTTTGATCATTATGCTAAATATGCTTCAAGTTCCAAAATCAGATCAAATATTTCTGGGGGGAAATAAAACGGAATTACTGTCAAGATTCTTTCTCATAACATCTCAAGTGAAAAATAACAAGGCTAAATTGAATAAGAAAATCTAAACTAAAATAACTAACTGCCTCCCACTCCTCCTCTATCACCTAATCGATTTGAAGAGGAGAGAAACTAAAATACATTTACAGCTCATTAACCAACCATGTTAATTGAAGAACAACCAAAAATTAATGGGCAATAGCAATCACAATAACAATAAGATTAAAAGGTTGCTTGTGAAGCCTGTAGAAAAGCTTTCTATTTCAATCAAGATTTTGAAAAATTATGGTTTTTGGAACATTGTGGACATGTAATGTGTAAATTATGTATTCATCGATTGGCTCAAGAAAAGTTTGTTGAAAATGATGGAAGAATAATGTGCAAGGAGATTGGATGCATTGCGAGGATTACATACTTTGAATTAAAATAAATACTTGGACTTGACAAATTCAATGAATTGGATAAAAAATTAGCACTTAAAAATTAAAATATAGTTGAATGTATTAAATGCTAGTCTCAATTCTCTTTTGAAAAAGGTAATCCTAACGAATAAGTGAAAGATTAGTAAGGTAAAAGTATAAGTGGTGATGCACTAGTAAGTTATGCTAATAATCGATTTATTTGTAAATAATGTAAGACTGAACAATGTAGATAATGCAATTCAGTACCATTCCATATTGGAATGACCTGTTAATAATATAAGACTAACTAATAAGCAAATAAATGTGTTCTTTGTGATTTCCCTTGTGAAGGAAAGGTTTGTAATTAAGAAGATTGTTAAAAAAGAATTTAAAGGTTATGTCAAAAAACTTTANTAAATTCCAGATTCCCTCCTGTTTTATAAATGCTGTAACTTTAAAAATATAAATTTGATTAGATTAAGTACTATACATATTTATTTTGAGCCGAAATTATATACATATTGGAGAAATATTGTATAAATTAATTGCCTAATGACATTATAATTTGTATATTAAATTTATAAGTAATATATCAGAATATGTATTTTGAATGTCCATGCTCCTTTAAAAAGGAATTAGAACAAGAAGATCAAATAATACAACACATAGATCATTGTGAACAGTTTAATGTTGATAGTCCTTTATGCAATATGTACAAAAGGGGAAATGTTGATGAAGCACCAATAGAACAATTAGTAACTTTTTTGTGCGATCTCAAATTGCAAGTTGAAAGAATAGAAAATGTTTTAAGAAAACGTATAATAATATAACCATAATTTAGGTGGCTATTAAAAAAAGACAGCCTCAAATATACAAGAATTAAATTTTGATCATTATGCTAAATATGCTTCAAGTTCCAAAATCAGATCAAATATTTCTGGGGGGAAATAAAACGGAATTACTGTCAAGATTCTTTCTCATAACATCTCAAGTGAAAAATAACAAGGCTAAATTGAATAAGAAAATCTAAACTAAAATAACTAACTGCCTCCCACTCCTCCTCTATCACCTAATCGATTTGAAGAGGAGAGAAACTAAAATACATTTACAGCTCATTAACCAACCATGTTAATTGAAGAACAACCAAAAATTAATGGGCAATAGCAATCACAATAACAATAAGATTAAAAGGTTGCTTGTGAAGCCTGTAGAAAAGCTTTCTATTTCAATCAAGATTTTGAAAAATTATGGTTTTTGGAACATTGTGGACATGTAATGTGTAAATTATGTATTCATCGATTGGCTCAAGAAAAGTTTGTTGAAAATGATGGAAGAATAATGTGCAAGGAGATTGGATGCATTGCGAGGATTACATACTTTGAATTAAAATAAATACTTGGACTTGACAAATTCAATGAATTGGATAAAAAATTAGCACTTAAAAATTAAAATATAGTTGAATGTATTAAATGCTAGTCTCAATTCTCTTTTGAAAAAGGTAATCCTAACGAATAAGTGAAAGATTAGTAAGGTAAAAGTATAAGTGGTGATGCACTAGTAAGTTATGCTAATAATCGATTTATTTGTAAATAATGTAAGACTGAACAATGTAGATAATGCAATTCAGTACCATTCCATATTGGAATGACCTGTTAATAATATAAGACTAACTAATAAGCAAATAAATGTGTTCTTTGTGATTTCCCTTGTGAAGGAAAGGTTTGTAATTAAGAAGATTGTTAAAAAAGAATTTAAAGGTTATGTCAAAAAACTTTAGATTGTGGTCACGAGTGTAATGGAGTAAAGGGTGAAGAATGCTTATGCTTAAGGTGCTCAAAACAAGAACCTGACGACTATTGCAATATGTGTTTTACTGAAGCCTTAAAGAGTGCTCCTTGTATCAAAACAGAATGTGGCCATATTTTTCATGAAGAATGCATAATGAAGAAACTAGATGCAAAATGGAATGGACCCAGAATAGTATTTCAATATTGTACATGCCCTTTATGTAAGAAATGGTTGGATGTTAAACATAAGGAAATTTAAGCAAAGTTAAATGTGGCTTAATAATTAAAATTATAAATATAGGATTTGTGTACAGAAAGATTAGATATAGAAGGGTTAAAAAAAGCAAAAGAATTAACAGATCCTAAAAGCTAGTATTATTAAAAACCACACGAATTTGCGATGGATAAATTTTGTTTTTATGAATGTTTTAAGTGTAAAAAACCGTATTTTGGAGGAATGAAAAATTGTTAAGCTGCTGCAGAGAATAATGACAGAGCGTAATTCAATAAGGAAGACTTAATATGCTCTAGTTGCTGTCCAATCTCATTTGAAGCAAAATGTAATAAACATGGAGTTAAGTATATTGAATTCAAATGTCGATTCTGTTGTTCTGTTGCTGTATGGTTTTGTGGGTAAGCATATTTTATATATAATTTTTAGAGGAACTACTCATTATTGTGAACCATGCCATAGTGGAAGAAATCCGAACATGAATAAACCATGTCCAGGCTTAGAAAAATGTCCATTGGGAGTTAATCACAAACCAACTGGCTAGGAGAATGCATTGGGATGCGCACTTTGTAGGTCTAAAAGAGTTGATGATATTCTTAAAAAAAACTGATGTATATAATTAATATTTTATGTAATAACTATTTCTGAACTTGAACTATTCCATATAAAATTATATCTCAGATCTTTTTGTAAATCATTTACAATAATACATGTAAGTAAGAGTTATAGATTTAATAATAAACATTAGGAAGATTAGCAAAATTTATTCATCTAACTTTCTAAATTCTATTTCTTAAATTATCATCTTACCCATAGATCAGAAATAAGAAATTGAATATACAAATACCGACTGATTCTTGTATGATTAATTCTAAAGTTTAATAAATTAAATATGCGTTCTAATTAACCAAAAGTCACAGAAAATGGGTCCAAGCCATCACAATATTTTGAGGGCAATAGAAAAGGAGAAGTAAATGAGTTGAAAATGTATGAATATATTCATTGAATATATAGATTGGTTAAGAATACAATAAATGAAAAGGATGACAAAAAGAAACGAGAAGTAGTTAAGAAGGTGATTGCTTACATGACATTGGGTATTATTAGATTCTAAAATAGGAATCGATGTATCTAAATTATTCCCAGAAATGTGTATGGCATCTTACACTAATGATTTGGTATAAAAAAAGATGATATATTTATATCTGACAACATATGCAGAATAGAATAAGGATATGGCATTCATGGCCATTAGTACATTTCAAAAGGATTGCAAACACAATGATCCTAAAATTCGTGGATTTGCTTTGAGAAATTTGTGCTCTCTTAGTTTTAGTGGTGCAATAGAATTTTTGATGCCTGCAATAAAGGAGGCCTTATCAGATATTGATGCATATGTCAGGAAAACAGCTATAATGGGATGTGTTAAAGTGTTTTACATGCAACCAGAGTAATTAAATAATATAGAAGACCAATTATATAAAATGATTAGTGATAATGATCCTCTGGTAATTATAAATGCCATTCATGCACTCAATGAAATCCTAGCATAAGAAGGTGGAATGGCATTATCAAAAAAGATGGTCGATTATTTATTAGGGAGATTGAAAGAATTTAATGAATGGGGATAGGCCACAATTTTAGATGAGCTTTCCAAATACTCTCCAAAAGATGACAAGGAAATGTTCAACATTATGAATTTATTAGAAGAAAGATTGAAGCATTCCTGTTCTGCAATTGTTTTAGGAGTTATCAAGGTTTTCATGAATTTCACTAAAAATAAACCTTAAATATATGAATAAGTTATTACCAGAGTCAAACTACCATTAATCACTTTGGCTTCTATTAGCGAAGGCAATTTTGAAATAATGTATACTATTTTGTGCCACATCAAATATATTGCATCCAAAGGATATAACTCTGTATTTGCTTCTGATTACAAATCATTTTATTGCAGAGTAGACGAACCCACCTACATTAAATTACTTAAACTTGAAATTCTATCATTAATCGCATGTGATTTTAATTTAGGAGACATGCTGAATGAATTAGGAGAATATGTTACTGATGTTGATCAAGAGATCTCAAAAAAATCAATCTAAGCCTTAGGTGCTATTGCCATAAGACTACCTGACTTAGCGACTGCTATTGTAAAATAATTGTCATCCTTTGTGACTCTTTAGGACTATATTACAAACGAAGTCATTCTAGCATTTAAAGACGTTTTGAGAAAAGATCCAAAACACATTAAAGACTGTTTAGAAATTATCCAATCTGATAATATAACAGATTCAAATTCAAAAATTGCATTGATCTATATTCTTGGCCAATATGGAAACCAGATTCCTTTGGCTCCATATATTCTAGAAACTTATATAGGGGCCCAAGAATCTGTGGAATTGAAGCATACTCTACTTACATCTTGTTTGAAAGTGTTTTTTGTTAGAGCACCAGAAATGCACTAAGTATTGGGTAAACTATTCTATGCAATCATCAATAATGAGAATGAGGATATTGATTTGAAAGATAGAGCTGCATATTATTATAGAGCGTTAAAATCAAATCCTAACGAAGTAAAGTAACTTTGGTAATATAACATTAAAGTCGATAAATTCCTTGAAGAAACTATCATAAATAAAGAAGCACTACTATTTGAATTTAATTCTTTGTCTGTCATTTATGAAAAAAATGTGAACAAATTCATCAAGCCAATTGAATACTTTAATAATCTTAGAAGCAAGGAGTTACAAGATCTTAATTAAGAATAATCACAAACCCAAACAACTTAAGAATAGACCTCTGATGTTATAGAAAATCCATAATCATAACCATATGGCTAAACCAATGATCTCCTTGAAATTTCTGATTAACCTCAATAACAATAGCAGTTGTCTCTTAGTGTAGATAGTTTCATAGTAAACTTTGCAATTGACGCTGATCATTTTGAAAATATGTGGACTAATTTAAACGATGGGTAATCAGTCTATCATTTATATTAGGGCTACCTTTACAAGGATGTTAGTGCGAAATGACATTGCCAACGAAACCTCAATTGAATAATTATTCAAGCAATACCGACTGTATAATATTGCAGCAGGAGAAGAAGAGAACATCTTGAAAATGTATTTCTACGGGTCGCATTAATGCTAAGTCTTTTTTGAATTTGAGATAAACAAGAATCTTAGTACAGTTATACTAAATACAAGATCGGAAATAGAGGATCAGGCATATTTAGCATCTAAATATGTAGAAGATTTTCTTAGACAAGTCCATTTAATTGAGTGATCATATTACATTAAATATATATATTAGAGTCAATCACTTGTTTAACCACAAATAATTTTCAAATAACTATCTGATGAAAACTATAAATAAAAAATTCAAATTTTATGTATATAACCGATTTTAATTATATACAATATATAATATAATTAAACCGATGTACATTTATTTTGGAATAGGTGTTTCACTAATTTTATTATACACTTTGGTGATTAAACCATTAATCTCGCTTTTGTTGATCAAAATTAAATTTGGAAAACAGGCAAAAATTATTTTCTACCCTATTTTTGGAGACATTATAGAAATCGAAGGCTCCCTTAAAAAATACAACGATCATTATGAATCATTAAGAAGATACTTTACAGAGAATAAAGACTTAAAATTTATTTTATTAAATGTCTTCAAAACTCCTCTCATCCTAATTGGAGACCCTGAAATTAATAAAATGATACACACTGATCATGAAAACTATAAAAAAATAGATTTTCTAAATAATAAGTAAAAAATATCTATATAATAAGTTCTCGTCTTATGGGATAGGGTTTACTGTATTAGTCTGGTTAGAAATGGAAGAGTCAAAGAAAATTATTGGGAAAGCCATTTGATTATGACAAGCTGAAAGCAAGAATTCCAATGATGAATTAGGTCGTCAAACAAAAATTGGAAAATACTTATAACAATCCTTTAGATTTAACCAGATCTATTGCAGGGGAAGTTGTAATACAAACATTCTTTGGATAAGAGGCCTAAAATGCATAACTTAATAATAGGGAGGCTCAATCTGAAATTGTGGAATTGTTTAATGATGTGGCAGAAGCAATTTATGGATCTTTGTATGGATTTATGAAATGGATGATTCTTGGAGAAAAGCAATGGAAGATATTTCCTAATAAATTAGAAAGGGACATCAATAGGAGAATTGAAGAGCTTACTGAATTTGCTCGAAAGGTTATAGATGATAGGATTACAAAAATAAACCAGGAAGGATTTAAGAAAAATGAAGACGATTTTGATTTCTTGGATATTCACTTAAAAGAGTTTTTAGGATCTAAGAATGAAAGTGGAATCACCAAAGATGAAATAATATCTTAGTTTATTACTTTATTTTTTGCTGGTACTGATACTACATCAAGTGTTGCCGCTATGAGTTTATTTTATTTAGCTTAGCACCCAGATGTTTATGATGCATTGGTTAAAGAACTAGAGAATGTAGTTGGTGATGGTGATGTTCTTGATTAGCATCTTTCAAAACTATTAGAATTAAATTCATTCATTTGGGAAGTATTGAGAGTAAGAAATCCAGCCAGTGGACCATTAGTAAGAATGGCTAAGTAAGACTTAGTGTTGAAAGATTTGCATGTCAAAAAAGGATGGATTTTAATGCCAGCTAATTTTGTGTAATAATAAACGGATAAGTACTTTGACAATTATAAAGAATTTGATCATAAAAGATTTTTGAAGGCTTAAGCAATAAAAGAAGATAATGGTTTTGTTAATATTCCATTTTCTGCAGGCCCTAGAAATTGCATTGGACAAGTAATTTAACATACTTAATATATTTAGCATATGGCACTCATGGAAATTAAGGTCATCTTATGTCATATTTTAAGAACCTTCAAAATTATCGTAGTGCCAGATAAGATGAAGAATTTGAAATGGAAAGCAAAGTTTTTGTATTTCCACGAACCATTAGATTGCATACAATTAGTCAAAAAATGAAGATTGATTAAAATTTAATCCATATTCAAGAGATTAATTATTTGCATTTTAAATATTATTTATAAAAATCTATGGGATCCTTGGTTTATGTGTTTTCCTTTTATAAGAGTAACAATTAGTTATGGAGTTTATTTATTTTAATTTTATATTTATAAAAATTATGTCACTGTAAAGAGAAAATACATTAATTAAGGAAAATAGGTTAAAACGGATTCAAAAGCTATTCGTCGCGCGTAGTTTGGCTATGAATGAACCATAAACTCAAAGTGACAGAAATATTTTCTAAGAAATCAATGATGAGTTCAATATTGATAAAGGGCCAAAGTATAATGAAAAGGGTGAAATCATTAAGCATTCAATAATAGGAAAACCTGATTGGTTCAATAAAACTAAGTATGGGAAAAAATAGACTTAATTTGATGAATTCAATCTTCGATAACTCCCACAAAAATCATAAACTCGAATTGATTAAGATTAAAGATCTATGGCCAAAAGTGATATAAAAAGTTTATAAAAAGGTGGAGGTTCTGGAAAATTCAAAAAGGACAAGAGAGATTAGTTAACTACCAAAACTCAGTTACTTGAAGAATTGGAAAAGATTAAAGACAGAATTGAATTGAATAAAGAAATAGAGCAAAGAAAACTCAAGTAACTATTTAATTCTAAGTTTAGGGAACTGTAACTTGTTGTGAGATGCAATGCTACAAAGTAGGAAAGAGTAATGGATAAACATACTAGGATGGAATAATACTGGAATGATTTCACTTACAAATAAGCAAATCAATTAGGTAGATTTCCTTCTGATTGTCAATTGATTTAAGCTGAAAATTATAGAACAAGATTAGAAGCTGCTGCAGCATTTGATGCTCTCAAAACAGACTATGAAAGATTTGGACCAAGAGTTTGGTAAATGACTCTAAGAAAACCTGATTAATCAAATGAAATGTTACTTAAATTAAAGGATACATAAATGATTGTAGAAAATGAAATAAAGTATGACTTTATAGTGGTAATTAATATTCAAGATATTTAGGGATCTGATTTGCCAAATGCTTTTACAGAATCATCTGTGTGTGGACATAAGGGTGGCATAGAATATTATAGAAAACCCAATTTTCTGCCTGATAGCAGTCAATTAACATTCTCTAGTCGATTCAGAAAATCAACAGACTCAGAAATGAATTAAAGTTCTTTACCTTTTAAGAGTTTTAGAAGTGAAGAATATTTGATGAAAAAAATAGAAAAACAAAAAAGTTAATTCAATTAATCACATATGTTGTCAATCGATAAGACTGATGGATATGATTAATTAATAATATTGGGAAAGAATTAGTATGAAATAGAAAAATAAATGTTGCTACATGATGGAACAGATAATACAGGAGTATATCGTAAGAACATCGAAAAAATACCTGAAGAATTAACTAAGGAATAAATTTATGAGTAGAATTTCACTGGAACATAGAGATTAATTCTGCCATAGATTTATAAGACATAAATGTCAAGAATTAAAAGGCAAGGATCTGCCACCAGTAAAAGCTAGGACTCAAGGAGCAGTCAGGATTTTCAAACAGAAAATTAAACAGTTATATAATGAATAGAAAGATTTTGATTTTGTATTTCACATGATTAATATACTTATTTTATATTAAGCTTTTTCATTTTTTCTTGTTTCCTCCTTTAGCTTAAGCTGCTGCTTTTCCACCTGCATTATTCTTTCTCAAAGCTTTAAGTTAGGTACTGAGGAGTGCACTTCTCTATTTTAATAATTGAAAATAGCATTACTCTCTTTCTGAGAATCATAACTCTAAATCTATCAAAATCTGTTAATTTAGCTCTTAAAGCTTTCTTGGCAACTTTCTTGGCAGCAATAGTATTTTGATATTGTGCAAATGGGTCACTCTTTTTAATTGCCTTGGTAATCACACCGGTTCTAGCACCTCTTGTGGCACCTTTAAGATTGAATTTGGTAAGTGTCAATCTTCTGATTGGGATGACCTATCTTTACACACCTGTGGTTGGTCCATCAATGAGGACTCTCTTGTCGTTGAGGATTTCAACAATAGTGGCCAATTTGCCTTCTTATGGACCATAGTTGATCTTGACAACTCTTCCAACTTCAACAAACTTCCCAAGCACCTAGAAAAATTAATGGATGTTCTTACCATCTCTAATAAAACAAATTTTTTTTATTATTTAAAAATCCTTTTAATCTTTTTAAAAAGAGGTGTTAAACTAATATAATATATAATTTAAATTATCTTCGCTCAACCTAAGTCTTCTCTCTAACAAATTCATTTAGTCTAAATACGAGAATCATTTATAGAATTCACACTTGGTTAAATAAATTATATAATTATATAAACTTCAATTGCTTTGTTTTCACAAAATTTATGATACTCACTCTTATGCTACATTCCTTTCATTTAGGTCTAATTTTAGTATAATTTTATTAAATCCAAATTTCAAATAAAAAATAATCATTTTTTAATGATGATGCAATATAAAATGATTCTTAGAAATCTCTTAAAACTATACAAAATACTATGTAAAATCACTTTAATATTTAAACATGTGAAATTAGTAATAAAAATTAAAATAATCATTTAAAATGGAATGAAAAATGTAATGGCAATGATATTAAACAATGAGGATAGAAGGTCCATTTAAATTTAAATAAATTTTAGACAATATAATAATATTAAAAACTAAAAAATAAAATAGAATCAGAATGCTGAATTGTTCTATCATCAAATAATAGTATCATATCAAGTCATATGAAAATCATCAATTTACTATCTAATTAAACAAGTTAATTTTTGATTACTATATATAGTTTTTACTTAAAAAAGTTAATTATTTAAATGAAATAGAGGTGCTAATCTTGTTAAATGAATAAATAAATAAATCGTAGTATTTAAATACATATCCTTACTTAATTTTCCTTAGTAATAATTTTATTTAAATAAGTATTATCATAGAATTTAGAGGATGAAATAATAATCTTATAAAAAAGTAGAATTTTTTATATCACTATTCTCTACTTGAATCCTATGTGTTATTAATTCAAATTAAAAATTAAATATTTAATCAAGTTTTTTTGAATTGTGAATGTCTTCAGAATGCATCTTTCTCCTTACTTTTTGTATGAATGTCATCAGAAACTATTTCCTTTGAACTAATTCCAATAAGGATCTCTATCTTATTTTATTAAATTTGAATCTTCCGTAGATCTTTCTCTAAATTATCCATTTTTAATACAAGTACTTCCCATAGGGGGTTGTGTTGTATTTATTAGGAGTTAAGGAAAGTTATTATTATTTATTGTAAATTTATAATGGCAAATACTAAACAAAACATGAGACCATTAAGGCCTAACTTTAATATAAAAAATACTTCTTAAGTTTCAGAATAGGAGCCTCCGCAACCAACTCTTGAAAATAAAGAGTACAAAGCTACAGAGCCAAAAATTAATTTAAGACCTTTCGTACGTCCGCCTAGTTCAAAAAAAGATGATGTTCAACAATCGTAATAGTTTTAAGAATCAATAATGGAATCGAAAGTGGATGAGTAAAAAAACACATAACAAAGTAACAGATTCCACTTACATTTAAAGGAAGAACACCAGTAAATGGATTTAGAAAATTTAATCTACAAGCTGCTGCGCCTAGCTAATAGAATGAAGAGGTCTTGAATGTGGCTTAGTAATATTAAGGGCCAGCCATAAATCTATTTGCTAATAAAGAAAAAATTTAATAAGAAGTTAGTCAAATCAAATAAAAAGAATTAAGACAAATGGTGCAAGTGCAAATGAAACAAAGACCTCTGAATGCACCTGAGGCGAACATGTTTGCTGGAAAAGAATCAGTTGATGGTCAGGATACCTTAAAGAAGGTGAAACCCATTAGACCAACAAACAATAAAGAGCCAATCACCAAAGACACTATCAAAGTAGCAGAGCTGTTAGAAAACAAGATTCAGTTTCAGGCTCCCCAGGAAGATCAGCAGATTGAAACCAAAAAGGTTCCTAGAACAAGAGTTAAGTAAGCAGCTCAAGAATAGATTGATATAGAATAGTTGAATAATAATTAGTAATAGAATGCAAAACAACAAGCGGAGGAAACAATGATGGAAAAGACTCAGAGAGAGATGAATAAAAATATAAGTAAGAAAACTGGAAAGACTAATTAGATTGCATAGCAATAATAATAAAATGAACAACCAGAGGAAACTAATAAATAATTAGCATAAACAAAAGAAGCAATCCAGAAACCATAATAAACAGTCACTTCAATAGATGATTACAAAGAGAGAGTACATAAATATATTAATTATTCAATAGACAATTTAATTTAATACTAATACTACAAAAAATGTGTTGTAAGGTAAGACAGAGGAACAAAGGAAAAGAGTAAAAGACTTATAGCAATTAATAACATTAGAAGTAGATGATTATAGCAATTAATTAGTGATTCAACCGAGAAGTAAGACATTTTAATATATATTTAATAGCTGAATATGAAACTTATCTCAATCATATCAAGGCTAACATAATCAGAAATTCTTGTGATCAAGCATTTGATGACCGATTAACAGTGGATACTCAAACAGATGAATTTTAAACAAATGATTTCGGAGGACAATGTCCAGAAGATTATAATAGAACCTTCCTTGCCCACAAACAACAATATCAAAAAGACAATCGTCTATGTGAATTCATTGAATAGGCTTGTGAGATTTTTGAGGAAATTCTTAATAGTGGGAACAGAAATCAGATCCAATTTGATTAAGAACAATTGAATCATAAATTTCCTAATAAAATTAAAAGTGCTTTCAAATGCAAATGCTTAAACATTGTAGCTCATTAAATATATAATAATCAATTGGAACTGTTTGAAACCTATTACATTGAGAGTGATAAATTTAAGTGGCTTAATGGTTCATTGATAATTTAATATCCCTAAAATGTACTATACTATATTCCTTCAAAAGTAACATGTTTGATTTGTGAATAAAGTTTATTGATTTGTGGAAATGCAGACGGATAATTGGCTGGATGGAGTATAAATGATGTTGGGTATAACAATAGGTACATTGATAAAATGAGAGAACTATTGTAGGATGAATTTAAAATCAAAAGCATTAACTTTGCTTCAGAATGGAATCTATCAATTCTAGATTAATTTAGCGATGCCAATATGAACTAGTTGTCATAAATACAATAAATAACCCATAACTCATTAATCAAATTGATTTTTGAAATAGTTGTAATGGATGTATTTGGAAATATATAAATTTGGGAGGTTTAAGATCTGAAATATAATGAATAAGAAAAGCTGTATGTAGATTTAGGAATAAAATCAAAAAAGAAATTAGTGTTGTTAAATACAATCAACAAGAACCTGACAAAGATATACAGTTGTATGAGTATGGACATAGATACGTAATATTAATAATCTAATTATTTTATAGTATTCTCATTTGCGGACCCTCAAAAGTGATTAATATTTCTCAATAGCGATCCTATTTTGATGATTCAGATATGTAACCCTGTGTTATTAGTAACATCTATTCTAATTATTTTTGTGTTGGATATATTGATGGCCATATTGCGTAATCAAAAAATTTATATTTTCTAGATTATTTCACAAAGACTTTACTAAATCAATTTGGTAATTGAGAATTGGATTAAAGAAGATCATTTGGATTAGAATTCTTTCTGATGGTTTGATAGGTGCCATCGATAGTGAATAGAATATATATGTATATTGTGCATAGGATAATTCCTAAATGATAGGAAAATAATTGGCTGATCAAGATCATTGGAGATTCAACTATGCTTAGTATGTGTGTTTTAATTAATTTAAGCTAAAATGGTTAAGAGTTGACAATAGTAGGGAAAGATAAAAATACTGATTTGCAATTGATTAAAGAGAGATTAGAATTATAGGGAACCAAAACTGACATTTTCGATAACATTTATTTGGATTATTATGGATAATGAAAAATATATAAATAAAATTATTAAATAGATATGTCAAGAACAAACAAATAGGTTGAATCATAGGCAGTCCCAAACAAGAAGGTCTAAGCACCAGCTAAGCCTTAAAAACCAAAGGAGAATTATTTGACTCCAGAAGAAATCAATGATTTGAGAGTAAGAGTGTTGTTAATTATAAAAAGGAAACCTTTGATTTGTTTGATGATGATAAGAGCGGCACAATAGATGCACATGAAATTAAAAAAGTGCTTGAAGATTTAGGTGTTGATGCTAGAAACAAGTTTGTGTATCAAATGGTATAAGATTTGGAAAAGTATTCATTCACATATTAAGGTTAGTTTTGGAGGCTCAATTGATTTTGATACTTTTGTGAATATTATATCAGATAGATTGGGAAATAATAAAACAAAAGAAGGTGCATTCAAATTGTTCCAAATTTATGATCCTGAAGATACTGGGTTTATATTTGAAGATATTTTAGATTCATTGATTTCACAAACCTTAAACGTGTGGCAAAGGAATTGGGTGAAACTCTCAATGATGATGAATTGCATGAAATGATCCATCACATTCACATTCTTAGAAAAACAGAGAGCCCAGAATAAATCTCATTTGATGAGTTTTACGAAATCATTACCGCTCCAAGAAGATATTGAGAAATAAAATTACATATATATTAAATCATCATTTGGCATAGATATTTCTATACTCAAACTATAATTCACCACTTTAGGATAAGGAATGATGCCATAAATATTAAAGACTCCAAATATTATACTATTAAACTATTAGTATGCATTGTTAGAAAATTCATAATCAAAAATAATTATTATTATTATATTCAAACCCATTTGATATCTTTACATATAGCTTATGCATCACTTAAAGAACAAAGTACTTTTCCAAAATCCTCCTTCAACTTCTTAATCTATCCATTTATTGCAATAGAAGGAACATAACTCAATTCTGGAGTTCTCAATCTATTTGTATATAAAAGTTCAATCCCTTGTGGCCCATTAGCACAAGCTTTAACCAGCAATTTTTATTGTGTATTCTCTAAACATTTGTCAATTTACTCCTGAAAATTTTATTTATAAGCTTCCTTAAAGAAACATCTCACAAATTTAGTACTAGAAACCTAATCTTTTTGCAATTATAGACCACATGCTAAAATCATATTTCCATAACACTCTTCCTCACTATGCTGACAATTTGTGATGTATGTATTGGCTTCATATGAATTTGAATTCAATTTTCCTGAAGGTATAAATTCAACATTTGCCAATTGATCCAATGAGTCGATTGTTGTATTCGATATAGCTCTCATCATTGCTGCTGTATCGGGACAACGTGACTCTATGTATATTTTTACATTTGGTAAATCCTATGCGTTGCTAATCAACGTTAGTGTAATGAATATAAAGGTAATATTAATCATGAGAATATTATATCAATTTTATGATTCTACAATGCCATCTGATTAAAAACATAGGTTTCTATTTGTCAAATTCTCTGGAGACCCTTCAAATTAAAGTATGGGTGGTGAATGTTCTGCCTAAGGAGAGCAATCCAGTTCGATTTTCAACTAAGTACGAAAAGGAGAGGATGATAATTAAAGTAAAGGAAAATTCCTATAAGTTTGTGATTGTGCATCATCCTTAGATTTCAGAGCTTCCTCTATATTTAAGTCTTTGACTTTTCGATTTCTGTTGTTCTTGATCTCCATTAATTCATTTATTTCCTTTTCAAGCAAACCTTGTCTACAAACTGGACAATTGGCTTACTTTGTTGTCCTTATATAGAAAATTTGTTTAATACCAATCTACTAAGCATTATTCATGAAAAACATGTCTGCAAGGAGTTTGGCAAAATTTATCTTTTAATTCAAATTAAACCAAACAAATTGAACATGTATCTTTAATCATTTTGGAATCAGCCTTTTATGGAGGCATATATTTCATTATCACTTTTTTATCCAAAGCTGGTTTAATCTAAGTTAATTTTTTGTATTATCGTCTAAAAAGAAGTAGTATTATCAACAATAGGAGCATACCAAAAACTATTATAGATATCAAAAGCATTGTAACCCAAAAAGGAAATTCTTCACTCTTAAATCCAGCTCTAATTTGTAATTAGGTATATACGTAAGCGTGATAGTGATTTCTTGAATTTAAGTTGAATTGAAATTGAACAAACCAATGACGTAGACATTATCCTAATCATCTTCAGTTCTAGATATTTAGATTTCCTTTTCTTCATCAGTTTATTCCAAAACTACAAAATTTTATAAAAATGACGGAAGGACAGTAACATTTAGTTTGTTAATTGAAACTATGGAGACACCAAATAAGGATTCTCCATTTTAGACTATAATCTAGCAATACCTAGATAGAAATTACTTCATAATCATTATTATCAAGTATTGCGTAAGCATACAACCAAGTACTGTTTAGAATTAAGATTGTCACAGAAAATTCCTTTTAGATTTGCAAAATTGAAAGACTGCAGTTTTAACCATAATGGGGGAATTAACATAAAATTGAAGAATGTTATTTCTAATATTTGAAATTAGATTTACAGCATCATTAAGAGTCAAATTAAAATGCATAGTTTTATTGATGTTTTTTTGATTTTGAAAGTACTCCAACACATTACAGTTTACTTTGATAATGACACTTTCAGTTCCATTAATATAAACTTTTTGAACATTCGCCCTAACAGAATATGCCTATGAATCATTATAAATTTAGTTATTCATGATCACTTAAAGCAGAGGTAAGCAATAATTATTTTTTGGGTACTGTGTTATTATCAATGATAATAAGTAAGTCCTGGAACTATTCAAATTAGTATGTTAGATTTCCATTTAATCAGTAACATATTAAGTATTAAAGCTAGCTAAAACAGATGAGATGCATAATAAAAATATCATTAAATTAATGTATAGAAATTTATTGAAATTGCGCTACGCCTATCAATAATGTATATTTGTAGTATCATACTAGAACCAACACAGTTAACTCCTATAAAAATGACTGTGAGAGAAGCAATCAATCTCGCCATGGATGAAGAACTAGCCAATGATCCAAATGTTTTTCTGATAGGTAAATGACCCACACAAATATCTTTAGGCGAAGAAGTAGGGCAATATCAAGGGGCTTATAAAGTCTCAAAGGGACTGTTCTAAAAATATGGAGGTGAAAGGATTATTGATACTCCAATAACTGAGGCTGGATTCACAGGAATCTCAGTTGGGGCTGCTCTTTATGGATTAAAGCCAATAGTTGAATTTATGACATGGAATTTTGCTATGCAAGCTATTGATCATATAATAAATTCGGCAGCCAAAGCTCATTATATGAGTGCTGGTGACTAAAAGGCATCTATTGTTTTTAGAGGAATTAATGGGTATTAAATGAATAATATGATTCAGAGCAACTGCATATGTGGCTGCCCAACATTCTCAATGTTTTGCTTCTTGGTATAGTAATGTCCCAGGATTGATAGTGTTATCTCCTTATGATTGTGATGATGCAAAATCATTATTGAAGGCAGCAGTCCGTAATCCTAACCCTGTTGTATTTTTGGAGAATGAAATTCTATACAGCGAATCATATGAATTGTCTGCAGAAGCCAGAGATCCAAATTACATTGCTCCAATTGGGAAGGCTAAGATCATGAGAAAAGGAGAACATGTTACAATAGTGGCATTCTCTAAAATGGTTGAATATTCACTTAGGGCTGCTGAATAACTATTTCGTGAGGGCATTAGTTGTGAAGTTATTAATTTAAGAAGTTTAAGGCCATTGGATAGAGAAACTATTATTGAGAGTGTAAAGAAAACAGGAAGAGTAGTTTGTGTTGAAGAAGGATGGCCTTAATCTGGAATTGGAGCTGAAATTACTGCTCACATTATGGAAGCAGGGGCTTTCAAATATCTGGATGCTCCAATCCAAAGAGTGACAGGTGTTGAAATACCAACACCATATGCCTTCAATTTAGAAGCAATTACATTTCCAAAGACAGAACAAATTGTTGATGCTGTCTTAACAGTATTAAAAGGAGCTCGTTGAATTATAATTAAATTATAAAATGGATCAATTTACAATTCTCGGTCAAGGGGCTGAGAACATTGTTTATCAATATATTGGGGATGATCCCACTCTTAAAGATAAGGTTATCAGAATTCGTAAACCAAGAGAAATATGTGAGATAACCAAAAGTCTCATTCTGCCTTTTAATGACACAGATTGGACTCCTCTCAAAAAGCATTTTGTAAAATAATAGCCATATCAAATTGGAGATTAATAATGCTTAATTATGGACAACCTATTTTATAATATCGCTTTTGCTGTGGAAATCAAACCAAAAACATTCTTACCCATTTTATCAATAAAATAAGAAAATAAAGACTCAAACGATCCTAAGAATCAGAGGTTTTTTATGATTTCATTGTTAAAAGCTTAAAGGAAATTAAAAAAGAACGATAAAGATATTTATCATTGCACAAAAGAAGAAATCGATCCAATAATCTCAAAATATGATCCTCGAAAGTTTTTTAATTGCAATGTTAAAACTCTATTCGATTCTATTATTGATTTATCAGTAGTTCCTGACAGCAATCTAAAATTGTTTAATAACCAATAACAAAGAGTTTAAAATATTCCCTAGTTTAATATTGAAGATGTAATACTTTTAATAACTTAAAGATAGCTAAGATTATTAGTGAGACCTTGCTATAAGAAGATATCATTTAATAACTGAATAGTTATTTCCAAACATTGTAATAAATGAATTTTTCGATTGAGTAAGTATTTGAAGCGTATGAACATTTAAAATAAAGAAATCTTACTAATAAGTAATTCTAAGAAATTGTGGAAGGTAAGTGCTAGGATCCTGAAATATCAAATCTAGCCTTTAAATTATAAACATTTTCCTCCTTACAAGCTTTAAGCGATTTATCCGTCGTAGGAAGTTTCAGGAAGGAAGGATCAGGTAAATTTATTGAGGTGGGCGATCAGAAATTGTTTTATTCGTATACAATAATCGATTGTGATTTAAAGCCACTCAATAAAATTAATGATTACATGTCAACCATAGATGAATTAATCAAATTGAGAGATTATTACATTTCTCTTAAATGAAATATTTTATATAAAAATGAATAAATTGATACCAGCCATAGTGTCTGACATTGATGGAGTTTTGATTAGGGGGAAATCGACCATTCCAAATTCAGACATTGTCGTTTAGGAATTACTGAATTGTTATTACTCAAATGGAGAAATGCATAATATTCGGATTCCCTTTTACTTATTGACTAATGGAGGAGGATGCACAGAATTGGAGAAGGCCAATTCTTTGAACAGGATCATGGGTTCCAATTTTAATAGGCATCATATCTTTCTGAATTACACTCCTCTAAGACCAATAATGAATGAATATTAGAATAAGCTAATATTGCTCTGTGGAGCAGGCCACCTAACAGAAATAGCCAAGGATTGCGATTTAAGATATTTTTACACTATAGATGAATATTCGGCATTGTTTGATTAGGTTGAATTTAAATAATATGATGATGGGGTTATCCAACAATATGAGGCTGATATTAAGTAAAGAAACATGGAATAGTTGAAAAATCAGTAGATTGAGGCAGTGTTTATTGTGTTTGATCCGATAAAGTGGGAAGAGAGCATTTAGACAATATGTAAGTTGGTTAAAGAGAAGAAGGATTTACCTATTTATGTGGTGAATAACGATGTGACTTATGCGGACAATTTTAAATTACCTAGATTGGCATTTGGAACATTCACTAATGCACTCATTTCTATTCTAAAAAAAGAATATAATATAAATCCAAATATCATTTATTATGGAAAACCATCTCTTAATACATATAAATATGTCTAAGAATATATACATGAAAAACATGACAATATCGGTAATATATATATGATTGGTGATAACCCTGCTAGTGATATAAGGGGAGCAAATCAAATTGGATGGCCATCAGTATTAGTGAGGAGCGGTGTGTTCAGAGGAAGGGAGAATGATCCGCAAGATCCTGGGAAATATGTGGTGACAGATTTAATGGATGCGTACAATAAGATATTGCAATTGGAAGGCTTAAAAGTTGTTTAATGATGTTTTAACTAAATAAATTTAAAAATGGGTGCTAATTCTTCTTAGAGCGAGAAATTCGTATAAGAGTTCTAAAGACAATGTGTGAAAGTAAGAGAGTTGAAAGACTTGCGCTTTGGGGACGTTTAGATTTATAGAACACAGTAGAATTCGTACATTATGGTCAAGAGCATCTGGTGCAATAATTCATCAGAATATGATGCATCAATTAGTAATATCCAATTGATTAATATAGGTAATTGTGAGAAGAGATCCAAACTTCAACATTAGAATTTAGTCAAACTCTTAGGATATCATTCAAATTCATAAAACTAATGGTGTGGAGATTTTTCAAAAATAACAGTATATTTGGAATTCTTTGATTACACTCTAGAAAAGTCTATTGATACAAGGAGACAGACCAATCAATACTTTACAGAAGCTGAACTATGGAAAATGCTATTCACTATTGCAAAATTAGGAATCTTTCTTGAAGAATAAAACAAAGTTCTTGGAGATATCAGACCTTGCAACATTTAATTGTCAGATGATTTGAAAATGGCTGTATGAATTATCATTAATTCTTTTTAGGAATTAGGCATTTTGAAACCAGATCAAACAGGTTATTAAAGACAAATAAATAACCTAGAAGTAGCATATTTAAGTCCAGAACAGTTGTATTCACTCAACAACCCTTCAATTACTGCTAAATCCGATGTCTATTCTTTGGGAGTTACAATGTTAGAATGTTCTACTCTAATGAGCGGAAAGAATCTTTACAAATCTAATAGAATTGACAACCAACTACTTTAACAATTATTAGAAACCGTCAAATAACTTGGATATTCAAACCCATGGTACAGAATGGTGAGAGAATTATTAAAAGAATAGCCAGATGAAAGACCTTCCTATTAAGATATTTATGTAAAATCAAAATTAATAATTAGGATGCCCTCAAATAATTCGAAGTTTAAATCCTAAATTTGTAGCCTTTTTCCCTTATATATCAACAACCTCCAATACCATAGCAATCTATATCACCATATAGACCATAATATTAACAATATTCATAGTCCTTACCACCTCAACATCAATAACCATAAGCACAAAATTAAGTTCCAATTTAATATTAATAATAATTCCAATAACAATAGCCATAACCATAATAATAATAATAATAATAATAAGTTGTTTAACCATAACAATTGCACTCTTTACCATAGTAGCCAACTTATTAATATCAACAATAAGTGCATCCACAATAATAATAACCAATTTTAGCTTCTTAATTACCTTAATAATAGACTTAGCAATAATAACCTATGCCATAACAATCCTATATGTATTAATATCAATAACAACAACCTTATTTAAATGAATTAGCAAATGCTTAATCAAATTATTTTGTTTAATAACCAGTTCATCATTTACCTTAGTAAATAGAACAGTCTCCATACCATACACTATAGTCTCCGTAAAACATGACATCAACAATGTATTATCAAGAGGAGGAGTAAGATGATGGATTAAATGAGATTGACAGAAAGATCTAACAAGCATTAAAAATGACTAGGGAGACTGAAATGAGAAATAAATAAACCCCGAATTACTATTGACATAATTATTACAATATGATAAATCCTTAGTTATATAAATAAGTTTTACTTGCTCAAATTTCTAATTTCTCAAGTTTATTTTAAATCGTAATTATATTTAATAAATTCAATGTTTATAGAGTAAGAATCTCAGCCTTAATATTGGTTTTTTTAAATATTGTGCAAAAATGTGGAAAATACAAATGAAAATAGGAAATGATTAGGTTTTGTGATGTTTTCAGTGCAAAAAGTTATCATTACATGATGTGAAATTGGATGAATAGAGAATGAAATCATATAAAAACGAAGAAAAAGTCATTAGGTCTTGGGATATATTTAAAACACTTGTTGGGATTGATCAATTTTATATCTTAGATATTTAATGGAGTGAAGTATTAAAAAAAATTCATTATTTTCAAACATATTGCATAAATTTATTTATAAATATTTCCATTATTGAGTGAATTGAGAACTCTAATGGATTGTGTGGATGAGAAACAATCATATTTAAGATTGGATGAAGGGCTGAAAATATTATTTTTATAAATTTTATTGATCTAATGAACGCTTGCGTCATATTGAAAGATAATACCTCATTCTTAATCACATACATTTGACTCTATGGTTCAGAAAAATAAATATATAATGAGCTATTCTACTACAGATGAGAGATTGATGGATTCACCCAAAAGAACAGAAAGCACTGACATCTAATCTGACAGTTAAATGTTTAAGAAGGGATTCAATCCATCCTTCCTGGGAATTTAATAAACATCGAAAGTCACTGTACTTGATCTCGCTATTTTTAGGTGTCTAGGAGATATCTTGATACTAAAACTCATGGAGTTCAATTATATTATTAGGAATTTACTCCTTAAATTGTGGATGCTCAAGTAATTATAGTCCATGGATTTGGTGAACATTCAGGAAATTATCAATAAGTAAATTCAAAATTTATTCGTTCTAGTTGACAGATTCTTTTCTGTTCAATAATTTCAAAGTTTACCTCTATGACCAAAGAGGATTCGGTTATTCTGGAGGCATAAGAGGGTAGGCGACAGTTGAATAAATGCACATGGATTTAGACACCGTTTTACAATTGGTAGATAGATCAGTTCCTTTATTTATATTTTGTCATGCTCTTGGGGCTTCTATGGTGATCAGTTTCTGTTTGATGAATCCTTCATTCCAATTTTAGGGACTTATCTGCAGTAATGCATAATTGCGAGTCCCAGCCAAATACGGAAAATTTAAGATGCTCACTCTCAAGCTCATGACAAAACTCTGTCCTGATCTCCAAGTCAATACATACCACAATTTATCATATGCTTCAAAAAATAATCATCACATCAAAAAACTTGCAACTGATCACCTCATGCATCCTTATATGAGCATCCAATTCGCATACAATGTGCTTTTGTTTTAGCAATTCATCTTGCCCAATGCAACCAAATTCAGAATTCCCATCTTGTTATTGCATGGAAAGGAGGACAAAGTTGCATCTCACTTAGATTCCCTTGATTTCTACAGAATCATCTAATCCAAGGAGAAAACACTCAAAATATTTGATTAGGGATTCCATGAGTTGCACAATGATTCTGAATGGCCTAAAATGAAAATACTCATCACCCAATGGTGTACAAAAATGTTAAGCAAAGATATCAAAATGTCTTTTATGAGGGAACACAATTACGGAGTGGTTGTTAAACAATACAGAAGCAAAATTAGAATCGTTTTGACAATTCTTCTAATTTTATTCAGAAAGTAATTGATTTTATAAATTCTATTAGAAAATATGTTTGTTTAAAAACAAGTACTAAACTTAGCATCATAATCTTCATAGAGTTACTTCTTAGAGTGTTCATTTCTAATTGAATATTTGTAAATTTTTATATATATACTAATTAATATATATAATGAAAAATAACAGATAAAATTTTATCGATTTGATCATCCACCTTCTCGATTTGGAAGAACAAATAGAAAACACCAAGATCCACATGACTTCAAATGAATACTTCACTCTCTACAGAGCCTTCCAAATCATTGACGAGCACAACACAAATTAAATAACCCCAGCTGCAATTTCAAAATTAATTTCGAAACCTGCAGAATAATGCATCCTACTTATTGAGTATTACTCTGAATTCAAGGATAACAAACTATCTTTTGCTAACTTCATGAATTTATGTTTACCAAGGAGTAAGCCCTAATTGAGAGCATAATTAACATAAAAGCTCCAAAAAACGATAGGTTCACCTGAAGAACAAGAACTAATTAAGGAACACTTATCTATTCTGATAGCAAATGAAATTCATTTCTTATAGTAGATTAAGAAATATCCAATTGAAATAGAGGGGTTGTTAGAGTACCCATTCAAATAGAAAGATCTAAATTAATTAGTAAGTGATTTTGGATATAAAATAAATACAGAAGCGATTTGGAAGAGATTGGATTTCGATTAGAATGGAGTTGTCACTTATGAGGATATGAAGAAATTGTTTAGGGAGAGTGAATAAAGTATGAATGAACATGAGGAGATGAAGGAATAATTAAGAAATACAAGTACAAAGTTGGGATGGATAAACAATAAAGTTTGTCCGTATCATTCGTATTCAAAATAATTCAGAAAGAGCATTAAAAATTTCTATGAATTTGAGAAATAAAAAAGTATATTGAGGTAATGAATAACAAATAGCATAGATAAAATGAATGGAAATAGATAAGAAGTTTTTTGTATTTGATAAAGGAGCACAGTTAGATCTATTTATAGATAGATCAATTATTGGAGAAATTAAATAAATACGATACTTTGAGATTGTTTGAATTGTTAAGTATCAATGATAGATTAGAATTTCAATATTTACAGCAAAAGATATAGGAAATTGTGGGATAGGAATTTATGTTGGATTATTCGGATGTGGAATAATTGATGAACTTTTTTGGAGGACACAGTTATGAGGAATTCAAACACTCGTTAGAATGCAGTAGGGTATTGGAGAGAAAGCAACCCATCAATATGAATGTTTTGAAGATGCTATTCATAAAATTGATTTTGCTATTGCAATTAAGTAGATATTTGAAATAATAATACAAAAAGAAGGCTTTGATATAGAACAAGGACTTGTTGAATGAATTCGGAGAGTTTTCTTAGTCAAATGTTTTGTTGATGGCAAGAAAGGCCAAAGTGGAATTAAGCTTGGAAGAAGTGAATGGGTTTTTTAAAGGTCAGGAGGTTTTGGAAGTTAGGAATGTTATGAGTTTTTTGAAATGATTTATAATATATAAAATTATGGAAGAAATTGTGACTGGAGAAGATGATGTCGAGCCGTAATTTACATTTATTACACACACCCGAACAACGTAATACCGTATTTCAGTGATGAAGAATCGAATCGAGATAGCTTCTATTAATAGCCTAGATTAAATTTAAGTTGTATTAAGCATAGATTAAACGATCCATTGGCTATACGATGAAGGTCAAGAAATAGCTTTTGGATTAAGATAGGGAGACTTCATTAATTATTATTATGGAGAGAGGAGTGAATTGTCTCATTTTCGAAAATTGATTGGGTGTAAAATTTCATTTGGAACTTTTAAACAAGATTATTTGGTTGGTGACTTATTGGGAAAGGGCACATTTTCAGAAGTATAAGTTCTACTATGACCAGGTGACAAAGGTGACCTGTTTAAGGGATGGCAAAGAGTATGCTTTAAAGAAAATCAAATTACGTAACGAGGCTCATTTAAAGAATATTGAAATTGAAGTTGCTATCCTAAATAAGCTAAATCATGAAGGCATCATCAAGTTGCATGACGTCTACAGGTTAAACGATGAAACTTATGGATTAATTACTGAATTAGTCATTGGATAATCGCTAGATTCTATAATAAACAAACAAAAGGTTAGTATTTAAATTAAATATTAGTAAAAAAAGAGTAAACTGGAAGAAAGAGACATTTAAATGATACTTAAATAAACTCTTGAAATCATTGATTATTTGCATCAGAATAATATAATCCATAGAGATATCAAACCATAACATATGATTTTATGTTAGAATAAAACGATTAAGATATTAGATTTTGGTTTAAGTTCCAATGAGAGTCAAATGTCTTGCAATTGTGGTACTCCTGGTTATTTACCACCTGAATCATTTCGAGAACAATCATTATACACATCCAAAGGGGATATATTCAGTTTGGGAGTTGTTTTTTATAAGTTATTGAATAGAGGAGTCAGTTGTTTCGATGCAAACACACTCGAATCAGTAATGAGTAAAAATAGGCGTTGCACCATTGAGTACCAAATCAATGGATACTCATCTTAGGCTCTGGTACATTTTTGAAATGAATTCTAAGCATTTGCTCAAATAAATGCTTCAAAAAGATCCAGTCTTGAGAATCAATTCACACGATGCACTGAATCATACTTATTTCACTGTCCCCCGGGAATCCCAGAATCTAAAAGAAGATAAAGGGAATATTTATGTTTACTAAGCTCATCCCAGGCCATCCCATTTATCAAGGACAAGTAGTGGTGAGTTAGAGAAAACTCCAAAATGATTGTAAATTTTTATAAAATATATGTTCATGATATATCATTTCCTTAGGTTTTATTCTTTTGGTATTCTGGGGGAACCTTGTATCGGATGGCTTAGGTATTTTGAACAAATGGAAATCGATTAAGAGGAACCTATGTTGACGGGATTGTATGTTTACAGTATAACCCAATTGTTATATTAAAGATAAAATTAAACAACAAATTTAAGAAGACAATTTAGAAAATATTAAAGTTGGAATTATATTAATCAAGCATTTATGAATTGATAAACATAATTATTTTTATAATGTTAACATACACAGTCATGATAGACGAGTATCAGACAATTGATGATAAAGTTTACTATTAGATCAACATTAATTGTTTAGAAGGTCATAAGAAGATTTCTAAACGATACTCTGACTTGAAAGCTTTGAATGATAAAATAATAGAAAAAAATTCTAACTTTAAACTTCATTTAAATTTGCCTTAATTTCCAGGCCGAAAGATTTTTGGGAGAACCAAAAATTCTGTTGCAGGAATTAAATAGAGAGTATTTTTATGAATTCTATATAGGGAAAAGAATTATAGAAGTATTTGGAAGAGGTTTTGAACATTAAATAATTGCAATCATTTTAATCAATTAAAGAATTACTGCCTCATCAACAATTATATTAAGAAACTCTGTAGTTAACTTGTAGTGGAGAATACGATAAAGAAGTTTGTTGGCTACAAATGGATGAATTAAAGCGATCTTTTTTGGAGAGACAAGAAAATAAAACGCCAAAAAACAATAAGTCCAAAAGCAAGTCTAGCCTAAACACTACTGGATATGTTTAGAGATATCATTTTAGTATTGATGATTATGAAATCCAGTAAGATGTGGTTTTATATACAATAACATTGACAGATGCCAAAAAGACAACAAATTATTAATTTACATCAAGATATAGTGATTTAAGAGAATATCATAAATTGCTGAAAAAAGAAAACTTAAAAGTAGTGTTACCTGATTATCCAAAAAGAAAGATCATCTCTCAAACAAATGAGAATCCTCTTTTCATCTAAGAAAGATTAGAACAACTTTAAAAATACCTAAATGACATATTTGCAATAAAGGAGTTAGTGTAGAGTGAGCCTTTGCAATACTTTATCACGAGAATCAAATTGGAAGGTAAACCCATTCGTGTAGGCCCAGTTCAACAAAAACAGTAAATCTGTACTAGTTCAGTCTTATATGAGAGTCAAGAGAACTTGCCTGAAAGAAAAAGCTCGTTTTGAAATTGACTAAATATAAAATGTTTATTGCTTTTTCTTATAATTTAATTTTATAAATATTATTTTACATAAATCACACAGAATGGGATGTATATGTTAAAAGGAGACCAAAAAATAAGAGATCAAACAATATGACCAGAAACTGTAACAAATTGTAACAGTTCCAGTCTTGTATGATCCAAAAACAAATCCAATAATGAAAAGGAGATTACAATAAGATGCCCAATCGGAATAAAATAGAACACCAACAAGATTTTGAATTAAATATGATGTACTAGAATAATTATTTCAAACTCTTAATTTTTATTTTACCAAATCCCATAATCTTGGATAATCTTTCTTTCCTCTCTTAACTTCGAAATCAATAACTACACCCATGGCTCTGTATCTATCTAATAAAGGATGTGTCTTCTCGTCGTACTCCTTCATTCTTTATTCAATTACCTAAACATTAATTCATTAGATTACTTCTTTCTTATCATCATCTCTAACCACCAATTTACCACCACATGCATCACATATGCCTTCCTTCTTTGGATTTAATGGTTCCATAACATAGCCATCTCTGTTGATATCGCAAACGTTGAAAGCTGTGCCGCAACCCACACACGTACGACGACTTACATATTGTTATTAAATAGTACGCAGCTAATTTCTCAAGCAAAATATCAGCTCTTAAAGTTACGTTTACAACAACATTTGTTGGTAAAATCTTTTCATACAAGTCCAATTATCTCAAAGTTCTTGGGAATCCATCTAAAATTACTCCCTTTGCAGACTCAGGCTCCTTTAACTTTTCCTACAAAATGTTCATCACAATCTCATCTGACACAAGACCTCCCTTTGCAACAATATCCTTTATTGTGGCAATTAATTTTGGATCAAATGATTTGGATGTATTCCCTTTCAAAATCTTACGAATTTCATCCCCTGTTGAAATGTGATTAAACTTAGTATCGTTGATCAATAACTTTGCAAATGTCCCTTTACCAACCTAATTTCATATTAATTAACTTTATTACTCCTGGGGCACCGAATAAAACAAGGAATTATTATCCAGGTTTAGCAATACTTGCTGCATATCTTATTATGAGATTTTTCATATCCAATATATATTTATTTAATCAAATAATCACTCTTACGTTAACGTATGAACTTAAAAACGAAATCCATAAACCAAAAGCACAGCTCTCCTTCCCCTTAAATTTATTTGTCGATATTCTATTGTCAACGAAAAAATATAAAAATACACTCTTTTATTTATATAAATTGTTTTATAATCAATAAGCTTCAAAACTCACTTCAGAATATTGCCTTCTATTTTCTCTTATCCTACTTACTCAGCTGAGATGTTTCTCCATATGATATGAATTCTTCTCAGAACTCATTTCTAATAATTTGGATAAATTTAGGTGAAAGATGTTAAGTTGAAACCATTAAAATAAATATTCTTTTGTTTCAGTCTCTAATTTATCTATATTATAATACTTATGTATGTATTATACATCTGTTAAGCTATATTAAGAATATGCTCACTAGTAGTTCAATAAAATTATATTAATATTCGTTTTATTTCAACTAATACATAGTTCTGATGATCCAAAGACCTTTACTTTCTTCTTTAAAGTAGCAATGCTCTATTAGAATGATAAAAATGTAGTATATGATATTAAGATCTTAATTAAATAAAGTATTAATAAAGAAATTGATAAATTATAACATTTTATCTGATAAAAAAGATTAAGATTTTCTATGTTCTGATTATTTTTTCTACAAATCCTTATCTCATTCAAACAATAAATAGATATTCAAACAATAAAAATAATAATATTAATTAATTGAAATGCTGTAATTAAGATCAAATCTCATAATTTAAGTTTTTCATTTTTCTATTGAAATAAGATTAATTATAAGATTGTCGATTTTTATATAGATATCATGTAAATTAATTCAAAATCATTAATAAAATAACTGAAATTAATTAAATAATTAAATATATAATCAAACAGATGATGGATTATTTTATGTTATTATAAAATATAAAATTTTTTCAATGAATATCACCTTCAATATAAAATAATGAGCTTGCTAATTTTTTATTGTATTTATGAAGGATTATTTTTAATTCCTTAAATATTTCATCTCTTAGAAAATCACCCAATATTGATTTAATTTAATTGACTTGTTCTTGGTTTGTTAAATTTTCGACGCGAATTTAGTTTTTGAGCATAAACTCATCCAAAATATTGAGCCCTTACTTGTAAAATTTAAATTCTTCAATTTTTTAAAACGGGATCTCATTCCTGTAAAAGCTATTTATAACTTTTAGACCTTAGCCAATAATCCCTTATATTACAAATTGATAAGTTGAAACAAAATCTAAAATGTTATTATCTTTATCATCATAATGATTGGATAATTAAGGAAATAAGGATTTATGTATCTTCTATTCATATTTTATTATAGTATTTTGTAATTCTGCAAAATCAAACTAGTTTGATAATTTCGAATTGTTTCGAATTTATTTTATATCATTTAATGCGTCTGAAATCTGTAAGACATAAAAGAGGTAATCTTCTAAATAACGTTTGGTTTTAAGCTATTCAAATAATTCATAGAACCATTTATCAATATTTAGTTCTCTTGCTAAATCTTTTATCGAAAGTTTTTAACAATTAGTGGGATTTATGAATTATTACTCGCTCTTTATCGCCCAATTCAAAAAGATATTTCTCATAACAATTCCATTAGAATTTCCAAATTAGTCTTAAAATTCTTCATTGCTTAGTTTTTTGTTTTTCAAAAATTTTTCAATTAACTTAGGATCATATGAACCATCTCCTTTTTACTCTGTTCCATTCTATGTTAAATATTGTTTCAATTTTGAAATGAGTTGTTCAGCATTTCTTTCAAGATTGAGATCTAGCATTTTTAATTAATCATCTAATTGAAATATCTATGAGATGACTTTTTTAGCGCTTTGAAAGTCAGGGGAATCATTATTCGCTTTATCTATAGACACTTTACTGAACATGGAAAAGGAGGCCTTAAATTCTATTTAATTATTTTATTTAGATGATAAAGGTTTAGAGACCCAGATCCAAGTATTTTGACAATTGATTTAATTATGCAATATTTTTGATTTTTGTAATTTTATAAGTGCTTCCAAAATTTAAATTGATATTAGTATTAGTTGACTTTTACTTATTGCCAAAATGTTCTTTTCCTATATTAAATATTTCTTTTTTTACTTTAAAAAATAGTAGGTCCTACAAGTTTATATATTCATTGGCTGGAAATTAATAAGTGATTATATCTTACAGATAATAAATGCAAACTATTTCAGTATTTAAATCTTCAATAAGTTAGAAGTACTCCTGATTAATATCTTTAGCATTGTGAAAATGATATTAAGTTAATGCAAGGTTTTCCATAGCAAATATTATTGAAATTATTCAAATCAGCAAAAATGAATTTCTATTAATATAGAAAATTATAAAAATGGATTTGAAAAGAAACAAAAAAGAATTAAAAAAATAATGAAAAATTGCGTATTATTGAATTAAAGTCATGAAAAGCAGTCAAGAAATACATCACTTTCTTCATTAGGTTCCTAATGTTTATGATAATCATTATAGTTACCTCTTAGAATACATAAATATTTCTTTCGCTTATAAATTGATAGTGTTTGCTTATGATTTCATGTACAAAATATTACTCATCCTAACATAATGAATTAATATTACATCATCATTTCCTGCCCACTCTTATCCTCTCCACACATAGACCTGTAAGACTTATTTATTAATTTCTTTTATTAAGATGCATAACTGAGATTAATCCAGATCTTCTAAATCGAACATCAATAGATAATCATCTGAATTTGGATAAATGTAAAATGCCTTCTTTTCAACATGAACTTCCTCAACCCTGTCTGAACTGTATAATTAAATATTGGATTCTTTTTCTTTATTAAATTCATTCTCATCAACTTCTTCATACCATGGATCCCATTCCCTTATTTTTTAGCAAATCACCCCAGGTTTACCCACAATTCCCCATAAACCCCAAAACATTTCAGATTCATTTTCAGCCTCCATCAATATGGGTTGTATATTAGGGGCCTTTTCAAATTGCTTCAAAAATTTAGTATAATCAAGAGCATATTGGATGAATCTAATCAAAAATAATGAAATACTTTTCTGTTTTATTACATTCAGGTCCAATCCATAAATACAAATCATGTTCTGAAAGCACTAAAAAGACTCCTCGACTATCAAATGTTCTCAACACCTTGCCAGAATACAATTAATCCATAAGCATTCTGCATGCAATACTTTGGGGTCCACTCACTCCTCTGCCAACTGCAAATACTCTTGGAGCAATAGGGATACTATCATATGAGGCTTGTAGTCTCTTTTGAAATAGCAACAATTAAACTGTAAATCCCATATTAGGTGATGCTACTCCTCTATTTTTCTTAATAATATCGAATGCTTGGGAATAAGTAATTTATTAGGAAATTATTAAATAAGCTATACACAGAGACACAGATCTTGATACTCCTTAAACACAATGAATCAACACTTTTCCATTATTCTTCTTCGCATTTTCAATGATGGCAATAACTTCATAAAATATGCATTCTATATTTTCTGTTTTTGAATCCTTCAGATAATAAGTTTAATAAAAGAAATCATCGGGGTACTTATTTTTACACACATCTCCAGCACAATTGACTACATGGGTAACTCCAATTTATTTCAAAACCTCCTTATTGTAAGCTATTTATTCACCTCCAACATAAAGGAAATTAGGAATAACAGATGAGCATTGTTCTGCAAAATGCTAAATTTTTAATTTTTTCCTATCTGTATCTCTAATATCAAAATTGAATCCATTTGAATCCTCTTCTTCAATATCCTAATATGTAGTATCATCTCGTTATAATTTCAGACTTGCGAGTGGTAATTTCATTGGTTTTATTTTTTCATTTTCATTGCACTCAACTCCCTCTACTAATGGAACTCCAATGCTGACTTCTTGAGAATGAGTCTTGCAATTTAAATCTAGTTTAGGAATGTTTATTGCAGGAACTTTGCTTTTTATTTATGCAGGTAAATTAAATTAAAATGTATTATTGTTTGTTATTGGTTATTGTTATGGACTAGTATCTTCATATCTATTATTTTCTCTCGAACGGCTGGAAATTGGTTTTGAACTTTCCTTTGAGATAGATGGAGATCCTTCATTGGAGATCTCATGTATTTTATTGTTAATTTCATTTGAATTTCTTCTAGGAAAGGCTAATTCATTGAAAGCATCTCTTGGTTAGGCATCTCTACTAGTCAATGATTCTCTTAGATTCAATTTAGGTTTTTGAATTACTTTGTTGTTGTTAGAATTTTAAATTTGTTCATCATTTAAATCAACGTGAATAAATTATGATGCGTATGCCTATGTATTTTATTTTTTAGCTAGAAAATCTGCCAATTTAGAGAACTCCTTCCTCTTTTCAGGGACTGGAAACAGAAAATTAAACAAATACACAGTTTCTCTTACTTAATTTTCAGTTTCGATATTGGTAGTAGATGATGTTTAGGCACTGCTTTGCAATGTCAAAATTGATCCTTTCGACAACTTTTTATTTTTAATTATGCCACCACTAAAGAGTATTTCAAGTAAGGGATCTCTTCCTCTATTTAACAAGTTTTCTAATTCAAAAGCATTGGACAAGGCTGATGCTTTAATTAAGGGATTGGCTGTTTTGCCATTCCATACAAAAATCATATACTCGTAAATATTTGACGTTGAGGGATTTTATTATCTTTGAGGGAGCAAAAAGGATTCTAGATGGCTTTCTGATGCTGCTACTGGTTCCTCTAATCCTCTGGGAGTTAGGTTGGAGTAAGATTCAACGACGCCCCACATTTGATGGGGGAAGTTAGTGAATTGATTGTACTCTATGTTAATTAAGGAATGTTATACCTTCTTAGGCCTTTTTGTATACCAACAATACGAGATAGCATTCAGTTGATAGGAAATTAAAACCGCTAGTTTAGATGGTGCTTAAATTGATTGGTTCAGATTTAACTTTCTTTATAGGGTGCTTGTCCTCTTAAAATTTCCAAATCTGATATTTTTGAAATTTATATACTTTTAAGTGTTAGGTTATACTTTCAGGAATGTTACTATCGAATTTAATCTTCTCCAATAATTTCGTATTGAGTTCTAAAATGTCCTCCAAATTTGAAACATGCTTGTCTATACTCAATTTAGATCCCATATTTTTATATAAATAATTAATATTATATTTTAGAATAATATTTTCAAATATCATCCACAGATAATCTCACAGTAGATTCCCTCTATATAAATATATTCAATTATTTTATTTAACTAAATAAATTTTAATTTTTATGGATTAACAAAATTATACAATAGTTGGAGTGATGTCAGGAACATCACTTGATGGAATAGATCTAGCACTAATTCGATTCGAAAACATAAATCAACAATGGCATTATAAAATTTTGAGTGCTCAAACTTACTTATATGAATAGTCTTGGATTGATCTCCTTAAAAATGCTCATGCCTTATAATAATGTGAAATAGAAAGTTTTAATCTAAATTATACTCATCATTTAGCATAGCAAATTAATAAATTCACTTCTCAATTTTAAGATGTCAAAATAGATGCCATATGTTCTCATGGACATACAATCATTCATAAACCAAAAGAGGGAATTACAATACAAATAGGTAACCTACCAATATTGCCTCAACTTGTTAAGACAACAGTTGTATGCGATTTCAGAGTTTAAGATGTTAAATTAGGAGGAAATGGAGCACCATTAGTACCACTTGGAGACAGAATTCTCTTTCATGAATATCATTATCGCATTAATTTGGGTGGATTCTCAAATATCTCATATGAAAGAGACAATCTTACTCTTGCCTATGATATTTGTCCAGTAAACACAGTTCTGAATAGGTTGGCCTTTCCAAAAAACTATGATGAAAATGGGGATATCTCAAGAAGTGGAATTGTCAATCCAAATTTATTAGATTAATTAAATAATTTAGAATATTATAAACTTGCACCTCCTAAAAGTCTAGGTGTTGAATGGGTTTACGATTGTATTTTACCTTTAATTGAGTCATTTGATCTGTCTTAGTAAGATAAACTTTGCACATTTTGTGAACACATTGCTTATTAGATTGGAAAATCAATAGGGAAGTAGGATGAAAAGGTTCTGTTCACAGGAGGGGGTGTATAAAATAAATATTTAATGGAAAGAATTCATCATTATGTCAAAAATGTTTAAATCTTAGATTAATAAGCATCTGATTTTAAAGAGGCCTTAATTTTTGGATTGCTTGGAGTACTAAAATTAAGAAATGAAATCAATGTGTTGAGTAGCGTAACAGGAGCAAGTCATGATCATTCTAGTGGATATATTTATAAATATTAAGATAATTGAACTTAGTAGTAATTTGATTATAATTAAAATATATTTTGATAGTCAAAAAGATTTACTCTTAAAAGGGTTTTTGATGTTTGGGAAGCATAATTATTTTACTTAATTTTCTATTGGATGAGGGATAATGCATCCCTTTCTGAAAAATTAATGTTTAAGACATAGAGAAGCTGAAGGTCGATGTTTCTTATGCCCAATCATCAGAAGTAAGAGTTGTCTTTATTCTATGTCCATTATCTTGGAAGATACTTTGACTTTGTTTAATTTATTCAAAAAAATTAAATGTTACTTATCCTAATATTCTGGATACAGTTTCTGTCCAGATAATAAAGAATGAAATATACTTCCTAAACTATAAATATCAACTAATTCATCATAGTCCTCCTGATTTAAAATCTCAGGAGCTATGTATCCAGGCGTACCACATCTGACTTAAGTTTAGTAACCAATTTCTACAGCAAAGCCAAAATCAATTATTTTTATAGATTTTAAATCATTTTAATTTTCCAAAACGATATTATCCAATTTTAGATCTCTATGAATTATTCCCAATTTATGTAAGTGTTTCACCCCTTTTAGAAGTCTCTTCATGATATATTTGGTCTCTTCTATTTCTAAGGCATTGTTTCTTTCTACTAGATAATTATACAGAGTTCCACCTCTACAGTACTTCATAACAAAGATTATCTCATTGGAATCTTTGTAAACTTCATCAATTTCGAGAATACTTTTGTATTTTTATTGATTTAATTCGAAAACAATCTTTAAATCCTGCTGGAGCTTTGACTGAAATAGTTATTTAATCTACTTAATCATTAATTTTGGCCATTTTAACTATCTTTAGTTCTCCTGTTTCTGTTTGAACATATTTGGAAATCTATTTAGCTTATATAGAATATCGTTACTTAGACATCTTCCTTTTAAATAAGGGAACTTTTAAACTGATAATAATTATTAAAGTCTGTGTACAATACTTACCCATCGAGTAATTACTTTAATTGTTTCAACTTTTATGCATCAGCTAAATAAGTTATTGACTTTTAAGTCATTGAATAATTGCATTAATATGAAACTTTAAACCCTTTGATGATATTCTCACTAAATTTTATATTAAGTAATATACTTATATATCCAACTTATTGTTGTCAAATGGGATCGAAGCTCAATTTCTCTGCTCCTTTACTCCAATTCAATATCAGTGTTGGAATGATCTTAGTTTGCATTGTTTATCACCAATTTTCTTTTGTACAAGAATAAATTTCTTGATAAATTGTTTCTTGCATTACTTACATCACAGGTATATACGAGATCTCTGTTCATACTTATTTAAAAATATAAATTATAAGAATCAAGAAAGCAATAATCGAATATATAAATCCAAATTAAATCTTTAAGAACTTGAATAATGACTAAAGAGAAGTCTTAAAAAAAATAAGAAGAAAATATTATGTAATTATTACATTTAATACTGTCCCTGTCATACTGTAAAATTAACATTCATCTAATTGAAGTGGGGCTAAATGATTGAATTTATATGGGAGATGAAGCAATTAAAAGTGATGTAACTTGAAAATTTTGATAACTTTAAATCTGTTTTAAAATTTGACTATTTTTGACTAAGGGATTAAATTTTAGTGAATTAAAATGAAGTTTGTTTACAAAAAAGGCTCAGAAATTCAAGCAATCATTGAAAACATAAAAGAGTGACATATAAATTGAAAATAAATTTTAATATTTTTTTCATAAACAAAATAAAAAGATTAATTCTAATTTGCAATTTATATTAAATTGAGTTCGGTTTAAATATAATTTTATAACACTATATTTTGAATTTTCCCTCATTATTTTGGACTCCTTGATTGCTTCTAAAAAGTAATATTTTTCAGTCCTTTCTCATTCTATTTAAGTCTACCCTAGCAAATCATAAATAACCATATTTTTAACAAAATTTGTCTCAAAGATATTTGATTTCACTCTTTATATCAAATTTATTTCTATACCAAACTCCAGGAATCAACAAAGTAATGATCATTATCACTTATAAATGGAAGTTAATTTCTTAACATTTTTATAGTATTACCTAGGAATTTTGTATAATTTGAACAGTTGTAATTTATAAGGTTAAGTGTTAAAATTTAATTAATTAGAAATATCGAAGATTGTCTTTATTTTGGCATAATTTTACTGTTTTTAAATGATAATCACTTGATCCCATCATTCAAAGTATTAGAAATTCTTAGTAGCAAGTTCTATATATTGGTAAATGTATCTAGATATCTTCCTATTTTATTCATCCACGTAATGAAATACTTAAGCTTTGTAATAGTGATTTTCTTTTAACAAGCAGAATAAGTGGTATAAAAATAATATAAAATATTAAAATTTACAGTATTTATATTACATTTATATTACATTAATATAAATTATCTTTCAAATGAAGAAAATATAAATATACTAGATAAATATAAGAATAAAAGTTTTGGGCTCTAAATTACATTAACAAAAAAACTCAATAGTAATTCTGGAATTATATTAAAACAAAAAAACAATTTTTAACGAATTAATCACTCATTTTTAATCTACTTTTTTTGCTATGGAAATGATTTCCTGTCTTATAGATTTATTATAAATTTTAGGATATCTAGTATTAGTACTGATATCTGAAGGGTTTGAATTTTAGTGGAATAATTTGTTGTAAACACTATCTTACATGGCTTTTCTGATTGAAATTGATGGAATGGGTTCATGAGTTGATTTGATTGTGCATCTGAAATCTTTGGGATTGAGTTCATCTTTTTCAAATTTCCTAGAGAAATCCCCTAAAGCCTCAAAACCTTCGATGTAGACATCGGTAAAATATTGGGGTTCTGTTGGTTTTGGATAAACTGTGGTGAGAAATCCTCTTTCAGTCTTCCATTTGTCTTTGGAATGTGTTTTCCATTTTGGGAAATAGACCATGGTCATATCTTTGGCAGTGTCGTCTATTATACTTTTATTATATTAATTTGCTTGGTCGGCTTGATCTTTTCTCAATTTGGGCCTGTTTTCATAGGACCATTAGGGTCCTTCCAATGATTGGACTCTTTCTCTTAATTTAATTTTAGGGCCTTCAGCGTATAATTCTCTGGGCAAATGGGATTGTGAGAAATCTTCAACAATGTATTGGATTCTTTGATCATTGGTGAGAAACCTATTTAGTTTGAGGAGTAAAACTTGGATAGAGTGATGGGTTTGTTGGTTTCTCTTGGTATTTTGGAGGTGGGGTAAAGTCCATTGAGTAGGCCTTGTATAAAGATGGGGGAGACATACAGTTAGCGAATGCGGGATCAAGAGATTGAATAAAGTGTTGTCGACGATCATTGAAGGAGTTGTTGAGTATGGCATTTGATTTTTTGGTTGTTTTTGGGTTTGAGAGAGAGGCAGTTCTTTTCTTTTGTTGGAAGTAATTATTCATGAAAATAAAATAAAAATGGCATACGAAAATTGTGTAGTTTGCGGGAAAAGATAAGATGGTTTATATAAGTTGGTGCCTCATTTTAGATCAAATCATTCTAGCAAATACATTCATAAGATGTGTCTGCTTTTATTTCGTTCTGATTGGAATCATCGAGTTGCTGTGAATGAGGGATTGTATTACAATGACTACAGAAGACATTGTTCGATATGTGATAAACGAAGTAAGCAACAGGTGGTTAGATGTGCACACAGGTATACACTTTAATTATGTAATCCAGTTCTTGTAGAAATAGATTTCATTTGGACTGCTTAAATAATCCTGTAATATAAGTAAACTCAAATCCCAGGAATCATTATCCGAGGTTAGATGTTTATTGTCCCGAGCATTCTTTCGATTTAATTAGACCCAACAATTTAGACAAGTGTGTAGAATCCATTTTCAATGACCATCTATTAAGTTAGGAATAAGAACCTGGCTAAATTTAGAAGAGCAAACACAAAAAAAAGCATAAGAAGAAGCATTCTCGATCTAGGTCCAGATCTCATAGGAAATCACGCAGACGATCCAGTAGCCAATGTCGATTTAGTGATAGTCGGAGTTCGAAATCATCAAAATCGCAACTCAAAAATCCTCCTCTCCCAGAAAAAGTCAGTTTGCTAATTATCCCTGAAAGCAAGATCACTGACTGTATGATAAGAGAAGTTAAAAGTCTGACCTAAGCTACTATTTTGGAAAAAGAGGAATCTTATATTGAACCTTTGCCAATCCCTCAACCTCAACCTCCACCTCCACCTTAACCAATAAATTTATAGAAAGGGGTCGAAAAATAAATAATTTATCCCCAAATCCAAAGGCCTTTTGTTGAAGACCCTGAGTTCCCCTATACTGAGAGGGAAAACAAGAGGGATCAGTCCATTTTGAAGTGGTGGGACAAAATAGAGGAAATTTACTTTAAAGGGGAAGAGAAACTACAATACACTAAGATAGAAGAATTCAAGAACCCCTTTGAATGGTCTAATCAAGGACTGGATGAGGAATTGCTGAATTATGCTGATCAGACCAATATTGGTATTCACTCTCATACTTATTATTATTATTAGAACCAATCATACAGTTGAGATTTCAATGTAGAGGAACCATTAATGTTTTAATTCGAACTTCAAAAGCTCAGTATTAGTACACTAATTGTAAAAATCTTTTAGTTTCATTCGATATAGTTTTACCGAGCATGTAGGCAAAGCAACACCCAAAGGATTGTTGAGGACCAACATACAATTGTATAGATATTTATAAGAGACAGTTGACATTCCTACATATTCTGATAAGGAAATAGTTGGCAAAGATCTTATTTATTTAGAAGGTTGCGAATTGTCTAAATAGGAATATTAGGATTGTTTTGAATTAGAATAGCAAATTAAAGAAGTTAATTCTAAATTGGAATCTCAATTAGACATTGAAAGTGATGCAATCCAACAATTTGATATTGTCTATCATATCTTGAATAAAGAACTCACCTCTGTTGTTTAATAAAACAATCAATCCAGAGAGTAAATCAATTCCAAAATCAACGACTAAAATTTCAAAATACTAAACACTCAACAGCAACTCCTGATTGACTTGTTAAAGTGGTCATAAATAGTCAAAGCCTTCATCAATGGATACAAGGATAAGAATGAAGATGTGCTAAATTCCTTTTATCCTTGCCAATTAACATTGACCTCCCAATCCTCTCAAAAAGCTTAGTAAAAGAAGAAGAAAATCCACTCCAAAGAAAATACCCAACCTTTAGACACAGACTGCAAAATCTGTTTTGATTATCATTATACAGATATCAACCCTGTTATCTATTGTGGAAAGTGCTCAACATCATTTCATAAGAATTGCTATGGTTTGAGTGGACCCCTTGATGAAGATGATGTTATTTGTGAAGCATGTAGCTATGAATCCTCAAAGTTGTATTAGTTCAGGAGAGGTATATTCATTAGATTTATAAGGTGCGGCAAAATGTGGAATATGCAAAAAATTAGGATTGCCCTAAAAGTACATTAGAAATCACTTCTATCATGTTTCTTGTTTGCTTTTAACTAATTAAGTCATTTTATCAGACGGTGCCTATGCTGTAAGATATAGGAAGAACGATATTAAACAATTTTGTAAAGACAATGAATAAAGTACACCTTAATGTGCTGTTTGCGGAGATTCTAAAGGTTTAATTATCAATTGAATTTCAGGATTTCGTTTTTTGTGTTCTGGAGGTGGAACCATACCGTGTAAACATGCCTTCCATCCCATCTGCGCTTATCTGCATGGTTTGACCATTGACATCGAAAGTGAAGATCTTGAACAGTGTTGCAAAGAATTACGGTTTGCTTAATTAAACGTGCATATCAAATGTGTCTTACATTGCAATAAAACATTGTAAGAATTAGTATAGTAAACTTACTACAGGTATTGATTAGTCATCATATTTTATAGAAGATTTGCACTGAATTATGAACAGACTGCCAAATGTGGAGGGGAAGACCTATTCATAGAGGAATTCAAGAAATCTAAAGGCTATAGGTAAGAATTTTAAGAAAACTCTTAAGATATCTCTCGCTCAAGTTACCAATTTCAAGAAATGACAATTTATAATAATTTATTAATTAAAATGGTACACCAACCCAACAGATGTGAGTAGATTTTCATTTTATAATATTAAATATTGGATGAAGAAAGCTATAAACTATTCTTTTTTAAACACAATTTAAGGAGTACTCTTTACCAATATTTAATATTCCAAATAGTGCCAGAATGTTGTAAGCGTAATACTTTATTTATTATCTGACACATGTCAAGCTAATAGGAGTCTAAATTCTATTAAAAACCAATTATCTTATTTTATAATCATAATTTAATAATTGATAAATGGGTGGGTTGACATAAAAAGTTAAGAATTTATTTGCCAGACCTGATGAAGACTTACCTATAAAGGATGATCCCAAACTTCATTATTCAATAGAAAATTAGTAAAAATTAAAGCGATAAAAAAGGTCACAAGTCTTTGGGAAAAAGGAACCACAGAAGGAAAATTTTGATGATGAAAAATTAAAGAGGATTCAATCAGTATCATAATAGGTAGAAAAACAAATTAGTTGTCCTGTAAGAATGCTTTCAATGATGCAAGGGAAATAATATAACACTTAACCATATAAAAGTCAATAAAAATAGATCGAAGAAATTTTATCAGAGCTCAGCTGATTTATCAACTAATTTATGTAAAAAAGACTTAAAGCTAATTATATTGAATTAAATGATTTTAATATTTTATTAAAATTATCACTTAATTAATTTATTATTAACCCATCTTCCTTCTACAATCTTTTGATTCTTTGTATGAAATAGGCCAAATCCATTTATATAATCTTTCAAAAATTGACCACAAAACTTCTCCCCATTTGACAAATAAAGTGTTCCTTACCCTTCTTTGTTATCGTCATTAAACTCTCCTTCATATTTGGTCCAAAAACTACATTACAATATAGATTTACTCTTCAATATGATCGAAATCTTGATAATTGAATGGCTCATTCAATTGAGATGCCATTTCATTATACAATACTCCATAACCTTAAAATTTATCTTGGTTCCACGATCCTTTATAAGCAGGTTGACCATTTGAATAATAAAGAGTACCTATAATATTTTAATAAATTAAGATACCATAGCCGTGCATATGATTAAACTGCCAATTTCCATCATAGTATCCTCCATCTTTATAATAAAAGATCCCTTGTCCATGTCTCATTCCATTGAATTTATAACCATTATATTTTGAACCATCTTGATATTATTCGTTTACGAATATTTCTCCTTGTGAGGAGAATCCAGAGATATGGGGTTATGGTTGTTACTGGGGTAGATCAAAAGGGATTGAAAATTGTTATTAGGATTCTTTCACATTAATATTGCTGAGTTTTAACTAAAAGTTTTTATTAACATGTTGATCAGTGTGATCTTGTAATGGTAAACTTGAAGATCTATCAGTGAAATTTTCATCATTTTCTGTATTGTCTATATTTTCATCAATTTTTGAGGGTTTCGAAATTTATTATGAGTAAATGACTTATTAAACAAAATCAGAATTGTCAGGTTGACTAGGTTAAACTCCATCCTCCTGCATTCTACTGGCCATAGTGGAATTCGTATTTGATTGTTCAGTAATAATTTCCCTTAGAGATGGTTTCTTAGCATTTGTATTAGATTTCGAACTTTTGATTTATTTGATGATAGGAAGAGTTTGCTATTAATTTTGTACATTTGATTGATGTTAGGAATTTTATGAGTTGGAACATTATTATTAGTCTTATGAATTAAATGATCTGAGTTAATATTTAAAATTAGTAATTGATGCTTATTCTTAATATTTTTAGTCCAATAATTTAGACAAGACTACAAAATCAGGTCTTTATGTTTCTTAGATTGACAACATTGATTGAATGACCTCAAATAATTAGGGTTAAACAAGAGTGTTCAATTGATGTAATTTGGTTAGAAGAACTTCTTCAACTAAATACAACTATTTGTAGCAATCAACAATGGGAGTTCTTAAGATACTCTATAATATGCACATTCCCAGTGTGAATACATCACTTTTATAAGGGTTATGTTGGGGTTGAAATTCCTTTTACCTCAGAGCCATAGTTTGTTGAGGTGATAGAAACAGATCAGTGAGTTTATTATTTTGGAAGAGCTGTTAAAAGTTTGTGGATTACTCATAAAGAGTTGGATCACAAATTTTAGGAGGTAAGTATAAGGTTTTTGATGAGATGTGTTCATGAGAAATGGATTTATTTTATAAGTCTTCTAGTGCTCTAACATATCCAAACAAAACAGCCCAATAATCTTGGGATGACAACTAAGTTGCAGATAATTGGGAAGTGGGATGTTCAATCAATACGTAAATTTTAAAAAATTGACTACAAACTTATTGATCTTGGGTAGTGTAGATGTCAAGAATTTTGAGAATGTATTGATTTTGAATTAATTATTGCTTATTTTCGAATTATTTTTTATTTTTCTTAAAAAGAGTCTCATCAGTGTAGGTGTACTCTTTCAAAATAAGTTTGACTTTAGAATTTGATTTATTAACTAGGACTGTACAATCTCCAAATTCTAAATTGATTGATTGAATTACATTCATCTCTTGTTTTGGTTGGTTGATATTCAGAATACAACTAGGCTAGCTTAGTGGATTCTTAGCTATTATTATTTCCCATTCAAAATTAACGAATATTTAATAATAATGATTACAATTCTGAAGAATACTTTTTATATATGTTATACTTTTTGGGTCTTAGTACAACTGTATCCCTATTCATATCTTTAGATTAAGAATATAATTAACAATGTCCGTCATAAATGATCACTCTTTTATCTGATCTGTCTCTAATTCCAATAGTTGAGGAAGGACAATGGATGTTGGTTTCAATCATTAAAAGATTACCTTCTCATTTTATTACTGCGTTGATTTGGAGTTAATTAATGTTAACAACTGCAATAATAGTGTCAATCATGTATTTAGCAATGTAATGAATTTAAATGAATATATAGAAAGGTTACTTACAGTTTCTTTTTGTATTTAGCGAAATATTTGTTAATACTTTTTTGGATATCTGTGTTTAAGAGACACTTTCAAGATTGTAATATTAAATGAAGTACTTACACTTATAGTAATAATGAATAATATTTATAATTAATGAGATCACTTTCTTAGGCATGTATCACTGAAAATTCAGAAAACATCGAAAAGTTTATCTTTAAATAGAAGAAATTAATCACCTTGAGGTCAGACTCACCTACTCTTACCAAAAGACTTAGTCAATAGCCAATTGTAGTTTAATCTGATTCGCCTCTTAAAAAGCACAAAACTTGCAGTAGTGAAATTCCCTTGAGTAATGGGAAAATGTTCTTGAAGGATGGCAAGATCTTGTTCTTGAAGTAAAAACTGCCTAAATTGGAGTTACCATAAGCAAAATGTAAATTTGACCCCAAAGTTGAGATCCTTAAATGGATAAAAACAAATAAGAGCATTTCTCCTCTGAAGAAGAGAGTTGCCTTCAGGGCTATAAAAGAATCTAATGGTTAAAACAGGAAATCATTAATCTTTTGATTATCATTTATCAATTAATTAACTACAAAATTAGAATATTTAACAGTTCCCTTAATATTCGATATTGTAATGTGTATATTCCAATAAAGATCATGAACAACTATCTTAAATTAACAATTAAGAAATTGTCATTAATTAAGTATTATAATCTATGATATAACCTCTTTGTTTTGTATGGCAATGTATGAGTTTTCTCATTTGATATACTAAATAAATTGTTAACATATTTTTAATCAAATATTTTTATTATTTAATGGATTATTACAAGATTTTAGAAATTAATCGTGATGCTTCAGCCTCAGAAGTTGCCAAAGCATACAATAAGCTTTCTTTAAAATGGCATCCAAAGTTGAGTAAGTTGGATCATAATACTACTTATCATCATTTTTGCTTAATCTCAGAAGCCTATGAAGTATTATCTGATCGTAATGATATTTAATAACCAAATTAGCTATTAAAAGGACATTCTATGATAAGTACGGAGAAGAGAAGTTGAAAGAAGGATTCTTTGCTAATGGAAGTAAATAAGTTATTGATTTCCTTAGACCTCAAGGGCGGTTACAGTTTTGCAGGCAATCCTGAAGAAATATTTGAAAAGTTTTTTGGGACATCGAATCCATTTGCTTAACTTATAGGTAACTATGAATACTTATTCATTTAGATACGAATGGATCAGAAAATCACGGCACTCTCTTTAGTCATGCATTTGGAGGATAGAATTTCCCAGGAATTCCAGGACCTAAAGATCTTGAGATCTAGGTAGAGTGTACCCTACATGAATTGTATAATGGTTGTGCAAAAACAGTCTCATATTAAAGATAGGTGCTTAATAAAGATGGAATCACAACTCGTTAAATTATGGAAACCAAGTATTCATTTCAAACTGACATCTATTAGAGAAATTAAAATCGATCGTGGAATTGAAACTGGATAAAAGATAGTCTACAAAGAATTAGGCAATGAAGCGGCTGGATTTAAGTCATCTGATTTGATTTTCTTGATCAAAGAAACTCCTCATCCAACTTTTAAGAGAAAAGGGAATGACCTATTGTATATTGCAAAAATTAATTTGGCTAATGCAATAGCAGCAGATCCTATTTAGATAATAACATTGGACAATAGAAAATTGCAAGTGCCAGTTGATTAAATCATTAGGTATTGCAATTTAGTATAATTCATAGTCCTAAATATGTGAAGATGATTGAAAGTGAAGGAATGCCTGTCTTTTAATAGGATGAAGTTAAAGTATATAGTTTAATTCATAGTAGGATTTCGGTAAGCCATACACATTTGGAAATTTGTACATTAGATTTGACATCCAATTCCCAGAAGATCTAACAGAAAGTTAAAAAAATAGAATCAAAGATATTTTGTTAGAAGGTTAATAATAATGATTAATATTAATTATCATCATTATCATTATTTAATTACTCTCTGCTTTTTGTTATTTTTAATCATATATATATATAGAGATAGAGATAGATAGATTAATCGGTTGATAAAACAATAATAATTTATTAAAAAATTTTAGTCTATCTTCTTATTTCAGTTCCAAATTTAAGTATTTTATTCATCATTATATATATTTTTTAATAATTAATATTTTAACTTTAAGAATTTAATATCAATTCCCAAAGAATAATTAGAGATTAATAACATCTCAATACTCGTCTATAGTATCTTTTGTGTCCAGTTAAACCATGTATCTGACCTTCACTTTGGTCTCATCATAGACTATATATTCATTGTGTTAAAGTTAAAAGCGAACTGGATTTCCTTCCTTGTCCTTCTTCTTTGGTTATGGGTAGTCGATGCATTATCCAACAGGTACTTTACATCCATTTGACAAAATCACTGACTAGTTGTAATCAGGTCCTCGTCTTCCACATCCTTTAACAGACTAATATTATTCTAAAATAATTAAATGGTTAAATTACTATCTAAATTGGAAATGTATTCAGGATTATATTGATTCAAAGTTTTTCCTACTGCCACTTCGCATAATAACATGTATCTGTATCTCTGTATTTCATCTTACTCATCTTTCTTAGCACTATTCGATCTGTTGTAATATCCATTTTATTAGAATAGTCCATTATACGTGTTATAATAGAGAGACCAATCTTCAGTATAGCCAAAAGACTTTTAGAACATATCTGCAAAATAGATACCTTTTCCAAACATAGTTCCAGTGTTAAATGCCCATGGAGGTGCCACTAAACATATATAATATAATCAATACCTCTTAGTCCTTAAGCTAGAATACCCATGAAATTTGATATTTTAGAGCCATGCCATAAGAGCATTCTATTATATAGTTTATTGTGCTCAAATCTTTCAGCTTCTCCTCTTCTCTCAACGGCAAAGATATTTGAAACCTTTGCTTGTTGGGACGCATTGATATATTAGACTATCAATTTAAATTCAGGATGCTCTTTTGGTAAAGTGACTACTCTAACATTGAGTGCATTGAAACAATAAGTTAATGGATTAATTGTCTATTTCACAAGATGAGCACCCAATAAGATTTTAGAAGTGATTTCAAAGTTAAGTAGAGTTTCGATTAACAACAACTTTTGATTTATTGCTTCAACTGAATCCAATGGAGGAAGAGGTTCTGTTTTTAAGTCTGTTACTGGTATGAATTCATAGAATCTACTTGATTTATCACAAATTTCAGTAAATATGTTTTGTATCCTCTTAATATCAAGATCTCCAGTTGATCTGAGTTTTTGTAGATCTTCCACACAATCTGTTAATTCATTCAAAATAGCCTTAGCTGCTTCCAATTGCTTTCTATCTAGTCTTTCAATAGGCATAGAATCCAAATCAATATGGAATTATTATAAATCCTTGTTGTACAATTTAACTTAGACAAATTACAACATGAACCTCCTGATTGCTTTGTCCAAATTACATTATTGATAAGGACTCTTCTTGCTGAAATCAAATGGAGTAAGCAAAGTCTTGTAATTTTTAACATTCTTGAAATGGATCAATTAATATTTTCCTGGTTTTTTCACAAACGGCTCTTCTCCAGATGAAACCTTCTTCCAATCATTTCCTCCAGTCTTTTAATGGAATATCTTATTGAACTCCTTAATAGCTTCCTCGGCATTTTCAAAAGGTGTCAATTGATGCTATCCACCTGTACCAATTCTTCCCCATCTTGTGAAGAGTATAAAAACATTTCTATTAATTTCATGCAAGAGTTGCATCTTATAAAAGACATTCTCTGAATAGATGCCATTTCCAATATCAACTTTTGTCATCTACAATGAATATGGGCCAGATTCTTTATCTATCCACACTTCAACCTTTCCAGAAGACTTAGCCCTCTCATCCACTATTTTTCTTGTGTCTTATTTCTAATCATCCAACTCTTCTACATTTTAATCCAAGAATTTCTAAGCATCTGCCTCAACATCAATCTCTTCCTCCACCCATTAGGCTTAAGAAATAACACTGGTTGGAAGTCTAGGCTGCTTTTATTTCTTGCCTTCTTTAGCATTCAATTTCTTAAGAACTTCAGCCATGGTTCCTGAATCTTGATCATTAGCATAATCCAAAGGTGTTCTACCAAGTTTATCAGGTTGATTGATATCAAATTGCTTTGACAACAATTACAACATCTCAATGTTCTCATATGATCCAAACTCAAGAGGCTAGACCACATAATGAATGGGTGTTCTATTCTAGGAATCCTGAGAGTGAAGTGCAACCTCAAACTTAGGATGATTCAATATATAGTTGACCAACTTCAAGGAGTTTATCTTGATACCTAACATTAATGATGTTTCTCCATTCTCAGTCTTTTCATTGATATCACAACCAGCATCTGTAAATTTATTGAGGATTATCTCATCTTCCAAATGATACTCCTAGATCAAGTACAAAATGGGAGTGATTTAATAATCCTTTCCTTTAACCTTAAATTTGACATTTAAATTGGTTTTCTTATCCTTCCATTGTTATAGTTCTACATCAGATACCAAAGCCTTGTACCTTTCTTACAATCTAATCGAAAATGGAGTATTCTGATCATTGTTGTAACTATTTGGGTCACTATCCGATTACAACAAATATTAAATCATTCCAAAAAAGTCATTTTGAGCAGCATAATGAAGTGGAGTATTATTCTAGTCATCCTTAGCATTTTTATCAACTTGTCTGCTTGCTAATTCATCAGCAATCATCAAAGCTATTTCTTCTGTACACTTCCTACCCTTTATTGAGAAAATATGGAAGAGGTTTTATTTATTTTTATTTTACTTCTACACAATCTCATCATCTTTCACTTTCATCAATAAAGTACGAACTAGTTTGAATTGCTCCTCCATTATTGCATCTTCAATGGCCCTTTGTAAATCATATCCATCTGAAATCAATAAATATGCCAATCCCTACCATCCCTATTTAATGGCTAATTTAAAGTAAGAATAGGTTCCTACTGGGAATTTGGTTGATTGCAATAAATGAATTTTGACTGATTTTTTATATTTCACTTATTGATGATTTCCATAATATGGGTTTGAAGCAGCAACCGCAGCTATCCTTTTTATTGGAGCCTTTCCTCCATATGACTTTCTCGCAGTCTATTTGGTTCTAGCACCTCCATAAAGTCCATTATCATCTTCCTCCTCTTCCTAGGCTTCGTCTTCTTGTTCTTCTTCTTCATCACTTATAAATTCGTCTTCCTATTCTATTGCCTCTCCCCTCTCGATTCTCTCCTTTATCTTCTTCCTTTCCTCCTTTCTAATCTTCTCATAATCAACAACAGTTGCGTATCTATTTACATCAGCTTTATTATCTATAAGCATGGTGCAGAAATTAGAATGGCCACATAAGAATGCCAAAGCCAGTGGAGTATTGCCATATTTATCAGGTACATCAATGGGGGCCTTCATTTTAATCATGTATCTTCCTGAGATCACACTTCCTCTCATAGCAGCATAATGAAGAGGAGATCTTTAATGGATATCCACAGTATCAACTGAACAATGTTTATCAGCTAAAACGGATGACACTGTTTCAAATGGATCAATCTCTTTAAAATCATTATCATATGTCATTTTTGTGAATGCATAGAAGAGTGGAGTTCTCTTATAGATGTCCAAGGCATTAGTGTTGGCTCCATTCTTAATTAACAAATGTTCCATCTCAAAGCTGGCATCTGCTTCAGAATTAGATGAATTGATAGCATGATGTAAGGCAGTCCTTTAAGAATGATCAGGGAAATTGGGATCAGCTTTAAATTTAGTTAAAAATATTCCCACAACTTTAATCTGATTTTCCCTTACCCAATTTTATATTGGAACTACATCATCCTCATTCAAATTATTAACACTACCTCCATTTGAGATCAGAAGATTCAAGATTCCATCTAATGTAAAATTGTATCTACAAGCTATTTAACTTGTTGGAGTATTCAATTTTTCATCTTTTACAGTAACATCAATCTTACTAATTACATACTCTAAAAATGTTTAACTGTTTTCATTTTCCCTACCACAAACTGGACTCATATTGCATGAATTTGCAAAAAGATGAATGGGATATATATTTTATTCCGCAGCTTAAGAAAAGGATATTGCCTTGATTTTATTGATCTCCTGTAAAAATGAAACACTATGATAAGACTTGAAAATAAAATGAGCTATGGTATAACGTCCCTCATCAATGTAGGGATGCTCTGAGTCTTCTTATTGAGGATCCTTTTATTCTCTAAATTACCTTCTCTTAATGATTGATGAATTAGAATCTGCTCCTAAATTAATGAGCAATTGATATAGTTTGATTACTAGTTCTTAAAGAGTCCAACACTCTTAATTAGTCTCATTAATCAAAACATCAATTTATTCTTTCTTTAAAAAGACTATAACTGGCTTATTTTTATAATAGAATGTTTTAGTGTGATATTAATCCTTAACATTTACAGCATTTCCTTAAGATTTTGAAAAAATATTAGTTGATCCAAGTAAACCTTTGGCACTTTTACTTGTTTTTTAATGATGATAGTCTTCTTCAGAATTATCATCATCTTCATTTTCCTCATCTTCTTCTTCATTTTCTTCATCTTCATCTCCTTCTTCATCTTCCTCATCTTCATGATTCTCTTCATCTTCCTCATCTTCATGATTCTCTTCATCTTCTTCCCTTTCTTCAACTTCTAGTTCATCTTCATCTTTTCCTTCTTCATTTTCATCTTCTCCTTCTTCTCCTTCATCTTCTTCATTTTCCTCTTCTTCTTGAAGCTTTTTCTTCCCATCTTTCTATTCGTTATTTTTCAACTTCTTTTCTTAATTAAGCTTCTCCTCCTCTTCTACTAATACCTTTTATTTCTCTTCAAATAATTTCTATAATAATACTGACACTTTTTTCTCATAAATCTTTGAATATTATTATTCAGCTGTGCTTGTAAATTCAGAAAATAGATAAAGTATTGGATTCCATCCATTTTCATCATATTAATTGACAAAAGTTGGATCTACTGTCTTAATGATATTCTATAAAATAGAAAATCCCTTTTCACTTTAGAATAATCTACATTCAATTAACTTATGCAAAATGTTTCTATCTTTTTTGTCAACATAATTAACAGTAGGAGTAGACAATTTCAATAATAATTCAGACACTTTGAAATTCTGACTCATTAATGATTGAATGAATGGAGTTTATCCATTATTGTCTTAAACATTAACATCTGAACCTGCATTAATTAAGAGTTCAATCATCTCGTGAACTAACTTCTCATACTTATTTTTGATATCTCTTCTTTCTGCTTTGCTCATTTCACTCCATTTAGGATAATATTACTTTGCATTCTTTCTTGACAATAATACTGCATAATGCAATGGAGTCTTCTCTTATAAATCTGCAATCTTGACATCAGCATTCTTCTCCAAAATCAAATATTTCATGTACTCAAATGAATCCACTGTAAACTTGCTTAAACTTGAAGAAATCAAAGTTCTGCCTTCATCATCTTTGCAATTAACATCAGTTGTTGGATAACTCAGCAACTTCTTAACAATTCCCAAATGATTCTTCTATAGAGCCACAGACAAAGGAGTCAATTTCCAAGAATTTGGTAAATTTTAATCAGCTCCTGCCTTCATCAGTTCCTCTATACATTCTGGAAAACCATAAGCTGCTGCATAGTGTAGAGGAGTATTTTTAGAACTGTCTGGCTAATCATATTCAGCTCCATGATAAAGCAACAAAGAAAGAATCTTTACGTTTCCATTACGAGCAGCCAAAGCACAAGAAGATCTTCCATATTTATCCTTGGCCAATACTTTTGCTCCCTATTCAATTAAATACTTAGCCAAATCATAAAAGCCATATGCACTAGCAATATTTAATGGAGTCATTCTATTTTATCCTGGCAAATTAATTTTTGCTCCATTTTTCAATAAAACCTTTACTGTCTCCAAATGTCCTCTCAGACAAGCGGCATGAATTGCAGCATTTCCATCTCTATTTTTTCCATCAATATTATTAGAAGCCAATAATTCGACATTATGTGTTCTACCATACTATGCTGCCAATATCAATGGTGTGCTCTTATTTCGATCTCCCTCTCTAACATCTATACTGTTATCCATTAAAAACTTAAGACAAGCTGAAGTTTATGAGACAGCAGCATAATGAACAGGTTTTCTGTGAATTTCATCTAAAATATTATATTCCTATGAAATTTCTAACAATTTCTATAGACATGCATGATTAGGGTTAATAGCTGCACAATGGATTGGAGTAATTAAATTAGAACCGCCTGATTTCTTTGTGGCTTAAGGTTTCTTTATATTACCTATGCGACTTGCACTTGTGTAATTCAAAACATCAACATGAACTTAATTAAATCCATACATATGTCCTTTATCCATTGCCATTTGAACCAAATAACCAGCTGTCTTCCAATTTCCGCTTCTGACTGCATATGCAGCTTTATCATAATATTAATGTTCGTCACCCAATTAGGCAATCATTAAACCAAATAATTCAGGATTAGTTTCGATTGTCATTAATATCTCTATTTAGTCCTCAGTTAAACTATCTTCCTGATCCAAATCATAAACAAAAGCATTGTTTCCTTCTCTTCCTCCTCTGCCTAAGGCGACCTTCCTTGTTCTAGAACCATAAGCATATTAATCGTTATATCCTGTTTATATTTCCTTGAGAGAACATCTAGGAGTAGTTCCCAATTTTACTTTTTCCATTGCCTTTAGAAATTAAAGCAACATAGCTTTATCTTATCTCTAAAATATAAGTTCAATAGCATTGACACCATTTTCAGGAGCCCATCTCTAAAAGAGATTACTAATTTTTAATGAATGAGCAAAAATATCATTTAATAATTTAGCATTTCCTGTTTGAGCAGCTCTAATCAACTCCTTATTATTCATGACAATGCTGGAATGATCAACGAATTTCGAAGATGTTCCTTCAAATTGTTCACTAGTCTACCTAATTTCTCTGTAATTGGGATTGGCTTTGCCTCTCATGAATTTTTTTGGTGGAGCAGGTTAGGATTTAGATTTCTTAGCACCTGCTTTCCCTTTCTTTTTCTTTTCTTCAACTGATTGAGATTGAACTTCATTATCCTCAAACTCTTCTTCAGATTCGTCAGATTCTTCCTTCTTCTAAGCTCTACCTCTCTTGATTTATTTTTTCTAAACTGGAGGTACTTCAACTTGAGCTTTCTTAGCCGATGGAGCTTATCTAGTGACTTTTTTCTTTTTCTATTCTTATTCACTTTGCTCTTCAGAACTCTCCTCACTTTCTTCCTATTTTACTTATTTTGTAGTTTTTTTATTTGTTTTCACTACCTTCTGTACTTACTTTTTTGTTGTTACTTACTTTTTGGGTGGTTACTCTTCAGAGGATTCTTCTTCTTCAACACTGTCCTCAGATTCAGCCTTTCTTTTTGTGTTTTTTTTGACTTCCTTTTTTTGAGTCTGTTCTTTTACTGCTTATTTTGTTCCTTTCTTTATTGTTTATTTCTTGGGGGGTTCCTCTTCTTCACTTTCACTTTCAGAACTCACCTATTTCTTTTACTACTTAGTATTGGCGGGAATTTGTTTAACGCTCTTTGCTATATCTTACAATGTATCCTATTGGAATACAAAAGATGTCACAGTTGATTTACTTCTTGGATTTGGTTTTGTGGATTTTACTTCAACATCTTCCACAATTTTACTAAAAAATAATATCTTTTCTTACGTTCTTTCCTTAACGGATAATAGTGCTTCTTATGACTCTTTGTAGACTACTTTGCCATCCTTTTGCTTCTCCTGCTACTCCAGTCTTACTACTTTTAATTAGGATTTGTGATCATTAGTTTTTAGATCTTCTACCACTTTGTAAAAGACCGGCTTGCCTTTTTCGCTTTACCCTAGGATCTAGTCCTTCTTGAATTGATATGCATAGTTAGGTTCTGTCTTTTATCCACGAGTCTTCATTTATGTTTAATATTAAATTAAATTAAAAAATCTGATGGATTTTTGATTAAATTTTATATGGGGTATCCAAATTATTATAAATAAATAAATAATTAAATTCTCAATTAATTTTTTCCAAACTTATACATTCTATTTAACTTCTCAATTCTTTAACATCCTCTTAAATGTTATCGAAAGTAGGATGGTGATTTGCATATTCAAAATTAATAGGACTGTATTCATTCAAAATTCTTCGCTAATGAAAAGGCGAAATATCTAAAGAATGAATTCCATCAAATTATTTTGAATCGAAAGAATCCAAGCCTTATATCAAATTAATAGATGGCTGAATTCTATTTGAAGGGGTTCGATTCTATATGTTAATAAATGATTCGTTTTTCAAAGAATCGTTTTTTGTATTGTCGTGCTCTTCCCTTATTGATTAAATGGTCTCCAGAGGCTGATATATCTATATCGGAGGAGGAATGTGAGGTTATTCAGAAATAGAAGACTCTACATCATTGTCCTCGTCATCTGATTTTTCCTCCAACATACTCACTCTCTTAATGTATGAATAAAATCTATTCTTCACTTAATTTTCCTATTTTAATTTTAAACACTACTTACTGGTCTTCTGTCTAACATCTTAGCAATTTCACTCCACTTTGGTCCATAAATTCTATACTACTCCAATATTATTTTATCCTCCAGGGCTGTGAATTTTGATCGATTAATCTCTGGGTCCAAATTATTTAAAAATCTCTCTCGTATTTATTTACTAGAACGTCCTTCCATGAACCCTTCGATTACCTTCCAATTTCGACCATATTCCTAAACAAGTTCAAATACTTTTTTGTCCTCCTCATCCGTCCATTGTTTACGCAATTTTGTCTAAAATTCTATAACCATCCAAACTACCTTATTGGGATTGATCCTCTTCCATCTCTATTGACATTAACTTAAATTTCTCCCAGGAATTTCTTCAGAAATCTACCGCCAATTTCCATTATATTTTCTATGCAATTCAATAAGCAAGGTGTCCTCATTAGCTTTCCAAAACTTTCCATACCTCCTTTCTGATGAACTAGAATCAGAGTCCTTGTTCTGCTTTCTAATAGACTTATTGATAGATGGTGATCTCTATTAGAACCAAAATAATTACTTTGAGTTTCCTCTCTAGCTACTCATATTTTTAATTAATTTAATCACTACTCAACATTGATTTTGAATTAAATCTTTAAGTGTAAACTATAATTATAAAAATGTCATCAAAAATTAAATCAAATAATTTATCTAAACTCTGGAAGGGTTAACAACCGATTATGTTACTTCTATGGCTTTTTAAGCGGTTTAAGATACATCTACACATTAGCTTTTAATTTCCTTGGAGATGGAACTAAAGTCGTAGTCATTGTGGCTGGTGTTCTAGGAGTCAATACTTTCTAAAAATCGCTAGGGAGAAAGGGAATCGAACGATATTTATCAAAAATTTTTCGATGATTGGAAAATTTTCTCCTTTAATCAACTACAATCTGTTGCTGTTTAATTAAGAAGGAGTCGAAAAAGCTAGACTTGCTTTTGGTCTGATTGGAACATGTTTATGGAGCAATATCTTCCAGATGCTCGAACGAATTTATAATAAAATCATTATTAGGTTCACCACCCTCCTCTATTTGGATACTCTTCATATTCATATATTATGGATATAGCTTTTCGTATTGTTTCTTTTGAGTTCTTTAAAACTTATTTGCTAGAGCCTCTTGCTCCCTTATTTATTAAATAATAAAAACACCATCCTTCATTGAATCCCTTTGAAAGATTGTTTCCTTCCCACATAATGAACAATCACAACTCTTCCTCTGCTGTCTTTCTTTGACTTCAATGAGTTTTTGAGACTATTTAGCATTGGTTGCCAATGAACCCCTTTTCTATGGAGATTATTCCCTTGTTTGAAGTTCCTCATTAGTTTCTTTTCGAGATGGATGGACGTTTTTATGTTAAGTTTCAAATCTGTACAAGAATCTTTGATTATGTGGCAAACTGAAGCTTCGTTTAATCCTCTGAGCATGAACATTTCTCAATAGCACGTTCTTCATTTATGCCAATTTCTTTCTCTCAATTCGCTCTGTAAGAGGTTGAAAGTGAACTTATAAATACGGTTTTCTTTATTTAATATTTTGCATAATTTTATTTAATCATTTATACAAATGACCACTCTAATGCAACTCATGAAGTGTTTTCAATAGATTCTCAACAAAATTAACTTATATTTCCTTAGGGATAGTACGGAATGCTGGAAAATGAACAAATAAGCATGCTGATTTTGGGCATACGTGACTTTTTAATAAAGAACAATAATAAATGAAGTTACAAATATATCTCCCTGGATCCGTAGATTCTTCAACAGGAAATTATTTTCCTAATTTCTCCACTAACAATTCAGTATTTAGTTTAGTTTGTCTACAATAATCTTTTTCGCAATCCTTCTCTATGCATTCATTATGGGCTAGGTATCCTTTCATATCAGGAATTCCAAAATCCTTTAAATTGTAGCCACATTGCTCAATGTTAAATTCCTAAGATCCATCATAAACTCCAAAATGAATATTCAAAGTATGATCAGGCAGATTATTCACATATTATTCACAAGCCACTGTAGAAACTTCTAATACCTCCGAATGAATGATCTCATATTTTTTTTTAAATTCCTCCGTAAACTCTGATACCATAACACTTGTAGGATTAGTAACTACATTACCAAATTTCCCAAAAGCACTTATTGTTATTTGTAATTTATTGTTATTATCCATTTTTAATTAAATTTTTTATGATTAATTATATATTTATTCATAACTCAGCAATTATTTGATATAACCAAACAAGTAGTTTTTAAGATTCCTAGAAATCACATTCTACTAATAATTTAATTTGGAATTTATCAGAAATTAAGAGAGAAACATTGAAACCTCCTTATTAGAGATGTATATCATTCAATTAAAATTTCATTTAGAAAATTCTTAATTTTCATTATAATATAAATTAATCATATTATGTATTAAAATGGATAGAACATAATCCATAATTATTAAGTGTGTAAATTTAATTCTATTATTTGTAATATAGATGAATAATGAGAAAATTCTAAAATATATGTGATTTATAGTTCCTACATTATTCTTATTCAATAATATAGATGGATTTAAGTGCATAGTTATTTTTATATTCATTTAAGTTAAATTGATTGAGGTAAAATTACTTGTATCATTTTTGTTTATACATGAATAATTTAATATTTTTAAGATTTTATAACTTTTTATGGAAGAAATGCTATTAAACTCAACAATCGATTCGAAAAATTTGAAACTACACTTTTCTTTATTCAAATGATATAGTAATTTAATAATATTTTCCATAGTAAATTTTGGGGTATTTATAAAAATTTGACTAAGCAGGATGTAAATTGATAGACTATGTATTAGAATTTCTATTAGATATCAATAAATAACTTATATAAAAGATTTAAATTATAATATGTTTTAAATGAAAATCATTATTACTCTGTCCATCTTGATGAATCTAATTCGTCAAATTTAACTAATAATTCAGGCTGGTCAACTTAGTCACCTTCAATTTAATCATGAACATCTTGGATGTTGAGAAATAATGATTGAATTTACTTAGGTGCCTAATCAATTTTTTTAATATTTCCAACATGATTTGCTCCTTCATTAGCATCATTTTCGGATGTTCCCCAGATATTTTAAATAGTTTTTTTTTAAGCATATTTAATGGGTTATTGATGACTATTTAAACTTGGTTTCTTTTTGATTTTATCTAATCTTTTAGGTATTGGTAAATAACTAAGTTTTTCTTCTTCTTCTTTTTAGAATAGTTAATCATACATGGTTAACTAAACTATTTGTTCATTTTATTCACCTTTGAAAATAATTTAGCTGGTTTCTTATTCTAAAAAATCCATATTTATTGCTTTTAATTCGATATTTTTCTCAATGATAAATTTGTTATTCTCTTTTTTTTGATGGTCTGATGAGGATTCTTTTTCTTGGATATCTATTTTGTTCTATTCTTGGGTGAGATTTTAAGAATTTATGCAATGATCTTAATTTTTTAATTCATCTAGTTGTAAATTGGAACCTAGGTTGTCTGTTTGCTAAGGTTGTGTGATGTCTTCATTATTAGGGGTTTGTGCTAATTACTTGTCTTCTTTCGATTAATATATAGGTTTATCAAGATCTTTGGATTCGGGTTGGGATTGGTCTTTCTTTAATTTCAATTCTTGAGATGAGAATTAGGTGTTTTTTAAGTCTGGGAGATTGATGGCAAATAGGTTGGAATAATAAGGTGTTCGTTGCCTTTACAGAATACTTTTTCCAGTTGATCTAAATCGGATTGCTTCCAAGTAGTTCAGCCACAGCATGTAAATTTCATTTGATTATGCCACTAAAACAATGTATTTATCGGTCAAGTAAATTGTAAATCCAAAGGCTTCTTTCCACTCAACTCCTTAATTGGAAAGAGCATAATGTGGTTTATCAGAAACAGACTGTACTTCCTAAAATGAATAGCAAAGATACTTCAAAGGGGATATAGGTGATATCATTAAGAGAGTATCGTTCTTTGTTGGAATAGTAGAGTGTTATTTCAAGGAGATTTAGAGTAAAGTAGCGCTTATTGTAATCTTAAAATATTCTTGAAAGGCCTGGAAGTGGTTTCATCTTTTTAAACCAATCGGATATTTAAGGTTTAAGAGTTTAAGTGTATCGTTGGTCAATAATAAACTTGGAATGCACTAAGTCCCTCTGAGTTCTTTCCAAATATTTTATTTTTTTGGACATTCTTAAATAAGTAATATAGTTATTTAGATAAATTACACTTATGAACAAATTCGTTCTGATGCTTTTTATTAATAATTGTAATATAAATTTTATTATGAAGATCTATAAATCATTTGCATTTGATCAAAACATTCCGTAGACCGATTACGAGAAGTACATCAATCCTGACGACTTGTTGAATGAGAGTTTCGAGGAATTGAAAGGAGAGTTCAAAAATTACAGAACCAAGAAAGGAAGAGACATAATAAAACAAGAGATGGAAATGAGAAAGCAACTGCAAATGAAGAGTATCACCATAATTTATTGTAGGGAAAAAAAATTAATCTGGTTTGGTGGTCTAACAAAAAAAGCATGAGGACCAAGATAATCAAAAAGACATGCTCGGAAACATTGGATTGCTGATTCGGTAGTAAGAGAGGAAGTGCAAATAAATTAAAAAGGAAGTGCAGTCGCGTACATAATTGAATATAGACATGCAGCAAACTTTGGTTAGGACTATACAACGATGAAACAGAAAATCCAGTAATTTATTTATGGGGACAATTTAGGAAGACTGATGTGACAAAATAACCAATATTCAGTTAAGAAGACTTTGCTAAGTTGATTCAAAGGGAAGATGAGGATGAATTGATTCAAACACAAACAAGGACAATGCATAAACCCAGAGAGTATTAATATTCTTGCTAATATTAGGGGTTTCAAGTCTCGATTCATTGAGAAGCAAATCCCAATGTATAAGAATATGGAGCAGTCCTCCGAAATCGATTCAAAAAAATAAGTGGACAGCAAAATATTGACAAAATCAAATAAGACAATTAAACAGTATAATACCTGATTAGAATTTACATAGATTTGGTCTTTAATAATCTCGAGAGTCCCCTTCCAACGCAATGTTTGAAGGCGAGGCAAAACGCATATCAAAATCATATCTCTATAAGACTTGGCTTAAAGGAGAGGAAGCATAAAACAAGAAACTCAAAAAGCCAAGAAGGACAGAGTCTTATCATAAGGCAGCTGCTTAAAGGGAAGAAATAAAAAGTTAATTGAAAGAAAGAGCTTAAGTGGCATTCAAACGTTATGAAAGTATGGGGAAGAGTATTACATTTATTAAAATCTTAAGCATGGGAAAAGTTCGGAGTATTTTCATAGGACATTTTGGATTTCAGAATGCAAACCTTAAAAGAGGCTAAAATCTAAAGATTGTATTAAATTAAAAATTATCAAGATTACTTGAGCAATAAGAGCATGATCTTAAGAAGGTCGAAGCGAATGAGTAATTTATTAATGTATTTTAAAAGATAGAGAGACCCGGACATGCTCACTCGATTAGTGAAGGTGATCACTAAACCTAATTCGGATAACAAAGAAGAAGTCAAAACCAACTTTGAGTATCATGAACAAAGACTTAAGGATATGAGAACAAGGACTAGATAAATTTAGAGAGCTGGATTTTGAATAATTATATTTATAAATTAATGCTATAAAGATAAAAACATGAACTTAAGGAATAATTTTAGGATAGAAAGAGGTTTTATGAAGTAGTCTATAAAAAGAATGCCGACAGAGCAATCGTATTGAGCAATATTTATGTTAATATCAAATACATGGGGAACAAATATTCAAAAGAATTAGAGGATGAGTTGAATTAATATATAGCATTGTTATGAAAATTTGAGATATAAATTAAATCTTTTTTTTTAAAAAGTATTATGATCATCTAGGTGGGTCACCTTAATGGAGAGGTGAAAACATACAACTTAGCAGATTAGAGTACTGCAGCTGAATTAATGAATGTTTTGAACTCTGAATTGGCATGTCAAGTTCAATTGGTTTAATCCGGAGAATTAGTCAATGCATCCTCAATTTTGGCAGGTGAAAGAATCTATTATGTCACCGTTGATGCAGAAGGAGGTAAGAAAAAGAAGAAAAAGAAGAAGAATTTTGCCAAGCCCAAAAAGAAGAAGCACCGACACCGAAAAGTTAAGTTGGCTACCCTCAAATTATACAACGTCGACAATAAGGGTGTTGTCCAAAGATCTCACAAATAATGTCCTCAATGTCCCTAAGGTGTTTACATGGCCAAACACTTTGACAGACATTACTGTGGTACTTGCCACCAAACCTTCAGAATGGACGAAGCTACAGTAAGATTAATAACTATTTTTTAAGATTAAAGCCAACTTAGAAGCAATCAAAAAATAATAAGCTGCCAAAGCTGCTGCTGCCGCCGCTGCTGCCCCAGCTGGTGGAGCTGCCGATAAAGGTGCTGCTGGAGGAAAAAAAGGAAAGAAGAAGTGAAATATATATTATCTAGTATATTAATACACAATTTAACAAATAATAAAATCTCAAAGGATTTCATCTTTGCTCCCTTATTTTTGTATAATTAAACTAAAAATAATTTCAATTTCTTCCCAAACTTCAATGAATCATAGCATTTATTTATATCAAATATATAGTAATCTTTCCTTTATCTAACTTTGAGCTTCACTCTTTACATTTTCAAACTATTTAATAATTAATCAATTACTATAACTATTTACTATCAAATAATAGCTCTAAAAGGGATATCTACTAATTTACTAATGCTATTAAACTAATAATAAGAGAACTATAAATAATTTTTAATTTCTTGATAAATCCTCTACTTATATGTTCTACTCCTACATTTTAAACTCTAATTATTTCTTTATATTTTAAGAAATAGTTTTGATTCAGCAAATTAAAATTGAATTAAGGTATTAGATATATGTAAGAGTATTAAACTTGTATTATTTTTTCATTTCCCTTTTGTACTCTTCTTATTATATCTTTTCTCTCTTCAAATAACTTAGATTATAATCTGCACTAGTACTTTTCATATCAGAGGTTGCAACTACAATATTCTTTAGTGTTATAATACACTATCTAACTAAGCTAGATTTCATATGCTTTTCTTCAAATTATAGTTTCATATATAATTTTCAACCTATCTTAATACTACGCCTCGAACAAGGTTGATTCAAATTATCAACTTTCTAAAGAGTTCAAGGATTCCAATCTTATGACATAATTTTATAAAAAAATGATGTAATGTACTCTTAAAAAATAAAGGAAAGGAGATTTGCTTAATATTATGTAATACAAGATTATTATTTTAATATTATGAATTTAATCAATTAATGTTAATAATCAAATATTTCATGCATATGTTATTCAATTTTGGTTGGATATGCTACTATAATTACACTTATAGCTTTTAAAGCTATAAACAGAATGATGAAGTCTTCAATTAGTAATCAAGAATTAACTCCAATGATATTATGCATTGTATAATCTCTCTTACATATTATTCAATATGCTGTGACTGAAAACAATACCATACAAATAATTACCCTCTATTTTTAAATCCTTATTTTCACATCGATTTCCTTTTTATTTGCAAAACTTTGCTATTAAGTGAAGACTGGGACACTTATTTTGAGAAGCTTTAAAATGTTTAAAATTCTACAATTTATTTTTTATGGAATAATTTTGGTATTTTAAGTTTTTGCCCTCATATTGTCAAACAAGGACTCATGTGATAAGTAAAGCAACTTCTTAATAATTTAGATATTATTATCTTAGCATAATTCTAATTATTGTTTAACAAATTTCCTCTGCAATCATTACAGGATATTTTGGAAATAATTTACTTAAAAAACTCTCAAGAGTGAGTTAATACATACAATTTAAAACCATGAATCCAAATGCGTAATCAATTAATAAATCTTAGTGTTTATGATTCGTATATCAAATTGTCCTTGTGTAATCCAAGAGCTACGATCATAGAGCCAAGAGAATTGATTTAAACAACCAAGTAAATTAAAATTGTCCTATGGCTAATGCTAATAACCATAGTCTTATACATATCCTTCATTTTAATTGCTATACTAAGATTCAAAAAAGTGACTTGTGAGCATACAATAGACAAGAATAATTACAACATCTTAATCGTAGTGTATGGAATCATTTAAATGACTCCATGTCTGGTGATTCCTTATGCATTTGGATTTATTCCACAAGTGTAGGCTTAAGGTTAAGAATACGATGATTGCCTCATAATTTTAGACAAATCCTAGGTAAAATCAAAAGATTCAATTCAAATTTGAATTTCATATATGATGTAACTAAGATAATTATATATCCATTGATTCAGTATAGAATTATTATAAAACAAACAAAAAAATTCAATAATTATGCAATTTTCTATGATGATTAAATTAATCATTTAATAAATATTTTAAATCTGAGGTCTTTTTTCTATTGTTATGAATTCTATCATATTAACAATAGAGCTCGTTCTCCTGTAACATAAAATTTAATTCTAATTAGTGCTATCTAATATTTTTATATTCTTTAGTAGATCCAAATATACCTGCTATTTCATGAGTCCTTTAAATTTTAGTTTCTGAAAATAGAGTATTCTATTCTTAAATAGAAATCAAATGTATAATTTTATTAGATATTTATCATTATGGTTTGAGGAAAAAGATAAATTTCAAGAATTTATTAAAAAAACCATATAATGAATAATAACATACGTATCAAACTACTTCCAGGCTTCTTCAACTTACATTAGAAACCTAGTTTATAAATTTAAATTAAATGATCAAAGAGAGAAATCTAATTATTAAAGTAATATTGTAAAAGTCATTAATAGAAAATAAGATTCAACTATTATTTAGTTGAAAGATTCAAAATTTAATTTTTTTTTACCAATGATATGTTTTATCTAGGTTTGAGTGAAAGAACTCAATTAACATCTCTTACAAGTTCAAAAATTGATATCAATATGTTCCATTAATGTACAAAACTCAGTCGTAATAATATTCTATTATTGTATGATTTTTTAATAATTTAATAATTATTTGAAAATTCTAGTTCGAAAAAGATGAATTAGAAAAGCTTTTTAACTTGGTTCTAATTATTATTAAAAAGTGATTAACCTATTGTATTAGACTAAACTAATTGGCTTAGTTTTGTTAGCGAAGTGCTGGATGTAATCTGCAGCTTTTTAATGAATAAAATTGACTCAAAAGGTGACATATTTTAAAGACAACAAATTTAATCTATAATCGAGTTACTCTAAAAGCTGATTTCTATTCTCAAAAAATTCGATGAAAATAGCATAAATGAATTATTGAAGTTTATATTTTTAGTATTTTTGGATAAATATTTAATAGGTATCTAAAGAAATTCCAGAACTTGAACAATTAAATGTTGAGATGAATGAATAGGATTAATATTAGATGTTTCAAGAATTAAATCTAACAGATAATGAAATTATATAGTTAAATTTTTCTAAATATGAACTTCTTTAAATAATTGAACATGTTGAAGAAAAGTATAAATAGACTAAAGAACAATTGGAGTAAATTTTACCATAGTTTGAAAAAGCATAGGAGAGCCTTAAATTGTCAATAATTGCAAAGGAGGAAGAAAATAAAATGCTGAATAAATGTAAATAATTGTAATTATTTTAGAAATTGAAGAATTAGTTGCAGAAATTGATCGATTAAGTATCATCAATACTGACTAATAAACTATTCTAAATTAAATTAGCGAATAACATTAAAGCAATCCAGATCATAGTTAATTGCTGTAATATTTACAAAGGTAAATATTTATTATATCATTTAGGCAACATAGTGTTATATAGGAATAGGAACATGAATTAGAAGAATTGCGTAAGATCTTTGCTAAAAAACAATTAAACAATATCTTTTAAGACAAAGAAAATTATACCAATATTTAAACTTTAGAAAGCAGAATATTTATTTATTCAGAAAAATTAAAAGAATTAAATTAATTGGTGTAAACACTATAAAAAGATTTAGTCAAATTAGAAATTTAAAAATCATTAGTGGAGAAGAAATTAGAGGAAACAACCTAACAAAAAGATTCAGAAATACAAAAACTTAAATTAGAAATTGATGATATCTAATTGCAGAACCAAAAACTATAATCTGAAATAAATACAAGATCTAAAGTTCTTTCGATTCATTCCTAATCCTCTTAACATTTATTGGCTTAGGAACTTTAGGAGAGTCATGTTAAGATTCAGAATTATGAAAAGAATTCTGATGGAATATAAACAAATGCAGCATATCTATCATAAATTGAAGAACACTTTTTAGCGGAAAAGGAACAGTATCATTAGATAATATATAATTTGATGGCAGATTAAAAAAAATAGGAAAAACTGTATAACGATTTGCAGAAAGAAAATGCTTAAATTTAGCAAAATTATCAACATTTGTTAAAAATAAAATATGAAACAGGAAACCTGACTCCCAAAATTAAGAAATTAGAACTCTAAAATGAATTACTTAAAAAAATAGTGGATGGCTTTATTTAAACAAATAGTTAATGTTGAATTATATATAAAATAAATATGTTTTTAATTTTATTCAGAATAAAAATTGTAATACAATTTCATTTTTTATTGATGATTAGCCATAATTACAATCAGAAAAAGCATTATCAAAAAATGAAAATATAAAATTATCAAATTTAACATACAAATTCTTAAGTAACAACAACGAAATTTTTAAAACAACCATTATTAATAATTTTTAACCGCTTTAGTTTAAAGCTAGAAGATTTAGATTAAATTCATTAATATGATTCAATAATTTTAAATAAAGGGAACCAAATCAACCTATATAATCTATGATAAGATCCTGGGTAAAGGGGCTTACGGCATAGTTTTATTAGCACAGGCTCTAAATTCTGGAAAGTAGTTTGCTGCTAAAATTGTAAAATAATGTTTTTTTCATGTTTTTAAGATAAACAAAAAATCGCTCAGTCCAACTGACATAGTAAATTTGAGGAATGAAATCAATATATAATCCAAATTATCTCATGCCAATATTGTTTCAATGGAAGATGCTTTTGAAGATAATGATTACTTATACATGCTGCTTGAATACTGTAGCGGAGGATGCTTATTTAAAAATATGTAATTAAACGGTCCATTAAGAGAAGAAAAAGCCTATAAATACTTTGTTTAAATAGTTTAAGCTTTGCAATATTTGCATTCAAATAAAATTCTTCATCGAGATATTAAAGTGTTTTATTTTCTTAAGTTAGTTATCTAATTTACTTTTAGACAAAGAAGACAAGATAAAATTGGCTGATTTTACATGGAGTACTTCTCTTTCATTAGGATACACATCTCCTTAAATATGTGGAACAATAGAATATATGCCACCTGAAGTTTTTAAAAAAGGATTCTAAACCGAAAAGCTAGACATTTGGAGTTTAGGAATAGTGCTCTATGTATATTAGTTTGATAACATTATAGGAAATGCTTCACAATGATCTCCCTAAAAAGGGATAATTTTTTCTCAAACAGGGAATCAGTGAGGAATGCATATAATTAATGAAGTAGAATTTAGAGGTGGATACGGTAAAAAGACCTTCTGCTTAAGAAATACTTTCCAGTCCATGGATTCAAAAGTTCCAAAGAAATAACAGATTGATCATCAATACTTGCAGAAGTTATTCTGGATTTAAAGATAAAATGGGATATCTAAATAAAATCGTTTAAATAGGTTCTCCAATGGCTTCACCATTAAGGACTGCTTTCGGATCCCCTTTTGGTTCACCATTAAATTCTCCACTGGGAAAAGGCAAAATCGAAAAAAAACAAGGATCAAATGGCCCAGAGGAAAAATACAGATTTAGTAATTAAAAACTTTACTGATTTTTACCTTTAATATCTTTCTATACACAAATATCTGTAACATAATTCTTAGTATTATCTTTAATAATACAAAATTAATTTAAAATCTACATACATTCGTATAATAAAAGTGATTTCTAGAGTATGCTAAAAGATTTTATCATCTTTTCAATTTACAATTATTTTCTAGGTGTTGTAGAAATATATTATTATTAATGCTATTTAGAATTTTGTTTAACTTAACTTCATGCTCAGAGTAATATCTGATAACTTTCTCTTTAGGAATATTTAATTCTTATATGCTGTGCTTGTATTTTATATTAACATAACATTTAAGACCCAGTGTTTCATATTGCTAAAGTTGATTTGAATTCCACCTATTTTATATTGTAGCAACTTAATAGAGTAGCAAATATTTGGAGTACATAAATAAGAATTAATTTATTCTCATCATAAAATAACACATTAATTTTATAAAAATATAAGTAGGTTTGTTATATAAAATTAATAATAAATACATTAAATGAAACTAACCTTTACCTTTTAAATGCGAATGTAAAATGATAATTGTTTAAATAATAATATTAGGCAAAAGCTGACTCTTATATAATAATGATAAAGAATATTTTATCTAAATTTAATAAGTAATTCTTTGATCTTTTAAAAGCTATTTATATTTGATAATCATAGTAATCAAGCAATATAGAAGTAATTTGTTACTTGTTTTGTGTTGTGAATTAAAATTAAAATACTAGGTTAATCTAAAAATTAGTGTAAGATGAATTGAAGAATTAATGATTTTTATGGTTAATTTGAAGGATGTTGCTTAAATTAGCTATAAATATTTTATTAAAATTTGAAGTAATGAAGAAATGTTATATAATATCTTTGAAAAGATGTGAATGGAAATAGGTTTAATTTAATTTTGATAATCATTAATTAGATTAAATATTGTGAATAACAATGTAAATGGGAAACAAAGTTTTTGTTTTTACATAACAAGATTTCTAAAAATGTTTTGTTGTCAACTTAAACCCTCCTCTAGGCTAAGGACATGATGCAAGAGTCTATTTGGCTATGCATAAGAAGACAGGTGAAATGTTTGCATTAAAAGTACTAACTAATCTGTCGCAGGATCATATCATAAATCTCTAGGTTTTTTTACATTTTATTTAGCGAACGAAATACAAATACTTAAGCGCATTGATAATCCAGGAACAGTTTTACTGAAGGGACATTCGGAAGATTATACTTGTGTTCTATTGGAGTACATGCCTAATGACACATTTTTAAAGATCCTAAAAAAGGGACCTTTTCCATTTCCTTTGGCAAAGACTCTATCTGGCTATCTAATTAAGGTATTGGGCACTCTTCATACTGATGGGATTGCTCATTGCGACATAAAACCAGAGAACATTTTGATTGCAGCTGACTATAATCTAAAACTGTGTGATTTTGGATTTGCCAGAGTCTCAAATTAAAATTTAAGACCTGCTGGAGGAACTCCAGGATACACTGCTCCAGAATTGTATGTGAATGAGACAATCAATTTTTTTAAATGTGACATCTTTGCTTTGGGAGTAGTATTGTTTATAATAGCGTTGGGATTCCCTCCATTTTAAACGAATGATCCGAATTCAAGAGATGGGTGGTGGGCATTAATCTATAATAAATAATATGAATTATTCTGGAGCAAGTGCGAAGGTTTTAGATAACAACAATTTCCCAAAGAATTTAAGACTATGATTATGTCGATGTTAGAGATTGATCCTGATAGGAGGATATCCTTAGACAAATTGCTGGAACATGAATTCCTGATGGATGGAGCAACTGAGGAGGAAGTATTAATGGAGATACAGAAGAGGGTGAAGGAATGAAAAATGAGAATAGAGATTAGCAAAATATTATAAAATCAATTATTTAAAAAAATGTTTCGTATCTACAAACCATTCTTATATTCCATTCCAATTTTGGATTCAGTATTTTATATATAATAAGAATTACCTCTCATCTTTTAGAGGGAACTTAAAGATCTAAGGTGGATGTAGAGGAGCATTTCTGCCCTTGATGTGATTATTCAATATCTTACGATAATTCAATGGATAAGTGCATCATAAAGCTAAACACTTTATTATTTATTTATTATATATATATGCAAAGGCTTCTCAAACCAATAACCATATCTTAACCAATTCTACAAAGAATAGAGAACACAAGATCAGATTGCTCTTCTGATGAAGACCTTAGTTTTATTGAAACTCTAAGAGCCGAAGCTCAAAATCCCATGATAAAGAACTTCTAGGGAATGGAGTGCCTTGTGGATGACACAAAAGATATAGAAGAATTCCTTAATTCTCTTGATTGAAACCAATGAAAACAAGGGACTAACCACTTGTTGGCATGAACCTTGTTTTCGACTGATTATAATCATAAAAACTTTTAATCAAAAACATTCTTCAAAATCTTTACCAAACCCTCACGTTGCTTAGTTCTTTTAAGCCATGTCTAAGAATTGACCAAAAATAACCTTGAATCTGATACAATACAGACAAGTTCAGCATAGTAAATATGAAAGGCAATAGTAATATTTACATCATTCTAATGTTCGAATTCAAACAATAAAAACATTTATTCCTTGAATCCACATGATACTTTATTGTGAACTAAGTTGAATTTTGTAAGTTCTCCTTTTGTTATCACAAATGGATATATATTGAAAATTAAGCATACGTTTTTTGATCTTTTATATGAATAATTAAAAGATGATAATCTATATTTAATTACATCCCTTGTTGTAAGGGATTCACGAGAGGTCATAATGAAACTAGCAATATTATTAAATAACTTAAAGTGCATAATTCCTAAAGAATTCTTAACTATTACATTTTTTATAATTAAAATTTAACCATTCGAATTAATATTGTTAAGTCCTTCATGATAACTAAAATTATATGCATCTTGTTGATTTATAAACAATTTGAAATTATTTAGATGTATAATAAAAATGAATCTCAGTCTTAATAATCATCATCCACCAATGATAAGGTCTAGGTTTGAGTTTCCTACTTAACATTTATCCCATCTTAATCTTCTTCTTCTTTTTATACACCAACCTTCTCTCCATCCTTTTCACAACATACCTACTTTTTGACAAACTTTGGCTTCACAAACTACTATTGCACTTATTTTGGTTATTATTGAACCACAACCTATTTGAGATGTTAAGTAACACTATGCATAGTTTTATCTCTAAATTTGAATTATAATTATACACTTTGTCATCTGCATCAGACAATCTCTTAACTTTGAATTAATCTTTGTAATCTTTTTGTTTTTCCCATTCTTCTTGTAGTTCAAGGGCATCTAAATCGTAAAAGAGTTATTTAAGCAACATGTCAGGAGTGAATTAAGTTTGTCTTCTATTGAGTTGATGGGTATCATCAATGGCATCTAAGATGTCCATTTCTTTCTTGGAGTCATGAGTCTTATTTTCTAAGAATTTCATGGAATCTCCTTGTTCTTCGTTGGCCCTCATTTATTTAAGAACCTCTTCGGCTGCTTTTGCATCTCGATAAGGATCGTAATTTCTGGTTCCTCCTCCTTCAACTATGTAATCATGATTTCGAGGATCAGTCTTGAAAGTGATTTCAGCATAGCAATATCTAATAGATGGATTGTATTGAGTACGTGCATTTAAAGTAGAATCTATGAATGAGAATGCCCAGATAGTTTTCAGTCCACACAGTCTCCTTCCTCATATTAAATTTTGTTCCGATATAGAGATAATTACCACAATGATTGCATTTCACAGTCATAGGAAGCATATTTCTAACATTGTCCTGTTTTCCCTTTGGACGATGATTGTTTGGCAATAACTTGGGATCAAAATCAGGCGGATAATATTTAACTAAAACTTTTCTTTCTGCCATTAAATAATAATAATATTTATGATGTAGATCCAAAGAATTAGCAAGTCAATATAAAGTGATTCTACTTTAAATAAGTCTAATTAGAATAAAATAATGAATTCATCTAAGTAGAACGAGGAACAAGGACAAAGAGACTTTTTTAAATTATAGGCCATACTTGAATAGAAAACAAAAATTGATAAAACCTAGAAATCTAATCCATCTCATAAACCATAGTCATAAAGCATATCAGAATTCAAAATAAAAGATTCAATTAAGAATAAACCAAATAGTAATGTGATTACCAAGAATCATGATGTATAGAAAAAGTAAATAAAGGAGCTTGTAGTTAAGCAGAAAGAAGGTGAAAAACACCATGTCAAATAAGAAATAGCTCAATTCGAAAAAGTAAAGAAGCATATTAAAACCAATCCTTCAACTTCTGTGCAACAAGCACCTAAACAGAAAGAAGCGAAGGACAATTCTTATTAGCCTTTAAAAATACATAAACCTATGATCAAAGAAAAGGTAATTTAAAAGGATGACGACGAGCCAAATGATTATTAGAATGAAATTATCATATAAAAGAAAAATAACCAAAGCAATGATAAACAAGTTTCTATAAAGAAGGAGCAAGCAGAAGAAACAAAAAAACTTTAGCCTGTACTTTTAGCAAATTCGCAACCTTAGAAATAATAAATTAAAAAAGATCTTGGAGAGGAATAACTCATGTAATTACTATTAAGTTCATCCAACAAAAGTGCTAAGAAGAGTAAAAATAAGGAGAAAGAAAAGCAAAAGCAGCTAAAATCTTAGGAATCCAAAAGTTAAAATCCCTAATCCAATTCATCTATCAAGAGGGATTAAATCAAGGAATTATAGAGCTAGAAATCAAAGCCTTTTTCAATTAAACCCTAAATCAAAGACTTAAGCATTTAAAAAATAAGCAAATAAAAGAATTAAATTAATGATGATTACGATTTAGATGATTCGTTTATAAATGATTCAGAGAGTGTGGACGTGGAGATCGATCCAAAAGAAGTGGTCACTGAATTAAAAAAGCTGCAGAGGTATTTCTTATGTTTTTAAGTTTAGGAAAAAGGAAGGCAGAAAGTAGAGTGATCTGGACGATGACATTGAAGAGGCTGGGTTCGATGTCATGTTGAAGGAGGAAAAGAAGTCTAGAGTGTTGGGGATTATAGATGACTACAGAGAAGAGAAGTATATAAAGAAAGAAATTAAAAAAGAGAAACAACAGAAGAAGAAGTTAATGGAGATGAAAAGTAAATAGGAAAATAGAAATGATGATGCCTAGTGAATTCAAACTATAATTTTATGATATAAATAACAATTAATAGACTACTGATTTTTAAGCAACGATAAATATAATAAAAAATTGTTCATTTAGTTATTGCTTTTACGATATCCATTACAAATTCAGGTTTTCTACTTACAACTTTAGGAGATCCAAATATATCATCGTCATCTCTTTCTTCAAATGACATGACATAAACGTGAGTTTGATTTCTAGAGAGATGAATGAATAGAATTATTACTATTGATTGAAGATCATGTTTCCCTTGTGTCCTCCAATAATCCACAATTCATTTCCACTTCCCATGGTATCGGCAGCACAATAACATCTTGGGATGGGAATGGTTCCATGTATTTTAGGTTTAGTCCTAAGGATTATTAATGGATTGCATTACCAAACCAAGGTCTCTGGATTGAAATGATAGAGATCTCCGAGAATATCACTTGAATGTTCGCCTCTTCCTCCATAGATGAACAAGTGTCCACCTAAAGCACTTCCCAAATGTCCATGTCTTGGAGAAGGCGGTTCTCCCTTCATCACATGAGTCAGATTAGCCCAACTAGCTTCTTTGGAGAAGTCCAGAATCCACAAATCATTGAAATTTGGAGTGTAATGTCCTTCAGGAAGCGACTGACCTCCGAAGATGTACAGTTTGTCTTTGATTTAGGTGGCAGAATGGGCAGATCTTGGAGGAGGTTTGAGCGCGTGTTCATCTAGGTCATAACTACGGTTAGATTGGAATAAATACTGAGTCCACATCATGGTGGTTAGGTCTAGACAGTAGATGTCATTGTAAGTCTTCTGGACTTCAAGATCATGGCTGCAGTAGTATCCGCCAAAGTAAATTAAGGATTGGTAGTTTGAAAGCAGAGTCAAAGAGGCTTTTTCCCTGGGAGAAGGGAGTTGTCCCTTGGGTTTACTTTAGATCCAAGTTTTTGAAGTAGTGTTGTAGACATAATAGTCATCAAAGACCTTGTCTGAATTGAGTCCGCCATAATAGATTATTTTATTCCCATATTTAATTGCACTAGATAAGTGTGTAAAAGCTACTTATGGAATGCTCTTGGATCAGGAATGGGTCCTTTGGTATCCTCGACAACTCTGAGCTCTTTGGTTCTAGGATTGAGGATGTGGAGGTCATTTTTAAAGTTATGGCCTGTGCCTCGACCACCAAAAATGTAGAATTCATTTCCGATGCCAGTCATTGTTAAGCCGTGAATTCTTTCATACTTCTTTTGGATTTGATATTGGGTGAAATAGACATTGTCGTAATTTTGGGGATGGTAATGTAGTTGTTTTCGATTCACATGGAGAATGTTATTTTTAGATTGGTAATTGTTATCGACAGTGGGCAAAGTCTCATCATAGACATATTATCCTGCAATGAGAAATTTGTATTGATATGAACCAGGAGCCAGATGCAAATATGCGTAATTGATGTACTTCTTTGCGAAACCCAAGAATTTCCGATTCAATTTAATGGGCTGCTTCCATTCATCCCAAGAGCCCATCACAAACATCTCATTCCAGTCCAAATAAGTGCGTACTTTGACTTTCATCAAGTCTTGCTAAGATTCATATGAGTCTCTTTACTTTATAGTTTTATCTAAATTGAACATCTTCGTCTGTGTTTGGCTCTTGATCATCAGAACTATCTACTTGAATCAATTTTCTTGGGACGACTTCCAACTATGTTAATAGTGGTTTCTTAGTACCCAATTATTATAAGTCCCGAAATTATTGTAAATTACATCTGCATTGGGATCATGTTTCCAATGGCCATCAACGTTGAACTTATATTAATGGTAGCCTGGAGGTAAAGGGGGATTGATTTCTGCTTGTAAGAAACTAGAATAGCTTATAAGAGAGTACTAAGGAGGCTGCTTAGATTTCACCATTGGGTACCCAACCTGGAAGTGACTCCATGATCCATAAAGGGTAACGAGATTGCCTTCGTATTTCCATTCAATGACAGTTGAGTTTACTGCGCATTCCTGGTCTTCGTGACGATTGCCACATTGTTTGCAATAATTTGATAGCATATTAAATTATTGCTAAGGTATTTAATTGTACTCACTAAAATAATAGGCAAATGATTTTTTTGTTTATGTATTATTAATTTATTCGAACTGTTATTTATTCTTGAGAGTGAGATTATTTTAAATATGGATATATATCATTGTAGTAATTCTATTGTGCTCTTTGGCATGCAATTAATTTTAATGATTTCAATAATAATATTGATTAATATAAATAATCGAGGATTATCAGAAATAATTAGAATGAATATTTAATTTGAATTGAGTATAATAGCGCGTATTTATTTATCCTAAAAAAGAAAGCGAGGGCATATTTGAAATTCAATAAATAAAATGGATAAGAAGTTTATAATTGTCTCCCTGGAAGGAAATGTCGGTGCAGGCAAATCAACCTTATTTGAGATTTTGAGATAAGAATTCCCGAAGGCAATTTTCCTAATGGAGCCCTTGGAACAGTGGCAGAACGTACATGGCAATCCCAACCTAAATATCCTGGAGAAGTACTACTCAGACATTCAACGTTGGGGTTTCACTTTTTAAATTTATGCTTACCAATCCAGATTAATGGCTTGGGACAGATAATTACGAGCAGTAGTGAAAGAGCAAAAATTGTAATAACAAATTGACAATCAATTTTCATCTCCATCCACCAACGCTGATGATGAACCCATCCTCGTATTTACTGAGAGAAGTATTGAGAGTGCAAGGGAATTGTTTTTCAAATTGTGTTATAATGATGGAACAATCAATGAACTTGAATATCACATATACGAGGAGTTTTACGAGTGGCTCATGGAACACTACAAGCAATATTTGGTGGATTGTGTCATTTATGTTAACACTCCTCCTGAAACTTGTTTGGAACGTTTGACTCGCAGAGGAAGACAAGAAGAAGCATGTGTGCCTCTCGATTACTTGAAGAAGTTACACTAACGACATGAGGATTGGCTTTGTGATAACACTAATAAATTCAAAATCATAAATATAGATGCTACCAAAAACTACGTTAAAGATTTAGATATCAGAGAAGCTGTCCGCAGACAATTAATTGATGAAATATCCACTTTGATTGATTGATAAGTATACTAATTATCAAACATTTTTTTATTTAAATTTTACATGAAGAAAATTATTTAAGAGAACTTATCTCCTGAAGAGGCTAAAACTCTCTGGAAATATCTTGATGAAGCTTGTTATCTGATTGCTGAAAATCAAAGTATAAAATACTAGATTGAGATTTCTAGCTAAACAACTCTCCTTCCAAGAATTGTATCAGCATGCTTACAAGTTGATTCTTAATAAGTTCGGCGATTTCGCCTATTCTTAGTTGCAAGTCTCCATTCATAACATCGTGGATAAACTCATCTATCCTCTAAATATTAGCAATGATGATTAATTATTGAATGATTTTGTAAAGGCCTTTGAAGAAGTCCAACATTTTAGTAAATTATTGGCAGGCATTCTACTTTACATGGTATATATCCTTTTATCCATCAATAGGAAAAATCCTATATTCTCTAGAAATCTCTCAAGACTATAAAAACTATTTGCAATGAAAGTTTTAAAATTAAGTGTTTTGAGAAGGACCAAAATCTAGCTACTAAATTACTCAATTGTTTCCTAAGTCAAATACGCAACGATAGAAATTCTCAAGTCATTGAACATTTTAAATTGAAAAATGCATTATAAATACTAGTACCCATTTTCATTCACTCTAGATCGACCTCAATCAAGAACAACAGATCAAAATCAAAGACTACGCTTACACTATTGACTACAGAATCAATGACGACTTCTATAAATACTTTCTAGAACGAAAACTAATTTAAGATTCTAACCGCTATTTTAAAGAAGAAAGTTAGTCAAATCTTAGTAAAATGGCTATTGAAGAATACATACTTTTTGTAGAGAAAAGATATTTAAATGAGGTAGAGAGAGTTGAAAGTTATATACCTAAAATAACACATCAAAAGGTTTTGGATTGCTTTATCAAAAATTATATCACTTAAAATGCACAACACATCTCTTAAGGTCTCTATGATTTTATTGAAAATGAAAAAACTGCCATAATCATTAAGATATTTCAATTATTTGTCAAAAGTGAGGAGTTCGATTTATTTGTAAAAAAATTATCTTAGATTATCATTGATGATTTACAACTATTGAATTAGAATGAAAACACTCTACAAGGATTCATTAAATTGTATGAGAAGATATTCTCCCTATATGATAAAATTGCTCAATATGGAAACAATGAGCATCAATACAAATTTCATAAAGCCATAAAAAGTATTTCCTTTATTAATTAAATTAGATGCTTTTGAGTAAGTCATTAATAAAGACAACTTTATAATGATGGAATTGAATAAATACTTTGATTTCTTAATGAAAAAGGAGACATTGCGAGATGAAGAGAAAAAGTTACAAATTGATAAGGGATTTCTCATTTTCAAGTTAGTGCAATCGAAAGATGAATTCGAATAAATCTATAGGAAACATCTATGTGTTAGATTATTAGATTAAACATATAGTTCTTTGGAAGTCGAAAAAGATTTAATTAAGAAACTGAGATTAGAATGCGGCTCAGTTCTGACTCACAAAATGGAAACCATGTTTAGTGATTTGGAAAGAAGTAGTGAGGATAGTTAAAAGTTTAGACAGAAATTGTCATAAATTTAAAGAGATTCCATTGATTTAGACATTTTAGTTCTTACATCCGAATAATGGCCAATTACTGACTCTTAGCCAATTATAATTCACACAGAATTATAGTTATGGCAATAATAATTCACTTAATATTATTAAAGCAAGAATTCAAAGAGAAAATTACAATTTAATTATGGACTAGGTTCAGTGTCTCTTAAAGCTACTTTTGATTAAAATAGTAAGAAAGATTTTGTATGTTCTGTTTTACAAGCAACCATTTTGATGCACTTCAATAAATAACGTGTATATAAGATAGATGAATTGATCAAATTAACAAACTCCGACTAAGAAATAATGTAATAAGAATTGGAAAATCTTCTATAGTTTAAATTATTAATTTAAAACGAAGAAGAGAATACATTACAATTAAATTAGAAATTCCAACATCGTAGTTATAAAATTAAAGTTCAACCAAAAAAGCAATAATCTTGGGCTTTATGTTCAAAATCAAAAAATAAATAGTAGGAATTCTAATTAGATTCCAAAGAAATTGTATTAGATAGAAGAGTGTATTTGGAATCATTGATTGTAAGAGTTCTCAAGACCAAAAAATAATTGGATCACAAAGATTTATTTAAATATATTGATAAAGATGCTAAGACCAGACATTTTCCAGTTGAAATTCCTTTTTTCAAGGAATGCATAGAAAATTTGATTCAAAAAGAATATTTAGTTAGACAAGAAGGTTAATTAGATACTTATATCTATAAAGCATGATGAATATTATAAGAAAATTTCTTTAAAATTTATAGGGCTAATATTTTTAATTAATATTTAAATGCTTGATTGGTATTATTATATTATTCATTTTTTGATGCTTGTTTTAATTTTGCAGAGACTACTCGATTAAAAATAAAGTAATCTTTACTAAGAATTAGTAAATTTTACTAAATTGAGTTTCATTTAATTTTTATACGCTAAATATATATATATTAGATGAATATATAAATATATATTTAAATATACATATAAGTTGATTCATTATATGTTACAAGCTATATATTCATCTGTTTTCCTTGCCTTGTTCTTTTCAAAATTATGTTAGCATTCTTTAAAGATCGATTCGAATTCCTTGTAATTGTTTTTACAAATACTCTTTGTAACTTGAGTTGTTTAAGTTAATTCACTTTTTTCTGCATCAAAACTAGAATTTGTAGTTTTAAATTTTTGAACCTTATCATACTTCTTTTAAGGTGAACTAAATTTGGATTAAGGTATGCTGTTATGTAAAACCAACATAGAATCTTATAAATACTACCTTTCTTTATTGGGAGTCTCAATATTTTATAAATTGCTTGCATAACTAAATTTAGATTAAAATTTCAGATCCTTTTATGCTGGCTACTAAGGTTTTTATCCAAAATCAGCTGAAATATTACATGCGGCATCCTTATTTAACTATTAAGATTCAGCGAATGAAAAAGTTCTTTTTTTTGTTACTTATTTTATTGTTGATTAAAGTTCTTCATTTTTTAGAGATTAAACACAAGAACTAAAGATGTTTGAATATTTATTTTCGGTTACGCTTTAAAAATATTCAAGTGGTGCAATATTATAGATTGGGTTCTAACTAATGTAAATGCTAAATTATAATACAATTTAGTATTATCGTAAGGCTCTACTGACTCATGAGTATCAATTCTTAGAGCATCATTGAATAGGGTATTTGATTCTTTTAAGTTGCAAACATATTCCTCAATTTTTAGCATTTATCAGTTAAAAAAAAATCGATTATATTCAAATAGATGTTTAGATTTTATATTTATTATAATATATATAAATACATAATCAACATCAATGACATCAATAAAAGCAGTCCTGATTATTAGAGTAAATGACCATCAATTGCTCTTCTCCAAGTCATATAACAAAAAGAACGTAAATTAAAATTTCAAAATATTTAGATTGATTAAGATTATCAAATAATATTAGAACATATGTCATAAATAAATCCAAGAGCAGAGGAAAGAGTTACTCTAAAAACTGCTAATGGTGTTTGGCGTTACAAACTTGATGAGAACAAAATTGCTTATGCGTGTATACAATTGTATTTACATTAGTACTTGCCACAGAGAGCTATCCTGATAGATAAATACACGCCATGATACGAGTAAGCTATTTTAATCAATTTAAGGAAATAGAAAAAGAATTAAAGAAAATGCCTGACTATGTAGATGCTTAACCTAATGATGTTGAAAAATATGCTAAAATATGGATGAAATAACTACATGAAAAATACGATAATTTGGCTGGAGTAGACAAAGTAATATATATACCATATTTATTAAGGTTTATGCAGCATAATAAAAAGTTGAAGAGGTTTAAATTGTTATGGAGGAGAACATTCACAATATGATAAATAATGGTTAATAGCTTGATGTACATTTTGCAAAACTACTCATAGAATTTAGATGAAAAAGCAGAAAATCTCAAAAATTAGTCGAAACAGTTCCAACAATAGTCTCATGAACTTGCTAAAATCATGTATTGGAGGAACATGAAACTAAAGATTCTTATAGGCCTTATCGTGTTAGCCGTACTGCTTTATATTATTGTCCCATTAGCTATTAATGCTTCAAATTGAAAAGTCATTTTGTATCAAATATAATATTTAGAGATCTTCTAATCGCCCTTATTAAACAATATTCTATTATATCAATTAATAAATAGTTTGACAAGAATATCATTAGTTAATTAATTATATTTAAAGAATTAAATGTGACTTAAGGAGTAAAATTGAGAGCAAATAATTAAAATTTCATTTTTAGTTGGATTCATAAACTAATGAGAGAACCTTCTATTTTAGGCATCTTTTTATACTCTATTTCCTTTATATAAATCTTCCTATTTGTTTTGTCTTACTTTTAGTTCTTCTTATGAAATATTATTACCCAAAAATTCTCTAAGTTTTGATATCCTTTCTTATACTTAAGAAGAACCTTCTAAAAATTTAGTAAAACTCCCATCTCTGTTCAATTCGAACTTAATTGTTTTTTATGTCTTTCAACTATGTTTCTATCCTCAATATTTTACGCATTCGATTTTTTAAGTAAGAATATTCAATTTTCCACAAGATCACATAGGTTATTTATATAATTTATAAGTTTGAGTATCAAATATCATCGTCTTCGTACATTTCATCATAAAGTCCATCATATGAATTCACTCCTGGCATTAATCGAGATTGGATCTCTTTTTCCCTGTACTTCTTTGACTTTGAAGCATTCTCAGGTCCTGTCATTCTGCTTAAATAATACATGACTTTAGTTGTAATTTCTATTTTCTTCTCTTTTTCTGATTCCTTTGAGAACGTTTACTAATGAGACCCACTTGAATCTTGATGTTACAATGATGGTAGCCTAATTCTAATTTTAGGTCTCAGTTATTCAATCACATTGTCTTCTGATTTGTCTCTTGCTGAATAAGGTTTCCATGAAGTAGCCTTGTATTTTGTGGGTACCCTGTAGATGTTTGCAAATTGATACTCTTTTTTTGGAATTGTTCGAGAGTATTAAGGAGAATTCAAAACACTTTATAATATAGGGTTCATTTATATAACTTAATACTATTATACAAAAAAAATCAAAGCTAGGGCTTTTTCTTTTAAATCTTTTTTTAAACATTTTACACTCTCACATTCTTATCGAATTGTTTAGGTTTCTTATTAACCAGCTGCTTTTTGATTAATTTGGCAATAGGAACTCTACTAGGTTTCTCAACTTAAGTCTATTCTTATTCTTGATCTGCTTGTCTCCTCTACACTACGCTTACACAAAAGCAAGTCAATCTCTAATTTGTTCTAATCACATAAATGGGTTTTAATTTATTCTTGAGATCTATATCATCAAATTATTCATTTGCATATAATAGGCAATCCCAAATTTTTATGTCCCCATCAGATGAAATGGATGCCAAATATGTTTAATCGTTCAGATCAAAAAGTTACAACTACTTGATTCTTTTCTAATGAGCCATAAATTTAACTATGATCTTGCTTTATAAGACTTTATCTACTGTCAATTTTATCATGTACACCATTCCATTTGCATCTTGAATGAATCAATTAAATACCTGAAAGAATGAGTGAATCCTGATTTAAAATTGAATCAGTTATCTATGCTGTAAAATCAATAGTGTGGGCAACCTTATTGGTCTCACAATCAACTATATAGCATTTTCTGTCGGATTGAAATAATAAATATTGGATTTCTTCTTCTTTCGAAATGAAATGAATCTTATCAATATCTAAGGTTTTTAGAAACAAGTACTAAAATGAAATTTCTTCAAAGCAATTCTTTTTAAATTCATCAAATTATAGAGATGCAATTTCTGATCTTTGGTTGCACAAGCTAAGATCTTTCCTGATTCATGAATAGCTATGCATATAACAGGACTTCCACATTAGAATGTATTAAGTATAGCCCATTATTTATTTCTCCATAAATTTACTTTTCCATCTTCAGCTGCTGTGAATAGAAAATTGGTATGGCCAGCAATCTAAGTTATTGTTCCATTATGCTGCTCTAATAAGGTGACTTCAACTCTCCTTCTAACATCATACGCCTTGATCAACTCCTCAGAACCACCGATGAACAAATAGCGTCCATTCTGATAGGTTGTTTTAATTAAAGACTCAAATAATAAAGTAAATGTACTGTGGAGGCTGGAAATGAGTAAAGAGTATTATTCGATGAAAATTAATCATCCAAAGAGAAACCTAAAAGTTTGCCATCATATGTCCCCACATTAATATTAATTTCCATTTTAAATTAATTAATAAATAGAATACAGATTATTTATTCATAATTTAGATATTTATCTACATTTGCTATCGCTAAATAGCCAATATCAGATCTCTAATGATAATAGGACCCTCTCTTATTTTATAATAATTAGTTCCAGGTTTATTTGATGCATAATGTAATTATTACTATAATGAAAATGATTAGTTATTTTCCTTCAATACTTATAAATATTTGTATATATATAACGAACACATTCAAATTAATAAATAAATTTAAATAATTAGTATCGATGGACACTAGATAGTCAGAACACTCTAGAGGCAAGTCTTAGACTTAAATCAAAATGCGTAACCCATTCGAACTTCTTATAAGTAATGTTACTTTCAATATATAGAAATAATCAGATTACCAAATGTTTGCAATAAATGTGGACATATTACTAGAATGAAAGAAATATCAGATATTCTCGAATAATTTGACACCATGACATCTTAATAAATTGATACGATTAATGAAAAACTAATTCAAAAATCGAACTAAATTTTAGCTGCGCGTCAACAATTAGTTAAAGACACAAAAAATGAGCTCTAATAATCATTGCAATAACTTATTTAAGTGAGATAGAGTATGGGCTCATCTTTTAATTTTGAAGACAAGGAAAAGTGTCTGGAGCGTGTTTGTGAGGTAATATACAATAATACTATTTTAGGATATATTATGCAATGTCCAAGAATAGATTGAAATATAAAATTCTCTTTCTGAGCTAAATTCAATAATCTAAGAATAATATCAAAAATTTCATCAATTTCCAAATGAAATAACTGAGATGAACAAATTAGAATATCACGACAACCTGGAAATTAGGGAGAGATTAGAAGGTGCTTTAAGGATTAATTAGAGTCATAAAGATATTTTAAAGGAGATCTTGATAAAAATAGGAGAGGAAAATAAGAGTTATACATTTGATATCTAATTATAATTTAGACAGTAGTAATTGGAAATGTTAAATCTCTTACAATGCAATTAAGAATAAATTAAGGAGATAGAAAGACTAGAAGATGAATTGAATGATAAGAAATTAGAATTATAAAAATATGCAATATTATTTAGTTAATTTGAGAAGTAAAGATAATTAAATATTGTAGTCCTTTCAAATCAAATAAGATAAGCTCTGAAGAAAGTAGTGCTAGCAATTTCTAATCAATTTAAAAGGAAATTATTTAACCGCCATCATCAATACAATAAAGTCGAAATGTATTTTAGGACATTAAGAACATTTAATCAAAAAGATTTTCTTAACCTTCTATAAATGAAAATAACAATATGTGCACCTTCTAATCAGAACAATTCTATTCTATTGATTAATCTCATGGGAATTTAAATCAAGAGTCATCTTAAAAGTCATCATAAAATAATAGCAAATAAATTGAGAATTCAGTTGTGATTAATCAGAGATATGGAAATAGCATATCCAATAAATTTAACAATTCTAAAGCTACGAGCTTAATATCATAAATTAATTCTTAATAAAATAATATTCCTATTTAAATAGTTCCTAATTCTACTAAAAAAATAAGAAATTCTGTTGACACAAATCCCATGATGTCTTAAGAAAGTTTTGATAATGAAAATGAAAATGAGAACGATGAAAATTCCCCAAAAATCACTCCTACTAGCAAAACATTACTCTCTAAAGTCCCACCCCTACCTATAGGCAGATAGTTAGAGCTTGATTGAAATTTTATTCTTATTATAATTTTTAAAAACGTTAATAGATCTCACTAATAAATTTAATTGATATTATAATATTAAAGTATTTAATATAATTATTAAAAAATTTTTTATTTTTCTATTATGTTAGGTTGGACAGAGAAGTACTAAACTAATGATAAAAATTTTTTTACCAATGATGCCAAGTCAACTTATGCCATCAGAGTTTCAGACAAGCTTGAGGTTTGCTTGAAAAAGTTTGATACAAGTAGGTCTGAATATAAAGAATATTTAATTTTGGAAGATATTTATAGAAATAAACATAATAATATAATAAATGTTTTGGATGTTCACAAAGATTAATTTAATTATATTGTGATGGAGAAGTACAGCAACAATTTACAAGAATAAATAAAAAGATAGGAGCATGTATTTCAGATTGAACAAATATTTGATTTTCTGAGATAGATAATAAAAGGGTATAAACACCTAATGGAACAAGGAATTTTTCATAGAAATTTAAATCCTCAAACAATTTATTACATTTAAAATAATAAGGATATTATTTATAAAGTAAGTATGCTCTAATTCAAATTAGATTGGGGGATTTGATCATTCTAAAAGATTGGAGGATCTAGATTGTTAAGTAGAAGATTGTACTAAGCAATTAAATAGGGGTTATTATTAAGCTTTTGAATAAACTGTGTATAGTTATTGTTATAAATCGGATATTTACTCAGTAATTAACATAAATAACATTTTAGTTAGGATTAATTTTATATGAGATGGTAACAAAATCAAAACTTTAAAATTTAAAGGAACTAAGTGAAAAAAAATTAGAGAATATATGCAATTTAGATAATATAGATAATAGGTTAAAATAATTGTTACGTGAAATGATTGTTCATTAGTCTGAGTCTAGGCTTACATGGACACAGTTAATTAAATTGATGTTTTATCAAACTATAGAGACTTTTAAGGAAAATGAAAAAGCAAAATCATTAGAAACTAATTAAAACGTTTTCATTAAGGGAATTAAAAAGTCAATAAAAGATAACAAGTTCTGTATAGGAGGTAAAGAAAAAGAAGAATTGAAGATTAATAGATTGTTAAAAGGAGCAGAATTTATTAATATAGTAAAAGTACATGAGGTTTTGAATGAACCTGAAAGTTCTAAGATCTACATAATCATGGAAGATTGTGAAGGAAGTTTGGAAGACCTTTTAAAAACGAAGGAATTTAAAGTTGAAGAAATATTAGATTTAGTTTCGTAAATAAATGATGGATATAATTTTCTAGAATAATCTAAGATTATTCATAGAGATATTAAACCAGAAAATATTTTATATAAGACTGATTAAGGAAAAATCATTTATAAAGTGAGTTTTTTTATATTAATAGATTGCTGATTTTGGAATTAGTCGTCTTGATATTTAAGGCTGCTCTAAATGTGGCACAAACTTATATGTAGCTCCAGAAGTGATAGGGCTCTTTTAATATTCCAATAAATGCGATATTTATTCGGTTATTTTTATAAATATTTTTATAGCTTGGCATTTTAATCTATTATGTGGCAACTAGAAGAAAATATCCATTTGATGATAAAAACCCAAAAGTATTTATTAATCTATTACAACATAATCAATCCATAGAACATTGTTATCCATAAGATGTTGTACTTGATGAATCGATAAAATAATTGATCAATAAAATGATTGTTTATGACCCTGATGCTAGAGTAGCTTGGGGATAATAGCTAAAAGTGTTAATTGAAGCACTTCAAAAACAAATTAAACTTAAAAAAATAGAATTCGCTTAAATATATAATTAATAGGCTTTCCCAAATTCAAATATACCATTAACTTTTCATCCAATTAATAATAATTTTAATCAACTTCAATTTTAAAGGTAAAATATTCCTTAAATAAATAATAATATTTATAACAATAATAATAATAATTTCAGGTTGCAAAATTAACCAAAATCAGATATTTTCCCTAGAAATCAAGAAACCCCAAGATCCATCTCAATTGCTGATAGGCCAAATTATTAAATTACTCCAAAAAGCAATTCAGATAACAATAAGATTGGTAGTTTTAATGGATAGAAAATTTTCATATAATAAAACCAAATTCAATAAGGAAATTAATTTAAATAATAACACAATTTCAATACGCAACCAAGTCAGCCTCAGTTTAATCGGCAAATATAAAATAATTAAACTACATAGAAATTTTAAACAATTTAAAACGACCAAGTAAAATATTATAATTAAACATTATAAAACTAAGGACCAATATTTAACATCCAACAAAATATAAATTATCATCAATTCCCTTAGAATTAAATAAAAAAAGAGAATTTTTGATTAATAATAGAATATGCATTTAATAATCTATTTTTTAATGAATTTACCTACCAAATCAATAGAAAAACATTAAATAATAACTAATAAATGTTAATTAATGTTCACTTTTTGTTTATTTTAGTTGTTTCTAGTGGCGAATGGATAAAAAATTCTTGATTAAAATGAATTTTCATTATAATTGGTTTCTTTAACCTACTTTATGAATTTTTAATAATTTAAAGAAAATTATATTTTTTTAATAATAAAATGTCTGATAACTAATTAACTGACTTGTTACTATATTACGCTTATGTGGAACAAGAAATAGAAATATTAAGAGAAGTGTTGTGCTCTGAGCCTTATTTTCAGCCTTATAACTTATTCAAAATTATTGATTGCATGAAAGATGAACCAAAAGTAAATATCATAAATAATTTAGGGCTATTTAACTGCTCTAGATTTATCTTATTATTTAAGTGATAGAAAATTTTCATCTAACCTACCAACAAAAGCTTATATAGAGAATTATAATTAAAATTAGGATAGCAAATTAGTTTATTCTGAGTAATAAAGAAATACTATTTAAGATTTTTGAGAGCTATCCTGCCTATTTCTAATCCAGATTTAAGAGAGAAGATAACCTAGTAAACACCATCAGAAACAATAATTATAAGCGAAAGAACTTAATATTTATTTGCAAAGTTAATGGAAGCGTATAAGTTTTATCAATTATTATAGAGAAATAAAACTGACTAGACAGGCTGAGAATTACAAATAACAGATAGATCCTAATTTTTTTGATAAAATTTGTTATTAGAATTACATATATCATCAAGATCTGCAGAGTTACTTTAAAAATAAACATATAACTACAAATTCTGTTGAGATATAATAAATCTTCAATAGGATTGATTTGCTAAATGATGGGAAGATAGATAGGAATGAATGGAATTTATGGGTAAGTGCCAGAAAATCTGTTTTATCAATCAATTCAAATTCATGCAAATAACAACAGAAGTTTAATAACATAAGATATAGTTCTACAAAACGAAAATAATAAGATTCTACAATGAGTGACCTCCTTTCTATCTCCAAATAAGGTTTCTATTAATCTACTAAACCTCCTTTGTCTAATTTCTCATACAATACACCCAAGAAATATCAGAAGCAGAAAACTGATTTAAGAGCCTAAATGCATTATTCTTTATTACAAAATAGCAACTCGAAATAAGAGCTATCTTATAAAACAATACCTCATAAACCAATTTCAAGGTTTTATGAGGATGACATTTAAACTTTAAAAAAGTCTTAGTCTGTTGCAAAATATGAAGCATTTGAACCTGTTAATTATTATATTTAACTCTTTTTGAATTTGATTTAGTTGGTAAAAAAGATTGAACGCCAAAAGGTTTTGTTGAGCTATCATGATGATTTTTCATTATATTCCTCATTTCAAAAATTGGATAAAGGTTTTAAAGGAATTTTAATAAGAAGTGATTTGAACTCATTTTGCTAATACCCATAATTGATATTGGATCGTTATGGAAAGGATAATAAGTTGAGGTTTTCAGAATATATCAAGATGGTTGAACCAAAAGATCCATAAGCTGTAGAAATACTCTTAAATAAAGATTAAAAACAGAGGGGAAACATGCTAACGTAAACAGAAATATCTTTGAAATTGTTATTCGAATTGATGGAGGAATTTTAATAAATGATAAACTAAACGAAGGATTATTAAAGCAAATAATAATTTGACATAAGCGAAATCTTTTATATGTTGGCTTATGATAGACAATATATAACGAATTAAGACGTAAGACTATTAACTTAGATAGATTACTGATTTCTTGCAGGCAAATCAATTTTCAACTGCTCCTCAAGATGTTGATTTATTGATCTATGAATTAGATTTTGACAGCGATGGATATATAAGTTATAGAGATTTTATTAAAATTTTTGGAAAATGATTATAGTATTAAAATTATTTATACTAAAATGATTGAAGATATGCTGCAAAGTAGAATCCGTAGTCGCCATACTTAATCTCTCCATACTAAATAACAACAACTCTCTCGTTAATAAGGAAGTTGGAATACTTTGAAAATGCTTTCTGAAAGCCTACAAATGTAGTAATAAAGTCAGAAATTAAATCAATTGAATTTACAAAGAACTGAGTCTCGTTTTCAAATCATTTAGCCAAAGCATATTCAATATATTGGGTTAATCTCTAATTCAATTAAAACCCTGAATACAAGTGCTTCACCATAAAAGAATAGCGAATCGCCATTAAAGGGAAGGATTAAATAGAGTAGAATTTTGAAGACACCACTTCACCATTCTCGTATAAGTCCTGAAAATAGATTAATTTTCAAATAAAGACTGAATAAAATCGATGAATCCATCCAATATATCTAGGATAGGCATAATTAATTGAATGGAATTAATTCCAACAGTTATAAAAAGATGTGTGAAATGATTAATAAAACAGAATACATGAGTGTTGATCAACATTAAAATGTCCAGATTCCATTAATAAAATTGATAAAGCCATAGCCAACTGAAAACAATGAAAATAGTGCAAATCTAGTATAGAAGCTAGCTACTTCAACTATGTAATGGAGTGATTCTAAAAAAAAGCAAAGATCTAAACTCGAATAGAGTGTGTACTATAGGACAAACAAATGGCAAAAAGCAAAATTCCTAATTTTATAAAACTTTTCATCTCGACACAATAATACCTTATATTCCAAAAAATACATGATAACCCAATTAAAAATTCCGTATTTAAGACACAATTCTAAATAGATGTTCATGGCTTTAAAATAGAAAAACTACCACTAATTGCTTAAATATCTATCATTAAATAAATCTTATATTCACGAAGTTGATAATTCTCTCATGACACCTTTGCATATATCTTGTTAATAGGGTCTATACGATATCACAAAAATGCTTTTAAGGTTCAAGGCTGACGTGAATTCTTTGGACAAGAATAAGAAATCTCCACTTTACTATGCATTGTGTAACGGTCATATAGAAGTAGTGAAAGTATCATTTTTTTGGTATTTTAAAAGATGCTCCTCATACATGATGCATTTCCTTATTCTGATACTAATTGCAATTACACTTAATTCTTTCCTAATAAAGAAATGAAAGAATTGTTCAGAGTGGCCAAAAGAGTAACAATATTATTGTATCTAGATCTTAACCTTGATGCTGATATGCCCGAAGAACAAAAGGAATAAAATGAAAGAATTTTTGGAAATTAATTTTTTGAATGAATATACTCTCCCCAAAAACTTGCTTGCTTGAATAATATTATTTATAAGCATATCTTTTTAGATAAGAATATCAAATTAAATAATAATTCAATTTAAATTTAACTTTCTTTGAGCCCAATTTGACAATTTTATTGTATCATCCCATCTAGATATAATAAATATTAATACCGAACTTCTTTTGATAAGCAATTCAAAATAATTATTATAATGCAAATTGACTCTTTTTTAAATAAAGTGGCAAGACAGGGACCAGCCTTATTAGTAAATCCAGTTTTGAATCCGCAATATCCTTCAAATTCTAACATCTTGTTCGTATTTTCCCAAGTCAATTTTATCAGTTTATTCTTAAAAAAGATATATAAAAATAATCTACATTTCTTTAAATAGTCGCTTAATGTTCTTTTTTATTAACTATGTCCATTAGCAAAGGATCATTTATGATTTATTTGCAAAGAGTGGCCAAATCTTCAGCACAGGAATAGGATTGATCATTAGATAGTCCTGAGAATATTGGAGTAAGGTACCATGCGGATTGTAGAATTAAGTATCATTCATATCAAGGAGAAGTGCATATTAATTCATCAATGAAATGAAAGGTTAGATTCTGTATTATAAGGCGATGTTAGACACTGGGTCTTTGACAAAGGATGATAGGTTTTCAGCGATTACATTGGCGGCATCATTCCCAGATGGTAACATTAATCCATGAAGCAAATCATATAAGGTAATTCTATCATAGGCACGCAAAAATGCTGAAGTTCCCGAGATTTAAACAGCCTTAAATGTTAAAATATATACATCATAACTAACGTACATTATCTGATATAGATTGATCTTGAGATCTCTAATTAACTAGATGGCTACGTAACATGTCATTAACTTTGTAAGTGATGCAATTTAAACTCTTTTTTTTGAATTAAAGCTCTCTTAATTATTTAATTGAATTACTGCCAAATTTTGTCCATCATTACCATTCATTACAATAAAATTTTGGGCTGTCACTAATGGCACTCCATATTTTGAGTGCAAGTCTGTTTTTGAGAAACTTATGGATCTCTAACCAGAGGCTGGTCTATGACGAGAACCACTGGAGGTTCTATTTAGACGGTTGCTTTGACTTGATCCTATGCTTCGAACATGAATCATTGGTTAATCTAAGGCCTTGCTTGACAGTCTTTAGTTTGGTAGTGGTGGTTTGAACATAAACTATTTATCTAAATAATTTTAATAATTTGAAATTAAACAAATGAATATTAAATATTCATTTCCATTTAACTCTTCCATTCTGAAAATCTATAAATAGATAATAATGACAGACAACCAATACAACCCAATTGCATAAATCCCTTATAATAAATTAGATATTAAGAAGCTATTTAGTGTCGAATAAGATGGAATAAATCATCAAGACTTTAATATTATTTATGCTATTATCTACATCAATCTTATTAACATCTTTTTTTCATTTATAAACAATTTGATAAATAATATTAATAAATTGATTTCATTAAGCTATCTTCATTTCAATTGCATTTTAATCATCATCTTAAAATTTATTTTTGTTCATTTCATAAAATATCCAAAACATGGTAGCAGGAATTGTTGTGAATGAGATCAATTTGAAAATAGTTAAGAGTAGAACCTTATAATTTAAGAAATAAATAGAACCGAAAGAAATGATGTAGCATTATAATAGTCAGCGCATCCACTTGAAGCATCACATTTTAGATAAGTAAATAAATCAAAAGCAAATTACAATCCAAATTAGAGTAATCCACAATCTAATTATACTAATATATACAATGCATTAACGTTATTTATGTTATTCTCATGGTCACTTATTTATATTGCAAAGCATGCTATTAAACTTAAATTGTCCCAGATCTTGCTACATCCTTTAAATTAACAATTAATAAAAACCAATTCATTTTTATATTCCTAAATGCCTTCCAATGCCAAATTTCCCATATAAAATGATCCACAAGCCAAAAATAATCCAAAACTTGAAAGAATTAGATAATCGACTTAAACACAATTATAGCTAGCACAATCATACAATTAATTACTCTATTTCACTTCTATGAAACATGCCAAACCAAACCCATAAAAGAAGGGTGACTACTAGCAATCCTCGAGCCAGTTACCAAACTTTAGGTGTTTATTCCTCATCAGCTATAACAGAACCCAAAATATTGCAAATCATGATTTACATGGCTATTCCCATACATCTGATAGTTGATAATAAAATATCATTATCTTCACAGCTAATAGGTTATTACTTGTTACCAAAATACAAAAAATAAACAGTTTATAAAAGTGTTTGAGCCAAAGCAGCCTAACACAAATACTTATCTATGTCAACCAAAACTCCACTTTTATCTCTGTTTAGTATTCTGTAGCTAATTATTAAATAAAATAAATAGAATAAGCTCATTAAGAATTCCACCAACCCTTCAAAACAAACATAGCCATTAGCACAATTAATCAGATTTGCCATGAAAATTTATATTTTTAATATATAAATTTTACATTATTCTCAACCTATTATCTAGAAAATTTGTTTTGCTTCTAGATTTCTTTGAGGGTTACTTAAACAAAAAGAAGTAAATTAATTATGTGAAGCGTTTTGTTTTTAATCAAATTGCAGAAAAAGAATGCAAAACTAGTTATGAAATATAAAGAAAATAAATTGCTAAGTTATCTCAATCTTTCAAATGAATAGCACACATTCTTTACTGAAGTTTATAAAAAAGTTTCTTAAATAATCAACCAGTTAAAGAAAGTAATTTTTGAAGAGAGATGAGTATTACATTATTTATTACGTGTTTCACAAAAAAGTCTGATCGCTGAAGAGACGAAGAATAAGGAAGATTAAATAATTGCTTTTATGAAGTTGAAATTTAATTATTTTGTCATATTATCAAAGGTCAAAACATGATTTAGCATCTGATTTTTGAATTTATTACTAATAATTAATTTCTTTATAGAATAAAAGAAAAATATAATTCTATTAGAAATAAAAGGATATTATTTTCTTTAAGAATTTTGGTTTCAAAAATAATGACATTGGTATCATTGATTTACTTTGCATTAAATAATTAGTTTTGATTGTTTTACAATCCGAAAATAAATGAAAGATACAATAAAATATATATAATGCTGGTTAGTCTAATGTTATATAACTTGGAAGCAACAATATTATTCATTTACTCGATTATTGTGTGCCTAAAAATTTAATTTTTCCTCCTTGTAACAAGGGTTGCTATTAATTAGCTGGAATGGGCATTTATTGTTATTATTATTGTTAGAATTATTAATTCAAGGCGTTCTATTGATTGAATTAATTCTATAAATTCGGCATATTTTTCTAATAGCCAGGAAAAGAATTGTTCTGCATATTTTACTCGTGATAAAGTTAGCCAGAATTAAAAGATTACTGTGGAATAATATATTATTATTGATTGACATTTTAAGGAAGCCTTTAGACCTCTAGTATTTGTTAGGGTTAGTTTACCATTAAATTGTTTGGTTGATTGATAATTTGATTAGCCGCAATTCTATTATTAAATTATTGATTTTAGTCATATTATTAAGGCCCCTAGTTGTAAGCTTTATTATTTATTTATTATTAATATTCTGTTTACTAATCTATCATTTTCTTTTAATCTTCAAGTTATTTCTGTCTTTACTCTTTTTCTCTTTTTTCATCTTCTTTTTTTATTCTCATCTCTTCATTTTATCTTCTTTTCTACTCGTAATAGATTCTTTCTTCGTTAATCTTGATTGCATATTGGGTAGCACAATTCTTATTTTCCTTAATAACTTATTAGTATTCATCTTTATTTAAGCTTAATTGTACAAAGCTTAGATCAACAGGGTAATCTGAATAAGTTGGGATTTCATGGAATGTCGAAATAACTCTATTAATAATTTACTCTAAGGTCATTGACTTCTTCCAGTACCTAATAGTAATATTATATCAGAATACTTTTCACTCCAATCAGGATGACAATAGACCCCTGTATTTTGTATGATGTATTGATGTCTGAATTCCTTAGGAAACTATATCCTAACTGGTGAAATGGGGTAGTTGTTGTATTTAATGACGAAATAGTATAAGGCACCTTTCCATTCTGAAAGATATTTTCCTTCAAAGCCAACCCTAACCTATTTATAATCTAAAAGATGTTCTATGTCAGTAAATGGCACGTATCCATCAAACTCTTCTTCGTCATTATCATTTTTGGCGTTTGGATCCTAATTAGTTGGTTTTTCTTTCCTTCTTTTTAGCTCTTCAACTTGATTCGCAATTCTTTGATCAATATAATAATCAAATTGCATTTTAATACTTTTAATATTATCATTTTTATAATTAATTTGTAAGAATAGCATGCGAGGGATAAGGGGACAAAACAATCGAATAAGGAAGGCTATTGACGCTGCAGCAATTTCCCGCATGACTCTGATAGACAAAGGATCTTTGATTGAAGACTCCATGTTGACCCTAATAATATTCCCTAGATTGAAGCATAGCATTAGATCGAGAAACTTTCTGATCACAATAAAAGGACCCTAAACCATTTACGGAAAAGTAGTTTTCTGAGGCTATTCCTAACTGATTAGTTTCACTACATTGATTCAAATAGACGGAAAATTATTCTGGTGTTGCAAAGTAAATTTGATTGCCTTCTTAATGAATCAAACATGGCATGAGAGTTGTAAGTTCATCATCCTTTAGTTCTGAATCCTTTACATTAATTTGGATACTCTTCATATTTTGTAATTGTTAAATCTTTTCCTTAAATTCCTTATAGAATTCCCTTGGTTATTCTTTTTACACTTTCTTTAATGAATTTGTTTGTTCCTCCACAATTTCATCTAGCTGCTCTTTTTTTTATTTTATGTTCTCTGTTTGATTAATACGACATTCAATCTTTTTTATGATTATATTAATTAATTTAATTTCTTCAAGACTAAGTTCTTCAGATGATAATAAATTGGAGATGGATGATTTTTCAGAATGAATTTCATCCTTATCTTTTTTCTTTCTAATCATTATGAAATTCTACCCTTACTTGTTGTTTCTCTCTTTTCTGATCAGACAATTAAATCTATTTTTGACATTGTTTTCACTCCTTGCAACTTTAAGCCTCTTAGATATCAAGGCCCATTTCTTTCCCAACTTTTTAGCCTAACTCATCAAATCCAAGTCCTCACTTAATTACCACGGGTTTCTATTATAATAAATTTCATAACTGTACCTATTGATATTTGGGTTTAGATGGTTATTCCAGCGTTCTCTACATTATTTACCATTTCTATGGACTTACTAATTATTTACTTTGTTGAGAATCGCGGCCATTTGACTCCATTAGTTGCCCTTATTTTGATTTTCAAAATCTTATATAATAGTTTGCAGTATGTTGTCCTCAGCAGGAGTCCAAGGGGCCTGTTGCAAGGGAAGTTTGAAGATTTGTAACCACTTTTACTTACAACTGAATGTATCTCTACGAGGCATCATGTTTGCTATGGTACTCCAATCAGAATCACTCTAACATCTAGAATTATATTTTTACCAACAACTCTACTTCTTTTTTGTTCTAGGTGACCCATTTGCCCACTAACCAAATTAAAACCTTTTTATCTTCGTCAGTCCAATTTTTCTTAGGTTTATTCGGTGAAGATTGGATATTCAGTTTGTTGGCTTGTTGGATTTTGAATACTTCTTGGTCATCGGGAAAAGTATCATTATTAAGGTTGAACTCCTCTCTAAGGCAATTGAATCGAATGTTTTTCACTCCATTGACTTCAGAGAAGAAATTTAGGAAATTCTAATAAAAATCGTCCATTAAATGTGAATCAATAAATTGCATATATTTTAATTATTTTGTTATTATTATAAGTGTTTTATGTAAATCCAGAAAATGCGTATCAAAAAATTAATAATTTTAACAGTAATTTTTAATTAATTCATTTTATATATTCCTATAACAGTTTTAGAACACTGTCCTTAATTTCCTGTGTTATTAGCACTCTGGGCTATCTGATCACCTGATCATTTAGCATCACGTAATCGAATCTGCACTTCCTTTTGAAGATACACTCATACAATATTAAACCAATCTATTATGTGTTATTTGCCTTCTTGCTTTTGTGTTCTATCTCCTCAAGATTTGATATTTTAATTCTGTTGTTCTCATCAAAAAAGATATTCTCAATTTGCAAATCTAAATACAATTGATTCTCATTCAAATATTATTGCACACTAAATAATTAGTTAGCAATTGAGTTCAAAAGCTCTTCGTCAATATCCCCATACTTAATCCAATTCAGCAAAGAACCCTTAGGCATATATTCTCGTACAACATATACGTGATCTTAATCATGACAATAGAAGTACAACTTCTACACGTTCGGATGATTGATATGATATTGAATTTCTATCCATTTTCTCAGTTATAAATAGGATTTATTGGCAAGAACCATTCTCTTTGAAATCACATCCAATTAAGCCTACTGATTTTGGATTAATATCCTATAGCAATTATTACCCAATTATTCTAATACCTTCATATTTTTAATCTATTCCATTATTTAAATTAATTCACATCTTTTTAATGTAAAACATCATACAAAATGGTTCAGATGAAGAAACTGAGTTTATATTCGATTCCAATACCATATAAATTAATGAGACCAAGAGTAAAATTTCCAAAGCCAATGTAATTGTTTTAATTGCATTATGATTTTAGGATGAGATCAAACAACTGAACGGTTTAAATAAGGAATTGGCCTTTTAACTAAACAAGTAGAATGAACTACTTGATTTAAAACAAAAATAGAATTAACAATTGCAAGTCGATGGTATGCTTGATGTTTAAAATTTCTTAGTGTCAAAATTAAAAGAGAAGCTTGAGGACAGAGAACTTAAAGTATTATAAACCATGAAAGAAAAACAATCATTATAAAATGAACTAATTAGTTTACATGATATATTGGATCAAACGACTTAAAGAAATGATCAATTAAATTCTGAAGTGTTTGCCCTTAGATTAGGAATGGAACAACTTTAATGTAAGTATTGAACGACTACTCATTTAGAAACCACTACAATGTGCAAGGAAGACTCCAATTAAATATTACAAAGAGAGTTGAGATTGAAGGAGAGCATTGATGTATAAGCTAAAGCCATCAAGCAATACGAAGAAACAGTTAGAAAAATCACCAATGAACTCAACCAGAAACAGGCTTAGTTTAAAATTGATGTTTAAAACAAGGACAACATTATATCAGATTTAAAGAGAAAACACGATTTGCAATTGTAATAGAATACTGAAATAGTCTCTGAGTTAATACAATTTAAGAATTAAAACCTATAAAACAACCTCATGAACAAAGACTATAAACCAGAACTTACAAAAATGACAAAGGAAATTGAAGAATATAAAATTCAAGTCAAAGGATAAGCCCATTAGATAAAATTATCAAATGATTAGATTTTGGCTCTCTAAAATTAGATCCAAAAACTTGAATAATCTATTGCCACTCTTTTGACTGAACTTCAATAGACAAAATAACATTTAAAGGATAAAGATTAAGAATTCTAAAATAAACTAGGGGAAAATATGTGGACTATTGAAAAATTAAATATTCAAATCTCATAATAGAATAATCAATTATAATTGTTTAAAAATTAGGATCAAAAGATCAATCTTGTCAGAAGTATTTACTAACCTCCTGACGAAAGATATCTTAAAGAATTACAATAAAAGAATGATTAAATTGCTATGTTACAAAACGAAAATAACTAACTAGTTAAATTAATTGAAACTCTGCAGAGTCAAAAATGTATTAATTTTATATTATTAATTCGTAGCTGACAATCAAGGTAGTGAGGCGCTTAAAGTTAGACAGCTGGAATCAGAATTGAAAAATCTCTAATCTTTCATTTATGACAGTCCTTTGGTGGTGCTATTTAATCTCCTTGAAGACAGATTGTCGAAATAATAATCAAAGAGTTTTGAGAATAAGAGAAAGATTTAGGAGTTTTGGAGCAATCAATTAAAACAGTGGACAGAAGGTTTCGAGGAATTGAAAAAAGCATTTGGTGGTTTAAAGATTTAATTCAAATATGATCTCAAGTATCCAATCCCAGGTTCATAGTAAAATGAATGAAGTAATTCATATGATATTATATAAAAATATTAACCAAAATTCAGTTTAAAAAACACATAATGAAAATACAATTATTATTAATATAAATTTAATCAATCATCATCATCGGAACTGGAACTACTAGACGAGCTACTTGAACTACTAGATGATGAACTACCAGAAGAATCATCGGAACTCAATGGATTGGCATCCTTTAGCACTCTGAATTCGTTCTTGTCAATATCATCTAATTTAAGTGCTCTTTCATACAAATCGGACCTCTTCTCCTTAAATGCATCCAACAACCTTTGACTAAACTTTGGCCTTTCGTCTCTTACAGATCTAAAATGTGATGCATTTTCATCTTACCTCCAGATCTTATCAAAATTATTGATCGACATGAAATTCTGAGTCAGAGCAACTGAATTGTCTAAATTTAAGACGGCATGCCACCAACCTCCAGGTACAAATATAGTATCACCAGGACCTTATACACACATTACAATCTTTAGATTATCGGCTCCTTCTTTTTAAATTAGTTTTGGCAAAGCATAAAGGAAATAATCTATGGATTCATCCAGCACTTCAGGATCGATTTCCTTTTTGGCAGCAAGTCCTTTGGCCTTCACTATCGATTTTGGTATATCTGGAGGAAAGAGAACCCACAACTTATGTCCTTATAACGATGTATTCCAGGCACTTGTCATTAATGGGTCTATGTGTACTGTGGTACCTGATCGTTTTGGTCTAATGTATTAAATAAGAAGTTACCCAACCAAAAACCATCTATAGGGAGGACGGTGTTTCTCTCCTACCATAGAAAAGAAATCTTCTTAGAAGTATTTATGTTATTTGTATCTTCCGACCATATCTGCTCCTCCGTCCTTCATATCCTCGACTGAACTACGAAATGATTATGGATTAGTCTACCTTTCAAATAAGTAAAGAGGGGAATCATCCTTGTTGTACACTAAGTATTCAAGAAAGTATTTGAATGGTAATCTCAATTTTCTCCCTTTATCATCTTCCCCAATTTTGAAGGAGGTCTCCTTGTACAGTTGATATAGTTTCTCGAAAGTCCAATACTTTTCAACATTCCAATCATCTGTTGTATTGGTTATTATACAAGGAATGTCTGGAATTTCGAATTGGTTGACAAATTGTTCTGCAGTGAATGTGCGACCATCCACTTTAGCTATTGTGAAATATCTAAATCAAATAGTTATTACTTTTCATATTATTTTCTCAATTCTTTTAGACTCTTTTCATAATGATTTCTTTTATACCACTCCCTCAATCTCAGGTGACTTCTGTCCTTTAATTTTATTTCCTCTATCAACTCCTAAGCCTTCGAGCTCATTTCTTTTTCGAAGAATCTCGATGATTTCAACTTAAGCTTTTTAGCTGTTTCCATAATTTAATTATATTTATATCATAATTTTATCATTTTATCATTTCTTTAATTTGGCTAATTAAGTTTAACTCAATTCAATTTGACATTAACTTGAATTATTCAATGATCTCTAAGAATGCAAATGCCTAATGCTTTATCAAACGATGTTCCCCTATTCAGATTAAAGAGATTTGCAATCTTACTAGAATATTAAATTATATAGATTCATGAGATTCAAAATTTATATGCTCCTTCAAAGTGTTAAATACTACACATAAATCTTAATCAGAAGATAAATATAATTCATTTCAATAAAAAAATTCTACTAATTTAACAGCCTAAAATAAATTAATATTGGTGATTATTTATATCATGAATCATTTATTATCAAGCTATAAAATAATCAAGAAAAATTGGACTCCAAGCAAGGACTTTTTAAGAATAATTGATAGGATTGGAGGGGAGAACATCGGGATTGAAGTGGGAGGACTGGTTGATAAAGAAGGTGTGTGAAAGGGGAATCGAAATAGTATTAGTGTATTAATGCTAATTAATTATTATTGTTTTGGCTGGTTTTAATTTAAATTAATGAAGTGAAGAATAGGGGGAATTATTTATTTATTAATTAAATTAAATTAATTATGAGACAATCAGGCGCTGATTTCACTTACTCCACTGCTCCAATCGCCAAGGTCAGGCGTGTGGAGTTTGGGTTGATGAGTCACGAGCTCATTAAGGAATGGACAGGAGACATCGAAATAAAGGAGCTACAGACGAACGAGCTTGATGGGACACCAAAATAAAATGGTTTAAACGACCTTCGTATGGGTGTCAATACGAATTCTTAGAAATGCAAGACTTGTGGAGAGACAAAGTATTGTCAAGGCCATTTCGGAAGAATTGAACTGAATAAGCCAGTATACCATGTGGGGTTCTTGCAGATAGTGAAGAAGGTATTGAAGTGCGTATGCCACAATTGTGGTAAATTGAGACAGCCACAATCAGAAGAGGCTTGGGTATGTATTAAATCTTATGAAAAAAGTAATCATTTTAGAAGGCCAAGGAACACAAGTTGAATCGCAAGAGATTGAACGAAATAGTGAAATTGTTGGGTAGGATAGAGAAATGCGAGACTAGCAAGCACAAGTAAGAGGAGAATCAGGGGACTGACGACTTTTGTGGAGAGAAAATTCCTACTAGAATTTAAGCCATAAATGGATAAATAAAAATATAATATAATACTAAGGAAGCTGCGAAGGAGTTGACAGCTGAGAGATGTTTGGAGATATTCAAGAAGATTAGGGACGAGGATGCGATCATCTTAGGATTCACAAAAGATTCAAGGCCTCGAGACTTGATAATCAAATACTTATTAGTAATGCCACCTTAGGTGAGACCAGCAATCGAGATGAATCCAGCCAGGATAGCACAAGATCAATACACTCAAATATACAAATCCATATTACAGAAGAACAATGAGATAGCCAATTGCAGTAGTGATGCTGAGAGAGTAAGATTGGCTCCAGAGTTGATGCGAGAAGTGGCCAAGATCATAGATTCGGAGAAGGCTGGGAAAATAAAGATGAAATCCACACAGCCATTGAAGAGTATCAGAGCAAGATTGAAGGGTAAGGAAGGTAGATTTAGACAGAACTTGATGGGTAAGAGAGTGGATTTCTGTGCTCGTTCAGTCATATCTCCTGATGCAAATTTGGGTATGGATGAGTTGGGAGTGCCTCAGATAGTGGCAGATCAATTGACGATTCCTGAGGAGGTGACAGAGTACAATTTGGAGAGAGTAATTTAGTTGGCCAAGACTAACAAGATCAAATATGTGATAGTGCCAATAACAGATCCAAGGAGCAAACAGAGGAAGTTTTAGGCTTTGTATTTTGATTTCACAGACACTGAGGATCAGATTAGACAGAAGATTAATCAGGGAGTCATAGTGGAGAGATGTTTGTAGGATGGGGATTTCGTGTTATTTAACAGACAACCCACATTACATAGAATGAGTATGATGGGACATAGAGTGAGGATCCTACCGTATTCGACATTTAGATTGAATTTGTCTGTGTGTACTCCCTACAATGCAGATTTTGACGGAGATGAAATGAATATGCACGTGCCTCAATCCTATGAAACAATAGCAGAATTGAAGTACTTGGCCCATGTTCCAAGGTAGATTGTAACACCAAAGAGTAATCAGCCAGTCATGGGTATTGTGCAGGATTCTTTGCTTGGATGTTGTTTGTTCACTTAAAGAGATACCTTTTTGACAAGAGATCAAGTCATGCATTTGATGATGTGGAATGAGTAATTCACTGGAGAATTGCCTATGCCTGCTATTTTGAAACCTTAGGAATTGTGGACAGGCAAGTAGATTATGTCTATGATCATCCCGCAGTCGATCAACACTGAGAGAGGCATCAGAGAAGATGATCTCAGAAAACCCAATTGGAATGCAGATGACAAGAGTTTGTGTATTCAGAGAGGTAGTTTGGTGAGTGGAATTTTCAATAAGGAATTGGTGGGTTAGGGTGCAGGTTCAGTGGTGCATCTTTGTTGGCTTGATTTGGGAGCTGAGAAGACATTGGAGTTTATGACTTCTTGTCAGAGAATTGTGAATAATTGGTTGATCATGCATTCATTTACAGTTGGATGCCAAGACATAGCACCACACATCAATTTGGTTGCTGAGACTGAAAAGAGAAGTAAGGAACAGGATGAAGAATACATCAAATTGTTGCAAATCTTTTTAGATGCCAAGAAGATTCAGGATAATCGTTACCATCAGAAGGGTAAGAGGATTATGGATTCATTCGAGTACTCTTTCAATATGAAATTGAATAAGGTGAGAGATGACATCAATTCCAAAGTCACAGAAACCATCGATCAAATTCGTAATTGCATGTATAAGATGATTTGGGCCAAGAGTAAGGGAGAAGCATCCAATTTGGCTCAAATTACATCTCTGGTCGGACAACAGAACTTGGAATCTAAGAGAATTTAATTTGGTTTTGCTTATAGGACCTTGCCTCACTTCTCTAAATTTGATTACGGTCCTGAAGCCAGAGGATTTGTGGCCAGCAACTTTTTCAAAGGACTCAAACCCACTGAATTCTTTTTCCATACCATGGGTGGTAGAGATGGTCTGATTGATACTGCTGTCAAAACAAGTAGAACTGGGTATATTCAGAGGAAGTTGATCAAAGCTGTTGAGGATGTCTTTGTCAGATATGATTCATCTTGCAGAGATTCAGTGGGAGCTGTCTATCAATTCCACTATGGAGAAGACAAAATGGCTGCAGAATTCATTGAGCATTAGGAAATCAAATGTGTAAATCTAAGCAATGCTCAATTGGAAGAGAAGTATGAATTAATCAAGGAATAATGGTTCGGAAGTGAAATCAGATAGAAGTATCAAAACATATTGACAGAGGATGTCATTAAGGACATCGAGGAAGATTTTGAAGGCCAAGCCTTGTTGAAGGGAGAGTTTGATGAGATCAAAAAGATTAGAAACGAATTGCGTAGATTATTCTTGATTGATTCTGCTCCAAAAGAGGAGTTGTTCACTCATTATTATTTGGTGGTAAACATAGAGAGAATCATTTCAACCATTAAAATCAATAAGAAAATTAGTGATAGAGAGAAATGCAGATTGAATCCCATCTTTGTTACATAATAAGTTGATGAACTCATACAGAAAGTCGACAAGTTGTTGAGTTACGATTTGGATGAAAGAAAGGATTGCATCAATTTGTTCAGAACTCACTTAAAAGTGTCTTTGGCTAGTAAAGATTTATGTTGTAGACACAGATTGACACCAGAGGCATTCCAAGAATTAATCTCTGAAATTATTTATAAACTCAAAAAGAGTATGGCTCATCCAGGTGAAGCTGTAGGTGCCATTGCTGCTTAATCTCTGGGAGAACCTACCACACAAATGACTCTGAACACTTTCCACAAATCTGGTGTCACTGGTGATAAGAATGTGACTTTGGGAGTTCCAAGATTGTAAGAATTGTTGGATGCCAGTAAGAAAACCAAGACTCCCAGTTTGACCATCTATTTTGATCCTCCTCTAGAATATGCTGAGTTGGAATTGAAAGACGACAAGGACAAAAAGAGTTATTAAAAGACTGAACAATTGGTTCATCCTCATAAACAGGATGACTTCACTTAGAGTATGTTAGTGTAAATGCAAGGGAGAATTCTTGGTTAGACCTTTGGACAATACATTATCAAGAGTGAGATCTATTATTAGAGTGATCCTAACAATCCCTTACACATCACTGAAGATCAAGAAGATAATTTCACTGATGGTATTTTTGATGCAGATGAAACCAAATATAAATGGATTCTCTTTTTACATATGGATCATCAAAAGATTCTGTCCAATTTAGAAACTTGGGATAAAATTAGAGATAGCATTCCAAAGATTCTAGATGAAACCCAAGTTAAATTTGGAATCTCCTCTCAAAATACAATTGTGGATCCAGATTCCATGAATCACAAGTACATCCAAATCAAATACTTTCATGATTATGCTGACCAGAAGAAGTTTAAACCAGAAAGAGGAAAGGGCAATTTCGATGATGAAATCGCTTTCGATGAAGAAAACAAAACTAAAACCTATGTTGACACTCCTTACACAATTCTTAAGAGATTGGAAGAAACCATCAGAGGGTATTCATTGGGAGGCATCAGCAAAATCACAAGAATTCTTCACTCCCAAATTGAGAAGCAATTCTACATCAACAACAAAACTGGAGGGTTCTTGAAACAAGCAAATGTCGATGGCAAGGGCAAATGGAAAATCATTGAAAAGTACTTAGAAACTGAAGGAACCAATCTCAAAGAAATTCTTAGATTGGAACATGTCGATTAAAGAAGAACCTCAACTGATGATGTCTATGAAATATCCTAAGTGTTGGGAATAGAAGCTGCCAGAGCTGCTCTTGTTGGTGAAACCAGAAAGATCTTCAATCATTATGGTATCTATATCAATTATAGACATCTCTATCTATTGTATGATTGGATGACTCACAGAGGCAGATTAACAGCCGTCAACAGAAATGGTATAAACAGAATACCTGAAGTGAGTGTTCTCCGTAAAAGTTCCTTCGAAGAAACAGTCGAAATCCTCTATGATGCTGCTGTCTTCTCAGAAATCGATCACATGAGAGGACTGAGTGAAAACATCATATTTGGATAATTGTGTCCACATGGAACTGGCTGCTTTGAACTTATGGTCAACGCCAAGAATGTCAAAGAATTCAAATTGAAATCCAGTCATGCTGACAAATTCACCCAAGGAGGTGAGTATCTTGCTGAACAATCTCCCTATGATTAAAATCAACAAACTCCTCTCATGCTTAACACTCCAGGACCTGGTGTTTCCCAAGGCTTCATCGAGAACTCCCCCTACACTCCATATCACAAATCTCCTGCCAATTTTGCCACCCCATTCGGCAGAGATTATACTCCAAATTCCAGTCATCGCTCACCACATTACACTCCAAACACTCCTCTTATGCCAAATGATGCATATCAACTAAGTCCTGTTGATTCAGTATCTGGATAACAGCAAATACCTGGAAAATCAGCTAATGTCAGTGACAGTCACAGTCCTGGATCCCCTCATTACACCAGTCATACTAACTCCCCAAGTCCCAGTTACAGAAGTAGCGAGAGAGCCACCTCCGGTCAAAGATCTTCGAGTCCTATTCTAAATTCCTCCAGAAGGTATTACTATCTCTATATCTCTCCTTAGTCCCAATTATACTAGTAGCATATACAATTCGCCTATTTCACCAACAAACACTGGAAGCGGTCGTGTTCCGACTGGATCTCCTCATTCACCCTAAGGATCTAACTTTACAACTTACAGTCCAGTCTATCAACCAGGAGGAGGCACAGGCAATCAATACGAACAAGAATAATGATAAATCATAATATAAAATAAAATACCATTTGTTTACATTCTTAAAATATCTCAATTTCTAATTTCACTCATTTTTTATAACTGCACTATTGTCAACTTTGTTATATCATTTTTACCTTCTCATTTTATTTAGACATTAATCTAATTTCATAAAAGTGTTTGTATTAATTATATAAAAATTTAGAAGATAATTCTGGCACTAAAAGATTATGATATCTGATCGTAAATAGTTTAAATTAATTAATAAACTCTAATGAGAAATAAATAACAACAAGCAAAATCCAGAAATAGCAATATAAGTTTGAACAGCCTAGGCAGGTCAGTTTCAACAGCCCCCACAAATGAGTCAGGTTTAATTAGATTCACAACCTATGGCAGCTTGAGTTCTTCCATGTTTGGAGGAGTTGAGTTTTGTTTTAATCGCATGCCCAATTCTGTTATAGACGGAATCTGTAAATTCCTAACTATCAACGATCTTACAAATTTGTATTGCACTAGTAGGTTTGTATATGAGAGATTTTACACGTCACTTCCATACTCAATTGCTTGTGGAAATTTATTGTACAAGTAGTATGAAGACAGAAGACGCATTGCCTAATAGGCAGTTCAAACTAAACATGCATCTTGGCCATAAGTATTATAGGTTTTTATGGAAAACAAGTAATATATTTAACTTTATCGAATGCTAGAAAATAAATGCAAATTCTACAAGTCAATCTCAGATAATCCTTGCAGGGTGCCTACCAATTGCACATCATCTATCCCCCGTTGTTAATGGATGAAATTACAAAGGAAGGACTGAACTCAGATTTTTAAAGATAAATTATGCAAAAATTATAAGATTGTTAAGAATGCCACACAATTACTGAAATACAAATCATGAATTAAACAAGAGCTTATTTCAAAAAGTCCTCTCTTTAAAAATAATAATTGCTCAATTTAATGTTAGAGATAAGAACAATTAGATAATTCCAAGTAGATTAAAAGTAAAAATTTATAATAATTATTTTTAGATTGCCTTAATTATTTATTATTTTAATAATATTATGTTCGTCTATAAAATCTGTATTATAAATAATAGCCTTGACTCTTGAGTGTGCATTCAATGGAAACGATACTGTTGGTCTACTAGACTTTTACCTTTATAATTATCAAATGTATCTTATTTGGATGCAATAAATTGATGAATTTGCCACGCCATACCTAAAAATGTTTGACATCATTTTAAATGAACAAATCAAATCATATTAATTTCCTCCCTTTACACTCCAATGGATTATGATGAAAATGTGGAATTAGTGCATTTATCAAAAAAGCAAGCATTTCTTAAGATCTATTTTCCTTAAATTGCTCCAATAAGTACGACTTAATCCATCTCTCAAATATGAATTATTTCTGTTAAAAGATTACATCTCCTAATTAATTGATCTTTCAACCAATCAATCAAATATTAGAATGGCTGGACATTCTAAATTTACCTATATAAAAGATTTAGAAACTCTATTTTAGGTAGTGATAAGTTAATCTGTTGAGCTTTGGAATTCAAGAGATTTTGATTTTAGAACTGATATTAATGTGCTTGGATATGTCTTTCAAAAGTATATTTTAGAAAATAATCTGTTGTATAGTCTTTTGGAATAAAAATACGAAAATATTAAAGCATCTATTGAAACAATTAAATAAAGTTAAGAATACTTGAAAAGAACAATGAAATATGATAATGATAGTTAGATCCTCTCAGAATAAGCAGACTACTCATTTCAACTACTCAATATAAATAAAGTATATTCGAAGATCAAATAAATAATTAATGGGGAATTTGCAATAGAATAAAATGTAAGGTTAACTATAAACTATTAAAAAAACACACTTGATAGAATGCAAATGTATCTAAGAGATTATCACCCTGATTTATATGATCAGATTTCTTAATTAGCAAGTATTGATGTAACATCAAGGGAAAGTGTTTAAATTCGTGATGCTGTAATAATACACAGAGCTAAATCAGAAATTTATGATATTCAATTGGTATCCTATGATTCCTTAATTGATGCTGAGATCTTAAAATAATTGATTAACTAGCATTAAACCAACTAATAAAAAACGTGTAAGATTTCAAAATAGAAGAGTGAGTTGCCAAAATTGCAATTGAAACAATAAGAATAAAGTGAAATATTTTTTTCGATCAATATTGTAAATGGATTAAATCTTGCTTAGAGTTTAACAGAGTAATTTATAAGCCAACAATGATTATATATGTTCACAATTTTGTTAGATTTATTTAATGTAAATTACTAATGTTTGTAATAATAATATAATTATATAAATAATTTAATTAGAATCAAAATAATTCTTATAAAAATTAGTCGATAGCGTTAAACATTTTATTTTATTGAACGAGATCGCTTTCAAACTCTTTATCTCCGTTTAGTACTAGTATGGATGTATTTTGATGGGTTTCCCTCAATAACCATTCTTCATGTCTATTGTGGATTTGAGTCAGATATTCTTTGGAAATGGTATTCTTTAAAATAATAAAAATGGCGGTAATACTTTTTCTTCATCTCTTGCTCTTTTTTGCATTCTTGTGTAACAGACATCTGGGTCTACTTGTAAATATATGATCATTTGCTTTTGTATTTTTTTCCCAAACACTTCATCACAAAGCCAATCGTAAAATTTCTCATACAAAGCGAATTCTAATTTATTAATCATTCCATTCTTGTGTCCATTGACAGCAAAGATCTCTTTGTCTGCTTCAATGCTCCTTTCACTTAGAATGAGATGTCTATCTTCAGGATTCAATGGATCAGATAGAACCTCCTTCCAATGCTTAAGTCTGCTATAGAATGCATAAACTTGCATAGTGTAAGCCCATCTTGATGGCTCTTCATAAAAGGAACCCAACAAATTCAAAGTTGGATCTCCATTAATGCTTTACCATTCATTAACTGGTTCTGCAATGAATCTCAACTAAAAATTAAAAAGCTAATTTACATCTGGATACTTTTACTACATTAATCTTAGCAGAGTACTCTTGCCAGATCCAATGTTGCCTTCAATAGAGATGAGTGTGTATTGTTTTGATTTCATAAATATAAAATAATAATATTGGAGGGATTTTTGAAATGTAAATAAGAAATTCATTTCTAATTTAAATTAGCAATTTAACAAGAAATTGTTATTAATTATACTAAAATCTAATTTTTGAAAACTGCCAGGATTCATGACTTAGTAGTCATTAATTATTGTTTGATATTTGAATTAATTAGGATTTAAATCACATATTACAACTAAATCGAAACTGAGATCAAGCATCATAGTAGAATCATAAATCCATTTATAACTAATCTGATTACTCTAAAATATCTCCAAATATTGTTAGGATATTATTTTTTCACATAGATACTCTTGTTCAGCCAACATGATTGGATATGATTCCTTCTTATTTTCATCGGAATATCATTCTTTACAATAATAATATTGAACACTTTTGTTGATAACCTGCATGGATTACTCAAACTATGCATTATCTATGTTGGTTCCTTCATATACAATTTCAAATTAATTGGTGTTTTTGGTATAGAATATACTAATTGAAAATATTTCTTTTAAGTCTGTATTTTTTCATTTATGACTTAATCTTCTTTTTCAAATTAAACTTATTATTAGTTTATTCATTATTACAAATGGAATTGTAATATTAGTGACCTAGAACTACCCATGATGGTCATTCCATTCTCCTACTATAATTAAAACACTTCCTAAATTTGCTACTCCTATATCCACTTATTCAGGATTGTCATTTTTTAAAAAACTCTTTATTGTGAGCATTCTATAAATTTATCTTAATTTAGTCATCTCCTTCACTCAAATAATGACGATTCCCCAGTTATATCAAGATTCTTATATATTATTATTATTGCTTTAATAACCAATTACATAATGAGAATCTTATTTAAATAATTAAATAATATATGCCAATCTATTGAGTTACATATTATATTATCCTTAGGACTGCATTAAAAAGTAAATCTATCTAAGATTTACTAATTCTCTCTTTTAATATTATGACTTAATCTAAGGAATTTGATTATTTCCTTACTTGTTCATCTAATATATCTTCTCAACTTCTTCTTTCTCTAAATACTCATAACTTAAATCTTGTGCAAATACACAAATTTTCGGGTGATGATCTGTCAACATATGATCCAAAAAATTCTTTAAATCTCTTCAATCTATCTTTTCTAAAATGGTTGTCTATGTATTTCAACATTTTCAACACATTACTGACATCCAATTTCCGTCTTATAAATTTGATAAATATAATATTATATAAAATGAGTTCAGAAAAGTTTTTATCCTAAAACAATCTATTTTTAGCAAGTAAACTTATTCACGACCAGGGCTAGCAACTATAACTGGGCATTCAATAGCATAGTCTTAATATTCAATATTAATTCTGATTAATCTTATCCTTTTTGTTGTTCTAAGCAATTATAACATGTAATTACATAACGAAGTATTCTATTAAGAACTTGAAGTACTCCCTCGATATCCTTCAGCAAACATACTTGACTTCCTTGGTTAATGCTTTCTCTACATGGTAGCTCTGCTTGTAGATGCTTTAGTATGTCTGACCTAAATCTTCTCGAATCCAATATTAATATCTATCAAGCCTAATCTTGCTATTCTTCTATTATCGCGTTGCAATTCACTTTCTAGTTGAAAATCATATTCATTTGATGACAATGGAAATTAGATTCTGCCAAAATTATTGACAAAATCCATATAGATAGCATAAGCTTTAGCAAATTCTAAATATGTAACCCATTCATTCAATTCATCTTCTGTTTCAAGAGCAAAGTAAACTTTCCTATAGCTCTCAAATACTTGTTTTCCTCTACTCCATTAAGAAGTGGTGATAGTTAAAGCAAAATATTCAGTGCTAAACTCTCTCTCTATCAGTTGAATGTGTTTTAAATAGATAGTTAAAATATGTTCAGGATTATCATCCTCTTAGGAAACACTAGTGTTATTAGAAAATTGCTTACATTAGATACTCGCTCGATATTACACAAAATCGCCAGTTCCATTGTAAACCCTTCTCAGATCTTTTGTTAATGTATCCAGATTTCAGTAGAACATTTCTTCTATTTTAGTCTAGTATCTATTTTATCTTCTTTATTATCAATTGTTTCTTTTCAAAATTAGTCAATTTAGGTAACAAAGTGCCTTCATCCACAATAACGGAATTTCTATTTTACGCTTGGGTCCAATGATATTGCATTCTAGTATACTCTTTGTTATTATGATAATCAAATGGTTGAGGGATCTTCTATAATGCCAAAGCTACATTTTTATGAGCCTATCTTCTTTATGCATAAGTCATTCTCTAATAGATTGTCTCTCTAAAAAATGAATACGAAAACCTATAATAAATGTTTTCAATCTCCATGTTCATAATATCCAATATTCCTTATTCATACAGAGAATTTAATTCATTTATTAATGGCTTTTGTTTAATAAAATCTTTGAATGGATTCACATAATTTAAAGTTTAGATATCGAATATATCTCCAATTACACAAGCTTACTTTAGGATTAACTGCTGCACTGCAGTTAGCTTATCAATGTAGGGACCATTTATTTAGACAGCCATCAATGGTGCATCAATGTCGAGCCATTCTTCATGTTTGATGAGTGTGCGAAACTTTTTTGAGGCCATTCCTAGATTTCTTTACTCATCTAGAATTATGTAATGATTGTCCAATAAATGCTTCATTAAATAAATCATTTTCAATGGATGGCCATATGTTATCACATATAAATAATTGATGCAGAGAGAATTAAAATCCATTTCTTCTAATTCAGGTTTTGACTCCCAAAACATTAATGGATCTCTTATCTTTTTGAGTAATTCCACCATTTCATAAATATCATCTATAGATGATGTTCTTTTTCTACGCGCAAACATAGTTTATTCTTGATTTTTCTAATCCTCTTCCATGCAAACAAAAGATTTGATTTTGAAATATATTTCAAATAATTCTGACAACTAATCAGCCTACTTAAGTCCTTTCAAATTAATTGTAAGCGTGTTTATTTACTGTGCAATGATTTTACCTAAGAATTCAGATTAGCATTCAGATTTATGATTATTATTATCGAAAAAGGAAAACTCCGTAAATTTATTCCTAATGCAACCAACAACTAAAATATTTCTAAAGTTTTTGAGAATGGATTTCAACAGATATAGTGATCCTGCATCAGAATCCTACATATCATCAATCAGTATTATTAATGCCTACGAATAATATTCTTATGTTTAATCCTCATTTTAAATTTGAGCTTAGAGTTAATCCTATTCTAAATATAGGCTAATTAGCTTATAAACAAATTTCTTAATTGATTTTGCTAAGGTTAAGTCTTCTCTAATCGTATTGGCTTTAATATCATTTACAGTAAGACTCAAAACTTAGCTAATTAAATTTGCTAAATGCGAGTTGCATTTGTAAATCTATTATATTAATTCAACATTTGCAGCTTTGTTTAATTTCTAAGCATAGGAAAGGAAAATATTTCTTAAGAAAATTCTAATAGAGTTCAATAATTTTGATCTGCTAGATGGATTTAAGGATGATATCATAATCTCCAGAAGGGTTTCTTTATTTTACAAAGCCTCGACATTTTTAAGCACTGTTTTTGCCAAAAATGATTTACCAATACCATACTCACCTTTAATCAACACTAATCTATTTTGAACATATTTGTTTTTTTTGAATTCATCTAAAAATTTTTGAATAAAATCCTTTATCTAATTGATCTCTTGCTATCTACCAACTGGCTAGAGTTCCTCGTCATATTCTCTACAATTAATATGGTATTTATCAAATACGATAGTTGATGATGGATTATTGTGACATTAGAGAGATTTCGATGATAAGACAGAATTGAGGTTGGTTATACTGCCCATTGAATGAGTACTCATCACTCTAAATTCAAGATGAGTATTGATATCTTTTATTTTCTTAAAATCCTCTTATAGAGATAAGGGTTCGTATATCAATACTCCCTTTTCTTTTCCCTTAACTTTCCTTTCACTCCAAAAGATGGATTGGATTTTGGTCTAGGCATCACTTGCACTTGTCTAATCTATTAAGATGCACGGTGAAAAAGGTTAGGTTGCAATTTACATCAATCTGGCAGCCAAATTAACACAATCCCCTAAGACTGAATATTCTCTTCTACTCCCAGAGGTTCCTACAACTCCACAGTATGCTATTCCCGTTGATATTCCAATTGCAACCTTGCACTTGATCTTTTTCAACTCTGACTCTAATAGAAATGCTGATTAAATGGCTCTCACTGGATCGTTTTGATGACTTACAGGTGGTAATCCAAATACAGCAATGCAAGTGGAACCCTTATCATCCATCAATAACTTATTCAAAGAACCCTCAAATGTGTAGACACAATACTGAACAGTCTTGATTACATTTTGTATTCTCTGTAGTCCTGAATCTGTTTTAGCATCTGATAGATCTATACTCAAATTGATGAACATTGTAGTTACTCTTCTTAATTCACTGCCCCATCTTTCTAATCCTATTTCCATATATGGCTTGAGTGCTGCAGGGACAAACATTGCTAATTGTTACTAAATTTTTGGATTCAAAATTATTGAGTTTTTTATGAGAGTCGCCTCGGCTTTTAATTTCACTTTACTGTATGCATTCAATTTCTTTACCAGATAAAACTATTTATTGTCATGGTTGATAGTTTCGAATGTGAAGTAATCCTTTACGAACTCATAGACTTCCTTAGATATTATGGTTTCTCCTCCTTTGGTAGCGCAATGTTCACTTTAAAATGCTTACAACAACGGTTCTCCCGTGGCCAAATATTCTGATCGATTGTAGACTCCTCCTACATAGATAATGTTGATATCACCAATTCCAAATCCTATTTTGACTGATAATTTCAAATCTGGCAATATGCATGTATCATTTAATTTATTTTGGATATCCAATGCATTTTAAAGTGCCATTCTACAAGTTAGACGTAGATCTTCGTGCACCTATACAATATCTGTTTTGTATGAAGGAGGCCAGACCACAATCATGGCATCTAAAATTAGTAGAAATCTTAACCTCCTGCGAATTTCAATATGTCACCACCACTTTAACTTATCGCTTTCACTAGTAATTCCATATATCTATTAATTACAAAGGCAGTTAATTCTGGCCCTTCGTTTCCCAATTTCGATAGACTCTCGGTCAGATTCGTAAATCCTGAGACATCTGTGAACATTACAACACTTTAGAATGATTATTTAGCAGGTAATTCCTTAATTCTCAACAATCAAATATTTTATACTATTCATGCTATGCAAAATACTAAACAACCAAAGCAGGAACATATCCCATCAATGACATCAAACTCTTTTATGATAACATAGTTAATTAAATATATAATAATACAATCATGATTCTTATTCAAAATTTTCCTTTTAGTATTCAATAACCTATTAATTATTTTACTATAAGGTAGTAATCAAGAAGCTTTCCTAATCAAATCTTTTTTAATCATCACTATCTTCAAGTGGGTTGACCACGTCCTAATCACTGTACGGATCAATAGATTCTGCAACCTTGATTAATACTTCACTGCCATTTTCATTATCATTTAAAGTGTTGTAATTGGATTGCTATTATTTTAACAGTTTCTAATCATTCTCCGTAACTTAATTTTGAATCATTTTAATAAATACATGTCCCTATTGTTCTCCTTAATGGTTGGATTCTTTTTGTTGATCCTCCTCATTTGCACTTGATCTTTTAATTTCATTGCTCTCAATCATTTTGCCAAAAGTATCCTTCCTTTCTTCTTCCTCCACAACATTGAAGTATGCAGTTCCATTCAACTTCCCCTTTTCTTCATTCTCAGTTTATGTATAGGATTTTGTTTAATTCTAAGACTAATTGACCTAAAGTAGTTGAGATTCATTAGTGAAGTTTGAAACCACGTCCTAAACACCTTAAGCCTCATTCTTATGTTGATCTGAATTAGATGTTTAATCAACATCTGAAATTTTAATTGTGATTGGGAATGTAATTGATTTCTTTGTTGGAATACCTTAAACATTGAGATTTTTTTTTGATTTTTATTCGTCAATTTTGGAAATATTGATTGAATTGATTTTTTTTAAATCTAATTTTGACTTATTCTTAGATTAACCTTTTTATTAATTATCCCTGTTACCAACACTCTTACTTTTCAAATCTTTTGGTGATTGTGAGATTTACTAAATGTTGTTGTCATTTCTATGTTACTTCGGCTTAGTTAAGACTAACTGAATTTCTTTGTGATATTTCTTATACTAATAAACTGGTTTTTATTATGAACTTCTTACAGATGGAAGTTGTGTTGTTTAATCAGATCTTATTTGTAATTGCTATTATTGTTGGGAATTAGGATCTCGTTAACTTTAGATCTGATCTACATGTCTATCTGTAATAGTCTTTTTGATTGTATTGTCTTACACGGATTCGTAATGCTCAAAAGTAAAATTATGATTGTCTGTTTCCTCCAATTCTATATTCTAATTTCTTTCAAGTGTCCTAGATTCAATGGCTACTTTTTTAGTGGCTTAATTATGGGGTTGATATTTTTGATCTCTTCCTCTTTAGGACATACTTATGAGGCCATCGCTTTTCTTAATCTGAGGCAATTTTGAAAAGTTCTTTTGAGTTTTGACGTTCTCTACTTCCTTTTTATTACCCAATGAATTTGCACGCAGTTTTCTACTCAGTTATTCAGTGGCTTAACTAATCTTTCGTAACTCATCTTGCTATTTAGATATTTAATTGTCCATTTATTCTTGTGGAAAATATGTAATTACTAACTGTTAAACATTCTAGACTGTTGCAATGAGTGAATCGAGAAATGTTACAAAGTGTTCTTTTGATAATGATCTAGATACATCAGGAACTTTTTGAGTGTTGGATACTTGAGAAGCTGTCTTGTGTTGGGGCGAGCTGGATTAATTATATACTTAAGTTTATTCTTATTGATGCTAAACTTTATGTATTCATCCTTACTATAGTTTATTCAAAGGACTTTGATTGTTGATTGACTAAATTTCTTTAGCTCATTCTATCTTGTTTCATTTTAATCATTTGCTATCTCATTTGCATATTAAAGAAGTATTATTCTAAATGAGTATCCTTCTCAGCCTTGTAATCGAGCACCTTTCCTCTTCTCGCAGCTGACACCCCATCCAACTAAAAAGGAGGCTTTATTTTTGTCTTTAGTTGTTGCATATAATTTTTATAAATGAATTATGCTAATCCATTTTCTTTATCATCTCATGGAAGTTTCCTCAGTCCCAGAGAAACCCCAAGCATTTTAACGAGCTTTCTCTCTTAAAATTAGTCCATTAGATCAGCCCAATCGAATCCTATTAAGCTGAGTTTCATCTAGCATCCAAAACACACTAAGAAAACAGATCTTGTGTCCCCAAGATCCAAGATGGTTACCTTGCACGAGGATAAGAAGCCAAAAAACAAGAATTTCGAAAGGATCAAATATGTTTCAGAGCATTCTACCACGCCTTACTTATGCATTTCAAAAAAACATCCTTAAATTCGTATTCCAATACTCCCCAAACTATCACCTGAACCTAAGATGGAAGTACAGAGAATGCCTTATATAAACATCATGACAGAACCAACTGCTGCAATTGAAGAACATAGTGATGAAGGGAGAAGTAATGGCGAAAAAAGCATTGACAATAGTAAGTCAAATAACTTACTGCACGTTTCTGAAACCACTCATAATTTTGAAGACTAATTATCAACAAGCAAACTCTCCCTCAAATCCCGCTTTAAGTCAGCAGTCTAAAAATCATTTCGCTCTCCTCCCAGGAAAGTATTATCTTATATAATTAGTCATTATTCAACCTCCTCATATCTCACGAATTTAATACACTGCAAGAAAATGAGAGAAAATCCATCCAAATTAAATTCGAACCTGGTAATCAAGTATTAGCATCTAAAATAATATACCTCAAAAAATCTAAATGGAAATAATAATGCATCAAAACCCAGGAAATCAAAAGACAGTCTCGCTTTATAAATGTCGAATAGTTTAGCGTGTCAACTAAGGCATTTCAAAGGAAAATCAATTTAATTCATGGAACCAACTCTAGAAGTTTAATTTCAATTGAATCTTTCTCTCTACTTCCAAAATCTTCAAGAAAATCTGCAATCAGCATTGCTTCCAAACTACAAAACAATATTTAATCAGGAATCTCTGATAATCTGATCGATAAAAACGAGGAATCAGTATTACGTTAGAACAACAATAAGGAATCTAAACCAGTTTAATTTAACATAACAGTGACTTTTTAAAATACTGACATAGCAGCATATCAATTTAACAAACCAAAATATATATATCATCACAATGAGGAAATCTAATAATTGTAAAGTGTTTCTCCTAAAGCCACTCCAAAGATCCTTCCAATGACTTTGCTACAATCTAATAATCACATATCACTTGCATCGACTAAGAAATTAGATTACAATTCCACTTTTGTCAATTTAAAAACCAAGAGGCTATCTAGATTATCTGTTCAATAAGGTGTTACATAAGATGAGGTTTAAAAAATAGAATAACAAACCGAATTCAATAAAGTATTATTTTATATAAGATAAATAGCCTGGGTTATTTTTCAGAGTTTATTATCAAAATAAATTATACAAATTGATGCAAAAATCTAATTATACAAAAGAAAACTTGGTAGAAATTGAACAAGGTTTTAGACCAAAGTTTGTACCACCCAATACCAATACAATCATGAGTAATGTCTACACTATGATGTCGACAACTGAATAGGGAATAAGATAGAGAAAAATCACGAATGAATCATTAGCAGATAAAATTCAATTTACGGGAATCAAATTTCCAAAATATTAAATTGAATCTGAGAAGCCGCCCTTTGATTACTATAATGAATCATCCCAAGAGGGAACAGAATCTAGTGATGATTCAGAATCATAAGTGTCCTTAAACTAATTTCTAGAAAGTCCATTGGATCCTAGTTGTAATAATTTAAATAAATTAAAGCTAGAACCATTATAAAAAAACAAAAAGCTCTCCAAAAGAAAAAAATCTCTTTAAGAAATATCAAATGAACAAGATGATTAAACTCACTTTTTTAAAGATCAACCTACAGATTACAAATGTAATAATAAATTCATTTATAGAACTATCCACTGGGTCATTAGTGCTAATAAAGAAAATACGGGAAGCTTTTCATGTTCCTTTAACCATTTAGCCTATTTTGAACATCTTGGAATCTTCTGCAAAGAATAGGTTGTTAAGTTATAGTGTTTCCGTTTGTGAAGACTTTCATATGGAAATAGTAAAGGATATAGATCAAATCGCAAATTAGAAATTGTTAAAGTTTTAGAAAAATTCATAATTAAACTCTATGGTATTTCAAGCTATCGAGATGAGATATTCTTAGATTTTTATAGGGAGATATGTCAGTTAAACAAGAATGATTGATGTTGAACATTAAGATCCTGTTGTTTAAGCAACTATACTAGAAATATAGGAAAAAATTGATCAACCCTAATCTAATTAATTACAATAACAATTCTCACAGATTAAGAGCCAAAAAAAGAATTCTAGCAAGGATTCTGTTAAAGACTCAAATTCTAAGAAGCCTTAGCCAGGAGGGAAAATGAAGTAATCTTAAAGATATCTTACGAAATAAGATTCTCTTTAAGTTCATTAATTTTAGTCATGGAATAGAAGAGCAATGCAGTCTGGAGATTTATCAAACACCCTGCAATAGTCAAATTAATAAAACTCAAATTTTTTTACCTAAGCCTCAACTGTTCTAATCACAAAGCCTACTTAAACATCGTAATAATCTGTTTTTCGAGTTATGAGTTCAAAGCATATAGATTTGAATAGTTCTCAATAAGACGCAAGTTCCTCATTAAATTCCTCAGAAAAGGAAGAAACTCCTTAATCTGGTTAAGTTTAAAGGAATCCATAAACATAATCCTAGACACAACCGTAGCAACCCCAATTAATACAAACATCCGCTTAGAATTAAATCAATTCTGGCAGAAATTTACGTTTGGATGAAGATTCTTAGCAAGAACCAAATGAGTAATATGACTTGGACCATTTACAGAACAATATGGTATTTGTTTAGCATGATATAAGAATTATTTGAGCATGTATATGAACTCGTTAAGAATGAGAACTCACATTAAGGAATCCTCGAGAAGGTAGAAATTAGATTAAATTTAATAAATTAATTTGGCGATTTATGATCATAATTTTACAGAAGTAAGCTGATTGAATTATAGGCAATAGTTCATTGATAATATCTAGTTCATTCCAGAAACTCAACTAGATACTCCTTTATAAAATGGAAATACGTTTCTTATTTTAGCTGCTTAGTGTGGATGTATCGAGATCGTTCATGAGCTAATTAAGAGAGGTGCAGATATCAATATTTAAAATGTATGGTATTACTAAAGAAGGATGATGGCAATACTGCAGTTCATTTGGCTTTGGCATATGGGCACTACAAGATTGCGGATTTGTTAATGGAAGCAGGAGGAAGTACTCATATCATCAACAGAAAAGGATAAAATGCCTGGGGAATATTGTGATACTTAATATTTTTATTTATATAAATATATTAAAATTAAAAAATGGATCAAGAAACTCAGAAATCTATTTTGATGAACATTTATTAGTAAACATTTTCAGTTTAACTCTAGAAGGGCCAATCAAATTGGCAATCAATAAAAAGCATAGAATATTAGTTCTCTAAAATATCTTTTCAAAGAAGTATAAAAATCAAAAAAAACTCCAAGTACATCATAACATACTACTGCGAGTAAAAGAAATTAACAATCAAAATAGAGAGATAATGTTTAGGTTCAAACTCCTCAAACTAGTTATCGTTCTAGGTTATAATTAGTAGAAAAAAATGAATGGATCAATTTAATTAATCAAAAATCGCAATAAAATCTTCAGTCTGATCAAATTGCAATCACCGAATATCGGTATTTTTAAAATTCAACTTAGAACTAGAGTTTAAATGGATTCTTTTTTCTAAAATGATTGGAAATAGCCGTATTATAAGCCAGAAAAAATATAATAATTAATCTTAAAAGTAAATTAATATTAGCCTATCAATGATATTGATTCATGGAAACAAATAGTATATTAGAGATTATATCAGAAGATATCATGATTTAATTAAAACATTTCTGATAAATCACTAATCTATTATATCTTTAAAATATTAGTGTTGCAAAGCTTAAGTTGCAGTAGGTCTTTATCCTGGTATATATTTCAGTAATTTTCTATTATTTGAATAACATAAATCAATACTTTAACAAGTCTACAAAATTTTCCTTATCCTCTAAATTACTAAACTTCTCATTTAAATTGATGCCTTTGTATTCAGGAAACTCTTGAAACAAATTGATATCAAAAGGAACTACTTTCTAGAAATATTTAAGATCTTCCTCTGTAAAGGATCCCATTATTTTGAGAATTTAAAATAATTGATCTCCTTCGGATTTGCCTATAAAAAAGGGCTCCAACAATGCTAATTCAGCCATAATGCAACCAAAAGCCCAAATATCAATGGATTCAGTGTATTTGGTGACACCAAGCAATAATTCAGGAGCTCTATAAAATCTGGAAACAATATAAGGTGTATTCACAGCTGTTCCAGTCATCTCTTTGGCACTCCCAAAATCGCATAACTTAAGAGTTCCATCTTGAATCAAAACGTTTTCTCTAATCCTATAAAAATTAAGAATTTACGGTTTTAAGTCTCTATGTGCAATATGCTACTTATGAATCTAATCAAGACCTTTGAGCATCTAATAAAGATAGTTCTTAAGAGTTTTGGTATCAAAGTATTCCTTTCTTTTTCTATGATCAACTATAATATTTTCTAAATTTTGATCCATAAATTCTAGTACGATGTTTTAAACCATTTTATTATCTTCGCTTCTGCTGTAGAAAACATCCTTGCTATTTCATTAAACATACTATCAATTTCACTACATTAGGACACTATTTCAATAGCATCAATATATCGCATTCTCTGCTTGATACTTTACCAACTTTTTGCATTCTTTTTAGAGCTACTTTTTAGTTTCTCTTAGAATCAAATGCTTCGAAAACATAACCTTGATTTCACTAAAACTATGTACCGAAAGCCCCTGAACCAATAACCCTAGTAATTTCGTAATTAGGTATACTACCATGTGCTTCCATTTTAGATATTAGTTATTTTACTCACTTAAAATAAAAGTTAAGAATTTAGTATTAATAATGTGAATTATCATGTTAATTTTAATTAATATATCCCTTACATTCTAGTTTAGTTTCCTTAAAAATTTTGTGTCTTCTTGCCACCTTAATTAAAAATGATCTCACAATCTAAAATTCCAATACTTACAAAGTATTGAAGTTGTAACAAAAGAACTGAATTAAACTTAATTCAACTGAGAAATTGGAGGCATTTTTTGCTTTTCCTTATAAATTTTGGGAAAGTTATGGGATTAAAATCTTTAAGTACTTTGAGGATAAATAATCAATGAAGAAATGTGAAAATCAAAGTTGATTATATAAACAAGCAATAATTCAAATCCTATATAAATTCTTCCCTTAGTATCTAATTATAATATAAATAAAAATAAATAAAATGTCCAGATAGGCTCCATCCTCTGCTTAAAAAGTAGATCCAAAGAAGGCTCCTCCTCCTCCTCCTCCAGCTAAAAAGGGACCCAAACCTTTTAATGCTGAAGATTATGCCAAGCCACCTCATCTAACAAAGGAGGAAGTCTTGGAAGTAAAACAAGCATTTGACATTTTCGATAATGATGGATCTGGATCAATCGATCCATAAGAATTAAGAGAAGCCTTCGAAGCTTCAGGAATCAAAACCTACCACAATAAATTTATTTATTAAGTATTGGGAGAATTAGATACTGATAATAGTGGAGGAATCGATTTTGAAGAATTTTTGCATTTAGCTACAGCAAAGGTTAGTGATAAAGACACTAGAGAGCAAATCCAAAAAGTGTTTAATCTGTATGATTGGAACAAAGAAGGTAAATATGATTCATATTTTAAGGTCGCATTACCTGGGATGAATTAAAGAGAGTAGCATAAGATTTGGGAGAAGAAATGACTGACGAGGAGATCCAACACATGTTCAAAAAGGCAGATTTGGATGATGATGGTTTTGTTACTTTTGATGATTTTTACAATCTAATGACCCAAAAGGAATACGGAAAATAATGATATCAAATAATGATAAACATATAAATAAAAATTATATATTAGATATTAATCATCTGTTTGAAAACGACTAGTATCTTATATTTCAACTTTCTATATTTGATATTTCTCCTAGTTTCTATCATATACTTTCTTTAAGTTAAATATTACTTAATCTTGATATTCTAGAGATTATGTTCCACTTTCAAAAATTAATTAATATAAATATATATTAATAAACTAAATTTTGTAAATATGTAAGGAAACAATGCAACTGAAAAAAAGGTAATAGAGTTAAAAGAGGTGTCTCTAAACCAGGAATAAATCGGATCAATTTTGAAATAATAATAAAAAGATTTTAGATAATATAGCGTTGAGAAAAGGAAGTCTCTGATATTATAAAGGATTGAAGATATTAAGAAGGATAGAATGCTTAAATCTGATGGAACAGTACATCATTCTGAAGATTTTAGGAAAGCAAACAAAGCTCTAGAATATTTCTAGCCTGAATTCCCAATCCTTAAATTTCCCGTATTAAACATCTGTATTTTAGGAAGACACTGTGTTAAACACTTATGATAAAACTAAAAGATGGCTGAAAGAATTCGATTTCCCTAATAAAAAATAATATTGGCAAGAGTTTAAAAAGAGAAACTTTAAACATTACCCAGGATAGCCTTTTAGTTATGCACCAGGAGTTCCTACCTATTTTGAGGAATTCAAGGCATACCATCACATAGAACATGAAGAATCTTAAGTTGAAAAATATCAACGACTCTAATAGTACAATATTTTATATCATCCAGGAAAAAAGTATTATATGTTTAACCAACAAAAGTAGTTGGAGGTGAATTTAGTAGACCCATTTTTGATAGGACTCATGTCCACGTAGAATTAAATCCTATTCATTAAGTGCAATATCTACCTGATCCTGTTTCTGCAAATTCAACTGACTATAGATAATTAAGTAGATAATCAATTAAATCTAAATTGAATGACATGCAAAGAGTTAAACCATTTACTTCATGTAGCACAAGAAGTTAGATATTTTAACAAAAATACAAACCGTTGAATGCTGAAAGGACTTAGGAAACAGCGAAATCTTCTAAAAAACCTAATGATGATGATTTTGATATTTGATAAATATGTATTTATAGATATTATCTCAAATATAGAGACCCTCTGGAATATTTCCTTTTTTCAAATATAATATCTTTTCTTTAGCTTTTCTGAAATCTTCTTATGTTATCTTCATTCTTCTTTCTCTTAGAGCCAATAAACCAGCTTCTGTACACATGGCTTTGATATCAGCTCCAGATAATTCATCTTTAGCATTAATAAATTCATCTAAATTTGCATCCTAATTATAGAAATAAATAAGTACCTCTCCTAGATTCATTTTGCTAGTGTGAATTTAAAAGATCTTCTTTTTATTTTTTACATCAGGTAATGGGAACTCTATTTTTCTATCAATACGTCCAGGTCTAATCAAAGCTGGATCAAGAGATTCAATCTTATTCGTGGCAAGGATTACTTTAACGTCAGCCCTTGAATCGAAACCATCTAATTGATTTAACAATTCAAGCATTGTTCTTTAAATCTCTTTTTCACCCCCAGAGTGTGAATCATATCTCTTAGTACCAACAGCATCAATTTCATCAATGAATACTATACTAGGAGCATGCTCTTCAGCAACTCTGAATAACTCTCTAACTAATTTAGGACCATCTCCTTGATATTTCTATATCAATTCTGACCCAACCACTCTTAAGAATGTTGCCGAAGTTTCATTGGCAACTGCCTTAGCCAAAAGTGTCTTTCCAGTTCCTGGTTCTCCATATAAGATAACACCTTTTGGTGGTTTGATTCCCATGTCTTCATATATTTCAGGATGTGTTAATGGAAGTTCCACAGCTTCTTTAATTTCCTAAATCTACTATTCAAGACCTCCAATGTCTGCATAGGATTCAAGTGGAGCTTTATCAACTTTCATCACATTAAGAAGAGGATCAATTTCATCTTACATAATACCAACAACTGCATAGGCTATTGTAATAAATCAAAGAGTATTTTTACATCTTTAATTTAAAAGAACAGAGCAACCTGGCTCCAATTAATCTTTGTCAACAAAACTCATAATTCCTGAATAACTTTCTGGACCAACCGAGGACGATACAATAGCATGATTTTCATTAACAAATTCTTCTAATGTTCCTACGCTTTCAAATTAGAAATTGTTATTACATCATTGGTGTGCCTCTGAGTTATTCTATTTTTTTCTGCTCTTCTGATTCAGCTTGATCTTATTCTTTTAATGGCTTTAATCTTTATTAATTTTCAATAAATTCCTATTCTAACAGCAAATAGTCTTTAATTCTCTCATTTTTAAGTAATTTTAATCTACACTTAGCAATTGGTGTTGCTAAGAAATATATAATAATAAATACCTGCTGGTAATTTGGATGCTTATTCAACACCTTTTCTAAGCTTTTTCCTTCCGACTCTTTATGGTGGAGGAGGTGGTTTTTTTTGCTAATCCTTGTTTTAATTGTTATTATTATCTTGATTATTTCCTCTTCCTTGATTGGGATTGAAGGGATTAAACCCTTGTGGATTTTGATTTCCCATAGTGTATATTTTTAATTTAAATTAATACACCAGTATTGATAATTTTATTCAAATAAATAGTAATTTAATTGTCATTCTCAATATACAAAAGTTTATAAATCACATTAAGGTCACTTGGACTGGAATAACTTCATAATATTTCTTTGATTACATTAAAATTTAAAATAATAAAAATATCATACAATTTATAAAATTTGGTTAATGCAAAACTATGAAATAGGAATTCCGATTATAATTGAAGCATGTATTGGATTAGCTTCTTCTTTATTCTTCATACTCGACATTTCGATTCATTATACGATGAAACTATATCAATTGGAATTGGGGATCTTATATACCAATTTGATGTAATCTATAAGTAAATAAAACATCATGATTTTAAGTCACCATACTATTAATTCTTGACTTTAACAATTAAATGTGCATTTGGACATTGTTTTTAGAATAATGTTTGACTCTTTCAAGTTTTCTTTGGACCATCTTGATTTTATAAAAAAGTTGTTTACTTACTAGATACCCCATTTAAATAGCTTTAGAATATCTAAAGACTAATTAATTTACAGTATTAATTATTAAATCCAGCTCTAAGCAATAATTGCATTTGGATTGCCAATAATCGCTTCATCATTAATTTTTGTAAAATTAAATATTTGTCAACTTGATACGCTCACACAAGTTTCAACTAAACTCTTCTGGGCAATATAATCGATTTTAACAATAATATTCATTGGAATAATCGCCTATCATATCATAAGAGTTCATTTGCATTGCAAACTTGTAAGAATATAGAATAAATTTAGGCCAAATTATACATAGAGATTTTATACTGCCCAATAATATTAATATTTTCATTACCATGGATCGTGTATACAATTTTCAATTTTGAACTAGATAATTCTGAGGATGTGAAAATCCTACAAGGTAATTATGAAAATTTAAGGTTAAGGTTTATTCCTTTTAAAAAACTCATAAATCATTTTCAGTACTTTTCTTTTTGGATAAAATTCAGCATTTTAAGTGGCTTTCCTTGAAAATGCATGCCCAATTCTAAGAAAAACTTATTTGGCAAAATATGATTTTGAAAAAAAGTATCAAATTCAATATCAAATTTAGAAATAATAAGTCATAAACTTTAAATATAGAAATTTGTAATACTTTATGTGCACAATTATTGATAAAATGATTATAAAATTATAATTTCTTAAATAAAATAATTAATGGAGTTTATTCAAAGCGTATTATCATTATTTGGTAATGTTGCCATCGTTGCATTAATGTTGATAATTGGAATCTTGTTGTTAATCTACTTCCTACAAAACTCATTAATCTATATGCCAGGTTTTAATTTCTTACTAATATATCAAGCAATCTAAGGATTATCCCAAAGTCCTAGTTAGAATATGAATGGACTCAGAAATCCTTCTGAGAGAAATCTATAATATGAAGATGTAGAGATTGGAACCCTGGATAGATAAAAATTAAAAGGATGGCTCATTAAATAGAATGACAGTTCAAATGCACCTACAGTGATTTTTTTTCACGAAAATGCTGGAAGTATTTTCAAAGTTAATATTCATTTCAGATATTGGAACTAGATTGCAATTTTTAGAATTATATTTTGACAATGTGAGGTGCAATATATTGATCATTGCATATAGAGGGTATTCAGATAGCACAGGAAAACCCTCGGAATAGGGTCTTTAATTAGATGGAGAAGCTATCGTTAATTATTTATTTCATAGAAATGATATTGATCACTCTAAAATATTTGTACATGGCAAGTCTTTAGGTGGAGCAGTAGCCTGTCATGCTATGACTTAAAATGTTGCAAAAGGCATCAGAGGTGTTATATTAGAAAATACTTTTACATCAATAGATGATATGGTTGATGTCGTCTTTCCTAAGTTGAAGCTCTTTAAATCTTTACTTCTTAAAAATCATTGGTTGTCAATTTAAAAAGTTGGTCAGATTACATAGCCAATACTATTTATTTATTGTAATTTATGTTGATTATTTGATTTTAGCAATGAGAGATGAAATCGTACCAGTGCAACATATGGCATAATTGCAAAATGCAGCCTAAAGAGCCAAATTTATTGAAAAGGTTTTTAATTCATTATATTTAAAGTTTGTTATCGAAGATGGTGATCATAATACGAATTGGTCTAGAGAACCAGAAAAGTACTTTAATTCAATTTCAAGTTTCATCAATAAAGCAATTAGATCATGATTTTATATTATAAATTAAATGCAACAAAAATATTGTGATGAATGTGAAGAAACTAGAGCCAAGATTAATTGTAATTAATGCGGTCAAATTCTATGTGAGCAATGTGACAAAAAAATACATAATAAAGGAAAACGAGTTTATCATTCCAGAGAACTAATCGAAACATCGGATTCAATTGAATCAAACAAAATTAAATAGGATGCTCATGTTATTAGACATGAACAACACAAAGAAAGATTTAAATAAATAAACAGCAGTTTGCCATCTGTTGATGTTGTTAACTTCAATCTAATTAATATCTAGGCGGAAACACCGATGATTTTTTAGAATGAGTATTTTTATCCCTTTATTAAAGTTCTATTTTAGCTAAGATTGAGCATCACTTATTCAAATAGGCAAATAAAGGAGACCTGATGATTCATTTAAACGACTTTTAGAAATTTTTAAAATAGAATGAAATCTATAAAATCAATCAGTAAGAATCAATTAACATTTAGATCAAAAGATATCATATAATAATTGGAGAAATTGAAAATGATCAATGTGACTATTAGAAAATTTGGTGATAGTGACCCAATTTAGTTTGTTAGTCTTCAGTTAGATCATATTAGTTTATAATCATTATATTGGGTTTTATTAAATATTAGGAAGGATGAGATGACTCCAACCGATAAATTAGTAATGAGTAGAATTAAGGAATGCTATGGTTTAAAACTCAATATTTAAGATTGGAATCATTATTTGGCTGGATTCTACAAATTGCAAGATTCTAATGGATTGATTTAATTTAATGTAAAAAAATACAAACAGAATAAGTGGATTGATGAAAAATGCATAATTAAAATGACCAAGTGTCCAATTGATTTAGTGAATAAATCAGAAAATAATAATGCTTCTCTATCAGCTTCTTAATAAATTAATAATGAATCCTTACTATTGTTTACAATAGAGGACAATGTCAATTGGAAAATGATGGATGCACAATAAATGAGTTCCATTTATAAGAGTTAATGGAGATCATTTATATAATTTTTAAAAGATTTTTTTGACACCAATCTTACTTTAAATACAAGTCAAAACACTTAGTCATTTGGAGATCTAAATTAATCTGATTATTAGTCATAATCATCCAAATAAAGTGGAACATAATCAGTACCAACTTAAAAAAACTAAGATAATTCAAAGTGGATTAGAAGTGTTGAATCCGGATTACAAAATGGGCAAAAGAGTTAGGAGTAATATCACAATCAAAGCTATTCTTCCAATGTTACATAAAAGTATCATCTGATTAATATTAATAGAAAAAGAAGTAAAAAGAGTTAAATTAAACCTCCAAAATCTATTTAAAAAGCTATACCTGGAGGTAAATATGGATGCGCACAGCTGTTAAAATGTTGTGGCCCACTAGAATTGAGAGTCTGTTCCTTGGGTGTTTTATGTCTAATGATATAGGAAGCCATTAACAGGAATGTCCTTATATACTATAAAACCTTATTAATTAAACCAAATACTAATATAGCTTTTGATTTCAATGATTTCTTAAACATTTTTGATGATTAATTTTAAGATTAATTCATCCTATAAAATATTTTAGGGAATGAAGAAAATCAATAACTTTCAGTTGATAAATAATAACAGTAGCATGAAAAATAAAATAAATTAAAAGCTGTTCAATAGGCAATAATAGATATTCTAAATGAATACACTAAAGGTGTTAGTTTAGCAAGATTGCCAAAGATGATTTAACGTAAAATTTAATTTACATTTGATTTGCATGAACTGGGATTCACGAAATTAAAATGCTTAATACAAGGTATTGATGGGATTAGTATTATAAATGATGGAACTACGTATGCTTCACTTATTTTAGACGAGTATTATGATGACACAAATGATATGAAATAAGAATAAGAAGATGATCAATAAATGCAATAAGTGAAAATTGATTTGAAATATTTTCAAAAGTAATCCTTGTAATAATAACAAAGTTAATCCAATCCATAACTCTAATAACAATAAATATAGTAATAATAATAACAATAGCAATAATAACTGTAGTTTCTATCTCCAATCCATGTATCTGAATATTAATTAAAAATTGAAGTAAATATTAATCTTATATTTCTAGCAAGCATTAAAATAAATCCTTAACTAATACAGTAATGGAATTCCAGCATCTTAACTTCTATAAATACTTTAGCTGCATATATAAAATACCTTTGAATATACTCAATTTGGTTGTTCTACTTTTGAAGAATACATGGTAAAATATGCTGAAAACTATTGTGATGTAATGATTAAGATGAAAGGTTGTATCATATATCCAAAAGGATATTCATCATTTAGGTCTGCTATTCCATAATAGAAAATGTAACTTGGAATTCATCACTAAAAGTCTCAATCAACTACTCTTCCAAGTTATGCTCAATAATAAAGTAACAGTAGTAGCTAAATTATTAAAGCTGATAGTAATTTTAGACTTATAATTTAGGCTTTTTAGCTGGTATGTAAAATCCTAGTCAAATGATTGGAGATGTATAATCTCAATCCTTGACATTTCAATCATTTCAAACTTACCCGTAAAATAAAGACTTTTTTATGATTTAAGAAGAAAACAGTCATCACGAGCTTGACGCTAATGTTAGATTTATAGAAGAACTATTAAAGGAGTCAGATGATGTAGAATAACAGAAACATAAAGTTTAAAGAAGTCACTAAACACATTAAGACAGTAAATAATTTTAGAGTTTGGGACAATGGCCAAATTTAAATTCTAACGAGAAAAGGTGCCATAATAAATATAATACTTATTAATATAGTCCTCAATAAGACTTTTACTAGGGATAAAAAATATCATTAGATCTTCACAGTTGGGATCAAGATAACTGATAATGTATATATAAATTATAATCAATTGATAAATATAAAATAAAGAATTATAAAAATGATGACGACTATTAATTAAGTGAATGGAGGTTTAGGATGATCATTTGGAACCACAAATATCATCCCACCATGTCTAAAGGGGGCTAATTTATTGAGATTTTATTCTGCCAGTTTTAATCTTTTTAGGACAGTCTAAGATATTATTTGATGTTTTTGATGATTTGAAATTGAAAGCATTGTTGGCAAGCAATAAGATAGTTTCATTAGATTGTTTGGATCAGATTCTTACAAGTATTCAAACAAACTTAGATATTAAAAGCTTATACCAACATTAGTGTAACTTTTAGTAAACTTCTTGTTCAATAGAATCTAAATGATAATGTTTATTAAAGATTTTTTCAATTGTAATTTTAATTCTATGTCTGATTTCATTCATCTCAATCAAATCATCTTCAAGTATCAGAATATCTTCGATTTCTACTTTGCCTTAACAAACAGGAAGTATAATTTCCTTTTTTTCTTTATTTCCAAATTAATCAACGCTATCAATAATAAATCCTTGAAGTGTTGCCTATAAATTTTGCACTTTTTCCTAAATAAATGCATATATGAATATATTATTATTCATTATTGAAACTCGGTCAATTCTTGCCTTAAATTAAGCTTTTTAAAGTTCATTTTGCAAATAAACTTCGGCATTGTTGAAACAATCAAAATAATCATTACATGTCAAATTGCTATCAGGTATTTTAAGTATTTGTAGTTTCAAATATGCATATGGGAATAAATCTTGTGTTGTTTTAAGAAGTATATGATTAGCTGAGACAACTTACTATTATTTTTATTCATCTTGTTCTGGAGGGCGATTTTAGCTTCTTATTATTGTATGAATTATTATGTTTACTTTAAAACTATTAGGGGATGTTTATATGTAAGATCTAATTTGTAAAATACTACAAATACCTGCATAATGGGCAACGAGGCATTGTGCATAATGACTTATACATGCAATCAAAACAATAAGTATGTCCGCATGTTAAAGTTACTGGCTGACTAAATTATTAGCAACAAATTGAACACCGCAATAATTTATCAATCATATGCTAATCATACATTGGCTATTCTAATAATATTATACAAATTTTGATAAATTTTATGTATATTTTTCAAATTATTAGAATGTAAAAAGCATGTTTATAAATCACTATGATATAAATATTAATCAATTTGTCTTGTTTAAACAGTGGCTATAATTATATGTCAAAATATGCTTAGCTGGTAAATAGAATGATATCTCTTAAGACTATATAAAAAATGCTTTATTAAAATAATTAAAATGTTTAGTTTTAAGCCTGTGAAGTGGTTTTCATCTCTTCTTTTATCGAAGGTAACACTTATATGTTAACTTTTGTTAGTTTCTCAAACCATATATAAAAAATTTTGAATCTCAAAACATAGATGTTTAAATTTTGGATGGAGAAGTATGTTTGAAATAATTGGAGTTGAGAAATGATATATTGATGCAGTTTGGTATTGATATCGAAGTGATTGATTCATCCTTTGGAGAAGTCAAATTGATAATTCCATGGAACAATTTAAAAACAAAAGAAATCAGTGTAGAAATAACAAATGCAAAAATTGTTCTATCCAATAAAATTGAGATGAGTGATTTTAACAAAGAGTAGTACAAAGACCATTTAGAAAAACTAAAAAGAGAAGTGTTGGCCAAATTCGATGAAACCGTTTAGAAAGAAGATGCATTTTCAAATGGCTCATCAGGAAATAATTTTTTTGCTGATTTTGCAATAAAAATATTTGAAAAGTTTGTTCTCAAAATAAACAACCTAGATATTGTTTTCATTTATCAAATCAATAACTATGAAATTGTAAAATTTGGATTTGGATTTTAAAGTTTACTTATTAATCAAGATGATATTAAACCTAAGAAAGATGAAATTCGTAAAAAAATAGTAGCAGATAACATCTTTTTACTATTTGAAGTATTTGACAATGTTCTCCCTTCTCAATTACAACCTGAATCCTTCATTCCAGATTAAAATTAATCAAAATAAGAGGAAAAGAAGGCAATTCATATTCTTAAGAAATTAGCTCTCAAAATAGAATTTAGCTTAGTATTTTCTGAATAAATGGAGATAGAATTAAAGATAGCTACAATCTCTGATGTTCTCATTTACTTAAAACAAAGACAAATCAGATTATTATTAAGGGCAATGTAAGATATTGTTAATCATCGTAATGATCGACCTAAAGAAAAACCTAAATATGGAAAAACTGCAAAAAATTGGTGGGTTTATATCATTAGAAGAGTAATTGAAAAAGAATATATTCGAACAAAGGTAAGAAAATAAGGAATAACTAATTACTTTAAAGTCTAATAATATATAGAATTATATACAAAGAAAATGCTAAAATAACATGACGCAAAAAGAGATAATAAATTAATGGGAGATTTTGAATAAAAAAATACTATTTCATAAATTTTAATTTTGAGAAGCATTGCGATAGATAAAATTCTGGAAATGAGAAATATATTACGATCTAATAATCCGAAAGATTAAAAAGTTTAAAAAGAAGCTCAAGGATGGTTTAAAAGATTTTAAAATGATTTTAACATGGAACATGCAAGTAATTTAAAGTTTAGTAGAAATGTTATTGATTCATATTTATCTTTCATGAAAGAAAAGGAAAGTAATACAAGAATTTCTATCATTTTGGATGTTAAAAAGATAAATTTATTGATATAAGAGAATTAAATTTTGTAATAATTAAGAAATCTCCATTAGCAAGTTAATATATTTAAATAAGAATTAAATTAGAAAAAATCACTGTAGACAAAAGTCTTAGACCATATTAAGAATAATTTTCTGTAAAAAATTACTAAAGTAACAGTCAAATCATCTGAAATAAATAAGCAAGAAGATTGGAAATTAGATGAACTGTTGAAAGAAAAAATACTAATTAATTTAGAAATTACTGAAACAAAATTAGAATTAGTAAAATAAGGTTAATTTAAATAATTAGTGAAAGCGTAGATCCAAAAATTAATCTTATTAGATACTAATAAATTCAACAGTCATTATTTAAAAATTGTTGAAATTTCAGAAGGAATTAAAGTGTTAATGAGCTCAGAACAATTAGAAAGATAAAAGAAGATCCTTGATTTGGATCCTTTAGAAAAGACAATATAGGTCTATTTAGATATTCAAGTAGGTCCACTTAGTATCACACTTTGCAAACCTCTTTATGAAAGATTGATATCATTACAAAATTTAATATTTTTCGATAAATCTACTGTTCAGAATGATAATTAAGAACATTCAAAATATTTTGACAACTTTTTAATATTAACAAAAAGGGTTTAATCTAACACAAATGTCTCTTTTTCAATAAGCAGAATAAATATTTACTTGCCACTTTAATATTAAATAAAGACCCAAATGTTATTGATCCATCTAAAACAAATTAAAATATTTAAAAGAGAACATGAAAACAGTGTTGTTAATATCTACCCAGCTGAAAATTCTAATGGATAAGTTAGTTAATATCTTAAGGATTTGAAAACAAGGTAAACAGTTAATAGAGTAGCCTAATAAAATCAAAATTTAGAGGAAAATTAAAATTTAAAACCTGTGTACTTTTCTGTTGATTGCTTAAGATTAGCATTTGTATAGGACTATGATTGGGAGAATAAGGAAAATATTTTTAAAATATAATACAGGAAATTAAGAAAAAATGAATAACAGAATGGAGATCCTGGAATTGAAACTATTATTGAAACACTTCCAATAAAAATCAGAATGGAGTAATCCTAAAAGATGATTACTTTAGAATCAAACAGAACAAAGAGTAGAAGTAAAATGACATTCAAGAAAAAAATATATCCGAAAACCTCTATGATAACTATTTAATTGCCGTTTTTGGATTTTAAACTTTCAACTAAGCATTTATTTTTAATATTGTAATTAGTTTCAATCTGGTAAACAAAAGGCTATGATTTTTATGATGTAATTGAAAGTAAGGTGTAAAAGTAGGAACATAAACAATAGCAATAATATATAAATGAAGATTGTTAAGAATAATTGAAAGACTATATGATTAGTTAATTGTAAGTTGATATGGAAGGTCTGCAATTGTCAGTTACTGTAAATACATAAGAGTTTTTAGAAAAATTGGACAAGTCAAGTTCCCATGAAAATCGGCTTTTTTTGTTTTACTTTTTAAATTTAAGCTATTTAAAGGAGGTTAAATTCTATGATAGCATTCAGCATCTAGCCATATAGGAGTTAGCTTTATAAAATATTAACTGCCATTCTTATGATTTATAAAATCCGTTGAAGGTGTTAGCTAAATAATTGTTGAAATATTCTGATAGCGAGAAAGAATAAAAGAATTCAAGTTTTGGAGAAGATTTAGAAAGGGTGATGAATTAATAGTCTGAAATAGAATAAGTTGGAAACTCAAAATTAAATGAAAATAAATCAAACATAAAAAACTCTAACAATGAGGGATAGTCTCCGTAGCAACAAAATGTTAATGATGATTAGGAGTAAATAGTTAATGAAGTTCCTCCGGATGAATTGTAGGAAGAAGTAGCTCCTTAAACAATATTCTCATAAAAAAAGGGTCAATTTTAGATTCCTTCCCCTAAGCATTCATTTTTAGATAATAATTTTCAAGAAGTTTTTGAAGGTGAATTGTACATTAAAGAGTATTTTACAGATAAGAATTGCTAAAAATGTAAAGAAAAACATAGATTATTACTAACCTTTATGAAAGTTCAAGATGATTTGGGTCCTGATGTATACTTTTTATAGACAAGTGATTCACAAAGATCAAGAGTTGTAATAAATCTAAAATAATTAAACCTTATATTGGATCCAGATATAATAAAGAAAATGAGATTGATATTTGATATTGGAAATTTGGCAGCAGAAGTTAAAAAGTAATAATTTACTAAATGGATGAGAGAAAATGGGTTTTGGCCTGATTTCAATGAAGTTGATAAAAAATAATAGTCAGAGACTTAAACTTGGAGTACAATAACAAGTGATTTATTTTAGGAGACAAATAGAATTGAATTGCAGATCAATTAAATAGTGTTGATGCTAAACTATGAAGACTAAGTAGTGTATTTAATGAATATGAAATTTATTGACACTTAAATATCAAGTAGTTAGTTATTTAAAAATATCAATATCAAGATGCAACAAGTACGACTATTTGATACAGCTGTCATCAGTGGAATCCATAGAACAATGTTAGAAGATTATGATGAACAGAATGGAAATCAGGTTTAATGCTAAATTTAAATTTGCAACAATCCAGATTTAATAAGAATAAGAAAATATGCTACATATTGTGGTGTAAGGATTTAAAGGGCTAAGATTGTATTTTTGAAGAGGAATACAAATGAAATTTAATATTATTTGAGGAAAGTACTCATTACATCTTTTTCAAGTACCCTCACAGATAAAGATAGAAATGAATTGCTGAAAGTTACAGAGACTTAAAATCTAAGCTTTACGACTTAACCCAAAGAAGCAGAGGTGGATTCAGAATTTGGGTTTCGATTTTCTTTAGTTGCTTTAGACTCATTAGGAATTGGATATAGAAGTTCTTTATCAAATGAAGCATTATACATTTAATTCAAAAAGGTTGGGTATTGGTTTAGTGGAATCTGGGGTTAATAATATGATAATTTGATTAAAACAGGTTTGTTTGATGATGAAATAGAAGAATAATAAAATATTAGTGAAAATTTTGTAGAAGCTAAATATTTTGAGGAACCAGGAATGGCAGAAGAAACAATTTTTTAAGAAATTAATCAGGAATAGATGTAGGACGAAGAAAATTTAGATTAAAGGGTTAGATAAATTGTCTATGTTTGGGGATTAGAAGTTCGATGTTCCCCAGGAACAGATGTGAATGACTTGTTTGTTAAAGCTCCAGAAGATAAAGTCTCTTTGGAATTATTTATAGACTTTTGTGATGAGACTCCAGATAAACTATTTTGCCTTTAAGAAGTGAAACCTATGAGAAGTATATTTTTATTTATATCCTATAGTTACTATCGATATTTAAAAGCTAAATATATATGCTTACGATTT